AAAGGCTGGACTTGGAGTTTTCGCTTTAGGAAAATAAATATTTGTTCAATATATAATATATATTCAACTATATTTTACAATCGAATTAATATGATCAAGTGTTATTTTAAAATGTGCACATTTCTTACTGCAAAATTGCAAATTAACGATCATGCACTTTGAACTTTAGCTGAAAGCCGGTCACTAATCGCAAATCCGTCGTTACAACGACTAAAGTTTAACCGAGCCCCGACGTTCCCAAGAAAATAAATAATTTCCTTCTGAGACTTTTCGTGTGGGCATATTTCCTGCGTTATTTATTGTTGGGCGAGGAACTCTGATGATAAGCGTTTTGGCCTGGGCAGATTTTTTGGCCAGCACACACAGTTAAAAGACTCCGACTTACAAAACGAAAAAAAGAAAGCAATCCGCGAGTGCGAGTACAAAATACAAGACGAGAAGAAAACCAGTTCCTGAGCAAGTTTACTCTTAGTTGTTGTTACAGGCATAGTGTTGTTGGCTTATAGCCTTGAATGTGCATTTAACGTTGTTGCTGGTTTTCAGTTTTCGGTTTTTGGCGCGCGCTGGGGAAAAATAAAAACTGGTTGAAGCCCGGGTTGGCCAAGTTTTCCCAAACCTCCCAAAAAACGCACATTTGATAGACAAGTGAAATGGGTAGCCAAAGAGAGCGAGAAATTCTCTAGTATCTTGCGGTGTAAATTTGCACACGACTTACGGTAAGTTTCTAATTACTTTCTTAGTAATTTAAATACATAGAAATTTTCGGAGATTTTGTAACGAAGCAGAACGGCAGTGTGAAATGTTATAGAATAATGTTAGTTGACCACATTTGCCTTGGCCAATTTATAGGCCTGATCTGATTATCTCCGACTGAAACATTTTTATTTTAGAGCTGGCACTCTTTGGACATCTAAGTACTTCATCATAATCAGTCATTTATTAATTAATGGCAATGAAGGGAACGCCGTGCCGGCTACTTGTTCCTTTAGGAAATACGTGGGATTATCATATCACACATCATTCAAACTGATCGTGTCAGATGAAATGAGTCGCCAAGGGGTTCGCCAATCCTTATCAAATTGGCAAGTGACATAAGTTATTTTTAATGTTTTTTGAATAGATTACTTACAATCAATGATGTTGGACTTGTACCCAGAGATAAGCGCAAATGGGTTAAGTAATATTAAATGCATGTATTTGACATTGTCAACTGGAACATTCTTTCGAATCGGGTTCAGCAAGTCAATTGCCATTAACTGCAGCGGCCTTTCATTTAATTAAGGGGTAATTACAACTCCCCCAATCACTGGCACTCGAACAATTGCCGTCATTAGGCAGAGTTTTATCTTTACGATTCAGTCCCTTTGATTTTCTCCCACTCGAAAATGATCAAAGTTCAAAACGCAGCGGAGATTGCCTAATGCAAACTGCTCTGATCAGAATCATTAGATTACAATTTGGATATAGTAAGTATTTTAGAAAGGAATTTAGTATGGAATTGTTAAGAAACCAATACCATGTGGAATTTATTTTCATAAAAGTTTGGTTTAAGGAAATTGGACTGTACATACTCCATAACTGCTGACCCAGCGATAAGACCCATTTCGTGAAATCACAAAAATTCGTTCTAAATTCGCTTTATGGCCTTTGATTGATAGGCAGGCGGTGCTTTTCTGAACAAAGCTGTGATTGATTGGCTCTTTGGCTGATTTTGAATGGGATTATGCATAGCTTACACCGGGCAAAGGGAAAGGCAGAAACACTCGAGAAACATAAAGTCGAGTCAAATGAAAAGTACAGCGCACAAATTGCGCAAAATGCCAAAGAACGCCGCAGTAAAAACTCCAATAAGAGTGCAACAACAAGAACCGCATGACCAGCTGCAGTGCAGACATCTAATTGGAAAAAACAACAACAGTGCTGAGATATAAACAAGTCCATGTGCATTTGTGCGCCTGTGTGTTTTGGCGTTCAAGGGGGAATGTAAAAGAATTCAAAAATGGACCAACTGGGTCTTCAATATGAATTGTATATTGCCGCGCAGTTTGAAAGCCACTAGACTAATGCCGCCTATGCTTCACTTTTGTTGCAGGGATCGGCATCTGTTTGCACACACGGACACTTGTGTTTAGAATAGTGGGAGTCCCTTGTGCTTTACATATTTCAATATTCTTAGACTTTTAGAAAACATTGAAAGATCTTAAAACAATTAGATAGTAGGTCTCACAATAATGGAACAACTCACAAACATTATATTTTCTATAATTAAGAAAGCTTATTACATCATCTCTAATACCCGTTTTAATCATTATAAAACCGTTTTTAATAGCCATATAATTTTAAACATTTAATTAGCTTACTAGCGTGATTATCGAGATGGCCGCAACTGTATGGAAATTGGCTGCTGCATTGGGGGCGTTGGCTTTTCCCCTCTTTTGATCACCCCCTCATTTCTCTCGCCTTTGATGACTTGGCCTTGTTGATAGTCGTTGGCCTCTTGGCTGACCCGTTAAGTGTAATTGAATTTAAGCGGCAATTGTCTTGCGAATGCATTTATGGCACTTTGCAAATCACAGTGCGGTGCAGTGACTCTCAAACTTCCGAGCTTAACGGTGCCGCAGAATTGTTAATGAGCGAGCGAGACTCTGGGTTGTCAGAGAGAGACGGCCAATACCCAGGCGGAATGCGGTTTAAAAATAAACCAAGCCCAGAGCAAGACAGTAACTCAGGAGAGGGGGTGGGAGAGGTGTGCGAGTGGGACAGGCGAAGCCAAAACGTGCTTTGGCTTAGACCCTATTTAGCCTAGTTTACGACGACTGGTCAGTACAGCCCAGAAAAAAAAGAGAGCCTGGTTTAGAGACACCTGTGCCCAGGGAGAGTGGGTCGAAAGGGGAGGGAAAGGGGGAGGGCATCCCCATACCCCTCGTTATGCTAATTCCAGCAGAACTACGGGCCAACCTCCGTAACTGTAACCATCTTCCACTTCACTATTACTACTATTGTTAGCAAAACGATTATGTATGTACTTTATGATTATATTTTATGTAGGTATTGAAATAGTTTTTATTCCGGTATTTTTGTTTTGTTCTTCGTCTAGACACTTCTTTCATGACTCTCTTAGGCGGACTGGACTGTACGACTGTATATGACAGGTTGGCAATTTTTACGACCTGTTCGCACGCAACTTGGCCACAATGGATTGGAAGTAGATGGAAGATCGGGAATGCCCTTTACCGTTTACAGTTTGGGAACCCTAGCGATATTATGCAACACCTTGTGCCCGGTTTATTGGCTTATAAAGTGGAGCATCGGACCGTAAAACATCCCATATTTTTTTAACGATCTTCTCTGCACACACTCCAATTCAAGTCCGGTTTTTTCATTTCTTTTTTTTTTTTGCTTACCTTTGACAGCCTCGTAGTATCCCAAATCCAGCGTGAATGATTTACGTTAATCCTGGCGCACGAAAAACTATGTGTTCTCCAGATTTCTGGATGCTTTTGCTTCTTCTTCTTGTTTAGCTGCTGCAATTAACATAAATTTCCGTATTTATTTGTTTTTCGCCGACTGTTTTCACTACGATCTTTCTCCTCCTTTCGCCCTCTTCCCACTTTTCTTATTCACACACACACTTGAGAATCGAAAGATGCAGACGAAGATGGTAACAAAAAACAGGGAACGCGAACAGGAGGGAGAGAGGGAATGGAGGAGGAGGATGGTGGGGAGCAGGGGGAAAAACCGGAAAGTTGTTTTTGTTGTCTCGACCATAAGCGGCGTTCTTTGCCTACAAAAAACAAGCCGAAAGAGTTAAACCCATGAAATCTTGACGTTTTTCGTCGCTTTTCGGGATTCTGTTTTAATTTATGCCAGAGATTTTGTCACTTGTTGCTGCCATTCGACCTTAATAACAAATTCCAATGCACACCAGTTGCTTTCACACGCAAAAACCAGCTTTGTGGGTTTTTTTTCCCCGTTTTTGGGGCAGTAATTAGAAATAGCCGCGTTTTGAACACCGGCGCAACAATGGGGTTTTCTAATTAGCACAAAACAACAAACACAGCGAGAAGAGCGGCTCCAGAGAAAAGAGAAAATGATTACGTTTTGCTAAAGGCCCGCTCGTTGATTCTTTTTGCACGGCGTTGTTTTTGAGTAAGCGGGATCCAGCGTACGGTGCGCGTCTTGTCTTGTCGATCGAAAAACTGAAACTGGCCCCAAACCTGGTACGCGAAACGCGAAAGAGGCTTCATGCTACCCCATGGAAGAATATAAGATTCACTGGTAGAATATAAGAGTACTCTCTTCGGCTGCCGAATCGTTCGGGCGGCTCTCTCGGGCTCGGCTCACGGTTCGACCGTTGTGTTCTGTTTACCCATTTGGAAAAACGTTGCAGTGTAAAGTATCTGTTAACCAGTTCAAAAAAAGCGCCCGAAAAAGACTACCAAATCGTTTGGGATCAGATCCGCCGCATAAGGGACAAACAACATACACCCTTTCACTCGTGTGTTGTTTAACAGAAATTGGCTAACAGAAGTTCTTTGCAGAAATACCTAGCGAATGCACCCACCTAACCTAGCAAGTACACCCTCCTTACATATCGAATGCAGCCTACCGTTTTCCCACCTCTAACTTTTAGCGGGAAATTCAAATCAAAATTTTGAAGCTTATTTAAAACATTAAAAACCATAAGGCTAAATGCTATGGAAAACTAAAAAATATTTGAAATTTTATAAATGAGTGAATACTCATGACATATTCTGAAATATAGAATACATTATGGAAACACAGCTGAGACCTATCATATAATGCGTATATTGTTAATGCTCTTGCAAGCAATTTGCCTTAAAAGGTTTCATTGTGCCTTGGGCATTTGTGAATTGTATTTATCATCTGTTGATGCATTTCACCACGATGCCGACGCTGGCAGCGAAATCGGCCGAGCCAGACCTATATAAGATCACCGGGATCTCAAAATCGGTATAAATCCCATTTGGTTAGATCCGAAAAACTCAACCGAAAAAGATGCAAGTCAAAATCCTGTTTACTTTCTTCGCTGTCCTGATGCTTGTCGTCCTGGGAGCCAAGGAAGCCGAGGCGGATTGCCTATCCGGGCGATATGGAGGTCCGTGTGCCGTCTGGGACAACGACACCTGTCGCCGAGTTTGCAGGGAGGAAGGACGATCCGGAGGACACTGCAGTCCCAGCTTGAAGTGCTGGTGCGAGGGATGCTAGAGCAACACTTCAATCTGCCTGAGCCCCGAAATCGGCAAACTGCTGCTTTACAGAATTTTTGAAAATAAACAAAAACACTTTGCTGCAGCCAAATCTTTCCTGACTCTTTTCTGGGTACATTCCAAATAACTAGATTTAAAATTATTTTTTTAATTTGGTCACCGAAGAGCTTAACTTATTGCATCTTGCCAATTTATTCTATTCAACGGGGTTCCTGTCTGTTTAAAGCACGAAAAAGATATTCACAAGCAGAAAGGACGAACTGGTGTAGAGAATGCTCAATCAGGATAAGCCGATTATTGCTTTAAGAAATCTGCTAGATTAAAATTAATAACTTCAAATAATTCAACACACCAGGTGTCATGAGAACTGGTTTCTTTTCGTGTTTATTTTAAGTTTAATTGGAATTACATCGTACTAAAAAACATTAAAGAAATAAATTCATTTATAAATATGTTGATTGTTAAGATAAGTGCTTATTTAAATAATGCGGAAAAGGTTGATAACCCGTATTTTTGTTTACCAATTTTGTGCATAAATTTGGGTAATATTTGTTTTGTGTTCATTCAAGTGGATTGCACACACTGAATTATTCTAGATGTTTTGATTTTATATTGAGTTTTAAAGAGTTCCTTTGTGTTTAGTCTCCAGATTTCACAAGATAAAATACGATTGTTCGGAGAAGAGGTAAACAAAGCATGCGGTTTGATCAGCAGTTAAGGCCGATCGCAGCTGCAGCCCGAGTAAAAAATATTCGTAAACATCAGGAATTATTTTTAAAACTGAGATGGTATTCATTTATGTGAAACGGCTTATCTTTGTTGGGTTTTTAACTACCAGGAAGAAAACTTAACCAGAATCGAAACCGAAAATTGAATTTTACCGCCATGTTGGCGACGTTGCCAGATTTTTCTTCCTTTGTTTGCGGATCTCCACAGTAAAGTCGGTAAGCTTGGTCACATTAACGAACCAACATCCAAAATATAAACATGCCGAGTTTTTTTGTTTTCGTGGGGTTTTTCTTAACCCTAAGTTGCCGGTTTAACCTGTTGCTGGCGAAGAACAAGACCTGTGATAAGCTGGTGGCCGAACTAGCCGACGGTCAGAGCAAGCTCATCTACTGCGCCACCACGCACTCGGTGCCTGTGAATCTGTGCGTCGGATGCAAGAATTTATACCAAAGCATGAGCCAGGAGTATGGATACCTCTTAGCCGATGTCAACTGCTCCAAGCGGTACCTCAACTCGGACCGGATCAACATTGTGGCCACCACCCAGGGTATCCTGACCAGCCTGTGGCAGAAGGCGAACTGCGACAGTAAGTGTCAGGCACTCCTAGTCTTCCGAAATGAGTCACTCCCCTTTTCCGTTTTCCAGATTGCTTCACGAACGACTATTGGCCCGAATTCGATAAGTTTTCCACCGATTTGGAGTCCTGCTTGAAAAGCTATAATTCTGATGATGTTTGCAGTGCCTGTAAGCCCTCTTATCTTGCGATGAACCAGTTCTATCTTAATATGGAATCGAAAGTGGGTGGCAAAGTGTGCTTCGATCTGCAAGACAATGTATGTCAAACTGTGGTCCAAATACATTTTAGGTTCCATTTGTGTTTCACAGTCGTTTAACCCTCTTCCGACTTCCAGATGAACCGCACCCGTTTGAACTGGTCCAAGACACTGAACTGTTGTCAGCGCGAGGTGAAGCTAACCAACTTCCTCATCGCTGTGGGAGTGGTGGTCCTGCTGCCTATTTTAACTTTCTACATCACGGCAATCGTGGTGACCAAGCGGAGGGAAGGAAACCACGGCTTGCTCAACGAACAGGGTAGGGAAATCTCAGGCTTTTAGGTGGCATTTTGTAATTGAGTCCCTTTTAGAACCAGAGCTCGATGCTCCCTCCACTTCGGCACTTATCACGGCCGCCGTGCTGTCCACTCGAACCGAAGAACCTGTTGTAGTGTCGGCCCGATCGGAGAAAATAGCCAATGTGTTGAGCGGAGCTGGAGCTCACATATCGGATGATTCTGACCATGATGAGCCTGCCGTAATACAAAAATCAAAAGGCAAAGCTGTTCCCGAATCTCAACAGGACTCCTCCAGCGATGAAGGACTCGCCGAATCACCAAAGGTATTGAGTAAAACTCATAATATCTTGGAGTCCGACTACTCCAGTGATGATGAACCTCTCGTTAAACCCAAAACGGCGTAAAAAAGCCAGGCAGAGCGTTTTCTAAGGCTAAAAAACAAAGTTTTACGTAAGCATTTTAAAAAACTTATCACTAAGGCCGAACCAAACTGGCAACTATTCATGTGGCGGTTTATGGTATCCAGCTGCCTTAAAAATGGGCTTGTGCCCAACCTACTACTCCTCAATAGTGGTTATCGCATATATTATATGTTTCTCTCTAACAAAAGTATAGCCATTACCAGATGTGATATCACAATAAAACACCAAACCTTTATATATTTATAACTGGCACTGCGAGTGAATGGGATGGTTAGTTTTAGAATATCAAAAGTGTGGAACAGTTGTGATTAGCATTTTGGATGCACTTTATTGTTGGCAAGTAAACCGCACTAAGCCTAGTTGCTTAAACCGAAGTAATGAGAAGATCAGGGTCGCGTCGTAATGGAAAGGGCCCTTCCACCGGATTGGGTGCTAGCCTAGCATCTAGCCTAAAACTAAATAACAATTAGCAGAGGAAATGCATTGTCCGTGTTCGTTCGCGGTTCGATCTCGCACTAGGATCAGGTTCGCCCAATCCTAGGTTACCCGTACGGGGCGTAGAGGTTGCCGTGCGTGGACGAGGTCTGGAAGTGGACCAAACTCCCGTGGGTCTGGGCGGCCGGCTGGTAGTAGGCCTGGTGGTAGTGCGACGGGGGGAGCCGGCTCGTTCACCTGGATCTGGTGGTAGTTGGTGAAGGGCTCGTGCTCGACCACCTCGCGCACCGTTTGGAACGGGTGGTTGACCACGATGCGCCGCTTGTGGAAGGTCTCGCTGGTGGCTGCCGCATCCGTGGGCGCGGGGGTGGCGGCGATCACGCGCTCGTTGGGCTTCAGGTGGCCGGCGGCCCCGTTGAGGGACACATCCACGTCCGGCTGGGCCTTCGACTGCGATGGCGTGGCCTGGGTGGCGGAGACGGACCCCTCGGACACCTTGGGCGCCTCCACCAGGCGCTGGGACTTGTGCTCCCGGAGCTCGGATCTCTGCTGTCCCCTGTCGCAGTCCGGAGCAATGGTGGTGGCCACCACAGCCGACTTATCCTGGTCGTTGGCTATCTGGATCTGGATGTGGGTGTTCTGCTGCTGCTTCTGCTGCTTCTCCTCCTTGGGCTCCTCCTCCTGCCGCTTGGGCGCCTCCACCAGCCGGGATGACTGGCCCTCCGGACTGAACCTCATCTGGGAGTAGGGCGCGCTGTAGTCCAGCTCCTCGGCCACCCGCTGCCTGGAGGGCTGGCTGTAGTAGGCGCGGGGAGCCTGGGACTTGGCGTACACCACTGTGGGGCCGGCGTGGCTCCGCAGGTAGGGCTTGATCTCGGTCACCTGGGCGGGCACCTCCTGGAGGCGGCGCTCCTTCAGAGGCGTCTGGCGACTGCGGCCCAGGTAGATGTTGTGCTGCGAGGGCGGCAGGTGGATCTTGTGCTCGTGCTTGATGATCTGCGTGGGCCGCTCCAGCTCCTCCTTCTCGCCGGCCAGCTCCAGTCGCGCCGGCTTGGCCTCCACACTGCCGGCACTCACGTTGGGCAGGTACTCGCCGGAGAAGTAGTCGTCGTCCTCGTTGTACGGCTGCCGGCCGAAGCTCTGCTGGTTCCTCTGCTGGTAGACCCGCTGGCCGGACCGCGAGTAGTCCTGCTCCGGCTCCGCCCGCTGGATCATGCCGGGCGAGAGGTGCTTCGAGTTGATCTTGATGGCGTTCCCTTTGGAGTCCACCGCCGATATGAAGGAGCCCTTGCCCCCGTCGGTGACGTCTCCCAGGGGCTGTGGCTGCTGCAGGCGGGACTCCACGAACTCGTCCTTGGGGGCCTGGTCGTAGGAGGGCATCGTGGTCACGCTGGAGCCGATGGTCGTGGTCTGCTGCTCCTTGCCAGCCGGAGCTGCGTCATAGGAAGGTCTATACTCCGGCCCGTTGGCGAACGTCTGGGCTTGGATCTGACCATTGTTGTTGTTGTTGCTGTAGGCGGAGGCCACCGCGGGATGGGGATGGCCCAGGGGCAGGAGGGTCTCCCCCTTGGGAATCTTGGCCACCGGGTGCTCCAGCTCGACCACCAGCGTGCCAGCGGGCTTGATCACCACCCGCTCCTCGATGTCGTAGAACTCCTTCTGGATCGCCGGGTGGCGCACCTCGTACTTCTTGGCCTTCAGGGCGGGCTGCACTATCTGGATGGTCTTGGTGACCAGGGGACGTTGCGGGGGAGAGTATCCTCGCGGGGCAGCGGGAGGCAGGTAGCCCGATCCCCCCTGGTATCCCGATCCCGCCGGATCGGCGTAGTCCTCGTAGCCCGGGCCATCGTCCACCTCCGGGGGATACTGGTCCTGGTAGTCCACCTCCTGGGCGTCCTCATAGCTGAAGCCGTTGGGATCGTACGAGGGACGGTTGTAGCTGGTGGCCGGATTGAAGCCCGACGCGGAATCGTAGCCCGAGGAGGGGTCGGCGGGCAGGGACGGAGCTGCGGGAGCAGGAGCACTCGACGAGGAGGAGCTGCTGCCTCCCGACGAAGACGAACTGGAGCTCACCGCCGGCGCAATGCTTGCCGTCTGGATGGGAGCCTGAGGTGGCTCGTAGATGGGCTTGCTGTCCTGCGCCGCCTCCACATTGGCACTCTGCACCTGCTGCACCTGACTGGAAACAGGAGCCGCCACCTGGCGCTCGAACATCCTCAGCTGCTGGGAGCGATGACTGTCGATGTGGACCAGTTTCTGGGGAGCACCGTCATCCGAGGAGGCACTTACTCCCGAGCTGGATTGCGTGTAGCGCTGGGGAGTGGGATTCGATGACTCGTACACCTGTAAATCAATGGGGATTAAAATATATTTTATTTTTACTAGTTACTTTATCGGACTAAAAAAGGATTATATTTTTTATATTATAGGATGCATCCTGAATGAAAAAAAAATTTTATAAATATTATAATAAATAATATTGAAATGATGTAATTGTATATTGCTTGTATATTCCTATCCAAGCGAATACTAATTCCATATTTCAGATGGCTATATTAAAAAACCTTTTTTTTAATGAAAACTTAGTTCATTTTATAAACTTTTAAAATGAGTTAATTTTGATAGCTTCACTCACCGTTTCCACGGTGGGTCCGTGGCTGTGGTACGACTGGATGTAGCGCTCGAACTCCTGGTTCTGGCGGAGCTGCTGGTTCCTCTGCCGGAACTGTCCGCTGTGGGCCATCGGAGGCTGTTGGTGGACAGAGGGGCGTCGGTTGTGGTTCCTGCGGCGGGGCAGACGGCCGTTCTTGGACATGGGTGGCTGGCTCTGAGGCGGGGGCTGCAGTCCCAATCCCTGGCGGGGAGTCAGCTGCTGGGGCACCTGTTGCTGCTGGGCTTGCATCCCGATCTGCTGTTGCTGCTGCTGCTGCTGCTGGGCTTGGGTCTGCACCTGCTGCTGCCGCTCCTGGATGCGCTGGAACTGCTGATCCCCGTCCTTTTGCGGACCTGCCCTCAGCTCCGCCGGCGCACTGCCCTCCAGGTACTTCACGTCCGCCGGATTCGTGGCCGGCTGCTGGGCAATCGAGATGTTGACATGGGTGGCCGCCTCCACTTGGCTCCCGGCCACCAGCAGGAGCACCAGCAGTCCTCGGAGCATCCTGATCCTGTCCGAAGTATCCCAAGTATCCGAAGTGCGATATCCAAAGTCCAAGTCCTACTCGGAAAAGTCGAATCACTGCTGACCACCTCAAAAGCCGACCAAAGCTGTCTGATCGATCGTGGAGTGTGCTCCGCATATTTATACGGATTTCAGGTGGATCGCAATTGGAATTGGGGGAGCGATCGCAATCGCGATCAGTGTCAAAGTCAACTGCAGTAAGTCGGCTAGTCAGGGGGAATAGCAATAGCCACAATAGCTACTAGCTGCCCCGCTGACCTGGCCAAACTGTTTAGGGATGAGTCTCAGATGCTTAACCCAGTTCTACAATTAAAGGCATTCGTCGACCTGCCGATGGAGCGATCGCGCTTGATCGATGATGCATTCAACAAATTGCTGTCATCGCTTCACACTTGTGTGGCACGCACCAACACTGAGGAAAATCAGCCTGGATTCGAGATTAATTCTAGAATCCTTTTTATTTTAACTAAAAGGTAATAGGTTCTATACTATGGCCACAGAAGTAGCTTTGCAAATTCTTAATTTCTTAACAAAATTGTAAGAAAAGTGCACTAAATATACATAAGTGCTTAAATACGTAGAGATCCAAAAAGAACCTCAATTGAAATTCAGATCACAGATAATAGTTTTTCTCCGCCTGATCGCGACTCCGAATTTCGATGGCATCCGTAAATGGGCGGTGCAGCATTTTCATGTAATTGTCGGAAGGTCAGAATCGCGGCTCCGTTGGCAACTAGTTTGAACTTGAAATCCGAGCCGAGACGTTGAACTGCTCCGATCGCGGAGCAGGAGAAGCTACTCGAGATCGGCCCCCAATGGGCTGAATCAAATCGAATTTGGGGGGTGCTGGTCAGGCAGATTTGCGCAATCGAAGTTTGGCGAATACGACCACTCCAATTCGGAAAGAAGGTAAAGGTTAATGTGAAGTGCTTTGTTTTTCTGCAAACAGATTTACCACAAATAAATTCAAAGTTAGATGTGCAGAAAATATTAAGCAGGAAATTGGTCGCGATAAAGAAAGTTCGGTGAAACATAAACAAATTGAAAGAGACAGCTCCAAAGGATAACTGGTTTCATCCATTTTGTATGGTTGTAACCAGATATGGAGTGTAAAAATAGAATATATCACTAATTGATCAAGGTTTATTTGTTTTGGGAAATAAATTAATTAAAATCAGGGGTCAAAATAAACCAACAATAAACTGAAAAAACGATAGATAGTAATTGATTAACCAGTTAGCACTCCTGTAGGACATACTACAGTTTAAAATAATCCAGAAGTTTTGAGCTTTCCTTTCTCTACTGAATATTGACACAATTTATAATATAAAATCACAAAACAAAACAGTACCGGACAGTACAAAGCAACATCAACCAAACTCGTGCTAGAAGTTCGTGAAGCCTTAATGAAGCTGAAACTGCGATGCGCTGGCAGCAAGTCTTCGATCAAATGAACACCATCAAATCCGCGAAGATGCAGCTCGGCCAGACTGCAGTCTCCGTGGTCTACACCATTGCGGGCTTGGCCAAGCACATTCACCGGAGCTGCCTTATCGTGGTAAGTCATTCCGATTCCCCTTCGACTGCATAATACGTGCCCTGCGTCGCCAAAGACCGATGGGATTGTGTGGTAACCACAAATGGCGTTTATTATGTGTGTGGGTGGGAATCAAAAACCAGTAAGAGAGTATACAATATATATAACATGCGGTGCATGGGGCCAGCCACAAGACTGTCTGGTGGCCAGGCGGCTACAAGCTAAAGCTACGCGAAAAACACAGTCCATAAGACTCCATAAGAATCCTGTCCTCGGGGGAGACCTACAGGAGCTTCTCGATGTCCTTGGATATGTCCAAGGGGTCGGTGGTCGGGGCGTATCGGTTGACGGGGATGCCCTCCTTGTTGACCAAGAACTTGGTGAAGTTCCACTTGATTCCACTGCCCAGGGTTCCGGTCTGCTTGGCCTTCAGGTACTTGTACAGGGGTGCAGCGTTATCGCCGTTCACATCAACCTGAGAGAGGGGATAATGATTAACTTGTCTGCTACACTGTCAACTGCGTGGCATTACCTTGGCGAAGACCTCGCCAATGTCAGCCTTGGAATCGCGCAGATGGCACACCATGGCCTCGCCATCGGCCTCCGGCATCTGGGATCCGAACTGGTTGCACGGGAAGTTCAGGATCACCAAGCCCTTCTCGCCGTACTTCACCTTCAGGTCAGTCAGCTTCTCGTAGTTGTTCTTGGTCAGGCCGCACTTGGAGGCGATGTTCACCACCAGGACCACCTTGCCCTTGTACTTGTCCAGCGAGACATCGTTGCCGTGGGTGTCCTTCACCGTGAACTCGTAGATCGAGGCGGCGTTCTTGTAATCTCCGTTAGCAGACATGTCGATCTGGAAAAGAGGGAAAGCGGGGGGTTAGCAATGGCTGAATACATGTGGACGAGAAAGGAATGGGTCGATTTGTTCTTTTCAAAAAGAAAACCAGAGGAGGATAATCTATGTTTAGTTGCTTTGGTTATACTAAAGTGGTTTGAAAGACTTAAGAATCTTAATAGTTTTCAACTGAAACTATCCATCTTGTCTTTATCACAATGAGGAAGTGTCCAGCACACAATTGAAACAAACCAAAGATAAGATTATATTATCAAATATGTTAACAATACTGGAGTCAACAAAATTTGTATTGTGCTCTCCTTCAAAGTCGACCCATTCCACAAATAATATAGTAAGCAAAGAAACACAAAACAGAGAACACAGGCAGAGGCAAAGGCTACAGAGTTTAGTTCGGCGTAGAGACAAGCAACTAGGTTAGTCAACGGATTAAGAACTAGTCAACTGATCAGCACTACTCACGGCGGCAGCTGTGGAGTACTGGGCGGCTGAGGATGCGGAAGTGGCCGCACAGCTGACGGGAAGCAGAACAGTGCAGAGGCGCAGGCTCTGCCTCTTACCCTGAGTTAAGTCGAGGGCGGGGCCAAGGGTCCGCCTCATTGAAAAGCACCTGAGCGCCTGGCGGGAAACGGTTTGAAACTGCCTGAGACTCATACTTCAATCGCTGCAAATAACCAGGCAGAATTGAAATTAAGAAACGCGCAAAAGACTTTTTGGTTTACTGACAATAGGTGTGTGGAAACACTTGGACAGTGTTGAAATTTGGAATAAATTAAACTAAGGCATGTAAACCAAGAAATTGTTAGTAAAAGCGGTAAAATGAAGAACAAAACGAAAACTAGTGTTGAACGATTTTTAGTTTGTTAACAATGCACTGTTATTCGATTAACAGATGGACATTCAGGTTTATCAGGCTAAATGTCTACGAAGTTCAGATAAGTGGTGAAAGGTCCGCCGGAATTTTTGGTATTTATGGCGGTTATCTTTCCTTCCGACCAATAGTCATAGTGACTATTCAATGAAAAGCCATTAAGTGTCTTGAAATTATCTTGTTTTTGTGAATGACGTTGGTTGCACTAATAAAAGTTGAACTGATTGTTGTTTCCTGTATCGTTAAAGATTACTTTTGATCGATTAACAGATGGACATTCAACTTTATTAGGTTTATTGATTACGAAGTTCGGATTAGTGGTGAAAGGTCCGTCGGAATGTTTGGTATTTATGGCGGTTATCTTTCCTTCCGACCGACCAATAGTCAGGGTGACTATTCATAATTCATCAGGGTCAAAGTCGAGGACAACGCGTCTGTACCACCGATGAGTCACGCGATTACACCCATTGGTCAGGATTGGGGCCCGCACTTCGCCCTTTAATCTGATCAGGATTGACCCACGTCAGTCGGCGCCCTTATAACTGCCGCCCACTTTGCATGCAAGCCATTGTTTTCGAGTTGATTTGTCAGCAATTTGAAGGATAGTTAGTGTTCTGGGTAATTACTTGCATGGTGAAGTAGATGTACGAGCCCAAGGCGATTGCCACAGACCCGAAAAAAAAGTGCGCGATGGAGCGGCCGGCCATTGTTCTGTTATACTATATCTTGAATATATCTTTGATTTCACCACTGTCTGTACTGATTTTCGGATGCAGGGATACAAATATAGATCGACTGATTTTGCAGAATCACGCTGATATGTGCGAAAATCGGGTGCAAAGTACAGAATCAATTGTTTTCCCTTTCGTCCGACAGCTGTGCTGACTGGCTTTATCTCCTGCTAAACACCTGTCAGTAGCTGATATTATTGTTTGGGCTTACTTATGTCGTAATGTGAATGACTAATGGCACTTGGCACTTTACTTTCTTTCTTTCTGTTAAAAACTGAAACCGGCGGCTGGGTAACCCTGCTTTATATGTTTTCTTTAAAGCTAGGGATGTCGAAAATATATCGAAATAATTTTGTCGAATTATCGCATATCGATACTATTTTAAAATTATATTTTGGTTTTTTTTCTGGCCCCGATGTTTTTGATGTTATTGGTATTTTTTCAAGCGCCAAATTCAAACAGTCGTTTATTAAATAAAATACATCGCCGGAAGCTTTTCCCTAAAATATCTGCTGCCGTTGGTTATATGTTCTTTTTAAATTAAACTCTTGGCGTTATTAAAAACGTATTATTGAGCGCTCAGTACCAGAACTAAAACTTTTTGTAAAGGTGTTTTAAAAATCTTTATATTTATTAAATTGAATAAATACAAAAATGTAAGTAATGTTAGTTCAAAAACCTTATTCCAACCAGTATAAAAACTTATTAAGACGAAAAGTTCTTTGTTTTTCCTGTCAACTCGACTGTTATCGATTTTTTTGTTGTCCATCTCTAGTGTGTGTGTTTTTTTTTGTGCGAGTGAGAAACAATTGTAGACTTTTTTGTAGAAATTATCAAGTGAAATGCAGTGCGAAAAAAGAATGTCCTTTTGTTAGAGAAAACGCTAAAAAGACAGTGAGAGTGAGCCAGAGCAGCCAAGCCCAGTAAGGCGCACCGCCCCGCCGCAGGATACACATACACAGACGGCACGCAGCCACCCACACGCACACAAACAAGAGAGATCCCAGTTGCGGTGAAAAGGAGCCTCAGATATGATGCTCTCATCCATAAACAATTCCTTCGAGCAGGACACCCACGATGCGGACGCCAACTGCGACGGTCCCGACCTGGACTTCGTTTACGCAGATGTGGACGGATACCAGAACGAGATTGCGGAGCTTTACAGCTACACGGAGTTCAGCGAGTTCCAGATGAACGTGAAAGCTTTCGAGGACCAGATGGAGCTGTACGACCTACCGCCCAACTGGCAGAAGCAGGACTCGGCCTCCCAACGGGGCATCGTTATGAAGCTGGTGGACCAGCTGGAGGTCTCTGACCGTTCCTTTCGGATGCAGGCCGCCCGATGTATCCTATACTTGGCCCAGGGATGTTGGGCGGAGGTCCAGTCGGACGAGGAGCAGCACCAGATCACCAGGGACAATGTGCTAGTGCTGCACCAACTCGGGGTCTTCGCCTCCTTCATCGACCTGCTCAACATGGAGATAGAGAGCGCCTGCTCCCCGGACATAGTGGCTGTCAAGATCACTAACGTCACGCTGGTGGACTCCACGGACATCCGGGTGATCCTTTCCGTGCTTTACATAATCACAGAGACCATTCGGGACGAGAGAGAGCGGGGCAGCGAAGACTACAAAGAGCTGGCCGAGTCCTTTGTCCAGGAGATCAACTCGCCACTGCCAGACGGCGAATTGCTGGCCGTCAAGCTGCTGGGCATGATCACGAGGTTCTGCAGTGGCGCAGCCCCGCAGTTCCCCATGAAGAAAGTCGTCCTGCTGCTCTGGAAGGTCTCCTTGCTCGGCCTGGGTGGAATGGACGTGCTCAAGAATCTCAAGAACGAGTACCGGATGAAGGTGGGTCTAGAGCCCATCATCGAGGACACGCTGGAGGTCACTAAGTGCATGAGGGCCAGCTCACCTCCTGCGACGGCCACCGATATCCTGGAAAACCAGTACCCCAAGAGGAACTTCAAGTGAGAGTGATGTGAAAGTCGCTGGTACAACCCTTTCAACATTTATCTTTTTCTCTTTGACAGACGCTCCCTGATGAAGCAGCGCTTCCTGGACGAACCGGAGCAGATCGACATGGAGATGGGTGGCAACGAGGGTCAGGGCAACGCGAACAACGGCAGTGGCAACGGTGGGAACGGCGAGGAGGAGCTCTCGCAGTACTACCGACCCTACGACGACCCGTCCTCGTCCGCCTCCACCACCTCGACGGCCAATCCCAACAACCAGCCCAGCTTGACGCAGCCTCCGGCAGCCGTACCACCGGTGCAAATTACCGCTCGCCTTCCCTGGACGCCCAAGGTGCGGCAGAAGGACATCGACCAGTTCCTGGATATTTCGCGGAACAAGTTCATCGGATACTCGCTGATCGGAGACCACGAGAGTCTGGCCGGGCTGCCAGAGCCCATCCACGAGGGCTTCAAGACGCTGCAGCGGCACATGTACATGAGCCTGGCCGACGTGCAGATTAAGAAGGAGGAGGACATCGCCAGGAACCCCATCTCTACGCACGAGGACGAGATCAAGTTGACACCGGCAGAAGTTTTGTACCAGGCAATTCTGCCCAACCTTCCGCAGTACATGATCGCCCTGCTCAAGGTTCTGCTGGCCGCCTCGCCCACCTCCAAGTCCAAGACGGAGAGCATCAACATAATGGCTGACGTGCTGCCTAAAAAAATGCCCCTGACGACTACGCAGTCTTCGAAGCTAACAGTCGACATGGGTCGTCATAAGGAGATCATTGTGAAGGCCGTCTCGGCCATTATCCTTCTGTATCTGAAGCACTTCAAGATCAACCACGTTTACCAGTTCGAGTTCATGTCCCAGCACCTGGTCTTCGCCAACTGCATCCCACTGGTGCTGAAGTTCTTCAATCAGACGATCACCGAGTATGTGAACACCAAGAACTCTATTCCACTGCTCGACTTTCCGTCGTGTGTCATTGGCGAACAGCCGGATCTGAGCGGAGACAGCTTTGTGTACGGCGGGGAAATGTCCGACAAGCCCTACTCCTGGCGAAACGTGTTTTCCTGCATCAACCTGCTGCGCATCCTCAACAAGCTGATCAAGTGGAAGCATTCGCGCGTCATGATGCTGGTCGTGTTCAAGTCGGCGCCAATCCTGAAGAAGACGCTGAAGGTGCGTCACGCTATGATGCAGCTGTACGTACTGAAGCTGCTCAAGATGCAGACCAAGTACTTGGGCCGCCAGTGGCGCAAGTCGAACATGAAGACCATGAGTGCAATTTACGCCAAGGTGCGGCACCGCCTCAACGACGACTGGGCCTTCGGCAACGACCTGGAGTCGCGTCCCTGGGACTTTCAGGCGGAGGAGTGCACGCTGCGGGCCTGCGTGGATCGGTTCAACCTACGACGCTATCCGGAGGCCACCCAGAAGTGTGGTAACAACGGCACCGCGGCTCAGAACGCGGAAAACGCCCAGCAGTCGAACATGATGGCTGGCAACAACGGATGCGGCAACAACGGGACCGAGGCAAACGGCTATGGAAACAACGGGGGCGGCGGCAACGGCGGCCACAACCAGCAGCAGCAGCAACTCAACGACTACGGCGTAGAGGGAGGCTTCCCCAGCGACGAGATCCTCACGCACTCGGACTTCGCCTTCTTCGGCCACTCGGGCTGGTGGGACCGGAAGGTCGAGCTGACGGACTACTTCAAGGCCAACTACGCGGTGTGGCTGGAGGAGGAGGTGTACAACAGTCAGACCGACTGGGACGCGCTCTAGGACAGAGCAGCCGTGGGTGAGTAGCTGCCTCTTGTATACAATACCCTTTCCGCTCATCTGTTAACTTCCACTTCACACATAGCTGCTTTCTGAGCTCCGCAGCCGGATCAACATACGCATCATATAAGAAAAAAGTTATTACCATAGTTGTATAGCGTAAGAAAATACATTGATATAATCCATGTAGCCCGACCTCAATTGGAACACCAACTACTCACTGAACTGGCAATAATCGGCAAGCCCCGGGCCTCCGCTCCGCTCCTCTTCACTAACTAGCATATGCGACTACCCCATAACGATGACAAGCCTGTATATTTAGTTATTGTATTTTTTAAAAATTTATATTATATATTTATTATTTGTCCTGTTCCACGAGTCCTTTTTACGGATCGCGGCGATTGGCTTCTGTAGCGGAATAAACAAATTAACTAGTTCGAAAACGATGGCCGTTCGGTTTGCGGTTAAATGTCTGTTTATTCGTATGTGTGTTTTGTTTCGCACAAGAAAAATAGAATTCTATTAGGTCATAGTCTTACAGCTAGGTTTAAATTTGGTATTTATACACTACGGTATTTACAAGGTGCATATGCATATATGAATATCCATTATATAGTACAATAACGTTCGACTCCATAAAAACGCCCCACACCAAATACCTCGTTGGGGTTTTGCAAAATTCCATGACGTAATAGTAAACAATACAATACAAGTGTATTAGTTAGCACAGCTAAATATGAATTCCTGAACCTAGTTTCTTCATTTCACAATTCTGGTTACAAGAGCGTTCTCCACAACAGAGACCATGTCACCCATAATAATTATCTTAATACGAAATAAAGACTAACTAATGAAAGTTGTATTTTAGGGCGGGTCGATTTGCACATGCGGAACTGAAAACTGTAATTGATTGGGTAGATCTGGCCACAAATTATTTTTTCTACAATACTGCAACTTTATTATGACTTTCCGGTGGTAAGACCATAAGCTCCGCTACTGGCGTTCTCAACCGAATAGGACTAACTGACCGAAAGATCAAATTTGGATGGTGTTTGCACTCGAACTAAAAATCGAACCACCCTAAGATTTGCTTACATATGTATATGCCTTAATGTACAATGGGGATTTTAGCCACGACTCGGGGAGGTAACTCAAACAATTTAGAACTCCTTACTTCCTATTACTATACAATATTCCTTTATTGTACACAACTTATTGCTCCATGGGACAGGCCGTGGGCATCACGTTGTTGTTGCTCGGACCCACGTAGAGCATTCCGAATCGCTTCTGCTGCGGCGGACAGACGACGGGAGCGGGAGCTGGGACCTCGCAGCGCTCCTCGAAGTAGTGCACGATGCGTTGGAGGACGAACTTGAAGATCTTCTCCTTGGCGATCTCGCCGTTCAGGAATGTGATGTCCTTGCAGTCGCGGTACTCGCTGAAGTTCTTCTCGTAATGCGGCCACACGCAGAGCTCGAAGTAGCCGGTCACGTCCGGGGGGTCGTAGGTACGCTTGCTGCGCCGCTCGAAGCACTTCTCGTAGGGCAGATGGAAATGGTACTTGAGGTTGCACAGGGCCAGCAGCTCCGGCTGGTTGAATATCATGAATCCCTCGACCAGGAGGAAGTTGACCTTCTTGTCCCTTAGCTGGGCAGCGATCTGGGCATTGATCCGCATGATGTGCGCCGCTTGCTGCTGCTGCTGCTGCTGGAATTGCTGCTGATGGTGATGCTGCCGGTGGTGGTTTTGATGGTGTCGGGGCTGCTGGGGCGGATACTGGTAAGCCCCGGCTGCGGCCTGCTTGTAATAATTCGCGTTGTAGTGGTACTGCTGCTGGAACTGCAGGGCGTAGTGCTCAAAGTTTGCGTAGGTGACCAGCTGCTCCGGGGGCTCGGGGGCCACATGGCGGCCCTTGATGACGTGCGCTATGTCGTTCAGCATCTTGGGCATGTCCAGCGAGGTGATCAGCTCAAAGTTGATGGCGTTTAGTGCCTCGTTCCGCTGGTGGCGCTTGTCATCCACGGGAAGGAAGTAGTCGTCCTGCGAAATCAGGCGCACCTCGCCGATGGTGTACGGCGAGTGCCACAGCGGGGCCCCGCTGAGGCCCTTGAAGTAGTCGTGCAAGCTGTGGGCCAGCGTTGTCTTGCCCCCGCAGGTGACGCCCGAGATTCCAATGACCAGCCACTGCGGCATGTTGTCCTCGACTGACTATCGCTTCCCTGTTTTCTGATTCAGCGGAATCGTACGTTCGCACCGCGACTGATAACCCGGGATGACCCTTAGTCGCGTTTCACCCGCAGGCTCCAGATGTGATAGAAGGAAAACGCGGCGATGCCGCCGAGGAAGATCACCCCAAACACAGTGGGCACTATAAAAGCGTACTTCAGCGGTGGAAAGAACAGCCGAATGGGATTACCTATGGGATAAAGAAGAGAGATGATTAGTGGAGTCCTATTCATCCATATAATTTGGAGAAACAACCAATTTATGAATATAAAGTCCCTTATTACATTTTGATTATTTCATTATTTTATTGCTAGGTATTTGATGTTTAAAAAAGAGACACAAATAGTTGATTAAAAATTGTCCCTCGGAACTAAAGTGTTTTGCTTTGTAATACTTGCAATGCAGTTGTTTTTGTATGTTCTGTATGTTTAGACCAGTGATTAGTGCAACAAATTAGATTGGTCACGATATGAAATTCAAATAATCGTTTAGATGGCACACGCGTACCTGGTGAACGTTAAAGCTATTACCTAGTCAGGTTGAAAGCGAAAAGTACATAGGTTCAGATACAGTAATCTCCTATATAAAACATAAATGATGAGCGCTAAGCCGGTGTTTACTGTACTCCGCATCACTGTTTGTAGTCCGGTGACCTTGACCCGAGCTTAGAGCGTCTGCTTGAGAGCAACATTCCAGGTAACCCCGGTTTCGGATCGGATGGGTTTCTCACACATACACACAGCGCTATGTGTTATTTATACGAATGTATCGCGACCAATTTACGCCGCGGCGTCACTTTAATTACTGCACAAAAGCGACGCGAGATTATTCAATAAAACTTATAACCGAGAGAAAAACCCCTGACTTCTGCCCGGAAGAGGGAGATTTACCTTCATCGATGAGCATAAACGGGAGGACGGCCACCCAGAAGAAGTAGTAGAAGAACACGGCGATTGCGGATAACAAAATGATTTTCCCGAGTTGCGCATTCGAAGCCATAAATAGCTGATATTCTCGGGAACTCTTGGTTTTCTCGGGCGAAAAAACACGCGACCGGCGACGATTTCTGCGGAAGACTGCTCATAGGGCGTTCTCCCCGGGCGGCTGGCTCCACGGTCCACTGATCCTGGTCTTCCTGGACAAATCCGCAAGTAATCGTAGCTCCCGATTGAATTCCGTGATGGGAATTGTAAACAAAACAAACAAGTGCGTGCTCCAAAAAATGTCGAAATCGCAAAGGTGTTGAGAACGATGTGACCAGGTCGGGACCATAAAATACCAAACATCTAGGGCTACACATCAAAACTTTTAAGTAGGGTAACCACAATTAATTTTTTAATTTTTTTTTTTAATCAAAGCAAATAAAGTTTAAACTTTTACTTGTAGCTCTGGAATATTTAAATCAAATTATAATATCACTGTCTTATACTTGAAAGGCGTAGATTTATTTGTTGTTAATTTTTCAAGCTTTTTTTGACGCAGCACTGGTCACACTTAAGCGTCAGCAAATGTAAACAAACAATTCAACGTTTAATGAAATGATTTAAATATGGTGAAAAAGGGGCAATCAAAACGGCAGCCGTGGGTAAAGAACCTGTACTCCAACCGCGAGTATCCGGACAACTATACGGACGCCAGCTTTCTGAAGGATCTGCGCACGAACCTTCATGTCAGGATATACACAATCCGCGAAGCAGTTGCGGGCATTACGGTGCTCAACAACCAAATATCTTGCATCACCGGCTTTTTGATTCTCTACCAGCTCATGTTAAGCGACCGCGTTTCGCCCACAACGATCCTGGTTCCCAGTTGCGGTGTCACGGGAATCGGGTACCTGTGCTACCGGGGCCAGAGTCTCAGTTGGGCCCTCCTGCGGGAGGATTCCAAGACCCTTGTCACGGTTGTCCTGTTTGGATACCTCTTCTCGCCAATGCTGCACACATTAACCCAGGCTATCAGCACGGACACCATCTACACGATGACCTTCTTTGTCCTGCTTGGGAATCTAGTTTTCGGCCACTACGGACTGGATGTGGCTATGGTCTCAAAGGTATCAATATTATGACCCACATTACCTACATTTTACTGACCTAGTTATTTTTTTAAGGCCATCTCGCTAAATGCAGCGATATTTGGAGCTATTTGTCTGGCTTCCCGTCTGCCCACTTCTTACCACGCCTTTGTTCTCCTCGTCGAGGCAGCCGTTTTCTTTGTGCTGTATCCCATAATGACGGAGGCGAACTGGCATGCTGGATTCATGGTGCCCATCTTTGCCACATGTTGCATAGCTCTGTACTGGATATCCCGGCCAGTACTCTACTTGTACGCATTCACTACCGTATTCATCAATTTTGTCTGTCCCTTCATATTTGTGTGGCAGCAGCAATACAAGTTCAACATCCACGGACCCTGGGACGAGGCTATCGTGGAGGAGAACACCGAGGAGAATCTGGATGAGAACTTATAGCGACAGCTTCGCTTCTCAGAACAGCTGCGGTCACGACCTGGTGGCGGCGATGTCGGGGAGCACTTCACTAGTCACTAACCATTCGCACGGTTTTAAAAAATTTTGTTTTCATTTTTTTAACACAACTGCTTTGCTTATTCAAAGATATTGTTGTTTGTTACCCTTTTATATTGTTATGTCTGATTAGATTGTAAATAAGCCTTTAATAAATTATACCATTTTAACATCGGGTTTCATTACTGGTGTCTTAACATTTTCCTGGAAATAAACGTTTTTAGAATCAAGTCAAAGTTAATTTCAGTATTTACACATACAAGTGATTGATAAGTGGAATTAACTTACTTTGTAAGTGCCAAGAACTGTCTAGGTAATAATATCAAATGAATTAACCCTTTACATGGCAATAACTCCGATTTTCTTCATTTTTTTTTTGTTTAGTAGATAAGTGAAAATAAAAAATACACTTCTTTTTATTTTTTTAATTTTTTTGGTTTTACCTTATTTTTTTATATGTAAAGCTATTTTAATGCATATCTGCAACAAGGCAAAATTGTTGATTTATTCGTATTATAATGCAACAAACACAAAAACTCGAAAATATATAACTAAATATAATTTTTACCTGTTTAAAAATATAAATTAAATCAACTATACATTTTTTTTTTTAATTATTTATATTTGGATGAGAAACTGCACAACCAATTCAGATTTCCACATTCACCAAATTGGCGGGAAAAGTAATCTTCTGTTGAGTATTGGACAGAATCCTGAGTGACTAACACTTGTTATATAAAAAACGAAAGTTCCTGAACTGCATCAAAAAGATTTCAGACAGTTTTGCAATGCCCGTTGAAAAATAATTGAATTTGAACGGTATGATGCAGATATGCATCACCACCATGTAAAGGGTTAATGAATTAAAATGGGTAAACCCCTATACCCCTAGTAGAGCAAATCAACTTGATTTAAGGTTTGGTGCACTTAAAAATAAATTTAATTGAAGCCCGTTTCTCATATGCGGTTAAAACTGGTTTCAAAGATGGCAATTCGTATATAATAGAAATACTTCTAAGAATAGAAAAATTAGTTCACATCGTTACAATTGAATAACAATTTGAAAGGGTTTTCCCCAAATCTGTAAGCAGTAGTTTTAAAATTAATTAAAACAAACAATTTACTAGATTCAAATAGATTTTTTTTAGCAATTGCAATCATTTCCAATTGTGTGCATTTGAACAATATGTTTATCATATTCGAATAAGTGATTGCTCTATAAAGCGTTTTTCTTTATTTAATCGACAAGAAAAGTAAATAATGAGCATGTATGTTTTCCCACCGGTAAATCCAGTAATGATATCAGCTCATAGGAGATATCAAATGCCCAACTCTCACAATAATAGGAAGGAAAATCGTTTGTAATATTGACCGTCATCGGTTATTATTGGACATCCGATACCTTAGGACATACGATAAAAACAAGTCCATTACGATATGATCGTCAAGTCGAACTCAATATGTTTACTATGAGTAAACTTTAGAACATCACAGTGGCCTATAGTTTCAATCCTACCAAAGTTAAGAAAGCTAGGCAAATCCTTAGTAAACTTTCTAAACTTAAACAGTCTCTACATGACAGATTCCGACTAAATCAAAACTTAAGTTTCGTTGCAATAATAGCTTTATTTGTATTTCTTAGCGGATGCTCTATAAAATTTTCAGCAACGATTTTGGAGGGTGCCGAATTAACATCCCTCACACCAGCACTTCAAACTGGCACTGCAATGGCCACTGGATCGTCCTTCCTCCTTGCAGACACGACGGCAGGTGTCATTGTCCCAGACAGCACAAGGACCTCCATATCGTCCGGAGAGGCAATCTGCTTCGGCTTCCTTGGCTCCCAGGATGAAGATCGTCATCACAGCCAGGAAAAAGTACAGGAACTTGATTTGCATCTTGTCGATTTTTAGAGAAAATAGAGTACTGCTGTTAGACACGTTCAAACTCAATTGATACTTCCAGGTTCTCAAGGTGCACTTATATAGGGTCGCGATCTGCGAGATCGGCAATCGATATTCTGCCAGCGTCGTCGCCGATCAACAAATAATTACGAAAACCAATTAAAGAGTATTTATTTGCAATGGCATTATTAAGGGATAAATAGATCACTAATACAGAGTCCAAACAATGGTTTCAGAAATAAAATATTCTGTTTTAAAAAATAGTTAAATTAAAGAAAAATAAATATGTATATTCATATTTAAAGTAGGGTAAACATCATTCAAAATTGGATTTTTATTTTTATTTATTTTTTGTTTTGACTTAACAATCAATTCTCCTCTGGCAGTGAAATTGCATATATGTATGCAAATTAATGCGGTGCAATATTTATCACGAGATTTCTAGGAAATAGGTTAAAGCTGTATAAACAATCAAACAGATTCAATGCCTAGTCTACGGACAAGCTAAGCATTATAAAAATAATATTTTTTATACTTCCTCCAGCAACGATTTTAATTTCTGGGACTGGCAATCAATGGCCAAAGTTATTTTGGAGCCAAGATTATTATACCTTTGGAGAAGGTATTGTAATTTCAGTCAGAAGGTTTCAACAAAGTTGAGGAGACACTTCAGACACCATTTAAGGTGTCTTATTCACTGCATTGCAAACTTTAAACTATAAAACTCTCCAAGCAATCGGTAAAGATATGGAAAAATTATTAGAAAAACCGTCATTTTTTCTTAATGACTGCAAGGGTATATAAGCATTGGATCGTGGAGATAGGAGAATGCAGGCCCGGCGGAAGGTGTATACCGGGTGTTGAGCACTCCACACGCCAAATCTTAGCGGGTGTGGAATTCAACACCCCAAAATGCTTGACTTGTAGAACAAAATTTATTTACATCCATTAATTTCAGTTGAATGTATGATTCAAAACTGTTTCTCCGGCCCTGCATATAGAGTATATCGAAGAAAAACGAAGAGAAATCCCGCCTTTACCACGGCCCAATTAAATCAGTTTCTATTTAAATAGATAGATAGTAACTCTCCCAAATACTTCCCAAGTTAAGCATTTCCAATTAAATGTAAAAACTACTAAAATAATTATGAGATTATCATAAATAAATCTTTTAAGATTGGTACTTACTCAGTTAGCTCCTTGATCTGCACTGCAATCTTTCGTCTTCTTGAAGTAAGATAATCACCGCAACCACTTTATTCGCAACATTAACACTTAACACTTTACCCTGAAAGTAAATAAGAAAAAAAATAATAATAAATAATTTGTTACAAATAATAATAGTTAGAATAAATTTGTTAGTAAAAAAGGTATTAGTAAAAAAGTTATTAGTAAAAAAGGTATTTACCTCTTTGGGTTATTGATTCACTGCATCTTGAAGTACACTCCAAGTAGAAAGGTATAGTCATCACCTGTAATGAAAAGAAGCATTCCAAAATATTAGTTAAATTATTTTATACAAATCGGTTGTTTAAAAAATACATACCCCAATGAGGTGATGCACTGCATCCTGGAGTGGAGTTCAATAGAAGATCACGCCATTCATAATTGATCCTGCAGCCTGTTGTCCAGTCCATTTATGTGGTGTCAGCATACTATATATTTCCGGTAACCGCATTCTTACAACTATTACTATATATATACTACATATATTTATATTATATGTCGCTACTTGTTTACAATTATTAATTGTGTTTGATTTTCATGTACTTCAAGTTCAATATTTGATAAAATTTACCTTTCAAATTTCTTTCATGTTCTTGAAAACTTTCAGATCTTTATCTGTTTCTTTTAGTTTCTTTGTCAAAATATTTATGATTTTTTAAAATATATAACTTAATTATTTATTGTCTAAAGGATGTACTCACTGCGTAATAACTTTGGTGCAGTGCATCCTGATGTCGAACTTCAAGTTACAAGTTGGATGGTGTCACCAATTATTTTCTGCAATCAGCCAAATACACAACCAAAAACCTGAAAAAAAATATAAAAAAAATTGAATTAATTAACTGCATTTTTTTTACAAAAGCCACGTCATCACATAATTAAAAAAAACTGCAACTCACCTTTTCTGGTTTGGATGCCCTGCATCCTGGAGTCCACTACATGCAGGAAGGGATCGGGCACCTTTAAGTTCATGCCAAGTCAGGTCATGATGCAGTGCATCCTAGGAGGAGTCGACCCATGGTGCACTGCATCCGGAAGTGGACTCCAGTAGGTGGAGTCGACCCAAGATGCACTGCATCCGGGAGTGGATTCCAGTAGGAGGAGTCGACCCATGGTGCACTGCATCCGGGAGTGGACTCCAGTAGGAGGAGTCGACCCATGATGCACTGCATCCGGGAGTGGACTCCAGTAGGAGGAGTTGGCCAGATACTCTCTCCCACTTTGGAACCACGTCACTAACACACACGCACACACACACACTTCCAGAGACCGGAAAAAGTTTCTTAGAGAAACTGCCGGTCATCCCGGAGAACTGAGAAATTGGCCAAAATCAAGGGGTATCCCACTACGAATCAGCCAGAACCACTTGGGAATTATAGGTGCGAGAAAACGAAAAAAATAATTAATTATCATTGTCGCTGACGTGGCCATATTAATTTAATTAACATTTAGTTAACATTACATTTACATTATATTAAATTAACATTATTTTAACATTAAATTAACATTACATTATTATTAAATGGATTTTAATTAACATTTTACATTTAAAATAGTTTTTTTACCTGTTGCATTTTGATTGATTGGTGTTGTTGTTTTAATAAAATTTATACTTACCTATATTATGTCAACAGTGTTTCCCTCATCATGATTTGGAATGATTTTGAAACAAAAGGGGCGGGGGGGGGGATATTGAAAATTTGTGAGGTCATCACCCCACTCAAAACTGTTTCTCCGGCCCTGGGAGAATGTTTAAATCAAAAACCTCTCAGCCAAACCCTGCTGTTTTTGTGATGAAAATGTAAATCACAATACCCTATTTGGTGAGAGCATACTTTTGGGCTTTAAAGTTTACGCGAGAAAAATCTTTTCCTTCACAATAACGAAAGGAATTGTCGTTGACAAGATACTCGTCCTTTATCCGTGCATAGACGTTTGCACAGTTCATTGTCTTAACAAAAACAAGGAACTTTACAGGATTCAGAAAGGCAGTCTTTTGCCTCCGTGATAGTTGCCATTGCAGGGAGAAAAACTAACAACGTTTTCAAGCTGTATTTCAGCGAAGAAAACAAAAACACCCAAACGATTTAGAATCTATATAAACCAAATAGTTGACTGATTATGTTTGGCGTTTATTTACAAACATATACAGGAGAAAATCAATGCAGATCATAAAATAATACATGACGGTTGCATTTAATATAGTCATTATAAAGTTCGATTTGATTAAAATTAAATAGAAACTAGTTTCTCGTTTGTGGTAAAAACATTCATTTACAGATAGCATTAAACCTACTAAGATTAAAGGACTATGCCTAACCATGCACAAACACTCGCAGGTGCTCGTGCCTATGTATTTTGTAAACTGTGTTTCTGTGTTTCATTAGCTAATCCGTAGTTAACTATTGAATACAATAATTTAATTCACGTCGGTATAAACTTCTCAAAATGTAAAAAACGTAGTACATATGTATTCTCTGTTGGTTGGGCTCACTTATCGACTTACACTAATGCAACTAACTAAGATCGAATATTTTAACATACTATATAGTATATGAATGACGTCCCTATTAACTGCATTTTCCATTAAACTTTGTGTCCTCTGCACTATTAGATAATCGTGTGTATTTCTCTTTTGATTTTACTTTAACTAAACTAGCTCAGTGGTCAGCACAGCGCTCCCGTCCTCCACTCTCGTTTATGCCTAAATTCCACTAAGAACAAATAATGATACAAACACTAAAAACACGAACGCTGCACCGGGGCAGACCAGTCTCCATTGCAGCGGTAAGCACAACTAACGCTAAACTAGGCTCCTGATTAGAGGGCCACCTCGTCGCCGTTCCGGGTGCTCAGTGGCGACACCTGCTCCTGGAACTGCTGCTCGGCCTGCAACTGCAGCTCCCGGCGCCGCTGGGCGGTTACCGACAGGCCGAGGAGACCGCCCACTTGTGCGCTGGAAGCCACTTGGTTGTTGGCGCTTGGCTCGTACATTATATCACGTATTGATGTTGCTGTTGATGCTGCGTTTGCTGCTGCTGTTGCGGTTGCTGCGGTCTCCGTTTTGGTCGTGGCAAAGTGTACATGTTGCGGCGCCTGCTGTGGCTGTCGTCAGACCAAATCGCTCTTCGGCGCTGACGTCGCCGCAGCCGCTGACGCGGGCGCTCCTGCTGAGCCGCCTCCGGAAGCTCCCTGGCTGCCGCCGGACGCGGCCTCCAGCAGGGAACCCGCCTCCACATCGCCGGCCTGGCGGGCGGCGTTGCGCTGGCGGCACAAGTAGGGCGAGTTGGTGGGCGAGGGCAGTTGGTTCTGCAAAGCGAGTTCATAATTGCAATATGTGCATTTATGTATTAAGAGAACTCACCACTTTGTTGTTGTTTTGGCAGCAGGTGGCCTTGACACAGCCCTCATCCGTGGTGGGACAGTCGAGGGCGCAGCAGTCGGAGCCGCTCATGTTGATGCTGGAGGTGCCGTCGGACATGTTGCAGCCCTCGATCTCGCTGAACTCCGGCTGGATGGTGGTGGAGTGGATGCCCTCGTTGTGGAAGAACTCCTTCACCTTCTCGGCAATCTTCATGTACTCCGAGAGATTGCGGCACCTAAGGAAATAGCGAAGAATAGTTTAAAAACACTTCAGAGAGTTATCAACCGAAGGTGCGTACCTGATATGCGCAGAGGCGATGATGCGGTCGCCGGCCAGCTGCCAGACGTGGAACTCGTGCACCGCCAGCACCCCGTCGACCTTCTCCAGCAGCCGCTTCTGGATGGCGTCCACCTGGATGTGCGTGGGCACCGTCTGCAGCAGAATCAGCGCGGACTCGCGCAGCAGCGGCCACACGGAGTGGAGGATGAGCACCACCAGCACGATGGACAGGGCGGGGTCCATGTAGTAGCGGTACGTCCACTCGGTCTTCCACACCACCACCGCGCTGATCACCACGATGATGCTGCCGAGGGCGTCGCTCAGGACGTGCAGGAAGGCGCCGCGCATGTTCATCTGGCCGGGATCGTGGCTGTGCCCGTGGCTGGACTTCTTCACCGGCGCCTTCTCCTTTTGCTTCTCGTAGGCGTAGTCGTTCTGCTCGTCCTCGCCCTCGTCCATGTTGGCCAGCTCAGTGAGGCGGCTGTGGTTGCGGGTGAGACCTCCGCCGTGCGAGTGTCCATGATGGCCACCGTGCTCTGCGGAATAGTTATAGTTATTGCTGGGATCCCCATCATTGCACTGGGTGGACTTACCGTAAAGCAGACACAGTCCAATCACATTCACCAGAAGCCCCAGAGCTCCCACGATGACCAGCAGCTCGGGCTCGTGAATCGGTTCCTCCTCAATGAATCTGTAGAGAAATAAAAACAGAATAAATTACAAATTATTATATCAAATTACTATTATATCTAATCTATATAAATCTATATATATAAATTCCCATTTTTATCAGTGTAGCTGGCTTCTCCAGGCTTTCTGTAGCTATTGGCAACCGACTCGCCTCGTAGAGCTTTCGATAAGTATGCGCGAAATGCGCCCGGAATGTAAATTAATAAGGCGTCCGAGCGACGAAATACAATTCACATATACAGACAACGAGTTAACTGACAGACAAAATTCAAGGAAATTTATACAAATCACGTTAACACACGCCGATTCCAATGGCAACTTATTGATCGCAGTGCGGCTTACTGCTCACAGATCAGCAAGCAATTGGGTCTTCGTGCGGATCGCTGATCCGTAATTAGTCCCGATACATATGTATTATAGTTACGAAAAGCAATTTACATAAGTTGCAGATGAATAGCAAAAGGTATTGCAAATTAAGATGATATATGTAGTTAGAAAATTGATCTATGTATATCTTATCAGATTGTGTTAACCCTATTAATTCTAAAATGGTTATCGATTGGAATTCAGCTTCTTAATTGGTTATTTTTGAAAGGACACTCACCTCTTGCAGGCCTCGATGGTGATGCTGAAGCAGAGGGCCACCAGGAAAACAGCGTTGACCAGGGCACCCAGTACCTCGGCCCTGGCCCAGCCGAAGGTGTTCTTCGACCACTTTTTCGGTGACATCTGTCGAGATAGGAGGGTACGTGAGTGATATAGATAATGATGCACGAACGATAACGTTCTTGGTCGCGGACAGGGACTCACCTTCACGGACAGAAAAGATATGACCAGGGCGGCGATGTCGCCCAGCATGTGGAAGCTGTCTGCCACCAGGGCCATCGAGTTGGTCACATAGCCCACGATGATCTCCACGAAGAAGAAGAACGCCGTCAGCCACATCATCGAGAGCAGGCGGCACTTCTTTCCCGAGTACTTGGCCATTTTGGAGAAGCTGCAAAAAAAAAAATGTAAAAGTAAAACTTAAGTTAATTTGAATGCAAGTGAAACATGTTTCTTAGACATTTTGAAAATTGAAAATAGCCTCTCTAAGTTCTTCCCTTTGCAAACTGATTCGTTTTACTATAGGAAACCCATATTCTTTTGAAAGAAGCCCTCCGAAATGATGTTTCCCAATTTCTTTACAAAAGATTACCAATGACGTGCTTGGAGAACTTCGACGGTATTTTATTGCTCGGGCTCATAAATGTTCCCCCAATATGGCTTTCGAAATATCAATCAAAGCTGGCTCTCAGTTCATTCAACCGCCTTTTTATGCAGTCAACAAATCGAATGCAATGTGCCAAGCTCCGAAATTGTTATTGCACAAAAACACTGAGACACGCACGCCCAAACAAATTACCAACAAATTGAGTTTTTCAATTGTTTTCCATTGTTGCTGCTCGAACAGTTTTACATTTAGTTCCATTTAGCCTTTTGTTTAGGCAAAAGTTTTAGTGCCCCTCCATGGAGGATTTAATTGAAAGCGGGTATCGGCAGAAAGTGAACCCAGCTCAGCTCATTTGCCTGAGACTTGGTCGGAAAAAGGGGATTGGCGACAGTTGGAATTGTTCTTTTTATGGGGCTAACTAGGGTTTCGGTTCAGTAGATCTCCATATTCCCACTCACGCGAAGAACTGCATTTCGGAAGACTTGGGGACTGCTGCTCCTCCAGCACTGAAGTGGATTATGGCTGGCCCTACTTCAGATCGGGAACGGCTGGCCAGCGGATTCCCTCGAACACGATGGGTAAACAGAAGCAGAAAACATTTTCGACTGAATCGACAGCGAATGAAGGTGTATCGGCATCGGTTGCCAGGCTAAATCGGGGAATAATGGCCGGGTTTACGGGGCGGTAAACACAGAAGGGTGACGTTTCCCTTCTGTTTTCGTTTCGGTTTCTGTTTCTGTTTCTGCTACTGTGGCGACGGGCAAGAAAACAATTTGCATTTTCGGCCAAGAACCACTAGCAACAACTGCGGCCCGTTGGCCAAGCAACCGCTGAGGAAGTGAGGTGCACTCGCAGAAAACACTGCAGCCCATCATGATTCAAATCTCTTCAGATAGAATTAACTCTTCTTTCGGAAAAAGAATGTGACACATTTGTTTACTTCTAGAATGTTTACTTTGAGTATCGCACAACCTATTTACATTTGAGAATAATTACTTTTCCTTCAGAGGTTTTTACTGGCAAACCCTTTCGCGACCTTTGAGAATGCACCACTGCCTGCTATCGGACAGGCCTCACTGTATGGGAATCCGCATCACCATCGGCGTGTTCCCGCCTAACAATCGCCAAACCGATTACACAATCTCCTCGTGTGGCTGTTATCTCGACCAGCCGCTCCCCTCCGCCAGCCTTTAGAACGCTCGGCACACGAGACGCCAGAAACAAAGTCGCTTTTGCATTTTGATTTTTATCTACGCCACAACCGCCGCCCCACCTCCCGGAATCCGAAATCCACCGGCTGTACCGCTTGGGTACCGTGCGCAGTGCGGCCAATAAATGCGTACCGCACTCACAGCCCGATCTTGTGGGCCGTTGTGGGTGTGGGTGTGGGTGTGGGTGTGGGTCCACGTCCCCACATCATCTTCACATGCGAATGGCTTCATATGGCCAAACTAGATAAACACAACCGATAAGCCGGTGGCGGGCGGCTCTTTATTTGGCAGCCTGTGCGCAAAAAACAAACAATCCGCCGCTTATCGGATGAGCTGGAAGCCGGAAGAGCCAGGGGAGTGGGTGGGCCTGGATCCAGGAGTCACCGGAGCCTACAATGTTGGCTGCTTTGTGGCCTAGCCAAATATTTAGCGTCTGGCAAATAGACCAGCATTCGCTTTCCCTCGGGTGCACTCAACTTGACACTTGCGAAAATAACTAGCTACGATTTAAATAGAAGTGCAGATAATAGCAGCACAATAATATCCAATATCTGGACGGTTTTGCTTGGATAAATAAAACACACATATACTATTACTTTCCACATCGTTTGCCAAACTATTTCAAAGGGAAATTCTTAGATATTCTGGAGAACAGCCAAGCAGGAAAATAATGCATTTCGAGTAATTGAATGCAGTTACATTCCCCAGCGATCTTTGGGCAAGCGATACAATTGAGCAAGTGCAGTGCGCACCAAGCGAATTAATCTAGAATCCACAATGAGCAATGAAGGGAAATGAGCTGAATCACAACTTACACGCGGCGAGCGGGTGGAGTCGAGGAAAATGTAGATATTGGAAACTATATTTTTGCGGAGGCGCGAGCGGGAAACCTCGTCCGTTCACACGCGAATGAGCACTGGTCGAGTGGCGGGGCCAACTGGCCCTACCTGGCCTTTACCCGCTTTCCACAGGTACTCACCGCAGATAGGGACTGCCGGCCAGGCCAACGAAGTGGTCAACTGGCGCGGCTTAAAATGTGTCAACTGCAGCTGATAGCCGACAGCCCCGCCGCTCCACTGAGCTCTTAAGTCCCTCCAGGCAGCCGCGATAGGGGAACGTGCTCCGCATAAATGCGGCGGACGGCTCCCAAAAACCAGCTAACTATGGCCAAGCCATTGATGAAATCGGAGTCTCTTTCGCGGCTCTCGGCTGTCAGCCATGAAGAGCTGGTCAAAAGATCATTTAAAGCACAGCTCAATTCAAAGCTCGCAGTGAAAGAAATATTTACTACAATTTAAAAACCACATTTTTTTTGTTTTTATCAAGCTTTTTTCTTGTTAAAAATGTTAAAACCTCTGCGGTTTTCATTTATTATCTTACAAAAAGATAACAATCCCTTGTTTAAAAAAAAACTTTACTGCCAAAAATAATTTAACAAAAAACCTGGAGAATACAACTTGCCAATAATTGAGTGATTCTAATTGATTTATAACGCTTACTTAGTGTCTGTTGCCTCGTCAGAAAATCGTATCTCAGCCTAGTAGCACTTGTAAAATTAGTTAATGAGACAATCTTTGCCAATGCCTACTCGAATATCAGTTTGACATTGTCCCTAGCAAATTGGCCTTGGCTCCATAAGTACGTGATGCGATGTACGACTACGAATCGAAAAGGAAATTTTGAATGTTAGTTTGAAATTTCCGGAAAGACCGGCTTGGATGGCTCAAGGACTTTTGGGTGGAAAGGGGCGGGATTTATATCGAGAGATATACGTACTTCTCTGTGAGGAGCACGTGACATGCGTGGCCTACGCAATTAATTCAGACCATTTAACATGCAGCTCACAGACGACAGACTCAAAGTACAAATTTGTTAGATCGGATGGGGGGAATATGGACGTAAGAGCGGGGCTTGTAAACACATGCAGTCTCAGCAGCGAAACTGGGCTACAAATATTCTAGGTCAGGTGCTTTAATTGGCCTCTCCAGCTCCAGTTGCACTGAACGGCTATTCTCCGCCCAATTGCCCCCGGACAACTGGGATTCGGCGGTTTCTATGTGGGTTACTGAGCCAGATGGTGCTCGCTCGAAACAAAGCCAGCCAGCATAGGATTTGGGCTGGCCTAGCGATAGGAAATATTCGGGTGATAAGCGGAAATCGATCGTTAATGCGCGGAATACAGTACAAAGCACTCGAGATAAGCTAAATAGGCAGCGTGGGTGATTTACTGATCAGAAATAGGAAAAGATTTATTAGGCTCAACCTGAAGTAGGTGTGTTAATCAAGTGTCATGTGTGGGAAACGGCGGAAAACATCAGATTAAACAAATTATATAGATTACTCAGGTTTACCATCAACATGGCGATGTGAGTCAAAATTCCTAGTAATCAAAGACTTCTAGGGGTGTTTCTATTATTGATTTATTTCTAAGGACGGTGTACACAATTCACGGCATTTAAAAGCAAAAAGGCAATCAAATAATTATTTTAATGGCGAAAATTGCAGTTGACCCACAAACGGCAGAGCCAGCGAAAAAGAATCATTTGTTCTCCCCGACGACAACGTGGCGACGATTAACCCGATTCTTTTTTCTTTTGCAGACCTCTGCGAAGGGAAGGCGGACGGGGGATGGCGGATGGGGGATGGCGGTGCTCTGGAAAAGGGGCGGAAAAAGAAAGGCAAAGGAAGGCAAAGGAGGAGCCGGAATGGGCTGGAAGAGCTTACTGGGCGGGAAGTGCAACCCAGTTGCGTTGCCGTGGGCAAAACAATGAGCGAAATATTTAAAAAGAACTGCCACAACAAGGCAGAGAGGTAAAAAGTATATGTATGTGGATGGTAAACATTGCATGGATGTGTCAGCTAAAAGTATATACGAAGTGGCCCAATTTGCATGGAAAGCCACCGATAAACAAATAGCGAAATTCATGAGGCTCACAAATCAAATTTCAATGGATTCGGCAACGTGAGTGGAAACCCTTTTCCAGAAGAGATAAAATCCGTGTCAAGGTCGCCAATGAAAACGCAGTTATCCAACCACCTCCGAGATTAGAATGCGCTATCGTTGGTCCGCAGAGGAGGAGAAAACTGAGCGCGGAGGCTTATCTGGACCTAGGCTAACCCAATTTAGTTGCAGTCGTAAATTAAAGCCACTTTATGGTGGCCGGGCAAACATAACCCACTTTCGGCCTCATATTCACATGCAGGCAATAGTCGATAGTCGCTCTGCTCGCCCACAAATCACAAATCAAACTGCCCTGTATCAAATATTAAATGCTGATCAAATATTCACCCCTGAAACCAAGCCAAATCAACTGAATAAATAGGTACGCAGTAGGAATAAATCAGAGCAGCGCCGAGCTGTTTTTGTATGGTTTAATTTGTTTGCCACAAAATTGTATTAGCACTTATTGATTTTTTTCCTCCTCCGCCGCTGCCCGGTGCTTTCAATTTCACTAAATTTGCGCTGATGAACTGGGAGAACAAAAGAGTTGGAAAGTCACTTGGGCGAGAGGTGGGGCCTGAACTTTAAATCGAATTATTTCAGCCACAGCGAGCACACATTTAATGTGATTTAATTAGGGCCGGAATACACGGGTTTTATGCAACAGTGAAAATCACTGAAGAGCCAACACGCTAATCACAAAGAATTTGAAATTCAAATACCAAATCAAGCGCAATTTTTAGTGTTGATATTAAAGAATTTTTTGAAATGCATTTTTATGCATTTTGCACTTATGCATTTTGCACTTAAAATGTGTTTTTAAGTGTTTACTTATATTTTAACTATAGTAATTTAAGACTATCGATTTAAATGGCCTTTGAATAAACAAAATACTTTTCAAATTTTTGCGAGAGTTGAACTGCTGGGGAATAACTTGAACATCAGCGGTGAGTCAGAAAGAATTTCTGATAAAATATCCAGCGAGAAGCGATGATTAAGCCAATGCAACCGGTTTTCGAGGATGGGAACGCACGGGAAGAGGCCATAAATCAAGTAGAACAAGTCCTAGATGAAGACCCTCAAAGGAAGCGGAGATTAAGATCGATTGTTGACATGAAGATATTACACGGGAATAACAACGGCTACCTGGCCACGCCCACCCGCCCAGTTCGGTGACCCAGGTGCGGCAATAACAACGATAATAATAATGGCCTGGGTCGGAGGAACATGTTCGTACAGGTTTTCTTGGGGGAGATTTGCTACCTAAGAACGTAGATTTGCTAAAATATACTTATTTTTCTTTTTCAATTGAGCATCGGAAAGTTGGTCAAAAATCTACTTTACGTGTATAGTATTTCTAAGTATAACCTTATCCATTCGTTTATATGTACTTATTAAACTGATAAGAAAGAGAAATGGTTACTTACCAAAGTTTGTCGCGTAGGAAAACGTTGCTTTAGCTATTGTTGTTATTCAGCAGAAACGCGACTCCTAATGAAGTTGCTAAAGATCGGAATTGATTTCAATTTAGACAATTAATTTAACAGGAACCAATTCAGTTCAGAAAATATCGGCTGTAGTCACACTGGCTACCCATCAACAATTACACCAAAGCACTTCCTATATTGTACATAAATTATTGTGTATTTAAATCATAGTTGAATTCTCATACCTTTGTGAGCCATGAATAATTATTTTTTACAAAAAATACATTGAAACATGTGCCTTTATTAAAGGAAATCATATAAAGTACTAACTAGCAAAAACGTACTGTAGCTTTTGTGTTTTGATAAAACCAGCGTGTAAAACGAAAGGCTTTTGTTTAGTGTTGACTATAACCAGTTCCTGTTAGCCGACATTCACTGTATTTACAGGGCACAAAGTGGGGCGGGGAGGGCGGTGCTGCAGAAGTGTGGCTCTTGTTTTGCGATAAAAGTGGAGATAAAGGAAAACAACTTCCGAGTTTCGCCAGCGTTTTCTTGCTGAAAGAGCAAAGTGCCGAGCAAAAAGTTGGGCGACTGCTAAAATAAAAAGTTATCTAGGATTTGGCCGAAATTCCTTTGCTCTTCCTTTTTCCGCCTCTTTGGGGGTGGCACGCATACATACAAACAGGGGCATATATGTATGCAAGTTAATTGTGCACAGTCACAATGGACGAAGGGGGTCGAGGGGCAGGCGGTGGCCGGGGAACCGAGGACGAGTCACAGTTGCACGTGCACAGGCCGCGGTATTCGGATAACTTTTCACTTCTGCGTGGCAATTTACCGATTAGCTGCCTTCTGGGTTTCCCTTTGCCGCACTCGAAGCGGAGCGCACAGCACGAAACGATGAAACGGCGCGGTGGACGATTTTTTTATAAATTATTTTCCCCAACGGCACGGAGTTGCCACATAGTCTCGGTCAGTCACGAATTCACTAAAATATCCAGTTTTACTTAAGTTGGCATCCCCGAGTAAAAACTCTTCCTCCCACTTGAACATTGGTTCGAGTCTGGGATTTTTGTTGTATTTAAATGCAACGTTTTTTAAAACGGTTTTATTTAAATCAGTTTTATTAGAGATAAGAGCTCTTGATTTAATTATTCATACTTATTTACTACCTAGCAGTTAAATGTATGAATACCATGTGTTAGACATATCCGCTTTGAATAACGTTCATAATGTTAATCCCTCTTTTGCCCAGACTGACCCCCTCCAACACGGATCCCTGCTCCTTTTGCAAGTGGCAGAGGAACTGGAGGATTACGTAGAACAGGTTGTTCTTGTCGTAAGCGCAATCTAGCAAATCCCTGCCTCTCACAAAGTTGAACACTAGATGGCGCTGCTGTCGGCCGGTGGCCAAAATGGCGCACTTGGCCTTGTTTCTTAAACAGGATCTGATGTCCATTTTCCGAGTCACCACGTACCGGGAGTAGAAGGGACGTCGCCCGGCACCATGTGGATGTGGCAGGAGCTGGCTGTCCAGATAGACGCACAGCAAGTGGAATACTATGGCTGCGTCGGTGGGCAGGTGATCCCCCCCAACGCAGACCGCGGTTCGTTCCTCCCGAGTTCCATTTGTAGGCGTCCAAGAGGGTGCCCTTCGAGAGCTGCCTGATGCGCTGCACCAGGTACGCCTGGTTGGGAAAGGAGTCGAGGAAGGCGAGCAGAACGGGCAGCATGGGAACGCATTTCGCCACGAATTTCTTGTCCCTTTCCAGCGCACGCAGCCTCTCCAGACTGATGGCTCCGATCCTCAGGTTGCCGAGACCCTGTTTGCGGAACATCTTATCCGCAAAGTCGATCTCCCTCACCAAACGGTGGAGTATGGTGGTGGAAATCCAGAACCTCAGGTTGGACACCCACTGCAACAGATTGTTCTGCGAGAGGAATTCACTGTTCTCCACGACTATCGGGCCTTCATCTTGCACTGCGGACAACTGGTAGGGGATGCTTTTCAAATGGGAAGAGTGTGTCAAAAAGCGGTGGCGAAGCAAGAAGCTCGGACTATTTGTATCTTCCTCCATTCTGCGATCCTGCTCCGCTCGCTTCATCAGAGCGGGCAGCTTCCGGATGTCGGAGCAGAAGTCATCCGGTCGCGCCTCCTCATAGACCGACGGTTTCGGATACCACTTCACCCGTAAGGAACCCACGTTTCTCCCACTTCCCCAGGTTTTGTTCAGGAAGGAGTGCCACTGGACGATGGGACGGGCGTTCCTAGTCCAAGGATCAGGTGCCTTTGCCACAGGGCGTGTATACACCGTTCCGAATTCGTTCTCCCTCCCATCGAGGAGATACTTCTGGCTTTGCGTTCCCCTGACCAAACGCTCACCCGATAAAAGCCACAAGTACTTGCCCAAACATACCAGTGCACTGAAAGCTAACGCGACACAAGCGAAGCACTCTGCCACAAACCAGAAGGATGTCCTGTTGCAGGAGCAGTGCACCTGCCAGATGTCCAGCAGCAGCAGAAGCAGGACCGCCGCATTGAGGAAGAACCGCTGGAGGCAGTGCCTCAGCTGGACACTCCGGAGCCGCAAGTCGAGGCTGTGCTGCACCAGCGGACTTCTCCTTAGCAGCGAGCAATTCATTATCTCCCAGGAAAAATGTTAAAAAATATAAGTCACAATTGAGAGGCAAAATAATGCTATAGACTGATTCAAATGACAACAGAGTTTATTTCAAAGTTCTGGGATTTTCAAATGACATATATTTTAAAAAACTATTTTTTTTTTTGTTTAAAACGACTTTTACTCATGTTTAACAAAAAGCTTTTAGGGAAAAGCTTGCAAATGGTTTTAGCATTGGCTCAGAAAGGGGAAAACCATTGAGCCAGTGCTGTTTTAATTTAACGCTAACTATTATTTAAAACTTTGGTAGAAATATCCAAATAAGGGTAAACAAAAGTGTAACTAATGTCTGGAAATAATAAAATATGTAAAGCTCTCTCGACTTTAAAAACTTTTAACAAGACTAACAAAAAAGCCAGAGCTACATCACTGGCACGATCGCTTGGCTTTTCGTTAGTTGCGCGTTTACCGGCCGAGGAAACAGGTGCACGAGAGACAAAGCCACGATTAGATCGGTAATTGCTGTGTGACTTCCCGCCACAATCAATCGGGGATCACCCAATATATATTGACTACTACTATATACCTTAAATGGAGACATTCTACCCAGTTTTCGATCGAAGAAGTGCAAGTTTTACCCCTTTTACTGTGACATTTGCCTCGTGTTTGTGGGCCAGTGAGTGATAAGATTAGAGGAATGGGTAAATGTTTCGCTATGTGATAACAGGCAATCGGAACTTGGTAGTGGTGGAGTACAAAAGTGTAAATACAAGAAGCTAAACTGGATGGATTAGTCATTGTGAATGAATCTGAATTAGTGCAAAGCTCCACATACGCAAATCTATATGTGTGGCAAATGACAGTCATCACCAGTGGCCGTAAACAAATTATGATAAAAAGATATATATATGTATATACTATATATTATATGAGCAGAGGAGATATGCTCGTATGAGCAGCTTCCGGCTTTGGAACCGTTTAGCCTGAAATGTCCACTGGGAAATTATCTAAATTGGACTGCAAGTGCTACTGTTTATTGTTATTGTTATGGTTGGCGGTGCAAACATACATACTCTATGTTGTTATAGGCATAATATCATGGAAAAACAATTACATATTTTTTCAGAGAACTAAATATTTAAGAAAGTTAGTAGACAGTGTTTTTTTTCTGCTCATAACCTATGCAACTATAGGAAAATCAAATAATGTATTACTACAATTGGGCTTTTGTCTTCGGACTGCAACTGTGAGATAGGCCAAAAGTAAACTGAGATAAGCGAAGTGAAAAAGTGAGTGGAACCTTGAAATAAATATTGGTGAAAATTGCTTAAAATTGTATTAGCGTTGCAAGCACTTAAGTATTAAGCAACGGCCCTTAAAAGTGACAGGAAATAAAATCCAGAGGCCATGAACGTGATCTAAATGAAAATCTGGATCAGGGGGAAATAGCACAGATAACCACAATTAGTCGCTTGCTTTGTGAGTACTACTGTCAGCTATTGTCACTTGCTATCCCCTTGGGTCATTGGCATTAAAATAGTAGTCAAAGTTGAACAAAAAACAAAGAAAAAATAGGTTGTTGAACAGGCGATTCCCCCTCGTTTCCACTCAAGTGACGTCACACAGGTAAAATCCATTGCAATGAACTCATTGCATTTGATTTGATTTCGTTTCAGTTTTGGTTTTAATTTTGGTTTTCTCTCGTTGGCCATTAATTGGCAGACATGCAACTATTGCACCATGGTCATTGTATATATCCGGCATAAGCCTATTATGTTCGCTGTGCAGTGGAAGTGGTCAACGGGCTGCGTGAGGAAATATTAATAATGCATTTCTAATAAATAGTGAGCGGCGGGTAGTGAAAAAGTGACGAAGTGACGGAGAAGTGGTTCAACAAGTTGAAGTTTAAATACCCTGCTTGGGTGAAGTTTTCGATCCGCCGACTAGGTTATCAGCTTCTACTTTCAGACCTTACCTCATAATTATTTCTTGATTAGATTTAAAACGCTTGACCATGTATGCTTCCTGCACTGAGACCAATTCTGGCCTATAACTAAAACAAACTTTGATAACTTTGCGTCATTTGTGGTAAATGCAAGGAACCTTTTTTTTACAAGAAGGTATAGAATGTATTCATCCTCAGAGGACTCTACTATATTGTGTAAAATGTATAAGGAACTATTCATTTTTCTCTCTGCATAGCCGTTGCCTCCGATATCAGTTGTTTGTGCTTAGGCAGCGACGCCGCGTGAGAGAAAAAAAGTTATCTGAGCGCCGCTTTTGTTTGGCCCATTTGTTTTGTCTGCGCTCTTTTTACCTGTGCGAGAGCGAGAGGGATGGATGCGGGGGGAGTGAGGGAGAGGGAGAGGGCGTGGAGCTACCTGGGGCACAACTTGCGACACCTTCTGCCGCCGATCGCGAGTTCAGTAGCAGTCGGCTGCCGGGGACAGCAACAACAAGCCCAGCAGAACAATTAGTCAACCGATATTTAGTGGCACAGACATATATCCACATATAGGTTCGAAGCGCACATGAAGCTGGTCATGTAAGACTCGGCGATTACGGTGAAGATATGGTAAAGCAACGGTGGCTGTAGTAGTACATTATTCCCGAGGTACATTTTATGGGAGCGTTACTCAACCTCTGGTTTTTGCGCCCTTTGCAGCTGGTTTGCGGTGAATGCGTTTAACGGTGGATCTTCGCTTGCACCGCTTGCAACGCAGCCCACAAAGATACCCCTAAGATACAGAATGGCCTCCGGCAACAGCAACAGCAACAACAACAATAACAGCAACAGCAGCAGCAGCCCCGCCGATCTGGACAGCCAGGTCAATGTGGAGGATTTGCCCATAACGTTCAAGGTGAGTGTCCACATGGCGAAATGCGTATTTAAGTGCTGTGAAATGAGTGGCGCAAGTTCAGGTACCAATGCCCATAAAGACCCCGAAATGTGGCCGAAAGTACGCTGAGAGAAATAATTTATTGAAAAATGTAAATGTATTTGTATAGGTCAAAAGCTTTTTAAATAAGAGTATGCTTGGTTTATTATATAGTTATTGATAAAATTCTGTTACCAGTAAGCTGTAAGCAACTCAACTCTTTATATTATTTATTAGAGCCATCATAAAAATTTTTGATATATTTTTTTAAGTGCATGTACGAACAAAAGCCGACACATGAACATACCACCCGCATACGAGACATGGCCAAAAAAACAGAGCCAGACACGCATGCGTCACGCCCTGCTGAACTTCAGGTGGGGGCGGTGGGGGAAAGGGGCGTGGCGGAGGCACCACACGAGCAGCAGCAGCAGCAGCAACATTTTGGCTCGGCTGTGGACATCCGGTCGCAGGTCGGATGCAAATGAAGCGGCTCTAACGGCAACGCATGCGCAGCGGAAGCCACTGCCACCGACGAACGATCCCACGAAAACAAATATTTGTACTCACCTCGAATGGGAGAAACAGTTCGTTTCTACGGGGTTAACTTAAAGGGAACGTCTGCCAAAGTACACACTTTTCACAACAATTTTACTTCTACTAAAATCAAAAACGATGTAAGCCATTCCACATTAGGAGGAGTACTTCCTCAGATATTAAAAAAAAAAACTGGATATTTCTGGGCAAAACAAACATTTTGCAATGGTAATGTGTATGTAGTTAAGGCAAGAAGCAACTTAAAGCCAACCAAAGTATTGGAAACCAAAGAAGCTCAGCTATCGGTGCCACCGAATGCAATTTAATTGTCATTTAACTTATCCCTTAGTTAGTTCATAAAAACTTATTTGGAATAGATTAGTTGACAATTTGGTTAGAAACACTATATTTGTAGTGCTTACAGCAGAACCAAACACTGTTTCGAGCAGCTTATGACCACGGTTAACGAGCCCAATATCTTTTTGGACGATAAAAAAAATTTATTTTTGGCCATTTTTCTTCTTCGTTTCTGCGATATAATCTGGTCTATGCTTAAACACGATAATATAACAATGTTTTTAATTCAAAGATTTCATATGAACTTTAACATGTGATTATTATAAAGTTTCTATTTACTGTCTAAAATCAATACATTCACAGATACATATAAATGAATGTTCGTTGCCAACTAAACCAAGTAAGAAAGGGCCAAGAAAACACAATTTCGCTTCAAGCTTTTATATTGGATGTTACAATGTACTGTCTGCTTAAAATTAGTTCCTTATATATTTACACGGGGGTTTATCTGTTGGACATCTTCCGCGCTTTATTTCCAAGTAGGCTAAAGGATTTTAAAACATCTAATATGAATTTCATTTTAAAATTGGTTGTACCTACTTCGTAGTCCTTTTTCTTTACGTCTGCAGGACTGAAGTTCGAGATAACCTTTATTAGGGCCATTCAAGTAGCAATCTGCGCCTATTCCACAAGTAGGCTTTAAATCCGACTGCTTCATATAGGTGCATTTTCCGTTGGTTCCCAATGCGAAGACAGCTAAAGTGAAAATCTGTAAAATATGTTCTTAAATTGACAAGAAATCCTACCCAGAATAAAAACAAAGCTTAAGCTTCTCATGATGAACTGTTAAGAAGCTGAATGTTTCAAAAATGATGCCAGCTTTTTATATCGTCTTAAAATAAGTAGGTACTGTGAAAAATGTATTAAAGGTTCGGTTTATCCGTGAAATCGAAATGAAGGCCAAACAATGATTACAAGTTTGCCACACAATCGTCAGTTTTTAAAACAATATTAATGTCAAAGAGCCATATCATAACATGAACATATAAACTTAAACAAATGATTACTATAAAGCTTATATTTATTCTCAATAATCAATAGTGATGTTATTGATATTATTGGATGTTCTAATGTCCTTTTCGCTTGAAACTACTCTATATATATATTCACACGGTGGTTTATCTTTTGGACATTTTCCGGGTTTTCTTTCCAAGAAGGCTAAAGGATTGTAAAACATCTAATATTAATTTCATTTTAAAATTTGTTGTACCTACGTGGAAGTCCTTTTTCTTTACGTCTGCAAGACTGAAGTTCGAGATAACTTTCATTAGCCCCATTCAAGTAGCAATCTGCGGCTATGCCACAAGTAGGCTTTAAATCAAACCGCAACGGCTTGCATTCTCCGTTGGTTCCCAATACGAAGACAGCTAAAGTGAAAATCGGTAAAGTGTGTTCTCGAATTGTCAAGAAATCTTACCCAGAATAAAAACGAAGATAAAGTTTCTCATGATAAACTGTTAAGAAGCTGATAGTTCTAAAAATGATGCCAGGTTTATATAGCGCCTGAAAATTAGTACTGTGAAAAATTAATTAAAGGGTCGGTTTATCCGTGAAATCGCAATGAAGGCCAAACTATGATTACAAGATTCAGTTTTTAGAACAATCTAAATGTCAAAGAGTTTCTTCAAGTTTAAAGCGCTTGATTGTTTAAATAAACTTGGCTCTTCAAGTTCTCCTTCGTTTCAGCGTTATATTTCAGCCTATGCTTTAACACGATAATATAACAATGTTTTTATTTAAAATATTTCGTATGAACTTTCGCAAACGATTACCACAAAGTTTATATTTACTGTCAAAAATGTATACAAATTCATATAAATGAATGTTTGTTGACGGCGTGCACTGCAATTGAAAATTAAACTGTTACTAAACCAAGTAAGAAGGGGCCAAGAAAACACAATTTCGCTTCAAGCTCTTTTATTGGCTGTTACAATATACTTTCCGCTTAAAATTTGTCTACGATATATTCACACGGTGGTTTATCTGTTGGACATTTTCCGGGTTTTCTTTTCAAGAAGGCTAAAGGATTGTAAAAGATCTAATATTAATTTCATTTTAAAATTGGTTGTACCTACGTGGAAGTCCTTTTTCTTTGCGTTTGCAGGACTGAAGTTCGAAATAACTTTCATTAGGGCCATTCAAGTAGCAATCTGCGGCTATGCCACAAGTAGGGTTTGAATCCGACCGCATCACATTGGTGCATTTTCCGTTCGTTCCCAATGCGAAGACAGCTAAAGTGAAAATCTGTAAAGTATTTTCTCGAATTGTCAAGAAATCTTACCCAGAATAAAAACAAAGATAAAGTTTCTCATGATAAACTGTTAAGAAGCTGATAGTTCTAAAAATGATGCCAGGTTTATATAGCGCCTGAAAATTAGTACTGTGAAAAATGAATTTACGGGTCGGTTTATCCGTTAAATCGCAATAAAGGCCAGACTACGATTACAAGATTGTCACACAATCTTTAGGTTTAGTAGAATATAAATGTCAAAGAGCTTTCTAATTTTAAAAGCGTTCGATTCTTTATACTTACTTGATTTTCGGAGTTTACCTCCTTCAGCCTACGCTTTAACACGATATAACAATGTTTTTCATTAAAATACAGTGTGCGCCATCTCGAGCTTCGGTAAAAAAATATTGAATAACTTTGGCAAAAAACAAAAATTCATGGAAAATGTGTTATGTTTATTTAGATTGATCCTTTACAATTCATTTGAGTTAGTTTTTGAACACAATATCGACTAAGTTACTTCCTTTGTTCTTGATGGCAAAAAGTGTCCTTTTTCGAGCATTTTCCATTACTTTCTTGAGCAATCGGCCGATATATTGGCCATTTCGGTGCGAATACTTTCCTTGAGCTCTGTGATGGTCTAGGGCTTGCTTATGTATACCCCACAAAAAGAAATCCGGCGGGGTCAAGTCCGGCGAACGCGCCGGCCAGTCGATATCGCCTCTTTTTGACACAACGCATCCAGGGATTTTCGCTGCAAAAACTCCATGGTTTCGTTTTCTGTGTGACATGGGGCCCCGTCCTGCTGAAACCAGAAATTTTCTAGACCCTTCAAAAACTAACTCAAATGAATTGTAAAGGATCAATCTAAATAAACATAAAACATTTTCCATGAATTTTTGTTTTTTTCCAAAGCTATTCAATATTTTCATACCGAAGCTCGAGATGGCGCACCCTGTATTTCGTATGAACTTTCGCAAATGATTCCTATAAAGTTTATATTTACTGTCAAAAATCAATACATTTACAAATACATATAAACAAATGTTCGTTGACGGCGTGCAATGAAATGAACTTGTTCTAAACCAAGTAAGAAAGGGCCAAGAAAACACAATTTCGCTTCAAGCTCTTTTATTGGATGTTACAATGCACTTTCCGCTTAAAAATAGTACCTTATAAATTTACAGGGGGGTTTATCTGTAGGACATTTTCCGCCTTTTATTTCCGAGAAGGCTAAAGGATTGTGAAACATCTAATATTAGATTCATTTTAAAATTGGTTGTACCTACGTGGAAGTCCTTTTTCTTTACGTCTGCAATTCTGATTGTCGGCCAAAGAATAGTTTTCGCCATAAAAGTAGCAATCTGCGGCTATTCCACAAGTAGGCGAATAATCCAAAAGCATATAATTGTTGCATTTTCCGTCGGTTCCCAATACGAAGACAGCTAAAATGAAAATCTGTAAAATTTGTTCTCGAGTTGTCAAGAAATCTTACCCAGAATAAAAACAAAGATTAAGTTTTTCATGATGATCTGTTAAGAAGCTGATAGTTTTAAAAATGATGCCAGGTTTTTATAGCGGCTGAAAATTAGTACTGTGAAAAATGAATTAAGGGGTCAGTTTATCCGTGAAATCGAAATGAAAGCCAAACTATGATTACAAGTTTGTCACACAATCGTCAGTTTTTAAAACAATATTAATGTTAAAGAGTCATATGATAACATGAACATATGAACTTAAACATATGATTACTATAAAGTTTTTATTTACTGTCAAAAATCTATATATACACAAATGCATATAAATGAATGTTCGTTGCCGATGTGCACTGCACTTAAAAATTCAAAGTTGCAAAACCAAAAAAGAAAGGGCCAAGAAAACACAATTTCGCTTCAAGCTCTTTTATTGAATGTTACAATGCACTTTCCGCTTAAAATTTGTGTGCTATATATTCACACCTGGGTTTATCTGTAGGACATTTTCCGCCTTTTATTTCCAAGAAGGCTGAAAGATTGTGAAACATCTAATATTAATTTCATTTTAAAATTGGTTGTACCTACGTGGTAGTCCTTTTTCTTTGCGTTTGCAATCCTCATTTCTGACATAATCTCCGTTATCGCCATTAAAGTAGCAATCTGCGGCTATTCCACAAGTAGGGCGAAGAATTGCATGCACCAAATTACTGCATTCTCCGTTGATTCCCAATACGAAGACAGCTAAAATGAAAATCTTTAAAATATGTTCTCGAGTTGTCAAGAAATCTTACCCAGAAGAAAAACAAAGCTGAGGTTTCTCATGATGAATTGGTAAGAAGCTGATAGTTTTAAAAGGGATGCCAGGTTTATATAGCGCCTGAAAATTAGTTCTGTAAAAAATGAATTAAAGGGTCGGTTTATCCGTGAAATCGAAATCATATTTGATAACTGCGAGGCTATATAAGCTACGGCTTGCCGAAGCTATCTTCCTTTCTTGTTTTTCATACTTTCAATGATTAATAAATCAATATCAAAGCGCAGCTGAAGGGGCAGTAATGAATTTATGTACCGAACCAACATGCAAATAAAATATTTCACCCATTGCAGGTCAAGTACATTGGCTCGGAGGTGGCCCGCGGATTGTGGGGCATCAAGTACACGCGCCGCCCGGTGGACATAATGGTGGGCGTGGCCAAGAACCTGCCGCCCAACAAGGTGCTGCCCAACTGCGAGCTGAAGGTGTCCGCCGAGGGCGTCCAGCTGGAGATCATCGCGCCGAAGGCGAGCATCAACCACTGGAGCTACCCGATCGACACCATCTCGTACGGGGTGCAGGACCTCGTCTACACAAGGGTCTTCGCCATGATCGTGGTCAAGGACGAGGCCAGTCCGCATCCCTTCGAGGTGCACGCCTTCGTCTGCGACAGTCGGGCGATGGCCCGCCGTCTGACCTTCGCCCTGGCCGCCGCCTTCCAGGACTACTCGCGGCGGGTCAAGCGAGGCCTCCGGCGAGGGGGAGGGGCAGGGGGACAGCGACGCCACGCCCAGCGACTCGATCACGCCCACGCGCCAGAAGTTCGCCATCGACCTGCGGACGCCGGAGGAGATCCAAGCCGGCGAGCTGGAGCAGGAAACGGAGGCGTAGTCGGGGATCCACTGTACAGTCGCCCCCTTGTGATGTGTTAGTTACTTAACGTCCAGTGTCCACTGTATTTGTAAATTGTACTAGTAGTTCTCTCACCCGGTAGTTGCCTCATACAGCTAATTACCCAAAGCCTAAGTGTTAATGCGATCTGTAAACGATTCCTACAATAAATCACCAATATTGTACGTTTGTCTTTGCATTACACTTTAACTTTAGCCTCTGTAATGCAGCGTATAATTAATTTACCTACGAAATTCTCCCGGTTCTGTAAAGATTGTTGAGTTAGTAATGGAAACCACAGAACCATTGGAGGTTCCAGTTCCAACTCATTATGCATTGTAGAAATGATGCCTGATAAACGAGATCACAGTTCCTGCTCAAATAGCATTTAGTGTATATATTTAGGCTGATCTATAGCTCCACCATCTCTACCGTTCAGAGATTGAATGCGAATTTGACAAGACACAGGACACTCAAACCTCTGCACGATGGAGTTGATTAGCTAGCTGAAAAGGTTGCTTCACCCACTCAAGCAAAAATACTTTAGAATTTGATTTTTAAACTTTTTATTTTAAGATTTTTTTGCAATTTTTTGTAATTTGTTTCTTTAACTCGTCGGAACAACAACTCTAAACTTAAATTTCGACTCTCGTGCGCGGTGTTTCCTTTGAGAAAGGGCCATAAAACTAGGAAATCAAAATATCATTATCATAAATAAAACTTGCCTAGGTGCAAATGAGTGGGATAGCGTTTGGGGAACTAGGAGGTGAACGGGGTTCCGGTTCGACTGGTGATTGGTGAGCTAGGTGCGGGGAGGGGATCCTCCCCAGGAATGCTGTTCGCCCTTCTGAATCTCTTCCGTTTCCCTTCTTAACTTCTTAACTGGCGTCCGCGCGGAAGAGGAAGCGCCGCTTGCGGGCGTCCATCTTGGGCTCCCGCACTTCCGGTTGCGACTCCGTTTCCGGAAGAGCCTCCTTTTCCGCTTCCGTTTCCGCTTCCGTTTCCGCTTCCGTTTCCACCTTGCTCACCGTAACGGGCAGCGTCTGCACCTTGGTCATGGCGGGTTCGGCTGGGGATATCCGCTTGTAGATGGGCAGGATGAGCTCCTCCCCCTCCTCCTTCTCCGCCGGCTGGGATTCCTGCTCCGCTTGCTCCGCTTGCTCCTCTTTCTCCTCCTTCTCCGGATTGCTGTGCACCAGGGTCATGGGCTCAGCAGCTCCGGGTGTGAGGATCAGCTCCATGGGAGCCATCTGTTCCTTTTTGGGCGTCTGGTCCAGTCGCTCCTTCACCAGCTCCACGATGTCGTCGATGCTGATGGATGGCATGTAGGCGGAGGTCACCACATTCTCCTGGGCGTCATCGTTCTGGTGGGTTTCCTCTGGCTTAACCACTTCTTCAGCTTGGGATTCTGGACCGTCTTCCTTGATTTCCTCAGGAATACTTTCCTTGGCTTCCTCAGGAGAAACTTCTTCGGCGGGAGTTTCCTGCTGGAGTTGCTCGCTGGCTTCCTCTTTGATTTCCTCAGGAACGGCTTCCTTCACCGCCTCCTGAGCAATTTCCTCCTGAACAGTTTCCTTTACTTCTTCCTGAGTACCTTCCTTGGGATCCTCAGATCCCTGAGAGATCGGTGAATCAGGCTGAACCTCAACGGGAATCACCTGAACTGGAATCTGATAATCGATTGGCATGTGCTGCAGCTGCATGATGTTGATGATGGGAGAGTCCTTCATAATCTGGGGCTTCTGCGCCTTCTGAACCTCCGATTCCTCCAGCAGCTGCTCCTCAACGGAGGCGTTCTTGTCCACGATTTCGGGCTCCGGCAGCTTGGCCTCCTCGATGGACACATCTGGGCTTTCACTCTTTGCCACTTCAGTCTCTGGTTTCTCTTCGCTCTTCTTCAGGGTGTTCAGGAAGTCGGTGATCAGCTGCTCCGCCTCGGCGGCCATCACGGGGTCGACTGGCTTGAAGCCTCCCAGCGATTCCTGGGCCTCTCCCTCGTGGCTGTTCTCCAGGATCTCCTCCACCAGCGAACTGTGCTGCTCCATTTCGGGAGTGGCTGGCATGCTCTCGGGTGCGTCGGCTGGCTTGGCTGCCTCCATTTCCTCGAGATTGAGGGGTTCTTCGTGGGAGCTGCTGGGTTCCGAGATAGCTGGCTCCGCCTTGACTTCCTCGTGATGTTCTTCATGGACTTCCTCCACCTTGGCTGGCACTTCTGGCTCCTCTTCTGCTGGGACTTCTTCCTGGGGCTTAACTTCCTCCTCCGCCTTAGTTGCTTCTTCCTCTGGCTTGACTTCTTCCTCTGTCTTGATCTCCTCTTCAGCCTTAACCTCTTCCTCTGGCTTCACCTCCGCAGTTGTCTTGGTTTCCTCCTGGTTTTCAACTATGCTCTGGCTTTCCTGAGGCTTAGATTCATCCAGACTTTCGACTATGACAGCGGGAATCTCCTCGAAGGCTTCTATGGGCTTTACATCCTCGATCCTCGTGTCGATCTCAACCTTTGATGGAACCTCTTCCTCGGCAACTGGCTCTGGCTGGACAAAGGTGACTGCTGGCTCGGAAGCCTGAGCCTCTGGTTCCTGGATTTTCACGGAAGTCATTTCAGGTTCCTGGATTTTCACGGGAATCATTTCAGGTTCCTGGATTTTAACCGGAATTATCTGGGGCTCCTGGACTTCCACGGGGATCAACTGCGGATCGGCGAACAGTGTTTGCAGCTTCAAAGTGGGCTGAGGTTCGTTGAGCTGGACGACGGGTTCAGTGACAGCTGGCTCACTCTCGACCACTTCCTCCACGGGTTTCACGGTTGTTGGCTTATTGAAAATCGCCGGACGCTTGCGAATTCCGTTGAAGAGCTCATTCCGCATGGGCGGAGCAGCAATGGCTGGCTTTATCGCCTGGGGCCTTTCCTTGTGGGGTCGGATGGTGAACCGCTGGGGCTTGATGGGCTTGGACTCCACCTCGACGTTGGCAACAGGTTCCTCCACCACGGGAGCGGCTGTCACCGGAACAGGGACCTTCCTCTGCGGCTGCGGCTTCCTGCGATTGGGTTTGGGCTTTTGCACCTTGACTGGCTTCACGGGCTTGGCGGGCTCTTCAGCTGGAGCAGGAACCTCCGGCTCCATCTCAACTGGCTTGGCATCCTCCGACTCCTCCTCCTGCTCCTGCTCCTCCTTATCGGGCTGCTCGCTCTCCACGGGAGTGGGCTTGCTCTCCTCCTCCGCAGGACCTCCGAAGTTGCCATTCAGTTCGTAGTACCTCGAGCTGTCCGCGCACTCGATGGTCATGTCCTCGCGACGCATGCAGGTGAAGGATTCCTTAAAAGGAATTTAAATTTATGGTATACATATATAAGTAATCAGGAGAGCATCACCCACCTGGCTGAAGATAGTCTCCTCGGGGCAGATGAAGCTCCAGCGGAAGGTGTTCTCCCGCCCGTCGGCGTAGGTGACTGGCAGGCAAACGTGGAAGATCTGGCAGTCGTTCTCCACATCCGCGTAGTAGCCGTAGGTCTTGTTGGCACACGAGAAGTTGTCCGTGATGTCCGACCGAATGGAGGTGGCGTTGCTGGGCAGGGTCAGGGTTCCCAGGGGAGTGGCTTCGGCTGGAGAGGATTCAGCCTCCGTTTCGGTCTGCTCCGGCATTTCCACCTCGGCTGGCATGGGTTCCTCCCGAGGCACTGCGGGTTTTCTTTTCTACAAAAGGGGTAGAACATGAAAACCTATTGTTAATAATTCCCAGATGCACCAACTATAAAGCTAATCTGTAGATATATTTATTTTTTTTATATGAACCGCTGTTTCCCCTTTTTATGTGAACATTCATGTTGCACCTTTCAACTCCTTAGCTTCGAGCCAATCCATTGTCTCATCGAATCACGACTTTTGTTTCGGTGTACGATTAGCCAGCTGTACAATCCATTGAGCTAACGAGGTACGTGATCGGCGTGGATAATCCCGCGAATCCAGCACGTGACTCTTCGATCGACTAGGCACCCGAAAAATTTCACTTGTGTTCTAGTTTTCGTCTACGCGGAGGCAGCGGCAAGTGAAAATTAAATCGAATCGAGTGGAATCGAATTGAAACGAAATGAAGCCCAAACCCAAACCTAAACCTCTGTGCAGTTCGCACCTGTTGCCGCCCTTTTAAGGGCCGCACTGCAATCGAAGTCACTTTCGAATGGAGCACTTGAATATTATCACATAACATTTTAGCCATACGCGTTTGTTATTAACTTATTATTTTGGGCGCTGCCTTTCGGTTAACTCAGGCGAAAACTTTCAGTCGCACAGAGACCTTTCTCGAAAAGAGCCTCCCAATGAGTAATGCAACTTAAAGAGAGTCTACAATCGGCGATTCTTGGAACCTTTTTCAGTGATTTCGCTGGCGAATTCTTGCCGGCTTCTGCCTGCTTCTACCTGTCATTAAGCCACCTGCAAGGCCTATAAATACCTTAGGCAGAGTCTTGGAGTCTCGGCCGTTAAAGAGGGCCAACCGCACGGCATACCAAGTAAGCCAGGCCAAAAGATGTGGCAGAGGCACGTTGGAGGGGCAAGAGGCAAGGCACATGCAAATGCCGGGGAGTCCAGGCCGTGTCCCATTAAAGTTTCATCGTATGGCTCGGCGGGCCGGCAAACATTTCGTTAACAGTTCCCATTTCCGTTAAGGCGAACGGAAGTGGTCTTCGCTGGCCAAGCTGTCTGTCTCCCACTTCTTTACTTCTGGACTTAGAACTCCAGCTGGCTGCCTGGCTGGCTGGCTGGCTGGCTGATTCCAACTCACCTGGTGGGCGGTCAGGGGTCCTGCACTGCAGGTGGCCGTCAGAACGAGCAGCAGGCACGCGTATCTCCACATTTTCACACACTGATTCTTCGGTTGCGCTCACTAAATGTCACTCGGCACTAAATCACATTCGATAATCCGTTTCGCGGGCTCTTTTTTTTGTTTCTGGTTGCGTGGGCGGTGTTTAATCCAATTCGATATCCAGGCTTTGTGGTTATATTTAAGATATATAGAGGTACAAAACCAAGGCTTGCACTCGCACTGCGGACGCTTTGCACACCTGTGAGGCACCGTTGGCTGGGAAATACTAACTGCCACCGTCCACCGAGCCGCCCAATTTATATATTCTTCGCGTTGATTTATTAAGAATGCAAAAAGGCAGAGAAACCGAAGAGTCACGCACACACCGAGAGCCCCGAAGAAAGGTGCGCACCACAGTGGGTACCTCAGCGTACCTCTGGTACAGTGACAACTCAATTACAACCGCACACCACTACCACCACCACTACTAGACCATCGATCGCCCGATCGCCCGATCGCCCTCTTCTGCGAGGACGTGACATTACGTATACGCACTGTGCGCTGGTGTGCGTCTCGGTGTGTTTGGCGCGCATGCGCTTAAAGTGTGCCGTCTTCTGTGGATTCCATTCCTTTGTGGAACCCAAATCGGAGAGCCAGCTGACAGCGGAAGAGAGCGGCCAAAAGAGGATGGCAATTGTCTCCGGAAGATTTGTCAAAAAAATAATAAGTAAACAGATAACATCTTAGCAAATATTTGGTAAATAAATATTAAATAAAATATTCCCCTTACAAGACTTTTCTGGGAGTTCATTATTATTATTATTTCGATAAATTTTGGTTCATATAATTTTAATAACATATTGCTCGAGTGATTCCCCCTGGAATTAAATTCAAAACTTCAATAAATTCCCAAAGTTTCAGCTGCCAAGATCTTCCAGAGAACCCAGTTGGTTCTGTGACAATGTTTTATTACCAAGAAATTGCTTATCCATTAGCAGTTCCCCACAATGGCAGATGGGTGACGAAGACACTGGTCCGCAGCGAAGATTACACTCGAAAGATTGCCCCTCCGACGACGTGAGATTGCAGTTTTATGGTGTTTGCTATATGGTGTAGCATGATTCTGCTAGAGATGGCCAAACATAAATTCGATGGGGTTCATTGGCTCGCCCCCGGGCGCTCTGCGTGGAAGGATTATGCAACAAACGAAATATCATCAGGCAGTGACTTTCACACACCCGAAAAGCGAAGTAAACCCTCCGAGACTCCCGAAACAAGCGAAGCCTATTAGGGCGCATTAGCGATTTAGAATGGAGTGCTACCATTTCGCATGCGAGCGAAGTCCACGTATTTTTCGTGGTGCCGTATTACGCGACAATTATGAATTTCTAATGCGGTGATTAGTGCGTAACCCTTCCCCCACCTCGGGTTCTATCGAAAATCACGTACACCCCGGCTCAAAAAGCGAAAGCTACAGAGGCCATTGGCTTCGGAAATAGCTATAAAGCCATGATTACAATTATGGTATTTCTTATTAATTATTTATCGACTGGCGCTAGTCAGTTGTCGTGGCTGTACTCGGTCGTAAAACCTAAAGGCGGTTTATCAAAGCTGCCTTTTCGGACTATCTGATGTTGTTCATCTTGTAAGTGAACCGAGAGCTGCTGGCATATTAATAAGGTAAGTAGGTTTTTGAATTCTGGAGAACATTGTGCGAAGGTCACTCTCTGGAGAGTCTCAATATAAAGGTAAATAAATAAAATATTAATACATATATTCTGACTTATCATGACATTACTAAACACTTTATTAAATGGAAATAGAAAAGAAATATCCCAAAATAGAACAACACTTCACTTTTATATACTTCTTTCTATCGATAAAAAGCAATCAAATTGATAGATTCCCCGAATAAACCCTTTATATCTGCCATTAGTGAAGCTCCTAAAGCGCGATCGTTGGCATGCCTTCATGCACCTTATCGCACTTGGCAACAGAAACCCGAATGCATTTTGCACGAGTGTTGGCCAGCAAGGAGACACAAAGGGCCCAAACCCAGAGCGAATCGTGCGGAGATAAGCCAGTTGACAACAAGGCGACGTGTCGAGTTTAAGGCAGAAGTTCTGCCTTCGGGCAAAAAGCAGAATCATGACTGGAATTATGAAAAATGATTTATTAATAGACAGGAGGTGCGAAGGGGGAGGGCAGAGCCCACTTGGGCATTGTTTAAAAATTGCCTGAAGAAATGCAGCAGCGAAAATGCTTCTTGGACTTGGGACTTTTTCTTTTGGTCTTTCGGGGTTTTCTGCCGCGATTATAATGCAGCGAAAAAACACGTGTAACTTTCTAAAATGCAAATTGCACTGCAATGGAAAATCATGAGTGCTTTTCAATTTCAGAAGCAGCTGAAATTAAGCGCGAGGGCGTTCGAATTAAAATGTGTGGAATCGGCCCTTCATTTTCTGCCACTGATCACAGAGTCGCGTGCACGCTGCGTATACGTGATGTGGCAAGTGGCAATCGACGCGGGGCGTTGCAGTCCACCAGTCCACTTTCTAGCGGCAGTTAAATTAATTAAGTCCCCATCAAGTGCCGGGTTGACAGTTCACCTGACAGCGGCACGTCGTCGCCTGTCACTTAGTGGAGCACTCGGCGGAACGCGGCTAGAAATTTTCCAGGGGCCACTGCCAAATGTCTTGACCCACGCCCACTTCCCCGGGAACTTCCTTTGGCCAAAATCAAAACCAGACTCCATTGATACTATTTATGATTTTTCGCAAACACCGCACGTTATTCTCACCGTTATTCCACCCGAACCCAATCCCCAATCCCCAATCCCCATTGAGCAAACATTCGCGCTGCGAGAATTTCAATTGATTGTTTTAGCGTTTTCGGTTTTTTCGATTTTTTTTGGCAACCTATCGAGAACAGATCGTATCTGCATGATATATGACCAACAGCCACTCCCACCAGACATTCAGATCGACACCACCGCCCACTTTAGGCGTAAGCCAAAGTCCGACATGCACAGCGAAAAAAAGTTACTTGTTTTTTTCCCCTTTTTCTATCGAATTTTTTCTTTATTTCTGAAATAAAAATTGTAATTACTGTTATTTGAATCGTTATATATATTTATTTCTCAAGGATATATATTATCTATTTAAATTGGCATCTTCTTATCTGCTTTTTCTTCCTGTGCAGAGTTTAGAAAGTGTTGAAAACTAAACTATTTCTGTTTCTCCGACGATCAATTATGTGGCACACGTCTGCAGACACCTTCGGTTCCAGTTCCAATCCCATCCGATCCGATCCGATCCGATCCCATCCAAGCTGGAACTCGGACTTGCTCCCACGCATTGAGCCAAGTCAATTGAATTTTTATGGCCAATTTCATTGATTTTAATTTTGCTAATGATAAGCGTTTCTTTGCACGAAACTCCCACTTGATAACGAGCGTGTTGCGGCATGTCAATTCGCTTTTCCCCACGCCGCATTTTAATGGCCCAGGGCTTTTCTTTCGGTTAATTTAAACAAGGTCAATATCACAATGTGGCAGCCAAACGTGTCAGAATGTGTGTGAATCTGATTAGGCGTAAATTGACTTTCTTTTCGCCTCTGAACCTTGCTTCTCATACATTTATTCAAGCGAAGGCACTGATTTTATTTTTCGCCCCAGACAATTTCTCAAAAATATCCTCCTTTTATTTATTAGCCATAAATCAGGCGCTCGCCTTGTCAGACGTTTGTCAAACACAAATTTAATTGCTTATTACAAACATTTTGCGCATCTTACTTGGCATTCAAGGCGCGATCTGCGCATGCGCAAATTGCTCGGTCTTCGGCGACACCCAAAATATTGATGGGTTCCCGGGTTATTTTGGCTATTTGGGCGCACGTCTCCCCTATTTGGTATTACGGAGCAGTAGGAACCAGAATTGGGCCACCGCATTAGAATCAAATGCACGGGCCAGCAGGTGAAACTTCTTCAGGAATTTCCAGCCAGAAGTGACCGCATTCTGATTGGGGGACCGATTATAATGAACATACCTCCATTGGGAGCAGGAAATGACTAGGCAATTATGATCGGAAATTTTAGGGGGTAAGTGAGGTTACATTTGAACAACCAATCGATGTCAACTATCAAATCTGTTTCTTTAATAAGCATCATATAACATAAGAGTACAATAAATAATTTGCATAAATAACTTAAGCCTAGTTTGTTTTTTAATCGCTGCGAATGTATCCGAAACAGTTCTCGATTTCTCGTTACAGGTAAGTTTAAAATTTAGATTTAGATTACAGTTAAGGCATTGCACTAACGGGGCTAAGGGTTACAGCTAAAATTGGTTTACTGGCATTCTCATTGTGCTAAAATTAATTTTGCGCTAGGGCTTCGGGGATTATTTAATAATCAGCATCAGCATCGTCGTCGTAGTACGAAGTAAATCGAAGTAAGTACAATAAATATGTCTCCATTGGAGGTCAGAGTTCAGGTGGTGGGGGGTTGTTGGGTTGGGGGATTGTGTGGTTTTTTGGGGGGGATCTACTGCCACTGGTTGCGGTAGGCCAGGTAGTGGGGGTCCTGGAACTGCGACTGCTGCGACTGCGACTGCGACTGGCGCACCTGGTAGCTGTCCGTGGAGGAGTCGACGTCCTCGACGGAGGGGTCCGTCTGCAGGGAGCGCTTCCAGTAGCTGCCCGGCTCGCTCCAGTCCTCGCCGTGGTCCTCGTAGTGGTGCTGATGGTGGGCATGTTCAACGTATACAACCTAGTTAGAAAATATGCAAGACGTGTGCCGTGAAGTGAGAAACACCAGAGGAAGTACCAAAGAGGCCCAAGAGTGTGAGTTGTGGGTGTTCAGTGTTCAGTATTCAGTTATCTGTTTTCTGTATTCAGTATTCTGAGTGTCTGGGTGTCAAGTGTCTGCCTGTCTGCAAGGACTCCCTCGGAGAGGAGACTCCAGTGCGGCTCATCCGCCCAAAACTCGTACTTACACTGTGTGGGGGAAAGCTTGAAACGACAACGGACTCTAAGATCTGTTTTGGATTTTGGGTCTTAAAGCGTAATCTGTTATTAGTGAACACATTGCTTGGGTTTTACTTAATCAGAGTTGCACGTTTGTGAGCTGTCCAAAATGTTACCATATCTGAAACCAAAGAGGTCTGAATTTGTTAGCATACGGCACACTGCGGAGTCGTTATTAGGTGGAACTCTGGTGGTTGAAGCTGAAGAGGATCTGGAGTTCATCCCCAAAAACAGTTAGAGAAGTTAGAGCGCTCGGGTGATGTGGAAGGAGGCAACGCATTTTACAATCTTTATATACATCTTGTGGGGAAGAAATAGCGAGAGGAAGTAGCAGGGCACACAGAAAGCAAGTTGTTTGTAGATCCCAATGTGATTGAGGTGAATCTCAAAATATTTCTTATACTTAAAAAGTTTATATACATTTCAAAAAGATAAAATTCATTTTATGTTCTTCAAAGAGATTCACCTCATCACATATTTTTCTGTGTACACATAAAAGTGAGAACTCTGACAACAAACCTCGGCCAATATACATTTTCGATCGACTTATGACTAGTGTATGGACATTCTTATCAGAACTGAAAGAGTGCAAGAATCCGTTAGAGTCGGGAATACCTGGGTCTAGCAACCTGAACAAATGTTCGTGTGTGTCAGTACAAAGGGGTTTTCAGCCCGGGAACATCTCACAGGATCACAGGATCCGGGACCCAAGCTCAACTCACCTTCGAGGGCGGACTGCCCCGCTTCACGTCGATCCAGAATCGGGCTATATTGATCAGCAGGCCGATTAGGGCTATGGCAAAGAACTTGACCTGCAGATGGGCTCCCAGGATCTTCAGCAGCAGCTCGATCTTGGCCTTCAGGAAGCTGCCGATCATTATGAACTTGGCCAGGGCCTTCTTCTTCTTCTTCTTCTTGCCACGGGTCACTATATAGTGTTCGAATAGATGGGATCGGGAGTGTTAGTCACGAAATGCTATGAATGGCTTGCACTTACTTCGCTAAACTGAACAAGAACGCAAATAATATTCAATTCTTCGTTTGGGAGGGTGGTGTTTGTTAGTATGAACTGCAGTGCGTGTTAGGTGCGTAAACGATAACGAAACGGCATTCAAAAAAGCAAGCGAAAGCAGGCAGTAAACTTATTTAAACAAAAAAGGAGGTATTTGAAACTATAACTAACTTAAACCGATGTATTTAACATTAAGCTGGTCACTGCTTAAGTATTTTATAAAACTTTTCTATGCTTATAATTTAAAATGTAACTGCAGGTAAAGTAGAGAAGTTGATATTCAAAATGTAACGCCTCGCAGAAGTCTTTCGTTTATAGGCAGCGCCATCTACACAGCTTAATGCGTAAGCTTTACTTCTACTTGTATCGTACAGATGGCGCCACCCAACATTGAAGGTTCAACTGATCTAAAAACCAATTATTGGGTACTCTTAAAAGAATTGATCTTTAAACAAAACTTACGAAAATAAATATGAATTAATATATTCCCATACTTAAACCATTACCTATTTTTCAACAAAAGCAATAAACTCTTAAGCCAATTTAACGAGATAGGCTTTCTTCGGTGGACCAAAGATAGGAAGCTACTGTTTCTACCAGATTATTTACATACAAATTTAATGAATGGCTTGTTGAAGTTCTTATTACCGTTCCACTACCTTGATTTCCACCGAAAAAGGTCTAGATCTCGAACCAAACTGGAAACTTAGTCATAGAAGGCACTGAGTTGTGCTTGGGAAAACGGTGCGCAAAAGTCATGTAAAACCACACGCAGCAAACAACACACACCTCCGTTACTTCTACCATAATTAAGGGGGTTCCTGTGCTTGCGCTTTCCACCGCCGACTCCGGACAACACGTCATCGGCATCGGCCAGCTCGTCGAGGAGCCCCAGTCCCAAGCTCAGGTCGCTCTGCTCGTGCTCCACCGCCGTCGTGGATCCGCCGTGCTGACCCTTCCGCTTCCGCTTGCCCTTCATGCGGCGGTTCAGCTTCTGCTTCCGCTTCTTCATCGGCTTTCCCACCGGCTCGTCGTCATCCACGTCGTGGCTCACCACCGAGGAGACGCCTTCATGTCCCGAGTCCACTTCGTGGTGCTCCGGGGCCGCCTGAACCACCACCAACGTGGCAGGTTGCGTCTCGTGCCCTTGACCCTTCTTCTTGTTCTTCTTGCGCTTGCCGCCCTTCTTGTTCTTCTTCCGCTTGCCACTCCCACCGCCTCCACCTGGTTTCTTCACGGCACCCGCCGCATTCTCCTCGGCGTCCTCCAGTTCGATGAACTCTACACCTGTTTGAGAAAAATTAAATTAATTACTTAGTTACGAAGCTATCCATAAAATGATTATTAAATAAATAAATATAAGAATAGGAAAAATATATTGGGAATTTGTTTAAAGTTCTGTCATATAATAAATACCATTCGAAGTGTTTTCCTCGGGAAATCCAGGGTTTTTCCCACCACTTTGCGGCTGCGCAGCTGGCGAACCACTGAAGACACTTGGCGTGCTTTCCTTTTCATTTTCACTTTCGGGAGCCGAAACCGCCTCATCCACGTCCTCGTCTTCATTCTCCGCTTGTGGTTCCTTTTCACTTTCAGTTTCCTGATCCTGATCCTGCTCTGCGGTGCTGTCCGAGTCGTCGTCCTCCTCGTCCTCCTGGTCGTCGTCGTCGTCCTCCTCCTCCTCATTGTTGGCATCCTCGTCGCCCTCATCCGCGTTCTCCTCCTCGGCCGCGTCGCTTTCATCTTCTGCCTCGGCGGCATCCGCCTCATCCTCGTCTTCCACGCTGTTTCCACTCTGATCGGTTTCACTATCGTCGTCCGCAGCTTTCGGTGTCGGCGTCTGCAGATACTCGTATTCGCGCCCCAGGAAACTGCAGGTGGAGTTTGGGAAAAAAAGATGACAGGAAGAGATGAAAACGCTGGCCAAAATGTGCACCCAACTAGTTTGTCCACCGGCACACACACTCACCCATCCATCGACTCGGCCAGGTATTTCTTCATATAATTCGTGCCGATTTCAATTTTCTTGAGGATGGAAGACGGCTTCTCCTTCACTGGCAACTCCGAGGTGCTGTAGCCGCGTCTCTCGATCGTCGCGTTCATCTGCCGATCGGCCTCGACTGTCCCCGAAAAATAAGTGGAAATAAGTGGAAATAAATTGGTGAGAAAAGAAGAAAATGTTTTCGCTTTTAATTGCCTTTTTATGTAAATCCTTAGCACCTTCGAGGTTTTCTGGGAGTTGCGTGTAAAATTAGCTATACGAAGTCATTGATTATCGCACTAAGTGATCACCAAATTTAGTTTTTTCGGCTCTTGCTTAGATTTTCATCCGCAAAAGCTCTTTGAACTTCAAATTTAGCTAAGGGGTCGGTGAAATTGCCAACTTTTCCTTACTACCATTATTATTTTTGCTTGCATACTCGAATGTGGGAAAAGTCTTGCCAATGAAAACTGTTCCCACTTGTTGCTGGTAACAATTGAAGTTTATATTAACTTTAATACATTTAATGGGAAATGATTTAATTCGGAAAATACAAAAATATTCTGTCATGGTTATTAAATTTAAAAATAAATATTTAACTCTGTATAGAATTTATCGAAGCTAGTTCTTGTGAATATATCTACTTCAAAATAATAGCTTATTACATTTTTTCTTCGGTTAGTATAACTATTCACTCACCCTTTAGTTTCTGCCACTGGAGGTGGAGCTCTCCGTCCCAGGCGTCGAGGATCCTCCCGGACTGCTGGCGGGCACAGGTCCAGGGCTCCGCTCGGAGGGGGCACAAGGCCAGGTCCAGATAGGGGGACACCTCTGCAGAGATACGGAGACACAGTTTATGGAGATCAGCACAAATGCGAATACAAATAGGCGGGACTGGGCAAATATTTGATGGAAAACTGCCAACAAATTGGGCAAACTGCGACCGACAGCTCCACTGACTTTCGTTAGGCTTTCGTAAGCTCATTGGGGATTTGTGGTCTGATTTGGCAGACATGGCTAAAACGGTTATGGCCATGGCCATGGCTCTGACCAGTCTTCAGTGTTCGGATGTGGCCATTTCCAGCCAGTGCAAATATTTGAGTGAAAGTATGTGTGTCCACCACTCGGCACTCGGCCAGCACCACTGGCAATCATATCAACACCTTGTGTGGTTTTTTCTGGCCAGCAACCACCGATGGACGAGTGGTGGTTGCTGTGGTGGTGCGTGCAGATGGATGTTCCCCCTTTTGGCCACCGGTAACCTCGCTTGTTCGCGGCGCGAGCCATGTTTCAGTTGGCATCGGAGATTGCCATCAATCAGCGATGGAGTGAAATGCCCGCCGATTGCCGTCAATTAAAATTATTGTTACCAGTCGTCGTTAATCGCATCTTAATTCGAGCCCATTTAATGGCGAATAAATTAATTTGTCGCGTTGACAAAGACGCCATTGAAATTATAAACACTCTTAGTTAAAATTTTAAAAACAATTAAAGAGCTTTAGATACAATCAGCTAGTGAGTATAAACTTAACAAAAATAAAAAGGAAATACTTTGCTGTATAGTAGAGTAACTTGAAGTTGGAATATACACTTTTTTGGAGGTCTTCTGTGAAGAGTTAGTGTCCCAGGGCATTATTTATTTTCCACTCACTTAATTGCTGGCAATTTCCATATTTTCGTACAAATTGAGCAACTATTTTCACTACTTTAATTCATTAGTATTTGCTTAGGCCTTTTGTTGACTTAATGGCCATGTTGCAGCTCGGAACGAATCGTGATAAGTGAAAACTTAATGTGGCTCCATGTGGGTTTTCTCATGTCGCTCGTTGTCTCTTTGTCACAATTTATTTGGCTCATTTCACTTTCGATGACACCGACACAGCGCGTACTTTGACCCAAGGCTCCCAAGGCTAATACTTCCCAATTCAATGCCATGGAGAAAGCCTCCCGCTGGGGAGGGGGAAAATAAGGAGGGGATGTCGGATTGTCGGATGCCACCAGCCTGTGAAAAATTGTTTACCTGCGACTCGTGGTGACATCCCGTAGATAACATCCTGCTAAATTCAACCCACGCCGCAAGCAACTACAGCAACAACTACAACTAGGAAAAGCTGGCCAAGAAAAGCTGGCCAAGAATGCCGAAAACCGAGTAAGGGAGCAAGGAGTGCCGCCAGGGAAATCGAAGTCTCTGGGGAAGTTCAAAGAAAGACAATTCGTGACCGAGACGCACTTGCAGAAATCTTCTCCTGAAAATACTTTAAATCGCAGTTAAGCATTTTGCTTCTCCTCTTTTTGTTAGAGTCAGATTCACTTTTTATTATACAACACCAATTTTGAGCATCAGTACTTGTTTTTTGCAAGTGTACTCCCTGGCGAGCATCTTCGATCTTTGCGACTGTCTTTTCGGCCGACAAATGTGGCACATTATTTGCAGCAGCTTGGGAGCTGCTTAGTAGCCATTCTGCTGCCTTTTGCCTTTTGGCATTTGCCATTTGGTGTGCTGGCCTTTTCACTTTTCTTCACAATTTCGCTGGCAGGGCGTATGGTAATGCGATGGCGATGGCAATGAAAATGCCACCGACCAAGACCGAAGCTCAATCCCTGTTCCTAATTTCCGATATCAAGGGGACTTTCACTGCAGTCGCAGTCGCAGTCAATGCGTGGCTTACTTATAGTTATGGATAATGTAAAATACAAACTACTACCCTTGGCTCCATGATGGGTGACGCATTTGGGCCTTGGACATGGTAATTCCTATGGTGAGCCTCGCTTTAACTGGCAACTGTAAACTGCCGCCGGTTTGCTGGCCATGTGGGCCAACTCGCACCATTGGCCAAACTCAGACTCAAACTCAAACTTCGCCTGCGGCTAGTGGCCATAACAGTAGCTCGTAAAACATAATCACTGGAAATTCTGAGTTATTTTGTTTGGCCAGATTAAGTTGTAAACTCGAAATGCAGCCACGGTGCATCGTGTGCGGCATTTGAAAGTGAATTGAAAAATTAGACGGCTTCTGAGGCTTTTCTTCAGGGTGAATTTTTAATGAGATACCAATTCGTATTCATATTTTACCCCAAGGCTTAAATGTACTACAATGTATATATTTTGTTGTAATTTGTTGCATGCTTATGTTTATGTTTTTCCAGCCCATTGGGAATGCTTTTTATGGCAGTGGTAAATAAATTGGTACATTGAAAGTAAAGGTTTGGTTGGTTATTCCGAACAGCCTAGTTTCAAAGGTAATAGGTGTTCTCTGAAAAGAGAAATTATCTTATACATTTGTTTACTTGAAAACATCTTCATCTGCAATTATTCAGTCTGACAAGATTTAAATTAAATGTAACAAAATTGATTCTTTTTGTCTGTAACAACCAAGCACTCTCAATTTAAATCGCCGCAAACCTTTTAGGGTAGCCAAATTAAAAGCAATGATCTAGTGGTTTCAGCATTTAAAGCATCCCAGACTTCATTACAAAAGAATTTTATGGCCATTATAGAAATCGGACGGAACAATGTGGCACTCTTAACCGTTAGCGAGCGACCCATCAGCCAGTTGGATTTACTATAAGAAACTTTGGACATGTGAGCTGAGCTCCGCGGAGCTTGAAACTTTAATAAACTTTCACTGGTTTCGATCTGGCGCAGAATTTGAATTGAAGACACCGCCGACGACGACGAGTCAACCGCAGAGTTAAATGCGAACTCAAAACCCAAACAAGACATGGCCATTGGCAACAACTCAAACAACAACCGCGCACATGTTGTTTATTGATTAGAGCTCCACTTTTGCTAGGCAAATCTATGGATGCACCGGGGGAAAAGTGTTGCTTACTTCAACTAAATGTTGTTTAAAGACTTCATGTTTTCATGTTGGTATGCAAATATGTTCACAAGCCAAGAAAGCTAAATAAGATAAGATGCACTTTTCACGCTCTGTATTTATATATAGAAAAGTAGTGAAGAAAATAAAAGTTTTCCAAGAAACGGCAAGTCCGAGTGCAGATACTTTTCCCGATCAGGTTTGCCCGCTAAGTGAGAAGTATCCACCTGCCAATTACAGAAGTATTTCCACATTTTTCCCTGTGTGGCTCTGGCTGAAACTGAAATTGTAATCCAAATCCAGCTCAATGCCTACGCAGCAACCCAGTGGCGACTCAAACTTGACAGATGGAGTTGAAGCGGTTACAGCTTCATGCGGCTCCTCCAGTTGACCATCTTTCAATTCGCTGCCAACTGCCAAACTGGGCGAGATGCCAATGCCTGAAAAGCGGCAATTAAAAAATGAAATTAGATTTCATTCCAGTGAAGCAGCAGCAGCACTTTTCATTTTGTGCGCTCGGCTTCGACCAAAAATGTCACCAATGTCGTTCCGTTTAGGAGTCATCCAGCGGTTTCCAGTGGCTTTGTTTGCCTTTTGGTCAGACCCGTTCCTCTTCGGACCGGGCTTATTTAAATAGTAGGTGACTCGCCGCCTCGGACACTCTCACATACAAATATGACGGTTATAACCCAATTACGAGCGCTTTTCGAGTTTTTCTGTTGTGTTTTTTCGCCTCGCTTGGCTTTTGGTGTCGGCGCAATTTGTACAACTCCCCGGAATGGAGACCCCGCCACTCCTCCTCCACCAGCTCCCTTTGGCTTAACACCACCAACTTGGTGTAGTCTCTGTCTAAATCCGAGAGCAAGACGTCAACTTGTTCGGACGGCTGTTTATCCACTCTTGTGTTGTTTGGGTTGCCGTTGTTATTCTGACTTTTACAGGTGTTTCCCTTCGGGAGGTGGGCTTGGTGGAAAAGTTGGGGCTTGGCTGGGATTACTTTTAGATATGAGAAGTATTTGATTAAAGAGCTAGTCTTTGTATCTTCAAATACAAAGCCATACAAATGTCGCCGTGTGTAGTGCATTATATATTAATCTTAAAATACAATAAGAATACAAGATTTATTCTACGCTTGTTTGAAATTAAAAAAAATATTGAATTCTGTTTAATGTTGTTTCAGTAAAAAGAATAACCATCAATGGATACTCCAAGTAATCACTTTTAAAAGAAAAGCATATTCGCATAAGTTAAAACTTTGGAAATTACTGCACATATCTTCTCTTAGGTTATTTTTACTTATCATCCGAATTTTCATTTTAAATCCAGACAAACTTATCAGATAATCACTAGACTCCCCCACTCAACCCCAGATATTCCACCCTCTACTTTCTTAATTAAATTTACATATTCCCCCGTCGAGTGTATTTGATATTCGTTTAATCGGCGGGCAAAACGTTAACTCATGTTGCGCTGCCAGTTCTTTAATGACTCGACATTCAGCGGAGTCTATCGTAATACCCGACCAGCCGCCCTTCTTTCGGTTCTGGTTTAGTTGGCTATGACCCATATTACTTGCTCAGAAGCAGAAGCAGAAGCAGATCGAGACGTCAAGTGCCCTAAACGATAACGACGTGTGTTTCTTTCGGGTGATTCTTTCTTCTTGCACTTGTGCCTTCCGCTTGCTAATTGTTCGCCATGCACCCGAAGCTTTTGGGAGAACCAGAAAAAAGAACCCAGTAGGATCAAAAGCAGAACAGCAGCGGTCAGGAGAAGAGTGTCGTACGCTCCATAACGTAACAGATCCAAAAAGGCAGGAACCAACTCGCATGCAGCTAGTTTGTTATGCTGCATTGCCCATAAAAGTCACCCGAAGAAATCTCATTTGGAGCCCCACAATGTCAAGTGAAAAAGAAAAGTATGAGAAGTACTACACTTCAAGCTGGTAATATAAATCATTATGAATTTATGCAGAGACCTATTTCCAGCAAAGAAGCTTGTGGAAATAGATTATTTTAAGCTGTTTTAAGTTGGTTAAAGAGAGTGCAACTTAACCACAAACTAAAACCGATCAGTTTCCCAGTTTTTCTCTATGTACGGGTACTCCCCTCCTTTCTGGCCAAGATTAATGCCCGTTTGTGTGTGGCAGCCTGACGCTTTTGATGGATCTGTGGCCACTCCAGTGGCTCGTAAATCTCTCGCGATTCTTTGGCAGTGACAGTGGCCACTTTCGTTTGGCGGCTGGCCGATTATATAATTGCCGAACGCTGCTGAATCGCCACTCTCACAGGTCCGCTTAATGAACTGAAATTTCACTGCAATAAAAGTATTTCACTGGGGCTTTTGTTTATGTTTTGATTGCTGCCACTCGCTGGCCACTCGTAACTCGACTAGCAAATGGAATACTTGGTAAAAATTCAGAGAAATTCGGGGGCTGTGAGAGACCTGCCTTTGATTGGGGAGCTGGCTTACCATTTAATCGGCGGCCAACGGGGGCGGGCGTTACGGCCAGGCTTACTAAGTGGCGGGCTGGCAGACTCCAGGCTTCGGATAAGGAAATCTGCGATGGCAGGAGCAGGCAGATCAGGCCTGCTATAACATAAGGCTGCCAGTCCATTTCGCTGGCAGATGGCAGATGGCTCTCCTCTCTTGGATTATATATTGAATATATATGATTGTTTATACACTTGCACCGTTAGGTGGAACCAGAAGGCAGAGTCAACACACTTGATTTATATACACTTATCGACACGCACGAGAACAACGGCGCTTTGTTCCATTTTCGAAACCCGAAATCGAACCGCACGAATTTTGTAACGAATGTTGCTAGTTGGCTTTGGCTTTGGCTCTGGTTGGCTCTACTGCGATCTGCTCCCGACCAAGTTCAAGGTAAGATTAAGCCATGACGCGCATACGTAAGAAGTTTTATACCGCCGCCCGACTTAAGAGAGTGCGATGTGAAAGCGCTCGCAGCGCGGCTCTTTGGAAAGTTGGCAGTTGGCATTGGAGCTGGCCAAAAGAGAGCCGCGTTCGTCTTCTTCTGTCCGCTGACTTGTTGGCCGGTGTGGATTTTAGCAAATGTGCGGCATGCACTGAACAAACGGATCAATTAAGCTGTCCGCTATGCGCATTTCCAGTGTCACACTAAATGCGCCACGGGAATTCTCGGGGGTTCGGTATGAGGTATTTGGTATTAGGTATCCAGGGTTCAGAGTTCAGGGTCATATGTGAACCAACGAACTCCGACTTGACCCGCATAGGGAGCTATTTTACAGGTATTGTCTCGGGCAACTGGAAAAGAGATGGAAAGAGATTCATCTCCCTCCGAACAAAAGGGGTTTTGGTTTTGGGTTGACCACCAACAAAGAACTCACATTTAATTCAGCTTTTGTTTCGTATGCAAATTTATTTACTTTACAATAAGTTCACTAGTTAGCCCACTTAAATCCTATTAATTTAATGGCTAAGCTGGGCTTATTTAAATAAAAAATTATCCGTTTGATTTAATAGTATTAAGTAAAGTATATAATTGGATTCTCTGTAAGCCATCTTAAACGGGAATAGAGTATCCCACTAATCGATAGCTAAACTTGATTTACAAGAGCACTGAATAATCTGCATCAATCATCTGGGAATGAATAACCCACAAGTTGAACTTCACTTTTCACTACTCGCTTGAACTCCTTGATATCATTGGAAATTCATTCGTGAGATGCTAATCCTGTAACGAAATGCCTGCATGGAGATGCAAATCCTGCAGGGGGTCAAAAAGGTTCCTCTCCCATGGAAATTTTCCTCCAAGCAGCGATGAAATTTCCACCCACATTAGTGAACCAAAGCAGTAGCCAAAAAAGGGGTATTTAGCATACCCCTTCACCACTTTTACTTTCTTTCCCAACGAATTCATTAGCACCTCCCAGCTGTTGCATCGAAATTTGGTAATCAAATTAACAACAGCGACACAGTTGCATCATTGATAAATTCTGGCTGTGAAAAGACCCATTTTTCACCTGACGAGCAAATGAAAAATGAAAGTTTTCTATCCGTTTACCCGAGTCGAGCCCACAATTGACTTTGGCAATTGGCGAACTAATGCTATTTATCTGTAAGGGCTGGGCCTACTTCAAAAACCGATCTTTAGAAGAGTGAATATCAAAGGGGCGCCACCCTAAATACTGACACGCTGAAAAAGAAAGTTGGCACAATCCATTGATAATACAAAATCGAAGTTTTGAACGAGGTGTGACCGAATCGGGGCCCAGTCCCATTTGGTCAATCCCATTTGGTCAACGCACTCGCACACTGCTCGAATTTCTGATTAGCCGCATTACGAAATTACGAAATTATCCGTTGTGAGCTGCGATTTAGCGGAGAATTCGTGATGGACGCTCACTTGTATGTATCGTGGGTATATCTTTCATATCATATATCAATTTCACTTTCCGCGGACAGGCGACAGGCAATTAAGGAGACATAGGGCTGCCAAAGACGTCGCCGAGTAGGTAGCTAGTGGGTTAATAAGGTAGTTGACATCCCATCCAACCCACCGACTTCAGGTGCCCGTTCCCAGCCGCGTCCAATTATCATGTTAGAAAGAGAGTGAGAGCGGCCAGATCCGCTGACAGCACGTCCCCAACCCCCAAGATCCCCAATCAGGCTCGTACATGCAGAGAAATACTGAATAATAATGGAAGCATTGTATACTGTTTTAAGCAAAAACAAAAAAGAAGCCTTATACCCTTGCAGTCATAAAATTTATTAATTTCAAAAACCATACCAAGTCAGGGGACGATGCACTGCATCCTGGAGTGAAGTCCAAGAAAACGTAAAAAATATTTAATTATCATTGCCGATGACGTGGCGATTGGTAATGTAATTAACATTACATTTACATTACATTACATTAAAAATTAAAATTAATGTTAACTTCATGTTATCTAACATTTTTTCTGGTGTTAAATTTGCATATTACAAGTTCAATATTTTAATTTCAGTGATCAGTCAGAGAGGGGTAAACATTTGATCTTTGGTTGAAGAACCAAATTTACTTACTTAGAATTTATTTTCAGATTAAACTTTGAGTTTGGTTAAGAAATGATTAATCAAAAGGTATAGTATATCTAATTTTTCTTTTCGTGCACTTGTGACCATCAGATGGTTGGCCCAGTGTCTTGGCTGTCAGTTGGATGCAATTATCCACATTTTCTATACAGCGAAGCCGAAGATGCTGGCCGCTGTGCATCTGTCGATGCTCATGATTTGTCGCTGGCGAGCCGGCTTCCATCCAAATGTAATGGACAGAAAAACCTTTGGAGTATTTCAATAATCGCAGTTGGCCACTGGCTGTGCGTTAGAAAGCCGCCTGGTAGAGAAATCCGGTGAGCATTTTCATTTATTGCTGCTTTGTACTGGTCTAGCTATTATATTTCGCCCCTGCCGCTGGTTTGGCCTTATCAACTGCTGGCTTCAAGCAGCGCCATTTTGATTTTGGCACGGCTAACTAATTAATCGAGGCGCCCGACTAAGGCCGTCCTCCGCCGACAAAGAAGACATCACCGGCGGACCTGTCAGTCAAGTCGCTCCGCAGACGTCACCGGCCCACACTTATGACTTACGACTGGCTAATGGCTGGCACCGCCGCATCTTGGCCAAGTCCACCAACTCACCAGCTAAACAGCTCACCAGGTCCTCCTATAAATTAGTCAGCCAGCGAGCAAGATTCCATAACGCCAGTTGGCCAGCCTTGGGGATCCCGGGAGCGGGGGATGAGCGGAATACAGATCGTCATTACATGCCTGCTCGGCTGTCTGAACGCCTCTAATTGCGTCTGATAAATATTTATCGAGCACCTCGCCGCTGGCCGAATCTTGTTTGGCTCAAGTGGCCGTCGGAAAAATGCTTAATTGCCCGTCAAGTGCTTCTGGCTTCGCTTTCTATGGCGGCTAATTAACAGGTCCTTGCTAATATTAATATTCATCATTCCGCCCGTTGAGCGTGTCGTGCTTTTCGCAGCTTTTTATTGCCGCCAAACGAAAGACTTAGGGCACGAACTTGCCGGAGTGACATGACAGATTGTGATGCCTACTTTGCGGATGACTCGCAACTCTTCGGCACTCTTTTGGGGCTTCGGCTTAAGCAGGGACTTGAACTATCTAAGCCAGAGATAGTAAATAAAAAATTTTTGAGCTCATCTGGCAACGGTAAAGGGTTGGATCATTCCGGCGTTTTAACTGGGCTCATAATTTACGCTGTTTAACAGACACTTTTATGAGGAAACGCTTCTTGTTGTTTAGCGATTGAATTTCTTTTGCTTGTCTTATTAAATGATATATAAATATTAAACCTACAAATGGTATAATCTTCTTTCAAATCTGTTTGTAACTAAACAAGATACAACTTATCTACCGCTCAGTCAATCAATGTCATGTTCATGTTTTAACACCTGCTTCTGTAAACATTATTTGCTACAGCCCCAGATAATCCATCAATCAACACTCGTGTTAACCGATATAATCACTCTATCAGCCAAGTGGGGTTATTTGAAAGCCAGCAATTACTCCATCCCAACCATTTCCTGCCATATTTAGTAATCCGATCTCTCAGTTTGCCCAAATATTTGAAGTAAGTGAGGCGATCCAGGAGAGCGATGAGGTCGGGCCCATTTGGCAGTTGCTAATAGCCAAAGCGGCTTATCCCCTCCACATAAATTGATCATAATTGGATATATCTGGTTGCCTTAAGCTACCTTTAGCTGCCTTCAAGCTACCGAAAAGCGGCAGTCGAACAGCGTCTGCGAAATCCGCAGTGTCAAGTCATGACTCGGACTTCCACCTCAGTGTTCGCGATGGAGCCGATGATTAGAAGCAGCAGCACACGCCCTGCGATCTGGCCAAAGAAAAAAAACCACAGCGGTGGCGGAGTCGTCAGAAGGCCCGTCGAATGGCCAATTAATCACAGACCCCGAAAGCCCGGCCAAAAGCGAGCCACACAAACCGAACAGACTTTCTTCGCAGACACATCAATCAATTTGGAGGTAATTGTTTCGGCGGACTCAAACAAACGGGCACAGATCGCTACTATTAGGCTACTTTATTTGTTACAAATTATCATTCATTCATTAGATTAGGGCTACGGGGCAAATAACTTAGCTAAACTCTAGAATCGTAACTAAATATTATAGTTTTAGGTGTACGTAAAGCTGCGTCCTCGAAAAGTCGCTGACTAAGTGTGTGCTAGCTAATTAACGCGGTGGTCGATGACTTCCTGCGGAATCCTTCGCGGACAGCTCCTCCTCCTGATCCTCCTATTCCTTATGCTCAGCGGATGAGGCGTCTCGCCCTGTACTTTGTGGGCAGCAGGGACATGGGATCGGTGTTGTTGGGCACCTCACCAGCGATCCCGCCCACCGGCTGGCTATCGGTGAATTGGCCAGTGGGAGCGTATCCTCCGTACGGATCCGACCGACTGGCCCACCCGCCCGACTGCGACTCGTACTGGTATCCCTGCCCGGCCAGCTGTGCCTGCGTCTGGGCGTTCCCGTGGATGTGCAGGTGAATCTCCTTGCTGGGCGGATGCCCGCTTCCGTGTCCAGTGGGTGCAGTGACTCCCCAGGACTCCTTGGCGTGCGGATTCCAGCCCGGGTAGTTGAAGCTCGGCGCCGTGTGCTCGTACTGACCGAAGAGACTCGACTTCAGCGTGATGAACTTGCCCAGGATCGCGATGGCGTTCATCAGCACCAGCACCTTGAGCAGGAACAGCGACTTCATCCCGATGGCCACCAGGAAGGCCACCATGGCCGAGAGGACGCCGAACTTGAAGATGATCGGGATGAGGGCCATCTGCAGGCGGCGGATCTTGCCGAAGGTACGACCCTCTGAAAGAAAAGTTTATATTATTACATGTAGAATAAATAATAAATTATGTAAAGTAAAGAATCTATATATGCCTGTTGTTAATAATAAAAAGTTCTATATAAATCATTAAGCTTGGATACAGACAACTAGCTTTAGGTGTCATAAATGTTTAATATTGTTATATTTTATGAAGGCCTAGCTATTTGGATCACACTCCCAATTAAACTCCCAAATTCCTAGCAACCATCCAGGTGAGGTCCATAAAATATTCATTAATTCTTAAAGTGCCAGAGGCGTCTCTTTGGAAACTCCCCGAAAGACCGCTGGGTGTTTATCTCCCTCGACCGCTATAATTTCATCAATAAACAGAGCTGAACGCTCAGCTATGCGAAAGTCCAATAAAAAACAATTCGCAAACAACGAGAAAAAAATCAAGCAAAAATATTTTCTCATCGTTTAAAGATGAGCAAGCCGCTTTTTGTTGTCTTATTTAATAAATAATTTGAGCGGCTCTAGAAAGATGCGGAAAGTGAAATTACAATCGTTGCCCGCTACAAACAAACAAACTTATATCTCGACTCGAAGTCGGGGCTGATTTTTCTCAGCTCTTCTGTGTTAACACCTCTTAGCGGCTTTTGCTGTTTGTTTAGCCGCTTCAGGTTTCATTGAAAACGAAAGTGAGCCGAGCAAAAGGGCGCTGGGAAATCGGCTTTGATTAGAAAAGCCGCTAATCATTTGGGGGCAGATGCAATCAGACTGAATGGGACACGCACTGAGCTGATTTTGAATGAGCACACTAATTGCAGTGTACACACGGAGAAAATGGGAGGTCTTAATCTGGTTTACAGCAAGTATTATATCATAGGCGTTGTAAAAGCAGTTAAGTTGTAAGAGGATTTACTGGTAAGCTATTATCATAAGTAGTTTACGATCGGAAGGAATATAAAATGTTGTTGTTATTATTACAAATGTAACATGTTACTTGATAGTTTTGAAATTACATGATGATATATTAAGTAAGCAATATAGAAAACACTTTCGTTATATATGTTACAAGACTGTCTGGTAGTTTTGAACTTTTAACTAGATAAAGAAACACTTTGCAACCAATTAACTTTAGTCTAATCTGATTTTTTTCGTGTGTAGGCTGTTTTTAAACTGCGTTTTGTTTGTCGTTTATTTTTCGCTCTTTGTTTTTTGTTTTTTATTTGTTGTTTTTTGGCGGGGACTCACCCACAGCTGAGTTGCCGGACGCGGGCTTCCCGTCGTCGCTTTCGTCATCGCCGAAGAGGCTTTCACTGAGGTCGCTGCGCAGCCAGCTCCACAGAGTGCGGACCATGCCCCAGACACTGAGATCCGTGGGATCCGTGGCGGCCTGGACTGCAGTGGGGTTCTTGCTGCCGGAGGCGGCGGCGGCTTCTTTGTCTGCATCCGCAGCGGATTGCTCCTCCTCCGCCGGCTCCTCGTCATCATCTTCATCACTCTCCTCGTTGTCGTCGTTCTCCTCAGCCTCAGCCGGCGATGCAGCGGCCTCCGCCTCTGGTTTTTCCGAGGGCTTCTCCGCCTTCTTGGTTATCTTGGCCCCGAAGGCGCTGCTCAGGCAGCAGAAAGCCAACAGAAGCAGCAGCAGCGAGTGCCGCGCACTTGAACTCTTTGTGAGAAACTGAAAGTGGAACCAACAGAGAAATTATATCAGTATGTGCCGGCGTTCAGTGTTCAGTGTTCGCCTCTCGTTGTCTCTCATTGTCCGAGGAAAAAGCCATTTCATCATCGCGAGCTGCGGAAATTGCGTAAACAAAAGACTTAGGAAACGAACCTGTTGCCACCTCGTCGCCGTGTCGTGAAACGCACTTTAGAATCCACTTTAAACCACTTCAACGGTTGCGGCAATAAAACATTTTATGGCCTTGTCTCTGGGTGCGAAAGCATTTCCCATTTTAAACCGAACTCCAGTCTTTCGTAATCCACATTTCTGTGGGGGTAAACACATTTCTTTTGCCTTGCCGCAGATATCAGTTTGTATGCAAATTCGAGAGGTTGCAAAAAATATGCCACATTGTATAAAACAGTGATTTATATGCATAAAGATACAGCCGGATGGAGACAAAGTGAAATTTAAGCAGGTTGTTTTGTTTGGATATTCAATAATTAAGCCGTTGGGTTAGTTCTTTGTGCCTAACTTTGAGTTTATTTGTCTTTTAATTGGTTTCTGTTTAAATATTAACTGAAAGCCTACCTTAAAGCTTCTCACCAAAACCACAATTCATTGAGCATTTAGCATTCCCACCGAATTTCTTCGAAAACAAGTAGGCAACCTTCACTTCCCCTAAGTGAAATTTGAATATGAACTTACGAACCCATATCTTCGGCCAAAATAGCTCCACCGAGAATTCCCAAAAACCGAAAGTCATGGCTACGCGCTTTCCATTTCCAATTCACCTGCAGAACTCCCTGGAAACACAGATATAATTGCTATACCCAATTTGGAGAATCTCCGAAGCCCATGGGAATGGAACTAAGTTGTTCGAAAGACAATAAACCAACAAAAGGTAAACAAATTATGTGGAGCTAACGGTTGGCTTCATTCCCCGAAAAAAAGAATATTCGTCAAATGTGTTTAATTAATCGGTCCAAAAGAATTTGCCAAGATGCCAGAAGTTTTCGACTTAATTTGCGTTCGCTTTGCATTATTGGATAAAAGGCTATTTATGGCCCTTTGTGAGGCCTCTTTATTGTGAATGATCCGCTCTTTTATTTGTAGGCCAACTGGCTTTGTGCCCGATTTGTTTTGGCTCCAACTGTAAATGGAAATCTATTTTGGCATGGCCTTGATTCGGATCAAGCTGAGCGGGAAAATTGATTTAAATTTCGTGCGGGCTTTGTAGACGCGGGAAACTGAAGAAGAAAGTCTTTCCCCAGTGACGCAAGAGCCGAAGAAACGCATTGTTAAATACCGATTTATTGGTATTAATTGCTTTGCATAATTTTCCACTTCAGATTGACAGACTGAACTCGGTTTTTCGGCTTAGTTTCACTGCATATTTGTTTTAACCGCGAGCCCAGCCCTTTAATTAGCATCTTCTGGGTTGTTTCATCATCAAACTTAAATGTTATCACATCTGACTCACACACACACACACTCACTCACTTTCAGGCCACTTTATGGGTGAAATTTCATTCGACTTTATCTGGCTTATATGTAAATATTAACCGAAAATATTTGCACTTGCTGCCGGGCAAGATTTCGCCTCGAGTTCCGACGAAATGGTGCCGACCACCCATAAAATGGTTACTATCTGATGAGTCGTCACATTTAATCCGGTTGAGGGGAGTTCGCATAATAAATTATTATTAATATAATATTATTATTCGGATCTAAGGATGTTTTCCACTGGCAGATCTCGAAAAATTCCCCTAAATTGTGAATTTATCGCATTTGCTGAATAATTTGTCTACAATTTGGAATCGTTTCTGTCTGCCTCCCGAATTATTCAACAATGATAATGAAAACACCGAAATTAACTAAATTAAACGTAAATGTGGTAAACATTATGGCACAATAGCATTTTGCTAATTCCGCTAATCAAGCCAATGAAATGTTTATTGTTCATAATATTAATTAGAGTAGCCATAAAATACGTTAACTTTCCTTTCACGTGGGTGTAACATTTCTGGAATAGGCATTTCTGATTTTATTACAGATCGCACTCATAAAACAATAAAACCCGGGGTTATCTCGTGTGATTATGCATCTGAGGCACGACTTTCTAAGTTTATTGCAGGGCTTGTCATAATAAAATGTACGAACTAGTAAAGTTGTTAGTAAAACGTTGTCGATTATGCAATTGAATGGCACGTGGTTGAGGCCATAAATTCAACCATTCGACCATTATCTAATGGCGATATAATGTCGCAGTTCATGACACGGCATTGGGGCCGAAATGTGGATGTGTAGCTTGTGCCTTGCCAGCCAAGTTAATAACAGCTCGGGGATCTTACCAACAATTGAAAACTGGCCCGAATGAAAACACGCCTCAAAAGAAAGTTCGGCTTTGAACTGACCAAACAAACAAGTGATTTTTGTGCCAAGAATTGTTGGCATTTGTCGCACTGGCTTTTTGGCTAACATTTTCTACAAAATCTTTTGTAGTCGCGCCTTTTCTTTTCCTAAGAGGTTGAGGAAAAGCGTTTTGTGACACTTAACGCGTGCTTAGAATTTCAACGAACAATGCACTGGAAAGAAGAACTACTGAACCCTAAAAAAGCAGCTCAGAAATTCTATTCAGGTTGTGTAGAGCTTAAGTAATTTTTAATTGATGATGTTTTGACTCTATTGTATTTTCACACAAAAATTGAGATTAATATTGAGCATCATTTTCTTGAAGAAAATCTAATTCAAAGTAGCGAAACGTTATATCTAGTTCATTCTTGCTTCTAGTTGAGATATCCAGCAAATCGGTGTTTATTATCTGTCTGCATAGTTATTGAACTTGGCCGCTGTTTTTTCGTACTCACCATAATTAAGGCTGTGACTTGCTGATTAGAGTGCGATAATTGCAGGCACTCGCTGTATCCCGGGTTATTTGTGATTGATTTGGACCACTTTCACGCGAATCTGCGCCAGACACGCAGCTGTTGGCCGAAAATAAGTACACACGATAGTTGAGTTGGCCAAGGAGTGCAGAGACGATGGACTTGGCTTTGGCTTTGGATCGAGTTCGGATGGAAAGCGACTGCAACGCTTGAGATGTTTCCGCTGACTGGCAATCCGAGTTGGCCGCGGCCACCAGGTAAGATCCACATTCGCTGCCTCAGTCGACGCAGCTGCTCTGCTCGGACTTTTGGTAGACGGTAGTTGGTTGATGGCAGATGCGGACCAGTCTTGGCCAAGTCGCTTGGCGCTTCTTCGCCGTGTTTGCTCGGCCAGCCAACACCAGTTGGCACTCTCACAATCGCCAGAGACAGAGACACGCGCTCCTCTCCCAGTTACAATTTCGTTTTCAACACTTTCTTCACAATTTCCCCTAAACGCCAGCAGCAGCCACCAAAAAAAAAAAACAACAAAAAACTGCAAAGTCAATGTCTCCATTTGGGCCTTATCTGCAGTGAGCCTCTCTTTCTGGCTTCCTGTATCGGTTGCCTTATTTACGAATTGTCGTGCAATGGCTCAGAGCATGAAAACCGTTTGTGAACGTGACGAGACGCACAACTGACGTCACAAGATCCGTGGAACGAGGGTCTAACATATATCTTCCAATCTGCAATCTCCAATCTCTTCATATGTGATACTATTTTAATAGGTATAGTGTGAAAAATAATTGAAATATATTCAAATATGATTTCAAGATTACCATCAGTACTATTTAGGAAATAAAAATGTTTATCATTTGAATTTGTACTTTATTCTTTTAAGATAATCTGTATATCCAATTTAGTGAATGTAAGCCAAAAACGCATTAAGATAATGAAAGAAAATTAGTTCCTCTGCAGATATTGCGTTCTGCTGCACTTACCCCATCAAAAAGTGAATTGCACTTTTCCTAATTAACTAATTGGTAATACAAAACAACTTAACAATTTCCCCAAAAGATCGCTGCGTCTTGGTGCCTTGGCAGATAAATGGGTTTTGTGGCTTTCTCGTTTCTCGTTTCGTATTTCGTGTTTCGCCTGCGTGGTAAACCGATGCCAAACATTTTTGCCGGCTACCTCTTACAAGCCATCCGTCGCTTTGAGCCGCGTTCCGTGATTCGATTGTCGTGACCCATTTCCCCACTACGCAGCTTCTCTCTCTTTCTGGCTGGCGCACTCGCTCTCTTTCTTTTACGCACCGAACCCATTCACATTCCCCGAAGATCATCTGTTCCAAGTGATTTGCATGAGAATGTCGCGTGTGTTGGGTTAAAGTTCTATATCGATAACCTATTCATATCAAGTGGATTCCCTTTGATTTGTGGCCAATAATTGTCACAGTTCTTGGCAGTGAGGAAGTTACAGTTAAGAAGAACGTTCCATTCGAATGTTGCTCCAGAAATGCCCAACAAACGAATCTTATGAAGTGGAAAGCATTTTATGATCCCAAACTTTATTGGCATTACATCAAAGGCAGTTTCCACACATCGCTTACATAAACAATGCAGGTTCATTGCTCTTCTCGGGTGCAGTGTAACCCAAGGGATTGTCCAAATCATTACATAATGCTGGCCAACTGGAACTAGCGATTGTGTGTGAAAACCGTTAAGTACACACACTCGGGCTCAGGTTCAGGTTCAGCCGGAGGTTGAGCTCGGGGTTCAGGTTTTCCGGCTCGCTGGGCTGCTCTATGAACGTGTCAACGGAACTCCAACTCCACAAAGGTCGCGTTCTCTGTAAGAACCCCCAAATACTCAGACGGTCCTAAAGCAGTCGAAACCCTAACGGTTCTCACACCTTTTGTGCCTCGAGCAGCCCCACATTCTGGACTATCAATACTGTTTTGGTGGCAACATTTGCATTTTTATGGCCGAATCATATTCCCCAGATGCCTTTCATTGTTCAACAGCAATTAGCTATCTAAGCGATCCAATTACAACTGTGATTTTCCCTCTATAGTCTAAAGATTTTCTTTGATTTAAGTCATTCTGGCGTAGGCATTTCTCACCATTAGGTTATCTTAATTGACCAATTGCCTTTGTGATTTATGAGACACTATTTGGTGTTAATGTTGAATAAGTGAAGGGAAATAATAGAATTCAGACTCATATTTTTTATCAACATTAGATAAAAATAAATATTTAATTGGTATTGGCTGAACAGATTAACAAAGGAAAAACACTTCATATTTTGGGATCACTTCTTTCCCAAACTCGATCCGTAAATACTCGCATAGTACTGTTGCCAATTGGAATTGCTGAGCGAGGCATAAGGATTGTAGTAGTTGTTGTTGTAGTACGTGGGATATAGATACTGCCCGATCACATAGGGCCAGATTCTGATCTGGTTGTTGGTGTAGGGACTCGGGGTCGTATACGTGCTGTAGTAGTAGGGATACGGCGTGGTCTGATAGTAATAGTTGTTCAGGCTGGAAAACGTGGGACTCGGAGTGTAGTAAGGATTGTATTGAGTGTAGTACTGGGCAGATCCAAGCTATAAGTAATAATATAAATTATTAACTTATGATTTTATTTAAATCGTATATATAGAACTTACTGCTAGCAGGACTGCAATGGAGATCAGGAAGAGATAGCAGGATTGGTGCGACATTTTGCTCGAGATTCGATTGCAAACTAACAATTCTGATGCCTAGCACTTGCAATTTATAAAAATGTGACTGGAGGGGCTTCAATTTTCCGCACTGCTGGCGATTGCCAATTTTCACAATTAAGTACACTGTTTTTTGGGCCAACACTTTGCTGGCATTTCGTCATTGAACTTGACTCATCCGGGTTACGCTCGGTGCCAGCAGCCGATAGATATTCTGGGGGTTGTTTACCTATAAACATGGGTGGATTTTGGATCGAGTGATTCCCGTGACGTGTGCAACAACAAAAATCGTTTAAATACAATTGCCGAAAATGGTGAAAACATTTTGTTTAGTCAATTGATTAGACGAGCATTAGGCTATTAATTTGCTTTGTTTTTATTTCGGTTTTATATTGCTTACAAATACGAAGATTATTTGTAAATTATACATTAATGTGGCGGCCCATCCGAGGTGTTTTCCGGGTGTTTCGAATGGAAGTTTGTTGAATGGATTTGAAAGTGGCGTGGAAATGGAACTGGGACCATCTCTATATACATTATATACACAACACGACTCCTCGCACGACTCAATTAATTAGACTACAATACAAAGGTACAAAACGAAACTCAACAAATCGTCAACAAGGCGCTTAAATTAGTTTATCTCATTTGCATGGAATTTTACACATTATTTTCACACATTTTTGCTTTCAGCTACGATTACACTGCACATTTTCAGGGGGCGTTTAATTTAATTAGTTTGCTTTTGGAGAGACAATAAATATTTAATTAGTTGCGAATCGTTCAGTAATCCTCGTCGTCTTCATCTGGCGGATCAGTGGCGTAGGTCAGTTCGTTCAGGTAGAACCATTTCTGTTGGGTAATATAACTATTTAATTAATTTCACTTATTAAGAAAATATATTTTATCTTACGGGTGACTCTGTGCAGTTGAAATTGTAGTCCCAATCACAGATTCTGTACTCCTGGTTAAAGCTCGTTTCGTTTGCGCACAAGTGTGGAATCCGATTTCCCTCCTCATCGCACATGTGAAAGATCTGTTGGATTACGTTGAAGTATCGAGTATTATATGGCATACTTTCAGGCACTCGGAAAATCGGAAAGCTTGGCTCAAGCTCTGCCACTTTCTTCCTCTCTCTCTTTTTCTTGTGGTAAGCCAACCACTTTCTCACCTGGCAATTGTACTCCATATCCGCATAGAAGCCCACAGAACGCCTCTTGCAATCGAACGAGAAGGTTATGTTGTCTAAATTCGTCCACTCCTTCGTCTTGTGGTTTTGAAATACTGGACTGGCTGGCTCTTGGCCCTGAACCGCGATGGCGGCCAGCAAGATGGGACCTTTAAATGGGAGAAATATGCAAATGATTGGTTGATAAAACAAATATTTATAAAGGGAAGTCGTACTAATGAATATCATAAATATTTCTGAAGTATAATTTATTGTTTCAACATTAAACTTAAAATACGTAATAATAATATTTATCTGTACAAACATTTGTATATAATAGATTTTCCATTAATGAAATATTTTAAAACCTCTTCCAATTTAAATTTAATTTCTTGGCTGCCTTAACAAAGAATTATATCCCTTTTGGACAACTGTTTTGCACCTGCACTATAGTCAGTTAGTTAGCCAGGTGTCTTGCCTTTTTAATGCTTCCTCCTCCGCCCACATTGACCATGGCCAATTGGTTAAGTATTTGGCTCACGCATGGCCCAAACACTCGGAGTGGCCCACTAACACGATGGAAACACACGGTGGACGACAGGCGGCTTAAAGAGTGGCTTAATCGACGCACTTAGCATTTAATTTGTGGCTCTGCGGACGTCTCGTCGACTCGAAACCGAAGTCTTTATTGAGGCCACTACTCACCTAGTAAAACGCCGGAAAGCCATAAAATTCTATAACTGTAAACCATTTTTGTGGCGTTGGACATTTTGGCGTGGATTTTGTTTTTCTCGTCCGCTTCGCTGCTGTCCGCTCCGTTTTGATATCAAGCTGAAAATCCAAATCACGATCGTCTCGCTCGCTCTCTCTCTCTCTCTCGCTCGCTCTCTGTCGCACTCACTCGCCCTCTCGCTCGCACTGTTGGCCTTTTGCTACGCGTCCATTTAGCTGGCTCTGTTTTCAATTAGGAAGCGTGTCTTCGGTTTATGGCCGGCACATGGCTAAAACGGGCAAAAAAGGCAAAGAAAAAGAAAACAAAGTCAGTTGGAATGGAAATAAACTACAAACGGTAAATAAGGGTATTTGTATTATTAACCGGTATATAGCATTGAATACACATTTATAGAATAATTAACTGTAAAGCTTAGATTCCTCTTCTTTCTTTTTTTGGGAATTAAGAAAAATATATTACTCATACGCCATGTGTTTACGTATGTAAAGTATGTGTAAAAAATTACTCATACCACACGTTGTCCAAGTAGCATGTTATGGTGGTAATTACCAATAATTATTGAGTCCTAAAATCCGATATGTTAAACCGTTATGTTTACTGAAACCTATAAATAGCTTAACGTTGATTTAATCCGCATTAAGAGTTAAACACCCCTGTGCAAAGCTAACTATGCAATTAACAAAGAAACAGGCAGCGCTCCAATAAAATATAATGGCCAACAGGTGATGAAACTCGGAAACAAAATGCCCAACATGGCAGTGGGTTTACCTTCCCTCGTCAACAGGTTGAAGTGGGCTTCGGCTCATTACAAAACCAACCAGACGAGGCTTAGACGCAATTTACATGCCAAACCCACGCCGCCAAGATCTTTGCTTGACTCATCACCTCCGCCAGCCGGATGCTCCATCTCGGCTAATTGATTTTCTTTAAAATTCGACACTCGACACTCGGCTGACACGGGATGGATGGAAACCACTCCGAAATCCGAAATCCGAAATCGGTGGGTAACCCACACCTTGTCTGGCCCAACAGGATACGCCAGCAATTGTCAGTGGGTGACCCACTTAGCCGCCATTCAGAATTATTTTCTATTGAAAACACCCATTTCATAATGTAATACCTGCACCGCACATCAATCACAAGTTGTCAAATTAACAGAGGGCATTCGAAGTGCTTGGAACGCCATTAAAAGACAATCAGTCAATGGCAGATCCGATCGGCGAAAAGAATCTATTATGCAAACCCGTTTAGCGCTCTTTTGGCGAATTGAGTGATTTATTTTGGAATTTTTATTGCTGATTGTTTTCGTGGCAGCGAGTGAAAGAGGCGGCCTTGCAGGCTCAATTAAATTGTCAACCCGTCTGGACCGGCGATTCCCTTGGTTAATCTCGGCTGCTCTTTCACTCGGATCCCCGAGAAATCCTTGACATTTTATCGCGATTTATGGCCGCTGGATGCGTGGCGGATGTCGATGGCTGAAAGGCTAAAAGGCCAGCAGATCAGAGAGGCAGGGATCCCAGACGGAATAATCGTAAATTGTTTTCATCTCGGCCTCCCGCGCAACTAATTTCCAGCGCCAGGAGTTGGGAATCCGCCGGCTGCAGAAAAGCAGGGGAACAGATAAACAGAAAAGTTGAAAACAGAAACGAATGATATGCAAATTTTCGCCTTCTCTGCGAAGACTCGGCGAGTCCGTGATGAAGTGAAGGCAGTCTTAAGGCGACGTAAAAGGTCATCGGTGGCAGGCGAGGCAAAAGCCATCTTCACGCAAAACTGAAACTGGCAAACTGGTAACAGTTTCATGGATCTCCGATGACGATGAGGAGGGACTGGACGGGATGAGTCTCCCGAACAAAGAGGCGCCTGCGAGATGACACAGCAGTCATCCGGCTGTCCATTTGGGCAGATTGTCTTTCATCATTTTCAATGGCCATGGCGCCTGCGACAATTGGTCGGAACCCCGCTCGAAGTTTCCCATTAATCCCCCCTGGAATCCCCTTTCCCGCAGCTTTTGTTTACTGTTTCCGCCAAACATATTTCGAATCGCTTACCAGACTTTCTGGCTAATGGGAAAGCACTCAAGCTGAAGCCAACTGACGCCCACAAGTCCTTAAGATAAGCTATAAGCCGAAAAGTAATTGATTTTAACGCATCTCAACTTCGTTTGGAGTTGTAAGGTAATTAAATGTAAATCCATTGGAATTCAGCTAATCTTTTAAAAATAATTAACAGCTGATGTTTCCTCCAATAAATCATTGATTCGTCTGTAAAACAAATGGGTAGTATTCGGTGTTTAATGATGTGTTTTACCAAGGGCATTCGGTCTTCGGTGCTGACTGGCCAAAAGAAGAAGCCCCACTCTGGGCATCCCCCCAGTATGCATGGCATCCTCACTTCTGACATTTTCTGACAAGCGTGAGAAGCGGTTGCCTATGGACTATGGACTATAGACTGCAGACTTTATGCTATAGATGGCGGACCCTGGGCTCTGGGGACCCCATCTGCCCATCTGGCATGCTCCATCAGTTGGCTGCGGCTGGTTAGCTTGGTTAGTTTGGTTAGTTTGGCCAGATTCTACTGGCCAACGAATTCCTGAGCCGCACTGCAAGTAAATAACTGCGGGCCATCTGCATGCCGCGAGCATGTGCGGCATTCGTTTTGGAAACACATTTTGAAAGTCTCATTTTACATTTCATGCTGGGTTTTTTGGGTTTCGGCGGGCTTCGTTGATTGGGTCTGCGGCTAATTCGGAAGTTTGTTGGCGTTGCCTTGCGAAACATCGCACTAATTTGTTAATTTCTGACGCGTAACCGAGGGCGCAATGTTTTATGGCTTTTCGCCTCTGTAAATTTATGCAAATTTTTCAAATTACATTGAGGAAACAATGAAAAATAAGAAAAGAAAGCACTGCCCTTGACTTCATTTTGTATTTGGGTTTTAAACACCTTAATCGTTTTCAATGAAAGTTGTTAGCCCAAAAGGTTTCCAGTTCTTTTATTGCACTTAATGGCTAATTAAAGTTTTGGATCAAGGTTGGCCACTCTTGTTTCGAAAATCAATTATCTGGAAACTAGTTTCTTTTGGGTTATCCTGTGCTGATCAAGAAAGCGAAACAATCGATGTTTATTAAACAATTAGTTGTCAAAGCGGGCAAACAAGACGAGGGGATAATTTAATATTAATTTGCGCATTTTTCTGCTCTAGCCCCTGCAACAAAGTAAAATGAATGGACGAGAAAAGCTGAAAAGCAGAAAGGAAAAGCCGAGAAAATTATTTCTCGTTTCTCGTTTGTGTGCAGCAGCGGAAGCGTCGCTAATTGGCGGAACTGCCGCTCGGCGGCAGCGGCAACAATGGTTCAATGCTGGAAAATAAAAAGCTGCAGAAATATGTTGAAACCCGGCGATGACGGCACCTGAGATGCCTGATTCCATGATGCTTGATGGCTGATGGCTGGTGGCTTATTGCCTTGGTGCCTCCGCCCCGCGGATTGGATCTCGTGTCTCGCATCTCGTATCTCAAATCTCGTATCTCTTAGCTCGGATTGGAGATGGATGGCCAGCACTTACATAACCGGGCGGCAAACATGGCCTAATCATCTCATCCGACTCCCAAGTAGCGGTTAGCCAAATTGATTAGGCCGACAGCGTTGACACTTCAAACTTGGACTTTTGCACACACATATTTTGTTTCGGAAAAGCAACGCGAATTGCCGAAGAGAAATGACAGCGATAAATGGACGCCGTTTAATCGAGTGAAAAACCCGCTCGACCGGCACCCCCTGGAATCCCCTTCAACCACTTCCCGCCCACTTCCACCCCCTCCCCCGCTCCAGAGATCAACGACGATTATTGGCCTTGAAAATTCGGTACGCAGAAATGCGCTTAATGCGAAAAATCAATATCGCCAAAAACACAAACATACACACATTCGAAGCAGCAGCAAATCAACAAGAAAAAAAATGTTAAAAGACTAAAAGTTGATCACACAACTCAGAAAAACCGGCTCAAACTCGGACTTGTACTAAAACGAAGCGATCAAAGCAAATTTAAACGAATCAGCTACACCAAAGCCCACAAATTTAACATAAATTGTTAAAAACAAAATCTACCCAAATTGCAGATACCAGCAAAGTCTCAAATGTGATAAGAGTGAAATAATTATATAAACATTTGCACAAAACAAACAATAAAACAGAAAGGCCTGAGGAACTTTAACCATATACTTAATAAAAAGATAAGTCCAACATTTACCAAATTATAAACATCAACAAACTGGTAAAACAAAGACATTTATAAAAAAAAGCTTATACAAAAACAAAACGCTAAATGCATAAATTAATAAATATATAATCAAATTTAATAAAAATTATTGTTTTTCCAATAACATTACTATTTATTACTATTATTACTTTTATTCAAAGGCTGCGTGGCAGCATTAATGATTATTATTATTTTCCTGCCCAAACATACAACACTTTAATCCAATTGGTATCTGCCCGACTTTGTAATGAAGTTGAGCAATAATGAGCTTGACGACTCAAGACCGCATTTTCATGGTTTATTTATCGATCAGCCCCAACATAAAATCGCAAGGAAACTGCTCGAGCCTAACGAAAAGTAATGGGTTTATTAATTTTCAATGCTCAAGTTTAAGGAAAGTTGGGAGACAACTGGTTTGCGAGCGGGAAAATGTAAGCCAATTAATTATTGCATCTTAATTTCTTGTTTGTATAACCATATTTCAATGGAGATTGAGAGCTTGTGAAAAACAGCAATTAAATGGAATGGAAAGAGAAATAATGACTGGTTCGGGTTTTCGCTCCGCAAACAGTAGCTTGCAAAGAACGCTGATTTATGGTTTAGTCTAGGAAACCTTCCTCGGCAGCCATAATACCCATTGTTGGCCCGAAAAATATGCGTTCAGGAAGTGGAGGTGGTGGTGGGGAACTGGAAGGCGGGCTTAAAAGGTCGCCCGAACAAATTATTAATTAAAATTCCATTAAATGCGGCAAGATGCCGTCGAGAAGCATTGATCGATCACACAATGCCAATTCAGTGATTTAAATGCCATCAGCAGCTGCCACAAAAGAAAAGACCGATCGGCTACCGATCGAACAGATGTACTCATGTCCGTCCGGCAGGTATACAAGTATAGCTTTTTTCGATTCCAAGCCGATGATGCCGATGATGGCGATGTCCATCCGTCATTAACATACGTATATCAGCATTTGTGCTTCGGCAGAAATAACAATCGTTACAAGGGCACAGCAGCCATCATCAATGGTTTATGGTTGATGGTGCCGCTGAAACATTTCAGTCAGTCTGGGCATATCTGGGCAGAAGATAGCCATCAGTATCAGTGGATGGATGGATGGATGGATGGATGGATATAAGCGGATATTTTTAGATTCGCCACGGCAACGTCTCGTTGGAGGTGCCCTTCCCTTGCTCACTCCAAGATCCAAGATCTGACAACCCTCGACGGGCCAGAGATCGCAACTCATCCAATTTGTAGTGTGAATTGCCCTCTGGCTGCCTTCGAAGTGGGGATTAGGCCTGCATCCCAGAGATACAGAGCTACAGAGATACAAAGATACAAAGATACGAGACCCAAAACCATCCGAATCATTAGGCATTGATGTTGCCACGGAGTAAAATACTCTTTGCAAAGACTACACCTTTTTTACTTATTTATATTTATTTATTTCGCAATCTTTTATTCAAACTTAAGCCTTAAACTTGTCCGTCTTGTCGGCCAGCTCTTCTACAAGAAAAATGTGTGATATTGAGATCAACATTCGTCGGTGAACGGGGAACTTTTCAAGTCTTTCATTGATTCTTGGGCATTTTTGTTGAGCAACTCATTCACATATTAATCACCAACTTGTTGTGCCAGCGAGGACATCGTTTGTTAAGAGTTTCTTAAGCTGCGGTTAAGTGGATTTCCTTTAAATCTATACTCTTTTGAATTTGTTACAGCTGCTGATGAAGTGAAACCAAGAGTGTTTTGAACCTTGCATTCTTTTTAGGATCTTTCTATGATAAACACACCCATTTAGTTTCACGTTTGCTGAATAACACGTTCCGAAGATCTGCAGATCTGAGCACAGAATTTATGATCGCACACTCGAAAATCTTTCCGCGACAACCATAAAATCACAGTGACGCAAACGGTAAGTCCATAATTTGAATGAATTAGCTAACATAAACTGAATAATTTATCTGTTCGATTATATATACTATAAGATATAACATTGTCGTCTGCCGAAAAGTTGGTGTTCTCGAGGCAGCTTCACTTGGCATTTGATCGGGATCGCTTGGTGACTGGCACATCGGTTCTGGTTTGATTCCTCAATTGCGAGTGCAGAGCGAACCGGTTCGAGCGAAACCCTTTTGGTCGAGTTCAAGGCTCGCCACGTGTCGTATACGTGATGTGCCGGCACTTGGGCAAATCCGAATCCGCACGTTGCAGTAAACACTTTTCACACAATTAAACAGCAGCAGCACTCAGCCATTCAGCCATCTAGTCAGCCATCCAGCCAGCCATCCAGCCGGCGGGCAACATTAACTAACTAACTTGTAATGTGGCAGCAATAAATTTTATGTAAATCGCCGCTTTTTTGTGCAGTTTAAGTCTTATTGCAGCCACACAAGAAAACGGTACGGAGCTAAACAATGCAAATAAATTACGGCTGCGGGTACGGATACTTGCCAAGCTGATGTGCAATTGAACGCAGAGATGCACACACACTATATACGATATATACGAGTGTTCGCAACATAAAAACACGGGGAAAAAAAATAAAAACACCCGCCATCGCAAGCACAGATACTCGGCAAAAAACGCAGAGATTTTCCAAGAATGCGCTGCATAGCTGCACTCAAAGATACATTTTCTGGCAGTTCTTTAAAGGAATTTAACTTGAAATAAAATAGTTTTATTATCACATATACTTTATATATTTATTTGCAAGTTACTTCATAAAGTTGTGTTATTTCCCATTCAAAACTATTCTCTCCCCTTTTAATAAAGTGAAAGATTTCTATGAATATTTTTTCTGGGTGTAGGACAAGCGGGTGGCTGCTGTGACTCTCAATCTCAATCCCAATCCCAATCCACTCTCAGCGGTTGTGGCTGTTGCATTTAACCTGCACCTCCAACAACAATCGCAAACAACAAGTTATTTTTGTCCAAGTCATCGATTGCATGGCAGCTTTTGGCTTCGACTTTGCTACGAACAGAAAATGCAAGTGACTCCGTTGGATTGTTTTTATGCAGTTTACCGAAGAATTTATACATTCCTACACCTTTTGCAGGCTTTTTGCAGGTTTTAGGGATCGAAGTAGCACTAACCACAGAAGAGACTCAAAATGAAACCAGCTTAGCGAAACAGAACTTGCTAATTGGAAAAAATGCTCTGGTATTATACAAATGGAACTTTGCATAAATTAATACTAATAGGTGTTATCCAATAAACAAGTTTGTTTCAGCTATAAGGTCAAACTATCAAGTCGCCCAAAATGGCTTAATAAAATCACTTAAAATATTGGTTAGCGTGCCAAATTGCCCTAAAAATAACTAAAATATGGAATGAGTTTTTCAATTAGTTTGGGATACTAATAATTCTAGAAAGTTTGAGTATAGTTTTTCTAAAATTTTAGTTAATTTTTCTAGTTTTAAGAGTCAAAGATTTATGCAACGTCAAATGTGATTATGCTTTAGCCTCGTTTTTTTCTAAATTTATTGATCAAGATTGTTTTGACACACAAAAATAAATTCTAATATATAGGTAAAATTAATAACAGCGGTTAATTATTAATGTTTTCCACTTATGTGCATAACAGTTTCATGAATAAAACAAAACTATGCAAAAACGAGGGCCAAGATTTATGTTCATATTAACACGTATTAATTTAAGCATACTTTTAGATCGGATTTTAGGTAAGCAAAGAACTGAAAATATTTTTAATATACCAATAAATAAAATGAAAAAAAACTATGCTTTGTTAGTTTGTTTAGCTAAAACTGCAAATCTATTTACAAGCTATTTTTTCCCCTGTTGTGCAAACTGGGCTCAGATCACTAGTGGCTCCCCGCTGGGCAAGTTGTTAAGTTGACTTGTTCTTTTGCATATTCATGTGGCACATGTAATGGCCACTCGAACAGCATCATCATGGCAAAGCCTGGGTTATTATCCCGAGCTGCACAAGCCAAACAGACTCGAACACCTCTTAATGACGGCCGCTTACGCAAATTGCTCCGATTTGTGACAGATCTCGGATTTTGGTAGGCATTGAATTATGCTAATGCCGCCGATAGCGATACATCATTATGTGCGTGGCCGCACATATAAGTTTGTTATGTTATGTAAGTTCGAATTGGAGCACACACACATTGTATAAGCGATTTGCAGGCTGCAGTTTGCGTTTGCCGAGGGCCTACCTTTGATTTATTTACAGGTTGCACTGGGCTGCTATATCCGAAATCCGAAATCCGAGATCCGAATTAAATCCAAGAAATCCCAAGTCACTGGGGCGCTGCAAACTGACTGACTTTCTTGCCAAATCTCGAGGCTGGCGCTTAATTATTTTTGAAAACGCATTTGCATAAGATTTTCTCGCTGGGCAAACGTTTGTATACAAATACTATATAAATTTGCGTTGATTTTTATGTAATGAACACTGGAAAAACTATTGCTTTAACGGCCCGCGGATTGCTGTGGCTATTTCACCAGCAGCAAAATATATTTGATATATACGTATCTATATCTATATATAAATATAGCTCTTTCTTCACACGCACACACACACAGCGGACGCGGAACGGCTCAAATCGAATCGCGTATCCGTCGGATGCAGAGATACAGATACAGCGCCAAAGTCGAAAGACAAAGCAACAACCGTTCGCTCGAGCGCCCGTTGAACGAATAAAACGGCCCAAAGTCTGGGCCCAAACACTTGACTTGCTCCGCAAAAAGCCAGGCCAAAACAAAGCCAGCCCAAAGCCAGAAAAAGCAGCAAAGCCAGCAAACTCAGCAAAGTCAGAAAGAAGTAAGCAAAGTCAAGCGCGAAATGAAAAGTGTTTCGTGGGGGATTGTCTTTGCCTGTTTGCTGCGGCTTTTTGGCCAATGCATTTGTTGTGTTGGCCTCGTTAGCTTACGGTGTCTTTTTGGCCTGGAGACGTGAAAACGTTTGCAAAGTCAGCGCTCAACTGGTTCGCAGGCGGCTGCTCAAATTGGTTTTATACGCGGATCGGTTCGCATCGCATCGCTCTCGAGCGGAGCGACTTTGTATCCGAGAGATACATCCGCTGCATCGCGGCGGCCAGAAGAGATGGTCATTGAGGTAGGTTTGCCAGAGCGCAGACTCCGCCAGGTGTGGTGTACTCAGTGTTTCGGTGGTGCTGTGGTGCGCTGGCTCGTTGGTGCCAACTGGTTCCACTTTAACCCGCTGTTCTCCAATTCGAAGTTGAGTAACTTGAGTAACCATTCAAAATTCTGGCTCTTCGGCGGGAGTTCATGGCTAGACAAAGAGGCGAATTCCGATTAACCAGATCCATCTGCCAACTGATTGACGCACAAAGTCACCAGTTCTAGATCGAAATCTCCCTTTTATCACTCCTTTAAATACTCTTTCGAGGGATAATTTCAATTTATAGAAGCCTTTTTATTGAACACTTAATCTTATTTTAAGAGCAATTGCTTGTAAAGAATAATTTGAGGTTTTTAATGAGATTCAGTTACCATAAAAATGTGATTTTACCCTTTGGTAAGTGCAGCTTTTTATTTGTACTCAAACACAAAAAATAAAAAGTGGTTTAAATATATTTTTTGAACAGTGCAAGGCCATAACTTAACAAGATGTATATTTATGCATCCAAAAGCTGCACTTCCCAAACGCAAAATACAAATTATTAGATCTCGTTCCAAAAAGATATCGTTTTATGGGAAGCCTGTTCTGGGATGAATAGATTTTAATGATCGCCAAATATCAAATATCAAAAAGTCATCTAATTCTGATTGCAGATTCCTAGGTGATAAACTTAAGTGTATTCGGGCTCTCGAGGTGTCCACCTCCGCCGGCCTTCCTTTCTCGTTTTCAATTAACATAATTAAAATCAAATAAAGGCGAGCAATGGCCACAGCCACAAAATATATAAAACCGAATTAGCATGAGAACAACTTAAGGTTTTATTCACTTCGCTTTTTCGGTAATTTTGTGTGCGTTTTGTGAGTTGTTTTTCTTTGGGAATCTTCTGTGCGAGCGTTTCTGTTTAATTTGGTTTGCGGTTTTGTGTTTTGTTTTTTGTTTTTGGTATGCCACCAACTCCGCGTCAAGTTCATCAAACACGTCTGATTAGGAGCCCGCCCGCTAAAAGTGGTAACTGGTTGGGCTACCAGCCCCCCTGAATCCAAATCCGAATCCAAATCCAACTCCGAGCTCTGGGGGTTTTTGGCCAAGTCAGAGAGTCCGGTCATTTGAATGCCAAAGGCATCGCACGCTGCTCTTTTCACATTTGCCGTTGGTCTTTCGGTGCTTCAGTGCTTCAGTGTTTCAGTGTTTCGGTCGTTTGCGGGTTTGCGGGCTTAAAAAGCAATTTATGATGAGCGCGAACAACGAATTTATGACCGGCGGTGGATCCACAACCGACACGGAATCAGACACCGACCCACCGGCCGTTTGACGCGCAGCTCTCTCGGCTTAAATGTCAAACTAATTTAGGCAAGACACTCCATTAAAACTGGATTAATTAAAGGCGCAACGGCAGCCGCAGCCGCAGCCGCAATCAAAATGAATCCATTGATTGTGATCGCAGATCAGCTCGCGAATATATCTGCGAATGCGAAGGCTTTTGGGAGCCAAGATCACTGACTGGATGACTGATTGATTGGCTAATTAAATGACTTATTGTGCACCCACTTGACGGACCAACAGGCAGAAGACACTGCTCAGCGGCTCCGACTGGCAGGTCTGTGATTTCTATAGTAGTTCAAGGGCAGAACGGTCCATATAAATTTATAGCCACTTCTCTATTGGTTTTCAGTTCTCAGCTGTCTTAGCTAATTCAGCATGGTCTTCACAGTAAACAACAAATATTACAATTGGCTTAAAACATTTGTGTTTTATTTCTGAGCAATTAACTGGCTGAAGTGTGAATCACTAGTAAATAACTCTTCAAGTGGCCTGACTTTACTGGCTGTTAAAATATACCTCGATAAAAAGTATCTCAACTGCAGATTTATTCTGACGGAACAAAGAGATACTAACTAGCGATTGACTAGGTGATTGATTACCCTATTGGCGCCCAGGTTTGTCATTCTATCGCCGTCGGTTGGCTGGCGAGTTAATTAGCAGACTTTGCCTGTGTAATTACTTCGAGTTTCAAATATTTTAATTAACAAGTGGCAACTAGAAGGGCGTATCTCTGGCCCGCTGCACTTATTCAATTAAAGTCGAGTGCCGCGCGACTTGGCTCACCGGCAAAACCCGAAAAGGAAAGGAAAGGTGTCGACCTTGTCGGCCAGGCCAACACGCACCGAGACCAAACCAAAAAAGACACATTTCTGGTCCAGCCCGGTTTGCCTTCTCGGCGAGAAAACAAAAGATAATGCAAATATGTGTCTGGAAACCCTTCGGAAGATCAGAAGCCGGTCTTCTCAAGACGTGAAAAGTGAAAGTAAGCCGAGCTTTAGTCGTCCCTAAATCATTTCAAGTTCAAGGTTGCCCTGGTCACTGGTATTTGAACATTTGAGCATTTTCGCATTCCGAATGGATTCATCCGCAGATATGTTTTCGCTGCCCATATAAACATATATATTTGCGCTAATTTCTTGACATTTACCGCTTTCATTCGGGGTATTTTGTTGTTGGCACACTTGATCGCCGAATTATGTCCATAATTACGCCGATGTTAATCGACTTTTAAGTTGTATTCGTATAGCCCAATATCAACACAGCTTGCGCTTTTGTGGAGCGGATTATACAACAAATATTTAACACCTTGCAGACAATGGAAGTTTGGGTTTTATCGCCGCTGGATTACTGGCCGCCTCGCATTTGAATTGCTTTTCAAATCCACTCGGTAAATTAAATCGTGTAGATTCCATTCGACGGGTAATAACCCGTCCAATGTTGAAAGTCAATAAAATATCAAGTTTTAATATATTTTTTATCCACCATACGATACGTGTGCCTTTACTCGCCTTTTGGTTGCCAAGCAGCCGAAAAGTTTGCATTCAGATTCAGAGCACTCGCACTCGCAGTCGCACTAACTGCATATTATTATCTAGAGCATGAAATCCAGCTGACCGCCTCACTGGAACCCAACTGGACTGGACCGAGCTGGTCAAGTGTCTAAGTGGCTGTGGCCGAGAGATTGTTGGCCAAACAGAATCCACCAGATCACGAGCCACTCAAGACGGCTGGCGAGTGCACTGCGATCGCCTGAATAGGTTATTAAATTGGGGGATTTATGCCACTCTAATATCTCCTATACTCGTAAATTGGTTCAGATTAATTTGGATATAGCACTTACGACAATTTAATTGCAGTGTGCTAAAGGATAGGGGATAAAAATAATGGGCTGTTAGGCAAAGCTCATAGCATTAGTCGGTCTAGTTATTTTCTACTCACTGAAGTAATCTCTGAATTTAATCTTGTTTCTTAAACGAACGCCCATTCACTACCAAAAGTCCACCCACGATCTTTCCAGCCCCTTCCCTTTCTCCAAAGACCCGCCCAAATAATTCAGGCTCGTTTCCGCAACTAATCCGTCTGCAGAGTATTGCGATTTGCGATTTGCCTAGCCAGAGCATTAAACCAGCATCAGTGCAAAAAGCGGTGCAGCAGCCAGTGGAGTCAATTACCCAATTCCCCCCATTTTCTGGGGTACCTTGGCTGATGGCAAACAATTGCCGCTCGCAGTTGAAGTTGAATTGGCGCTGACTTCGCCGAGTCCGCCTTCTTGGCTACTGCGCGCCACTCAAATTCCAATTCAGACTAATTTTCTTGGGCTTGAGAAGAGCACACACACTCGTGTGTGCAGTGGCCAAAGTGGCAGAGTGGCAAAGTGGCAGAGTGGCGAAGTTGGCCATTTTAAAGCGAAAATCGTGAAAAATGTTACACTTCAGCAGGTGCAAGTTATTTCCAAGGAAATTTATCTATAGGTGGCTAATGTCGTAAAAAAGCTTTTAACAATACTGTTCAGCTTACGAAATTCTACTCAGTTATAAAAAAGTTAAATGGCTTTTCAAGTAAATAAAAACTACCAAACTTTGGTCTCTTAAAAAATATATATTTCCTTTGTTTTTCAACCCAATAACTTAAGGCATTAAATATACAAGAAATACTTAAGATAAAAATATAAAAAAATGTATTATGTTAATAGCAGAATTTAACAATTTTTTACTGGTAAGCCAAAAATAAACAAAATGCTGAAGCAATTATAAAACATGCTCACATTCTCGCCAGCAAACCGCAAATTGTAATTTCCGAAAAGTCAGTATGCAAATTGTTCAGCCATATTTTGTTTAACAATAGTGGCCATCACTGACGACGGCTCACGTGCAGACGGCCGACTGACTGTCAGGGGGAGAATGGGAGGGGGGAGGAAGGGTGAGCGATTGGGGCGACTGTCGTCGGGCGGTCGCGTTCGTTTCTTAAGTCATTCGTTTTGCCTGACACTAAACTGTTGCACTAAAGTGTTGAGTTTGTTTGGCTGCCTTGCTGCTTGCTGCTGGCTGCTTGCTGCCTGCTTTGACTTGTTTGTTGTTGTTTGGCGCTTGTCGATTTTACAGCCAAGTTTGTTTTGGGCTTTGTGTATGTTTTTTTCGCTGGTTGTTTTTCTACATTTGCCGTGTAGTTGGGTCAGGTTGCAGATTCGAAAGTGGGTCAATTTATTACTGCAATGAATTGGTAACGCTGTTGATGCTGTTTGTTGCTGCTGGCAGGGTTTTTGCTTAAATTTAATTAACTGCAATCATTTGTTTGCCTGTCTGCTGGTCGCGGTGGGCGTGCCACTCAATTAACTTCGACAAATTTGGAAGAAGCTGCCGAGCATGGGGAAGGTCATTCTTCGATGGCCGATGGACCAGGAATAGCCGTCAGCTGGATGTGGGTTAAATGTTAGCCCATGTACTCGGGCCAGCCATAAAGCCCATGATGATGAGCGTCACATTGTGAATTGCATAAGCCGCGTGAGCACCCGCCGGCAGCTGGAAAATAGTAGGATCACACTCGAAAATATTTCTTGTTTTCGCTAAATAAAATTGGATATAATAAATTACAAATGTGATTAAATGCTTTCATGTAACATATACAATATTCAAGAATAGTATTTTCTAGGTGCTGAGATTAAAAAACCGAAGTATTTTCTAGCTTTTTAGAGAATTCTCCCTGTGCATTGACAAATAGGAAAATGGTAGAGTGCAGGCCATAAATACAGCACGGCAGAGTGCTCAAGTGCCATGTACAAGCCATTAGGGAAGACATGAACGATGCTGGCGCTGCAATCTGTTTTCCTTGGCTTAATGTCTTCGATTTCGACTCGGATTTTATGTGTGAGAAATCCACCGAAATGGTAGACTGTCTGTCTCAAACGCATTGCGGCCATTCCGAGCGTGTTTTATGTGCAGCCTGTGCAGATAAACCAAGGCAACAGAAGCCAACGGATTGCCATTGTGGGAGTTAACTCAAGATTCCGGTTCACAAACGATCCATCGTACCATTGACGTTCCATGCTGGTTGCCCAAAAAGAAGAGCCATCTGCAGAAACCTAAAGAATAAATCAGTGTAGAAACAGCAAGCTTAGGAAAGCTTTATATTCCATTTTAGTTTGGGAATAAATATTTAAAAATTATCTAATTGCAAAATTTTTTATTTTAAATCTAAATAACTTTTATATCACGTCTGTCCTTATTTTATATCTTAATTTTTATTTGTTTTACTAAAAAAGTGTGTTTATTTTTAATGTAAAATAACTCTCTACATTAAGATACTGATGTAGACTCGGCAAGAGTTTACCTTACACTTTACTATACCTATGGAAGCAGTGCAAGAAATGATCGTGGAATATCTGAATCTTTAAAGCTCTGATAAAAAGCTTTTAAACCCAAAAATCCGTTACAAATTTAAAAAAGAATTAAGATAAACCGTATTTTCTTATGCCTTATATAATAGTTTGGGTCCATATATGTTTTAGGCAGGGGGGGCTGGCTTTTTTCTGGCTAAAACCTTTCCATAAGCTTTCTAGCCCTAATTATTCTCTCTATAACTGCTCTTTAACTTCGCAATAAATGGTTTTTAGTCATTATAAAAAATTTTAAAATAAATCGTATTTAATAGAAACCCCTCGAGTTTTGGAAACGGTATCCGTTTGGAGCTCTTCCGAATCCCGTGTCCGAGAATTTCGATGACGACGCAATTAACTTTTCCTTGCATTTATGTATTGGAAAATTACCAACTGTTTTGCGAGTGGCGCCTTCGGGGGCGATAATCAACTGAAATCCAATCCGCTTTGTGTGGCCCAGCCAAACCCGAGAATAAAACAAAATCAACAGAACAGAGTCGCCAGCTCGACTCGCAATAATCGCTCAATGGGTCCCATAAAAACGCACACTCATCAAAATCGGAGAAACGCCTTTTTATTCAAGTATACTCGTACATTTATGATTTATTGACTAGTAAAAAGCGCAGGCTAAACAAAATTCGGGCCAGATGGGGATCCAGAACTAAGCCAGCTAGATGGGCGGAGAAAGGTGGGAACATTATTGGTTGGGGATGCTGGGGAACGCGCTTATCAGCCGGTTGCCTCCTCCCCCATCCTCCGGGGGCCAAACTGTAATCGGCGCCCTCTTCGCTGCTCTTTCGCCTTGGTACACCTAACCTCTTATAGGCTATGTCTGATCGGCTTTCGAATGCACAGACAAAGCCTAGTAGAGGCTAGATTTAAAAGGAGATTCTCGGCCAGAACGGCGACGGAGGGTGGGGCACTTTCCTTTCGGCTCGCGTTTGTTTCTTTTGTTTCTCTCGCATTTCCGATAGTAAAAACCAAAGTAGTTTTACGGCAGCGCGCCGCTTTCTTTGCATTGCTTGGAATCTGGATTTTTCGTTTGCCGTCTTAATTTATTAACTTGTTGCCGCCGTTTCGCATTTCGTGTTTTGCGTACAGTTCATGTTTGATCTGCTGCTCGTTTCGGATTTTTTCTTTAATATAAAATTGCCACGTCTTTCACTCGCGACTTTCACTTTTGGGGCTCGTCAAGAGCCAAATTAATTGCAAGCCAGTCGAAAATTTATCAGCGGGCGATTGTCGAGCGCCCAAATGGAACGACCGCCGCCTCGCAAATGATTGTGAGCGGTACCATACACACATATCATACATATACTCGTGCCTGTCGTGTCTGGTGGAGCTCTTTTCCAGAGAGCGATACGGGGAGCACGCCCTTGGTCAAGCCAACAACAACATGAATGTTTATGCATTTAAAGTTCAAGTTCAAAGCGGCGAGAATGCCAATTAGAATTACTGCTCGGGCGCTACGGCTCTCCAAGAGAGCGAAGAATTGGGAGCGGAGAACGAAGAGCGAAGCGTGTGGCCAAGTGCACGTAGACCTCGAAACAGAAGAGATCGCTATCTACACGGGAAAACAGAGGGAGTCTAATAAACAAATTCAGATAGTTGAAATGGCAAGTGACAACCCCAATACTAGTATATCTTTATCTAAGAAGTAATCCGATACAAAAAATATAAACTTTTAAAGATAAAACAAAAAAAAAATATGCTTAGCCAATACATTTACTATTATATTAAAGGACAAAAACTCATTTACTTTGAGCAATGGTGTCTCAAAAACGTTTAGAAAAGGAATTTGCATTGGCTCTAAAATATTTTCCCAATTTTACTATTTAGAAATCACCACAAAGAAGCTATATGCATTTTAAAGATAGGTGGTAATTTGAAAACTAGCTGTTTCAGTGTAGTGCTTTCTATTTTAGACCGGCCTTTAGCTCTCTGCCTCCCATTCTCACTCTCCGAATCTCTGAATAGACCAAACTAGCACTAGTTTCTCTTCGCTTTTTGTTGTGTTTGTAGTTTTGGGGGGCAAAAAGTAATCCATGTCAGTAGAACACTTTCGATTTTCTTTTTTATTCGCTTTTTGCGGGCGCGACGCGTTCCTATTATTTTTATTTTTTTGCGCTAATTGTTTGATACTATTTTTGATCATGTTGTTGTGGAACTTATTTACGTTTTAATTGCCCAACTTTCACTTTGCAGTGAGAATTTTTTTGTGAATTTCACTAGAACTTTGTCATTTAGGCTTATTTTTAAGGTCCTGCGGGTTTTTTTTGCTGCTGCCACCGATCTCGACACTTGCACAGTTTTGGTTTTAATAAACCCGAGTACGAAGTGATTTTATGCTTTTATACTCTCGGCAGCGACGCCGGCAGCGCAGTCGGCGTCAATGGCGGCCATTGCGTGCACATATATATGTGTGTACGTGTGTATGTGTGCGATCGCTTCATTTTATTATTTTGTTTGACTTTTTTATATGCGAGAAAAGTACGAAAAGTAAAGCGAATGGAACGAACGGCGGCGGAATGAACATTTTGCATCGCCCGATCGCCGCTTTATATATTTGCCTGATCCGGCCACTGCCGACGTCGCTGCAGACTCACACACTCTCACACTCGCGAATATGAGTTACTTTAAGCATCGTTCTGTTTCTGTTTCTTCGCCTCTTTTTGGGCACCACTTTTGTGTTTTGTATGCATTCGCTGTTTTCTTTTTGGCGACCCACTCACACACACACACGCTCGTTTTGGAGCTCTCCTGTAGTCCACCCTTTCCCCCGCCCTTTTCACCACACACACGCACGCAGATCACCATCCTCAACAATGGGGGAGAGAAAAAGATAACCGATTATTTAAATTTCTAAGAGGATTCTTCACAAATTTAAAATTACTTATAGTAAAAATTCATAAAATAAAATATCGAAAAGAAGAACATTACACAACCATTAATTTAATCTCTTCATTGATAAGAACTGCTATAATTTTGACCACAATTGTAAGCCCCCAGACGCGTCGCTGCCGCGCTCTCTTTCTCTCCAGGCCGAGTTTTTGCCGTTGGGTGTTGTCTGCCTTGTTGATTCGCATTTTTTCGCTTGCATTTTTTTGGCACTCTCCTCTCTCCGAGGGCGCAAATTAAGTTCGAGTCATTAAACCGGTCAACTCAAAAAACGTGGCATCCAGACCTAAGATCAGCAAACAACAACAGGAACATCTTGATCACTTGTGGTCACTTAAACGTTTTGTGCAGGGGCCCGGAGTTATTGACCGACTTTGGTGTAACCCGAGCTCCACTGACATTCAATGCTCTCCGAGGAAACATGGCACCATCTGATAAATGCACCAGATGAGTGGAAAACATAACTGTTCACACTTGAAGGGAGGGGATTTAAATAATAATGGAGATTCTTCGATTGGGGTTTGTGTAAAACTAAAAGTTGTTTAAAATTAATAGCATACTGTACTGCACACCTAAGTTCGAACATTGTGTTATAAGGAGTAAGTTCTTCCTATCTTATACTTGTAGGGAAAAACAGGAATACCTTTGATACTAACCAGAATTATACGAGTTAACTATGTCACCAGTCATGAAGTTAATTTAAGACGAGGACTCCAAGAGTGTACAGCTGCAATTAATCAGTCGATCGATTCTACCGATGAAATTATGACTTGGGTGGCACTCTCCCTACTTAAATGCAAGTATTGTTGATTTCCAAAAAAGAACGAATTGATAAATTAACTTGAACTCTCCACACACGCGCAGCCGTTAATTATACGCCATGTATATCAGTCGACGTTCCTGTTTTTTCGCCTTTTGTTGATTGTCGAGTGCTTTTCGTGTCGTATTTGTTATATTCTTATTCTGGCGAATGCAATGAACCCGGCTTGTTTGTTTAAAAATAAAAGTACAAATTACAAAAAAAAAAAAGAGCGCAGAACAGAAATCGAATCAACAAACAAAAGAAATTCTTTGTTTATGGCAATGCCAACCTGTGCTCTTGTTCAGGGGCGGATAAAGAAACAAATTTTAAGAATGGGGCTCGACACCAGACATTTGTTCGTATGTTTCACCTAGAAATTTTAACTGCTTAAATTATTACTTATACATATTTACAAATTTGTCCTTTTTGTTTGCCTCCGGGTTAAGTTTTATTAAATTCCCTTGAATTTGTTTTTTTAATCAATGTTTATCTAAGGAATTTTAAAGAAGCTAAAAAGTCGCCTTCTGGTAATTGGGCCCACTACAGCCCCTCTAAATTTTACCCCTGCTTTCGCGAAAGTATGAGTGAGATACTCACAGCTATCTCTGTTGCGCACGCCTACTTTCCAATTGGGGCGCGAATTGCATTTTCGGGTTGTTTTGGCTTTCGAGAGGCGATTGTAGAGACTAGAGTTCATTGGCATCGTGTAGATTTTATTTATCAGTTGAAATATTTTGCTAAACAAATTGCAGTCAATGACATTAACCGCTCGAAAAGGCGCACACACATGCACAGGGCGGATGTGGCACTCGCCCCATCTCTTTCTGTTGCGTGGGGGGCTCAAGGAGAGCGACAAGGAGGGCGAAGGAGGAGCGACCGAGATGGCGAACAGGTCACGCAAGCGTACAACAGTTTATTCATCTCGCATCTCGCCAAAATGCGCATCAGCGGAATCGACAAAGTTTCCGAAGCCCCATCGATAAAGTGGAGATAGAAGACTCTCTTCTGCACACTTGTGCAAAGCTCCGGGAACAAGAACAAGAAGTAGAAGATCGAAAACAAGGGCACTTAAAAAAAAATTGTGTTTTACATAACCAGCAGTCACTTTAATTTAAAAAACCTTTAAATGAAATCTAAGATGAAGAAGTTTTGTACAACATTTTGTCAACTAAAAACTATTCATATTTGATGTTTAAAAAAGTACATATTATATTTTTCCACGTGCAACAAGCTTAACTTTTTCGGGTTTCTGTTTGTCCAGAAAAAGATGACGGAGGAGCGTACGAAATGTTGGCAAGGGGCTGCGGGGGGTGCGACTGCAAAATTGTTTAATTATAAAATGTAAAAAACGAAGCAGGCAGAGCGAAAGAGATAGATTGAGGGAGATAGGGAGCGAGTGAGGGACAGAGATAAAGTTTTTGTTGAAGGACACACACGGTCTTTAAAAGTGAGTAATGCACTGGAGGTTGTTGACTCTGTAGCTATCCCATTCACTCTGCCTGTTGCCATCGTCGCCTTCGCCTTGTGGATTTTTTTATTTATTTATTTTTTTATACTTATTTTGCACTGTCCACTGGGCTTGTTGTTGTTTGTGCTGCTGTTGCTGTTGCTGCTGCTGCCGATATTGTATTCCGCATGTCTGTATTTGTGAAGAATCTTTTGTTATGCGTTTTTTTTCGGTGTTGCTTGTGTGTGCTGTGCAAAGTCAAAGTGATTAAACTTTATGCGCAATTTATTTTGCATTCACCACATCAGCAACAGCAGCAACAGCAACAAAATCAACAACAACGACGTCTAAGCCGAAAAAAACAACAACAGAATTATTGTTTAATGCTAATTTAACACACGTCAAATGTGGTATCCAAAAAAAGCTGGCTGCCAAAATCGCGTTTACAGGTTCAGGCAATCGCGAACTGAGATAAGCGGAGTGATAACCGTACACCGCAGCGAAAATTGCCTCTTTACCGGTAATTTCGCCCATAAAAATGCCACGTTTAATTTGGGGGTTAACATTTCACAAGCGGTACAAGGTTCTAAGGAATGAACTTTACGAAAAACAATAAGTTCTTCAGGGGTAAATGACTTCCAGTCTTATGAAAATATATCAGTTAAGGCCAGGTTCCTCTGAAAAACGTACTTTTTTCAATTAATTTTATTTTCATAACAAAAAATGTTGAGTATTCAATTTTTTTTATATATGAAAGTATGTATATGAAATTACTAAAAAAAAATTTTTTAATTTTTTTTTCAAAATGGCGGTCCTGAAAATGGCTGCTGAAACTCGTCCGATTCGTAGATGGATGACACGATTACTTGAAAAATAATTATCTGAATGCAAAAACCAAAATAGTTTCGTGTTCTGCATCGAAGTAGCTATGGCCGGTACCAGAATGAAAAATTTTCCATGAAAAATAAAAAAATGGCGGACTTTTGAATTTTTTGAACCCTTTTTTTCACTTATAATTGTTTATAACTTTTTTAAAAAATAATGAATATTTCTGATTCTGGTACCGGCCATAGCCAGACATATTAAGAGTAAAATGCCGTTTGGTTCAAATCGATAAGTGCCATAGTTTTGAAATGAGAGTGTCATCCATGCGAAAAAACGTGGTTCGGAGAAAAATCAGTTTAAAGTTTTTAAGGCGTTCGAGCGGCCGTACTACCAGCAGCGCTCCTCACTCTTTTACACCTAATTCTCGGCCTTGCTGACCTTCGGGACTTATTTTATACTATTTCGACAAGTATATAGTAGCAATTTATGAAAAAAAAAAAAATTTTCATTTTTTCAAAATTGTTGAGAGGAACCTGGCCTTAATATAGAAGGAGTGCAGTTATGGATCACCTCATTGCTAACCTGACTTTATCGACCTTCATGGAAAGTAAATTTAGAATGCTGATATTTCAGGAATTTTTCCTCACTTTTTTTCGTTACAACAATTGTTTCGAATGGCTGTTCGACAAACCGTAATCTGAAAACAGAAACTGCAACAGTGTTGTTACAAATGCCTTGCTACATGACAAAAGCCATTGGAATTTCTGCACATTTTCCGGTCTGATTGACTGGGCGACTGTACGAAAGTCGCACGACAAGAAAAACAGAACATGTGCCTGAATGCGGGTGCTAAACACTCCTCATCCTCCTCTTTTTTACCAGTCGACTCAGAAGTTAATTTCGCCCTTTTTTATTTTGCGGGCCTTTTTTGAGAATTGGGGAATTGCAGTTGTGGCAGCAGCACAACATGCGGTTAAATGTTGACACCCAGCAGACGCCACAGTCAACCGCAAAAAACGCACGCCTCGGGATCTCGAGTCCAAGCTGAGGGAAAAAACCTAATGAGTGGGATGATCCACTAGGGTGGACCTTGTCCGGGAAGAGCTAATCATGAAAATTGGTTCGTTTTAGTATTTTTAACTACTGTAAATGAAGTGGAAACCAAACTGTATGGAATACAAATTGAAAATGGGTGCTATCAAATCTGAAGCTCTTTTTTTGTTTATAAGAATTATTTTTTATTGTATAAAATTGTATGCTGGAATTGATATTAATAGTTTTAAAATATTTCGTACCATATTTGAACTATATTTTTTTCAGAATGCATCCATCCCAATCGCGTGCAGGCAACCTCCAGATGCTCACAATATGGTGTTCCTTCTGGATGACGCCGCCGGCTTCATGGCCACACAGTTGCAGTGGCTGCAGTTTTATTGTTTTTCTGCTCTTGCTGATTCCGCTGCCTTCTCTGTTGTTAATCGTCTTGACGGCGCAGTCACATTGTGCGTGCTGCTCCAAGGCCAGTGCAATATTTTACACGAGTGACATCGCCGGCGAATTTCCGTCAGTGTTGCTGTTGCTGCTCGCTATATAGCATATATAGTATGCACTCGCTGTCCCCCTACACTCTTCCCCCAATCTCCCTTGTGCGTCATCGCTGGCTCTGCGCTTCATGGCTGTTGATATCGCTTCTCCCGCGAACGAAACCCCAACACCCCCACACGTACGCACTCCCGATCGTTTAACACCCACTGTAAGTGGAAGCGAGTGTAAGCCAGACAAGTTCTCCGAATATCCACACAGCCAGAAAATTATATAGCATCGACAATAACTTGATTAATAACATCCAGGCAGGAAGAAAATTATATGCGGCGCATCGAAATTGATTAATGGCATTTTTGACCCCAGTTTCTGTAGGCTGTGCAACGCGTCGTATGCGCAATATCTGCAATCTCTTTTTTTCAAAGAGAGGCATCTTTGAAATTAGCCCATTAGAGGCATAAAAATAATAGATAAAGCTGTGCAATTTGATTAATTTTTACAAAAATTCTATAGCTCACAATTTTGTTGTCCCGATAACCATATATAGTTATATAGTTTATATAGTCATATAGTTTTTGGGAGATATATGCATTATCAGTACCATACCTCCCAACATTTTATAGTGGTTTATTGGGTGCACTCCTCTTTACTTTTGTTTATTTTTTAACCACTTTCTTATCTATCCGTATTGGTGCAATTTGTTTCTTGTTTACCAATTATTTGAAATAAGCGAATAAGAAAAAGTTAAGAAATTATATTATTAATTTTCGGATAGAACTTATACAAAAACCTCTTGTTCTCAGTGCTTAATGTATCAGGTAGCAATCAAATCGTTCCGATACTCAGTTGTCAATAGAAATAAGTCGATTTCGGCTGAAGCTCAATCTAAAATCAAAATTACAACGATAACTATCGCCTGTTGATCTTGTATACTCTCTTAAATTTAAAAGTTACTTCTTTTAGCACTAGATCCTTTAATTGTTTTTATTTTTTTTAGTTTTCGATTATTATTAAGTTTCAAGGTACATTTGTAGAATCTTCTTGCAATGACTAATAGTGACACCCTTGTGGTTTAGTAAGTGATCGCCAGTATCTGTGAATTCCTATTATTTCTATTCCTATTAATAATATGCAAATGTAGCTTCTTTGTAGTGGCCACTGTGGGTCTAGTGATATCGGTGATCTGCGTGAAGGTTCCCCGAGTGCGATTGTTTGCGGCGAAGCTGTACAAGATCTATGCGGAGTACACACCCGTGATTTACTTGAGCGAGGATCGATTGACACCCGTTTCCAGGCGGCGACTGGCCCTCGTGGCCAGGAAGACCCTCGTGGTGGACATGGACGAGACCCTGATCACGTCGTGGAGCACAAGACATGGCAGGAGGCGCAGGAAGATGCCAACTGTGCCCCACGACTTCGAGTTCTACCTGCCGGAAACGAGGTCCGTGCACCTCGTCTACAAGCGTCCCTACGTGGACCAGTTCCTGGACCACGTGTCCAAGTGGTACGACCTGACCGTCTACACCGCCGGAGCCGAGTGCTACGCCTCGCCCATCCTGGACTTCCTGGACAGGGGCAGGGGCATCCTGAAGAAGCGCCTCTATCGGGACAACTGCCTGGACGTGGCCGGTCTGCGGGCCAAGTACGTCTCGCTGGTCTCCCCGAACCTGTCCAGCGTCCTGCTCCTGGACGACTCGTGCGTGGAGTGCAGCTTCAACGCGGGCAACTCGGTGCACATCAAGTCCTTTCGGGTCGGCAAGCGGGACCAGGCGCTCCTCGACCTGCTGCCCTTCCTGGACGCCCTGCGCTTCACCAGGGATGTGCGGTCGGTCCTCCAGCGCTGCACCCGCTTCGACTGCCTCACCACCAATCTGCTCAGTGTCACCGAGCGGAGATCCTCGTCAGCTTCTTAGGTTTCTGTTTCCGTTTCGGTTTCGGTTTCGGTTTCTGTTTCAGTTGCAGTTGTGTTAAAATTAAAAGCATTATTTGCTGGCTTATCATTTTGAACGTTAATCAAAGGTCGCTTGGGGCTGGGTCTATTTTAATTAAATGTTTCCAGTGATCGAAGGCCTGGGATTTATAAATAACTTTTGCATTAGGTTTGCATTTAGAGAGGGTCTGGTCAGATACTAAATTTTCAGTTAGCGTGGTATGTTCTTCTTGAAGGCAAGGTAGCTCGTCGATTTAACCACATTGTTTACCCTTCAGCACTACCATCTTTCACCATCTCCGACTTAGTCATGCCAGAGAGCTCTTAGTCATATCCCAATATCCAGTGGAAGGCCAAGTGATTCACTAAGTAAACGACTTCGGCCAAGGCTGCGGCGGTATCAGGCCACAACTCATATTAATCAGAGGCTAGCACAATATGCTCCACTTTATCGGCAACAGAGTTGCGACAGTGAAAAATGAGCGAATGTCACAAGGATCATAGGGCTTGGCCCGTTGTACCATCTGCGCTTCGATCGGAGCTGAAACCTAAACTGGTTTCGTTGAAAGAAAGCTAAATCGTTAAGGAGAAATAATTAAGTGCGGCGAATGCTGCATATCCATTAGTAAAGCGGTGTTTAGTATATGAATTAAACAGACTATTATCTTGTTTCGAACATATTCGAGTTTCAGATACCTGTAACATTTAAAGGCAATACTTCTAACACAAAATAAATATTTCTACATATATATAATAATTACTAATGAAAAAAGCAAAAGCAAACTGAGCTGCAAATATATACACTGGATAACACAGCAAGCGATGGTCTCGGGAATCGAATTCTTTGGGGCTAATCCCTAGTCCAGCTCAGCCATTTGGGTGCGGCAATTAAGTCACAACCGCCACCGAGGAGGCGAGCAGGATCCTGGGATCTCGGAGGAGGGAAGTGTGCCGGCGAGGGGCTCGCGATTCCAGCGAAGATCATTATTGTCTCGTCGCGGATGCGCGATGCCGAATGCCGAATGCTGGAGAGCGAGACGATCCAAACGACGGCCCCAAAAATAAGGCACTCGCAACGCGGCGGAGCAAACAAGTTAATGAACCTGCGTCTGGGATCCTTGGGACACCCGAGAGCGCGGGGGGAGCCGTCCAACTAGTTTGGCCCTGGTTCAGTTTTTCAGTTTCTCAGTTTTGGTTTTCGACGCTGGTCTGTTTCGCCGCGCCGAAATCTGTGGCATGAATTCCCTGGAAATGATCGAAATTTCATTTCATTGCGGGACGGCCGGCCGAAACTAAGTTCAACAGCATTCCACCGGTCAGCGACTGTCTGGTGTAGCTTTTGGGCAAAACACTAGCTCTTGGCCAGACTTAGACGAGACTAACGTGTCTGTGTCCCGATGGAAATCGGTCCTTCAGGAAGAATTTATTAGCCATTCGAAAATAAAAATGAATTGGTATATTTCACAGGAAATCTCTACTCAAGAGCATTTGGTCTGGGATACATTTCATTTGGACCAAAACTTGAACTTAGATTGAATCAGCTGCAATTAAATCGAACACTTTTAGTAACGAAACTAAATGCAGCACGCATTATCAGCATTTTTATCTGTTTTAAACTATCTTAATACAGTATTGCTTACATCCGAAAAGTAGGCGAGAACTGAAAGTGGAGCGGCTAGAACGCAGATGGCAGGGATTACTCTCCCGGCAGCTCCTGTTTCGCGGCTTAGTTCCCCCATTATCCTTGGGCCAGGAGTCATTGCCCTGCGGCGGGCTCGCATTACACAATTGCATCGGCGATCGGACGGTGCTCAAGTTACACGGAACTCCAGTGGCCTACTTCCACTCGAGTGACCCGCAATGTCCCCGAACAATGGCCTTTGTGCCTATCCCGTGGCGGTCCAGAAAACAGGAGCAGGAGCAGCAGCAGCAGCAGCAGCAGGAGAAGGAGCAGGAGCAGGAGCAGGAGCTGCGTACAGCAACCCCATTTTCCCTTATGCAGATCCTGCCCAGTCAGTCAGCCAAAGACAAAGAAACCCATTTTGTCGCATTCAAACAGAAATTAATGTAAAACAAGAAAGGAAGTAGCTTCAGCGAGTCGAAGTTTATATGCCCTTGCAGACATCACAAATTTCGTGCAAATAATATTAAGGCTAAACAATATCGAAGCTATTATTTGTTATTTTATTTTCACCGATTGTTCCTATAGACATTTGGTAAAGTTTCATAGAGCAGGTTTCGAAAATGAGAGACTAATTTACAATCATTATGCTGATCAAAAATGTATAAACTCTCCAGGGTCTGAAATTGTAATACCCTCTTTAAGGGTATTTCAAAACCCAATCCAATCCAATCCCATCCAATTCCAATCCCATCCAAGAGCTCACAGAAATGCGGAGAGGGAGCGCACCGAGCAGGGGAATATAATTTTATTTTTATAACTGACCTCGAACTTTTGTGCAATGTGATTGAACTGCCTGACGATATCTGTGGGCCCTGCTCTGTCCGGCCCCTTCCCTGTCCCTTTTCCTGCACGGGACATGCACTCGGAACAACTGGGAGCTGCTCCCTTAATTAAACATGATTTATTTTAATTTCTTGTTGAGCAACACTATCCTAGTAAAAATTCTGTGTCAGAATTGAAGTCAGAATTAAGTTTACAAGTCGATAATCAACCTATGCGTATACGTAATATTTCATAATATTATTTCTGCATATTATATTTGCAAACTTCCACCATAAGGTATGTATTGTTCATTTCCAATATGTTTTCTTTATTCCACCTAATAATCCGAAATTATTTTTTTCAGTGTGCCCCGATCCGAGCTGCAGCATTTGCATGCAGACTGCATACGGAGCTGTTGATCGCCTCCAACTCCGATTCGGATTTAGAGACCGATTCAGGGACCGAAACCGAGAAATCGAGCCTGGATGCAATCCTCGGTTGACAAACAATATGGAAATTCTGCAGAGTGCGCTGAAATAAAAGGGGAAGCGAAAGCGAATCTTAAATGGCAAAAGGGTCGCTTGTGCGGGGGGTGGAGGGGGTTGGGATAGTCGCAGTCGTCAGCGGGGAACGTTAAATGCATAATAAATGTGCGTTCTAGAGGTTGGGAAATAAAATGCGTGCAGCGCCGTCGACGCCTTGCACTCTCAATGACCAAACAGAACGATAAGAACGGCAGCGATATAATACACAGAGAACAATTCGACGTTCGTTGTATAACGTTATGTTCGAATCGTAAGTGCTGTTGCTTGAAATCAAAACGTTATACGATTTTAGACTAGAAACTAACTGTATTTAATATTGATCATGATGCTTGAACAGATATTAGGACCGCCAAAATCAAAATTCCAATACCTTATCTACTTTTATATATATATAATTTATAAATAAATAAGTACTCCCCATCGAAACGCCATAGTTTGGCAACAAACTTCTGCTTGACTTTGTTTGCCAAAACAATTTGGGAGCGCCAAAGATAATGCAAAAAAACGAGAGAGTGGAGCCGAGAGCGTATGAAAATACACAAGTTCTTTATCAAAAATTGCTCTGAGGCTTTCGCCTCTGCTGTGCAAATATTTAATACAAAACAAAAGAACCAAAAAGAAAAGAGACGACGAAGAAGACAATAAATAGAAAGCAGAGGCGTTGGCAGCGAGTGCCAGTCAAGCTTTAATTCCCCAAACAACAACAATATGGGAGCACGAAACAGCAGCAGCAGCCACAAAAAATGTTTAGCTGACGTCATTTGTCCTTGAATTCGTATATTAGCCGTAAGCCCAAAGCAAAATTCGCAAAATTCAATGCACTCGCGAACCAAAAGGGAGATAAGGTGAATAACAACAGAAATGGCTAATGTAGTTGAAAAAGCAAAACATTTGTATGCAGCATTTGCATTCTAATTCTTCCAATTTATTGAAATTGTTGTATATCAAAATTATTAAACTCTTGTTATTAAGAGTATACAATTTTTAAATTTATGTTAAGCCGCCAAATATTAACCGTGTTAGTTAACGCCAAATTTAGCAATGCCTTATTTGTCGCCAGGGCTGCAGCATATTCATGGTTAGCAATGACGTACTCCAATTCAATTTGTGTTTGATGATTGACTGTTCTCACCATGGAAAACTGACCGGGGAACAGTGAATCATCGATTCGACAAATATCGATAGCAAAGGCAAACATCGATTATCGTCCACCTCTAAAACAAATACAAAATAAAAAACACGCGCAGTTTTTAATAATTTTTTACTGGACAATTTACATTTTTGATGCGGAGTCGGTTTGTTTGGGCGAGCAAAAACGGTGAACGCCAGGTGGGTAAACCAATAAATAGATCATCAGAGGGATACCGAACCGACACATCCGCTCTCCACTTCTCCACTCATTTCTTGGCCTGTTTTTTTTCTTTGCGTAAGTTAAGGTCTGCTGCAAACTGTGTCAACTAATTACGGGGCGCATGATTGCCGTTCCGTTGAACGGCATGAGCGAAATGAGGCCCTTATCGAGTCGCGTTTATCGCCTGCCCTTTGAACCCGTGCTGCAAAGCCAATTCCGGATCGCGATCCGGCCCTGAAATCCGAAATCTCCACGTCTGTTTGCATACGGCTTAAGCAGAGGAACAGGTCTCTCTTTTTGATATGCTAATCTACAGGGCCCACGCGTATCTGAGAAGTTGACAGTCGGTAGTCCGTAGTCAGTTTCGTAATTAACTTAACCCGTGTGCTTGTACGACTTCTTCCCCGCAGAAAAGCGACGTAAATCGATAATACACCCCGAAAACCGCACACTCCACCGCTCTACACCACACACACTCGGAAATAATGGGTCAAACTCTGTCGGAACCGGTGACCGCCAAGGAGTCCTCCTACTGCCAGAACGCCGCCTTCCGCGTGGGCTCCAGCTGCATGCAGGGATGGCGCATCAACATGGAGGACTCGCACACCCACATCCTCTCGCTGCCCGACGACCCCGGAGCGGCCTTCTTCGCCGTCTACGACGGCCACGGAGGCGCGACGGTGGCCCAGTACGCCGGCAAGCACTTGCACAAGTTTGTCCTCAAGCGACCGGAGTACAACGACAATATCGAGCAGGCCCTGCAGCAGGTGAGTCACGTTGGAATCACATTTAGATGAACCAAAGAAGCTCCATGTAGGAGATCGCTAGGAGTACCAGAACGAGTGCCTCTGTATAGCAGCTACAGCCACTAAGTTTAATTATTTGAAGCAATTAGAATTAGAATTATTTTGTTCAAATAGGTTAGCTTAGTTGACAAAGATATATCCTAAAAAAAAAGATTGTACAAAATCGACATCTCGTCTCCTCTTAAAAGTTTTCTACACCCAGGTAAATATTTACCGAATTTTTTATCAGCCGTAGCTTTTTAAAATGCCATATACTTCCATTAGATATCAACTCAAAGTAAAAGCAATAGTTTCCAGTTATCATCAGCTAAAATTGTTTTGTTAACCAATAAATCATGTGTTTAAAGTTTAAACGCATAAACAACACCGTTAAAAGCTATTATATGACTCATATGTGAAAACCCAGATGAAAAAGAGACAATCTTTTCTTATTCTTACTTATTATTGTGGAAACTGATGCAATTGCAGGGCTTTCTGGACATAGACTACTATATGCTGAACAATGAGTCATGGGGCGACCAGATGGCCGGCTCCACAGCCGTGGTGGTCCTGGTCAAAGACAACAAGCTTTATTGCGCGAACGCGGGAGACTCGCGGGCCATTGCCTGTGTGAACGGGCAGCTGGAGATCCTGTCGCTGGACCACAAGCCCAACAACGAGGCGGAGTCCAAACGGATCATTGACGGCGGCGGCTGGGTGGAGTTCAACCGCGTCAACGGCAACCTGGCACTCTCCCGGGCACTCGGCGACTTTGTCTTTAAGCGGGCAAACAAAAGACCGGAAGACCAGATCGTCACAGGTGAGAAACGGCGCATCCATTGTTCCCATTATCCATTATCCATTACCCATTATCACCTTGTTTTTCGTTCTTCTCGGCGCGTGTGTAGCCTACCCGGACGTGGAGACGCGTAAGATCATGGAGGACTGGGAATTCATCGTGTTGGCCTGCGACGGCATTTGGGATGTGATGAGCAACGCGGAAGTGCTCGAGTTCTGCCGCACGCGCATCGGCATGGGCATGTACCCGGAGGAGATCTGCGAGGAGCTGATGAACCACTGCCTGGCGCCCGATTGCCAAATGGGCGGTCTCGGCGGCGACAACATGACCGTGGTGCTGGTATGCCTGCTCCACGACCGTCCCTACAGCGACCTAATAGCACGCTGCCGGAACAGCAACCAGGTGGCCAGCGAGAATGACCTCTCAGGCAAGGTAGCGAAGGGCGAAACGGCAGCAGCCACCGAGGCGGAAACGGAAGCGGAGAGCGACACGGAGACGGAAACTCAGTCCAAACCCTGCCAGAAGCAGTCCAATACCAATACCAATCAAAACCCCAATCCCGGTCCCACGGACGACGAGAAGAAGCTGGAGAAGGAGTCACAGGACGCGCTGCTGGCAGCGGCCGAGATGCAGCTGAACTATATCTACTAGTGCGCCTTACGATTAATTAGGGTTACTCCAATACCGCTTAGGTCAACTCTTTATACTTAACAACGCAAGTGTTCTTGGTTAAGTTTTATACACCACACAGTCCTTACCAAAATGTTTGCTCCGATAGTAACACTTGTTTTAATTGTATCCCCCAAGATGCGTGTATATACATATATGCCTTGTCTAACTATGTAACCTTATGATTTACTATGTTTTGTGATGCCCGAGCAAAATGGATAAAAAACTGTATTACTCGTTTAGTATTTATGTACCCGAAGCATACTTGTCAAAGTTGTTTGGGTTTGATCTTTAAGAATGAGTGCAGTGTTTCAAAATTAAAAATAAAGAAAACGTTTTGTAGTGCCCAAGAAACTAGATTGTTTACTTTAGAGTGGGAATGAAAGAAATAGAAATGTTTTTTAAAAAGTATACTCATTTTAATTTCATGCGTTTGTCTTATTTGTTTGACAAAGTATTGTTGCTGAATAATTTAATTGGCCGTACTTGTTTTCGTGAAATTGTTTGATACTGGTATTACCAGTTCGGCTGTCGTTTCTTAACATACCTCTTAGTAGATCCAATGCGAATATCCATATCCAATAACCTTCCATTCCCCTTTGAGCAATAACTCGTATCGTTGTGCACTGCCTCTGTCGCTGGTTATCGCTTTATTGTTCTCTTCGGCTATCTACATTGCTATTATTATGGAGTCGAAATGAATTACGCTTTCAGTTTTTTGGTTGTTTCTCAGTGTTTGTATTTTTTTTTTCGTTTTGTTTTATTATAATATTTTTATTTATATGTATGCCATCATATTACACATTCAATTATGTATAACTGCTGTTGGTTTCGCTTTCGCTTGCTGCATAGAGGGATATTGTATTTCTTTATAGTTAGTTTATAGTTTAAATCATATGCAATTTTATAAACTTCTTGTTACTTTACAGTTATCAATTTCGGTACAATTACAAATTGATTATATATATATTTATGAGTGAATTCAACCCAGGGCAAATAAAGAAACAACTCAAAAGATCTCTGACCGTCAGGGAGAGTTGGGTTGGGTTGGGGGATTGCATCAGCATCAAACTCAAAAAGTACAGGGGGATGGCAGTGCCAAGAGAATGATCGGGTGAAATCCGGAAATCAGGAGGGGAATGCCCCCAACAATGTATAGCTAAGGGTATGTACAATGGTCTTTTGAGGGGCACTCCGTAAAATTAAATAATACAAAATATTTGGATGGTGTAAAAACAAAAACTAAACGATATTCTATGCCGTGTGTGGGGTGGATTTAACTGTTTTGGTATTGGTATTGGTATTGGTTTGGGGCACAGGAGAAATGATCGGCGGCGGTGGAGTGGCAATGTGGGGAATACATAGTTCTATGGGCGTGGCGTGGCATGTCTGCTGAACTTGCAATAGTATAATTTTGTAAATATAACAAGGTGTCATATGCGCTGCTTAAGTATACAAAAATAAATAACTTAAGAACTGAGGTTTACAATTTAACAATTTAATTTAATTTATTGTATTCCTTAAAATTATTCAACATCAACAATGTTCCTTTACTTTCCCTATACCCTATACTCTCTATCTCTCGCCTGGTGCCCGGCCCTCGGTCCCGGCGTCTGTGTGGACAGGCCGCCTGGTCCGAGTGTCCGAGTCCCGTGGCTCCAAGTGTCGACTGTCTCGCGGTCGAGTGGGCGTCGCAATCTCGATGGACATTGGCCGGCCCGCATTCCGTTTATTTGTTTTTGTTTTTTGTCGCACACAATTGATGATTTGTCAATTGCATAATATCACATCTCATTGCCGGAATACCAGGGCCGCCGCCCATCGAGCCATCGAGGCTCCACTCAGGCCGCCCCTTGTCCACGTCCTCGTCCTCGTCCATTGATTCACCTAAAGCACAGTCCGCAGTCCCAGTCGCAGTCGCAGTCCGCCCTATTGAGGTCCAACTGTACAGTGTGTAGTGAGTGTGGTTTAGTATTCCTTTGTGTTGGCAGCCGACAGTGAGTGATGAGCACAACAAAATCATTTGAGAACTTTCCAAAGAAATGTGTGTGAGTCGGGGTTAGTTGGATTATAGTTTGGGCCTTTCTTCAATTTCAATTGGAGGGGGAAGATACAAACTATAAACTATGAATTATTTAAAGATACATTTTGTGAGGCGGCTACGCGACGGACCACTGAGCAAGGTATACTATCTGTGTGTGTGTTTGTGTGTGAGTGTGGCTCCATCCAAGCGAAGTAAGTATCCAGTAGGATTCTGGATGCCAACTTTCCGGGCAATGAGTGATTGAGTGGCTAGAAAGATTGATTGATTTCCGTTTATGTCCTAGAGGCAGTCGTGTGTGTGTAGGTGTGTGTGTATCGTGTGTGTGCTATTAGACGCCTTTTGAGGGCGGATGGAGCCACTTTGGTTCTTGGCTCAGTGGTCGGTCTGTGTCCTGCTCGGATTTTACATATTAGTTAGTATAGGCACTTAGCATATTCGATTGTTTTCATAGAAACAAAATATATGTGTATATATATTGGTTTTTCAGTTTAGTTTTCTTCTCTTATATTTTCAATTTCATTTTGGTTGGAAGTCTTGCGTTTAGAGTTCATTTTTCTTGTTCTCGTTCTTTTTTTTTTTTGTTTTTGTTTGTTTTTGATTTTGGATGAAAGTTTTCATACTTTTTCCTTTGGGAAAACATTGTTCGGTTCGTTCACAGTGGGTTCATAAGCATTCAATTGAAAAGAACAAAAATAAAACGCGGTTTTCCTTCGTTTTCAGTGGCGTAAAGTTGTGAATGAGAAATGAAGATGATTGGTTTCATTTTGGTTTGAAGTGAAGGGGCGGAGTAGTTTTGTTTTAAAACAAGGGAAGTTATTAACAGAAGAAATTATGTCGTTAAGTGTGAATATCCGTATATGCATACCTAAACTTAATTCTTATTCCTAGAATAGTTTGTAGATATCGTGAGTAAGCTCTTAAAACTACTGATTATTTTCTTTTCTCCCTTCTTGCCAATTGTTTTACGCTTCAAGGATTAATTTACATTCTTCTTACGCTTGAATAAAATAAGACTCCATAAATCAATTTGTGCGTTAATCGTGAACAATTAAAAGGGAAACCCATAATTAAAATTTACACAATTCTTCGCAAATTTATATCTAAGATGAGCATCGATATTTTGGGGGCGAGGATGAAGCAGCATCTTTCAAGTTGAGAGATAGTAAAACATAGCTAAAGAATTCGTTTTAAATGCCTATTTTGTGTTGTCCTAAACCTCATAGAATTTCGTGTATGTGTGTCTGTGTGTGTGTTTGTTTTAGTTTATGGCACCTTTTTGTATAGAGTCCTAAGTCGTTAATATAACATTAGATAGTGTTTGTCTTATGAGCTGCGCTGTGTCCACCTACGCGTTGTAAGGATTAAGTTTAGTATTTAGCAATGCACTAACTTCTTAATTCATTTCATTTCGTTTCGTTCTTTGTTTTATTGAAATAGACGTGTGAAACCATCAAACTGAGAAAATTGCTTTTATGTGGAAACAAATGCAATTTTAAAATGTAAGTTCTTCCCACGATATACGATACAAGTATAAAAATGAGGGGTATAAACATTATGTCTTGATGTGTAAGCAAAAATGAAAACGATGAAGTATAAAACGTAGATAATAGATAATAGATAAAAATCAACGCGTGATTCATGAGTTCATCGGTAATTTATCGATAAAGCCTAATATTTTTCTTTTTCTCTCTTCTTGGCTTCTTGGCTTAGCTTGCTTTAGTTTTGTTGTTTTGTCGTTCGATGCAAGTTGGCTAACTACGCTCAAACCTCTTAGATCTATTCACTCGGCATCATTATGGGTAATCGTAATGATAGCTTAGGCGTATTCATCTTCTTGTCTCTTCTCCTCCTCTGGCTGTCGCCAGTTCTCCTCCCTGTTCTCCGTGTGGCGCTAAACTAGGTGTGTACCCATCGAGCCTGGGTAACATTAGCTTAGGTAGATTAACATTAACTGATAACTGATTAAATATAGCTGGAGAAAGGGTATGCACCATTCATTCTTCGTCTTTGCCTACTAATATGATAACTGGTCCAAGCGTCGCCAGCTGCCCGCTCCTTCCTTAGCTCTCGTTTCCGCGTCCTCGAGCAGCGGCAACCACTGCAAGCAAGATGGAACTGGTAGAGTTATATATGGGAGGGACTACACGCCAACAACTCACCTTTTATATGCCTCCTTCGTTAGCTCGTACATATTTATAGCACTTATAGGTATAACAAAAAGGTTCGCTGGTATTTACACATGGAATTTCTTATATGTACAGACGGATGCATCCTCGGAAGCATCCTGCAAAGGTAGCTCACAGTTGCCTCGCTTTGGCAACGCTGTTTCCCACTTAAGAGTTGTTGGCCCTGGACTTGCGGTTGCCGCCAGTTCCTGAGCCGACATTGGCATTGGTATTGTGCTCTGCTGCAGAGCCGTAATGTTGCTGTTGCTGTTGCTGCTGCTTCTCCTTGCTCAGATGGCGAATGGAGGCATTGGGACGATTATCTGTAGATTAAAATGGACTGTTGAATTTAAAATACTTGGAGTAGAGGATTGGAAAATGCAACCGTTCGAGCATTTGACATTTTTCGATACTGAAGACAGCAAACAATTTTATGTTTGTATATGAAAACTTCTTTAAACATTCGCAAAACATGCTTGCATTTTCCAAAACCAAAATGAAACTATTAGATATCTTAACCGGTCTTTGTCCTACCTTTCTCTTTGGCAGAGACCACGACAGCAATGCTGCCTTGGGTGGTGGCGATGGTGGTCAGGGGACCACCGCCTGGTTTGCCAGGTAGCGCGGCTTGAGCGGCTCCTCCCGCTACGCGCTTCTCGGTCACAACCACAGAGGTAGCCAGGCCGCTCTTCTCCACGGCCACTGCCACGGCGGCGGGGTCGCCGAAGACTAGGTCCATCTTGTGGCTGCCGGTGGGCGACAGGGTGCCGGTGGAGCCGCCGGACCCGGCTTCCTTGCTGTCGTGCGCGGCGGCGGCGGCTGTCTTGTGGTGCTGGGCCACCTGGGCGTAGCTGAGCTTGCTAGCCGTGGCGGCAGCCGACAGGTTCTCCGTCGACGTGGACGTGGCCACGCTCTTGTGCTTGCTGGCGCCCTTCTCCAGCAGGCTGGCCTCCTTCTTGGCGTGCAGGGCGGCCACAGAGGGAGGCTTCTTGTGCTGGCCGAGGCTGCACTCAGCCAGGCTAGTGGTCAGACCACTCTCCACCACGCTGCAGGCGCCAGCGCCTGCGGCCAGGGCAGCGGAGTACTCGTTGTGGCTCGCCAACGGCTGCGCGAGCTGCTGCTGCTGCTGCTGGACGTAGCCCTCGACCAGTCGCACCTGCGACGGCTGCTTTGGATGCACTTCATCCTCAGTCTTGTTTGATTTGTCCAGCTGCTGTTGGTGCTGCTGGTGCTGCTGGGCCCCGGCCGCCTCCTCCTTGCTGGTGGCGTTGATATTTGGTGTTAGACACTTTATCACATGGATCGAATTGTTATTACTGGAGCTCTGCTTAGTAACGTTCTTAGTATTGTTGCCGTCCTGGAGCTGGAGCGAGTACTCGGCCCCCAAGGCGGGTGTGGGGCTAACAGGTGGATTGCGCTGCTGCTGCTGCTGCTGCTGATAGTTGTGGGCCAAGTGCGGCTGGCTCTGGTTCTGGTTCTGGCCCTGCTGGTGCCTGTTGTCCTTGCGGGCCTTGCCCTTGCCTCCGCCCCCGGTGCGCACCACGTCGGACAGGCGGCTCTCGGCCCAGTTGTTGGCCGAGGAGCTGTTGACCAGGTGGGCACTGCTGGCCTCCATTCCCTGAAGACTGCCAGCGCGCTGATCCTCGGCGCTGGAGCTCTCCACGCAGCTGTTCAACAGCTGTGGCTGATGAGTCTGCTGCTGCTGCTGCTGGTGCAGCGCCTGCTTCTGGCCCAGGCCCGACGACCCGGATGACGTGGCGGTGGAGTTGTGCAGGGAGGCGCCGCCCTGGGCCTGAGGGGTGTGCGGTACTGCGGTGGCCGACGTAGCTGGCAGTGGAGGAAAGGCGGCTGCCTCCAGGTCAAACTGCGGCGGCTGAACGGGCGCCGGCGGCTGTTGCTGTTGCTGCTGCTGCTGTTGCTGCTGCTGTTGGTGCTGATGCTGGTGGCCCTGGTAGCCCAGGGAGCTGTGGTGCAGGCCACGCTCGTTGCTGCCGCTCGAGAGACTGTTAGCGCCCGAGCCGCCGCCGGATCCACCGCCTCCCGATCCGCCGCTGCTGACGCCCAGGCCGCCGCTGTTGCCCACGTTGCTGCCAATCGAATTGTGGTGGTGGTGGTGATGGTAGTGGTGGCCCGAGCTCTGCTGCCCGGAGCCGGAGCTCAGGTGGTGTGCCTGCTGCTGTTGCTGCTGCTGCGAGGACAACGCGTTGTGGTGGTGATGATGGTGCGAGCCACTCGCCATCGACGAGTGCTGGGCGTGGTAATGCGGATTGAAGTTGTTGCCCTTGTAGTTGCCACGGTGCTGCGGCGGTGGGACGTCGTGGATGGTGTTGTAGTGGCTCTGGCGCTCCCCGCCGCGGTGGGGGGCTCCACCGCCTTCAGTTCCGCCGGACTGTGCATTGCTGCCGGAGGAGGAAAGCAGGTGCTGCTGCTGGTGCGGGTTCGAGGGAGAGCTGCCGTAAATCTAAGATGGATGCGGAAAAAGAGCACGAGTCATGTTAAAGCTCTTGTCTTCATTGCTCTTAATGTTAATTATTATGCACTCTACTCACCCCAACTCGCCCGCCTGGGGAGTAGTTCAGTCCACCCTCCTCATCACGACGACGACGACGCGGGCGATTCTGCCACTGGAGCGGCTCCTTGCTGATCGACGTGGCCAGCGAAGAGGAGGAACTGGCGGACATGTTGCTGCTGCGGTTCACCTGCTGCATGGCGTGCGAGCCGTGCTCTGCCCCGTCCCCCGCCTCCTGCAACTCCTGCTGCACTGGCACCTGCTGCTGCAAGGCAACCTGTTGCTGTTGCTGCTGCTGCTGCGGCTGTGTCTGCTGCACCACCAGGTGGTGCTGGTGTTGGCCGGGCTGCGGCTGGGCCGGAGCAGTGGACACGTAGGTAACTTGAGGAGCGCTGGCAGCGCCGGAGGAAGCAAGTTGATAGTGCTGCTGCTGGGATTGACCCTGCGGCTGCTGCTGGGTCTGCAGGTGGTGGCTGTGGGCGGGCAGCGCCTGCACCTGGGTGGTGTAGTGGTGGTGGGTGGTTACCCCGCCGCCATAGCTCTTCTCCAGGTTCTTCTGCATGCCACCTGGGAAAGAACAAAAGCAATCAGAAGGGTTCTCATTGGGTACGCGTATTAAAACTCACCCTTCCAGTTGCTCTTGATCGGATAGTGGCGAGTGGAGCTGTTCACCTGCACAGTGGTCTGTGGCTGCTGCTGAGCCGAGCTCGTTGGCTGCTGTTGAATCTGCTGTATTACCTGCTGCGGCTGCTGAGCCAACGGAGCCTGCTGCAGAGGAGCCTGCTGCAACGGATCCTGCACAATGTTCGCGGGCACCACGCTCACCATTCCGCCCGGAATGGCGCCCGTTATCTGGATGGGCACAATGCTGCCGCCCTGGATGTGCGAAGCTGGCTGTGTGTTGCGCGGCGGCTTGCCCCTCGACTCACCTCGTGGTCCCGAGTTCGCGGCGCCCACGTTGTTGGGGTTGCCGCGGTGATTGTTGTTGTAGCGCCCGCCGCCCTGCGGCTTGGACGTGACCATGGTTTGTGCGGTGGGTGGCGGCGCTTGAGCGAAGCTGGCGGCCACGGCCTGCGGGGCCAGCGGATTGGCGGCGAAGATGTTTCCGCCGATTTCGTAGAAGTTCTGGCCATGGGCGGCGGTCGCGGCCACAGTACCAGGCGGCCAGGGACCTGCCACAAGGCCCGGGTAGAATTGATTCTGCGGAATCGGCTGTGGAGATATAGGATTTTGATGAATTGCTCTTCCATAAACCGTAAAAAGCTGATTGAAGCTGGTTAAAAAAATAAATAACTAGAAAACCTGACCAATATCCCAACACAAAACCGCAGCAACAATGCAGCCAAACTGCACAAATAATTCAATCGGTAGCATTAGCAGTAGTAACTAGTAGTACTTACAATCAGCACAGAGCTGCTGTACGGAACTGAGGCGGGGGCTGCGATGGCCGCTCCGTTGGTGTACAGATAACGGGGCTGCTGGGCACCCGCATAGCTGACTGAGGCGGCTCCAGCTCCGGATGGATCAAAGACATTGGCAGTTGGCGGCGACGTGAGGCGGTAGCCGTTCTTCATATTTGGTACAGACTGGTTGCGGTTTATAAACGACTTCGGCTTGATGCGGGCCATGATCGGCTTGCCCTGGAACTCCTTAACCTCCTCGCGCAGGTACTTGTACGCCTTCTGCGCATCGTCGTCCGACTCGAAGGTGACATACCACGAGTTGTTGGCGACGAATTCGCAGGAGATCGGCCGGGGGCAGCTTTCGTTGCTGAACAGAGCCTGCGGAACACACAAACACACACAAGAACCCAATTAGCTCGTTAAGAACGCGTGAGGAGTGGAGTCGAGTCACCCACCTTGACGTCATCGAGGGGCGTGTTGTTCGATATCTCGCGCAGAATGATGATGCAACGCTTGCGATTGGGACGCACGCGCAGTCCCTCCTCGTCCACCTGGACATTGGGCGACTCACGCAGAACCTCGGTGATAAGCTTAATGTCGTTGGTTAGCTTCCGCACGAGATTGAATCTGGCTACAGTCCAAATGGGAACGTACTGGTCGTAGTCCATTTGCGAAATCAGGTAAGTATCGTTGACCAGGTTCTCTCTGTTTTGGAGGAGTTAATTGCAAATTGTTAGATGAAGCTCAAAAAGAGAAAAAGAGAAGGAGAATCGGTACCCACCTGGAGAAGTAGTACTCAAGCTGGGTGGCCAGCATCTGCTTGAGCTTGTCCAGCGGTATGTTGGATTCCTCCCCGCCAGCTGCGGCGCTGTGGCTGCTCTGCTGCTGGTCGGCCGCGCCATTCGCCGGCAGCTGAACGGGCACTGGGACTTGGACAGGAACCTGAACCGGCACCACTATTTGGTGGGGCTGCGGATCAAGGGCCACTAAATTCGTGTTGTTGAGGGCATCTGTGGTATAGCAGACCACAGTACCGTCCTGGGTCTGGGCGAGAGTGCCGTTCATAATGGCGTATTCGCTAGTGTCCTGTGCCTCACCGCCTCCTGCGGAAACTCCTGGGATTCCGACTCCGACTCCTACTCCTCCGGCTGCTCCTGCTCCCGCTCCCGATCCTCCGGCCACAGCGGCTTGTGAAGCGGGCGGCTGGTGGCCGTATGTGAGATGCTGGGCGGGATGCGGCGACTGTTGCTGCTGCTGTTGGTGGTGGAGATGCTGCTGAAGCGTCTGCTGCTGTTGCTGTTGTTGTTGGTGGGCTATGTGTGTGTGGGCCAGGATCTGCGCCTGGTGCGGGTGCACCTGCTGCTGCTGGGCGGGCACAACTGCCGCGGCTGGGGCGGTGGCCACTGGAGCAACTGCGACGGGAGGAGCTACTGGTGGAGCGCCGGCGGCGGCGGCTGCTGCAGCAGCGGCTGTGATCAACGGGATGTGGGTAGCGGCGGCTGCTGCAGGAGAGGCTGCGATTTGGGTGGTGGCGCCAAACAGATTAGTGGTTAGCATCGCCGTCTCGACAGGAACGTTGGTGTAGACCGGCGGCTGGATCTTGACTGCATCTCCGTTCATGTACACATATCCTCCTGCAAGTGGTCGGTACATAATGGTTGGTTGGTTGGCATAGTATGGATGGAGGGTGGTGGGTGTTGGGTGGGAGGTATATGTGCGTTTGTGTGAGTGTGTGTACAAACAAGGTCAATTTTTTTTGTGTTATTGTAGACGTAACGGGAAACTTTCGTAATCGGAGGAAGCTAGACGCTGGGAAAACTCTGCCGATTTCGAGTGAACAAAAACAAAAAACAAACAAACGAAATGCAACGCCAGCATAAGCGCACACACGTGCAAGTGTTATATAGGGGGTGGCTCATACATATATGCAATGGTAGTGGTTAACTTTTTTTTTTTTTTTACCAACCTACGTAGTATTCCATGGTAACGTATGTTGCAATTATCAAGAAATTCCACACAAAGACACAGTCGGTTATTTCGCTTCTCCTTCTTAGCTTTTTCTCTTATTTTTTTTTTTTGTTAAATCTATTTTTTTTTGCTCTTTCGAGCTGCACACACACACTCACGCACGCGGCACACTACACACACAGCAGGCACACACAGACACACACACACACACGCGCGTTGCCACCCAGTCGCGAGAGTGGGAGAGAGAGCGAAGGAGAGGCCGAAAGAGAGCGAGTGAGAGGAGGAGCTCTTCTTTCTATTTGGAAAATTTGATTTTCACTGCAAGATTTTGTATTATTTCCTATTTCCGCAACTTAAATCGCTCTGAATTAAGGCCTCTTCAGCGATGATGGTTATTTATTTAGACTGCTGCTTGCGACTCGAAAACACGGCTCCTGCTCCTCCGCCCCTTTTCCTGCACATTTTCTTTAACTTCTACGTTGCCTTTCCTCGGTCTTCGTCTTCTGCGCTCTTTTTTATTTCTGCTCGCCGTTTCTTTTATTTTTTTTTTTTTATTTTTCGTTCGCAGACTTTTTTTCTCGATTTTCCTTCGCTTTTTTTGCACACGCAGAGAATGTGAATTGAAAATTGAAAACGACCGAGAGGCAATTGATTTTTTTGTCGACTTTTCACACCCTACTTGCACCGCCCGCACCCGCCAGCGATGCGCTTTTCAGTTGCCGATTGCTTGCCAAGTTGCTAAATGAATTGTTAAGATTCTGCCTGGTTTTTTTCACCACCAACTTGTCACGCGAAAAATCTAAAAATTCGACTTCTCATCGTCATAGAAAACTTTCGCCGTTTCGATAGATCGCCAGGCAAGGTTGCAAGCGATTCAAAATACCAAAAGCTTGAAAAATAACTGGTATTTTAAATATTCTTTACTAGCTAGTTCTTGCGAGTTCGACCCGATTTGTAAGCAAAGTCAACAGTATCTTATTTTTTTTGTGTTCAGATATATTTAAAATTACTTTTAGTTTTCGCAGGTCAAAAAATGAAATTTAAAAATACCGCAAAAAAAAAAACTGATGTGCTGTTCTAAAATACCAACTGCCAGCAGGGTGGAAACTCTGGACGATGCAAGAACATAATATTGCTTAGAAAATTTCAGCCCCCCTGCCCCCTTTTCGACCAAATGGTTTGCTTAATTATATGATAGGGTCTACTTACCAGTGGGTTTCAAAGAAATCCCGGCTTAATCCGCCTGCAAACACCGAGTCTGTGCAGCTGCAACGTGCTGGGGCAAAACCACTTGTTAAATTTGGCCGAACGAACAAAATGAAACACCAAGCGTTCCGCGCGTCCACGTTAACATTCACGATTTACTAGCGAATTAACTTTGTAGAATCCGAATATTTCGACTCTTGTTTTTCAAGGACAAGCTTCTGTTTGTAGGGCACTCACGAAACGTTTTTTTTTCCAGCAAAAAGCAACACACGCAAAAAATTCGCGCTCCTATTTTTTGTGCCTAAATATGTGTGACCGTGAAGCCATGTGGTAAAAATACCACATACGCAATATGTCATTAAGGCATTCGTTACTAGGTTGAAATCTTTGCTATAGTATGTACCCAATCCAATTGGTGTGCAGCTTGTCTACGGTAGGCGTTACCGTTAGGTCTGCATACAGTTTTAAATATTTCCTTAGCGAAGTACTCAAAAATTAAATTCAGAAAAATTCTTTAAGTTGTTTAGCATCAGCGACTTCTTTCAAAACTTTTACCGAAACACTATAACATTTAATAATGGTTTTCACGAAACGATAGAAATAAGTTCACAATAAATATACAAAGCTTCCTCTCAATGTTCAAGCCCCTTTGCATTACCACCAAACCTTTTGCTTAATTATAGTGCGCACTGCCACAATAAAGACACAAAGCTCCTTTTTCGTCCCATTATGCTACGACAGCGCCCGCACACATTCGTTTATTTAAATTGAACATTTTATTTATAACATTGTTCTCAGTTAATGGTCTATTGCTTCTGTATGCATGTAAATGTTCTATCAAGAGTGTTTGAATTAATCGGAACAAAGAACTTTTGCAAGTTTCGGGTGTTGATTTAGAGCTTAAGAATGAAATAGTATGAAAATTCACACTGTTTGTTTGTTCGTCCGCCTAGAAGCCGTGCACCTTGAGCTGATCCGGCTTAGCTAGTCCCACCTTCGTCAACCATTGGCAGATGTTTTCACGCTGATCGCCCTGAAGCTGCAGGACCTCACCATACTCTGGATGCTCGATTACAGTGCCATTGCAAGCAAATTCCTGTGAAGGATATAAGTAGATGTTAGTGGCTTTAAGATAAACAATAGTTGAAATAGTTTCACTATCTATTAAAGAGAGGAATTAAGGTGATCAATGTTATGTTTCAGCTAGAAACAGCCATTTATACGTTTTTTAGTAATTATTCATTATTCGTTTAGCAAGTAGAAACGGATTTTTAAGTAATTTCACTTTTGTTTTCTTTCTTGTTGACCGTTGACTTTGACCGTAACTTTCTACGACAGTTATGTACCCAGTAATCTGGATTAAACCTCCATAGATTTACCCACCTTCTTGCAGGAGCGGACTATCTTCTTCAAGTCATACTCCGCGGACAATCCTTGGACAGTGGTTAGTGTCTTGCGACCGTTCCTCTGCTGGATTCTAATGTGCACTAGCCCGTCTTGAATATCATCATCATTGCCCTTGATTGCATCAGCAAAGGGGTCTGCAAAGCGGGAGAATCGATTGATTATTGCGATTATATTGAGAGTTCAAAGGATGTAAAGCATGTAAATGTAATCACACCCTCGCAGCGTGTTTTACTTTTTCCAGAATGCGGGTGTTTGCGTGCGTATGTGGCTGTGTGTGTGCGATGATGACGAGCAGGGCAGCCATTTTTATGTACATGTGTAAAAGTCGGGGGATTAGCCTCGCTTCTACCTTACTTACCACGAGTGTTTAAATTCTGGATGGACATACGACAATAAAAACAAACCACAGCCTAAAACAAAAACCTTTTGAAATGATTTGTTGATATCTGAACTTTTAATTTAACGTTTTACTGAGTGAGTTTTTCGGAAATGTGTCTGACAAGTAGACTAGAGGTGGTATAAAAATCGATTAGTTTAAGCGTGCCTATCGATGCAAAAAAGTTTCACCTACTACGATAGGTGTCTTTCACTTAAGACCTATTCGAACATTCTTCTAAATTATTTTTCGATAATAAGGTCTGAATAAAAAAAACCAGATGAGTAACAAACACAGAAATAAACGGGGATTCAGTGTTTGGTTGGCAACGCGCGCCAGGGATGCCGAGATTTTTTCGATAGGTGGCATGCCAACTCGCTGTTCCCCAAATGCAGCCCTGTGTTTTCTGCAAGCGCAGCCAACTTTGCGCCATGCCGGGCTGCCATATTTCTTTCCTACTTGTCTTTCAACGAGAAAAGGTAGGCATTTTGCGTTTTGTCTCGATTTGATTAAGTTCTAGCGTTCCCGCAGCGTTCTAAGCGCTCCGAAAGTGTTAAGACAATGTCTGCCCCACGTGTTTCCGTCACTTTGGCAGCCGAACCACAGATACTCGGAGGTAAATTGAAATTTACCCACACGTGCAACACAGCGGGAATATAGTGAATTAAAAAAAAATGATTTTGGCGTGCGAAGCCACCCAGGAACACGTGCGGTCCTAAACTGCAGAAATTATTCTTTAGTGATGAACGATTGAGCAGAAGAGTTCTTGAAGACTATATTCATCACCCAAGACTGAAAATAGGCCAAGATTTAGAAAACTTTAATTGAAATTCCCGAGCTAATTATATGCTTCTGTCTTTTTTCATGTTTCCGCCTGGTAATTGGACATTTTGTGCTATTCGTATGAAGGTAAGCATCAATATGCATCTCACGTGTCAGTTATCATTTAATGAGGATTGATTTAGCAGAAGAGTTCTTGAAGACTATATTCATCACCCAAAACTGAAATTAGACTCAGAACCTTTGAAAGTTGTTTACCAAAACATCATGATCTAATTTCCTATTTTTCTATTTCATATTTCCCCTTCTGGTTGGACAAATTGTGATATTGCTATAAAGGTAAGCAATAAAACCATACTGAGAACCTCAGTTTTGTATTAATGAGGATTGATTTAGCAGAAGAGTTCTTGAAGACTATATTCATCACCCAAAACTGAAATTCCAAAAAACCTGTAGAATATTTACCCATTCTAAGAATTTACTAATTATGTTGTTTTTCTTACAGACGTGAGATGGCAACCTCTTCGCACCTCAATTGGTTGATCATTCGCAACAACAACGCCTTCTTGTTGAAGAAGCGCGATGTTAAGAAGCCCTTCAGCACAGTAAGTGACTTTGATTTGAAAACTTGAAATACCACTATTACAGAAAAGCTCAAAGTGGCAAAATGGTCTATAAATGTGGTACTAAAACTTCTTCAATGATGTTTCCAACTTATAATTTTCACAATGATATTTGAATACAACATGATAGTATTTTTAATCTGACAAAAGTTGAATGCATCTGTTCTGAGATCATAAAGACACGTAAACTCACTTTTAAATATTCTTTTCCAGGAGCCAAACAACTTGGCCAGCGTGAGCTCGTTCCGCTATAGTGGAATCGTGCACAAGAAGACCCTGGGAGTCGTGCCTGCTGCCGACAAGAAGGGCTTCACCGCCGTTCTGAAGAAGGGCAAGTATGCCCAGAGGCCCGCCAAGAACACCGTGCGCGTTAACTTCAAGGCCGGTCCCCGCCGTTCCCTGAAGAAGCTGAAGAACCTGCTCATCGGCTCCAAATACCGCAAGGACCTGACACAGGTAAAAATGGCTCAAACTAGAGAGATATAATTTGGTTCTTGTCATGATGATCTTTTTTTAATGCTACACAACCAAGATCGCAGAATGATCGTGTTGATAAACTTTTCTGAGGCTCTCATTTGAAGTTGTATTATCTTAATCTTTTGGCTTGCGTGTGCTAATAAATTTTTTTTTTTTATACATTTTCAGGCTGCCCTCCGTCGCGCTTCCGCTGTCCTGCGCTCCCAGAAGCCCGCCCCCGTCAAGGGAAAGAAGGCCGAGCTTGTTAAGGGAAAGAAGCCCGAATAAACTGTACCAGATTGGATTATGCGGAGCTGTTTTCTACTCGAGAATAAAGAAAAAATGTTAAAAACACCCTAATATTAAATGATAATTCCGTGTTCATTTGTGGGAAGAACTGAAATTCAGAGGCTTTGTTTGTGAGAATGTAGCATACTTTCAGCCTTATCTGAATAATACAAAAACATCAATTATTAATCTCGATTAAGGTTATTGACCCACTTTTTCTAAAGGTTTCATTTTAAATTTAAAATGTTTTCTATAAGTATTCATGCCAAAATTGGTCGGATTTATTAAATCTGATTTGGGATATAGAGAACGTTACATGAAGAGATACCACGAAATTGCATTGAAATATTACAGTTCAGAGTCATAAACTTAAATCTGAGACATTACAACGTTTGTTAAACTACGGTACACATGGATTTTAAATGCGCTTTGAGCTTTGCTGCTTCACACAGCCTTAGTAGAAGTACTCGTACTTCTGGGCGTGATGCAGCATCACCTCCATCGACTTTTTGCCCTGCAGCACCCCGTTTCGCTCCATGTAGTTCCAAATGGAGGCCATGAAAACGCAGAAGAGGATGACGCCGAATACGATAAACTTGAGCAGTAGGAAGATGGTGCGCATGCCAACGGGAGCGGTGAACTCCACCAACAGAACCAGGAGGACGAACAGAAAGGTGGCAGCGCTGTAGTACAGTATCCGATCCGTGTTAAGCTGCAGAAGGGAGGCGTCGCACAGGGCCAAAGCTTCGTGAAGGGCGGCAGTTCGAGCGGCAGGCATGGTTTGAATGGATGATGCGCTGCCATTGCACTGCGCTTCCGGCTGCTCCTCATCGCCGGCCTGAGCATCGCCCGCTCCCAATTCTCTCACGGCGCAGCTCCCGCCTTCTTCCACCTGGCAGTTCACCTCGATTGTGGCAACTGGCTCCTCCGTTCTTGGTGCAGGCTTTGATAACCTAAGCTTGGCTAGCACTGCCTCGTGATCCGAGAAACTGAACTTTTCGCCGGGTACTCGGTCCGGAAAGGGCAGTTGGTACTCTACTATCTCTGCGTCTACGTGGTCGCCGCCGCGAACAAAAATATGATCAATGCGGATGCCCTGGGGATTCCTTTCCAACGCCTGCTTCGAGGTGTACGAGTTGTGCTGACACTCGTTGGTTCGAAAGGAGTCCGAGGCGCAGCTGTCAAGCATTTTGGAGGTGTAGAGCAACACCTTGTATGAGATGTCCTGTGGCTGGGCGTTCAGATCGCCGGCTAGAATTTGCAGGGCAGAGTTGCCTCTGGTGGCCTCGATGAATTGAGCTGTGTCGAAGGCCTGGATGACGCGATGGGTCTTGTACTCGTCGTTGGCATTGTCGTACTCAGCGTGCAGATGGGCATTGTAGAGATGGACCATTTGTCCAGCCACCAAGATGCGGCACAAGCCCACGCCCTTACCGCCGAACCAGTCTGCGTGCTGAATGCGATGGAAGTAGCCGTTGACGGACCACGCGTGAAACAGAGTGCCCAAGATGGGATACTTGGACAGCACCAGCAGTCCGGCCCCCATCACTCCGCTGTGGAAGTAGTGACTGTGGGGCAGGACCGCCTCTGTGCCTTTCTGTAGTCGCTCGCTGTCCTGCTGCGCCCACACCTCTTGCAGGGACACGATATCGTATTTTCCACTTGCCAGCTCCTTGCAAATGGCATCGATACGGGGTCCACGATCACTTGACACATATGGAATGCCCCTGAAATGAGGAATACAGAGTTAGTTTCAGGAGATCGGGGTCAATTGTGCAGGTGCTCCGGAAGCCTTAAAAGGCAATGCTCGTTCTTACCAAATATTCAGGGTCAGAATGTTCAACTCCAGCAGCAACATCGCAACTTTTGTGGTCTGTTTTCACGTTCGCATGCTTAAAATGCAATATAGAGGCGCGGGCAGCGACGATAAGATAACTTTTTGATTTGTTTTCAAGATATATAGCCAAAGTGTGACCATTTGTGAAAACAAAAATACATTTAATGTTAACCCTTAAGTTGCTTCTTTGCTTAGCTTCAGTTCTGATTTATAACTTTGAGACAATATAATGTTTGTTAATATGTACAAACAATATATCAATGCAAGTAAAATTTTATATAATCTAAAGCCGTTTAAAGTATACTTTCAAATTTATATTCTTCCTCTGCCTCGTTCTATATTTTTCTTTCCATTCGTTATTATACCCTTGCAGATAGTATTGTTCTTGATATCAACTTATTTCTTCCAGATGTTTTTTTTTAAATACCATCGAATTTCGAATTAAATTTGATCAAAATAGAAAAATAGGAAAGATCGGGGAATATTTACACAAATAATGGCAAACAAATGATTACGTCGTTGTTTTTTATCTCACGAGAATGATTTTTAGAACATCGAGAGAAAATTTCATTAAAATGGGACAACTAAAATATAGAAAATTAACGGAAAAGTCGTCATAGTCATAGTATATAAACTTCGGCTCGCCGAAGCTAGTTTCTTTTCTTGTTGATATAGTCTATTAGGAAACGAACTGAAGCAGAGGGTTAAACAGACTTTTAACTGTTAGCTTAATGTCGGATTTTTAAACTTTCTTGCCATGGTCAGTCTATTCCCGCAACTAGTAAATTTTAGTATTTAGTTATAACATTTCAAAACATTAAAAAATAAAACCCAAATGTTGTGGCGATAGGCTGATTGAGGGGCGATCATGATGATTCAGCTGCTGTTCTTGTGCCTCGTGCTTTTCGTCGTTGTTTATTGGTTTGTTTCGTCGGGGTTGGGCGTACATATTTTGGCTCATCATGGTTATAAACATAAAATTGGATCACCTTTCATTTTAGGATCTTGCCCACAGGCATAAGCTGGTACTTGGTGAAGAGGTTTCGGGTAAAAGTGCGGATCGGACGCGTGTCGTTGCCCTACTTGTCCCTTAAGAATGTGCACATCAGCAAGAGTGGATTCTCGGTGGTAAGAATAGCCCTTAACCTCCGGCTGCTAGGCAATAAACACTCCCTTTCTTCCAGCAAATTGAGGAGGTGTGCCTGCGGAGCAGTTTCTTTACCACCGAGGTGACCAAGCTGCTCTCTATATACGTCCGCGACATCCGCGTCAACAAGGACATTCACGGGCGCCAGGATGACAATGAGGACTTCTATGAACTCCGGCAGACGGAAAGTTCGGGAGGCAACCCGACGGATGCGAAGGGTGTGCCCGACTTTCGGCAAACGAAGGTGCCCGCAAGCATTATTACGTTTGCCCAGTTCATGGCGGTGCACGTGAACAACATATCAGTGGTCCTGATGAACAACGATTTTGATCCGGGCTGGTTTATCCACGCCACGGCAAAGGAGCTTCATCTGGACGGGAGTATCGTACAGAATGCCCGTGTCCTGCTGGTGAACGCGGCCCTGAGTGAGGCCCAGGCCAAGATGCTGAGACACTGCAGTTCCCGTCGCCAGTCGCTAGAGAACTTGAACAAAATTAGACCATGCCTGGGTGAGGTCAGCTTTGACATGACCCTGGATGCCTCGCTCTTTGCCCAGGGACCTCTGCTAATGGATGTGGGTATTGGTATTTCCGTTCTACAGCGTTCTAACTGTTAATCCAACTTTCAGACCCTTAATCTGGTCATTAATAATGCCAAATCCGTAATCCACGGAGGACTTTATGAGTTCCTCAGTGAGGCCAAGCGAAGAACGTCAACTGGACAGCACTCACAGCGTTCCATGCAGACTTCAGTGCCCTCTAAGAGGACCTACGACAATGACAACTACGAAAAGCTGGCGCCAATTATACCAAAAAACTTTAACTTTAGCATTAGGGCGGCAACTTTCTCAGCAGTCAAGGAAAATTCTCAAAATGATTTTAGTGCCAAGCTGCAGTCCTTTCAAGTAGGTTGAAGCCTGCTTAACTGATTTGTGTGTTTTAAAGCTTATGTCATTATGCACAGATCTCGGGAAAGTTTAACTCGAAAGTCACGGATGAAAAGACATTGCTACCTTCAATGCTTGCCAAACTAGGATTTCAACACTTAGATATCGATACCAAATATGAGAAACTTCTCTTTGTAGAACAATTTACCATAGACTCTGTGGTAAGCCTTTTATTATCCTTCTACTGCTTTTAATATTCCGAAAAACCATTTTTCCTTTCAGCTGGAAAAAGACATATTAAAACTGTTTGTTAAGCTTAAGACATTCCAAATAATCTATAACCACAGAGAGATCTACGACTTCGTCAACAACAACTTCTTGGCTCGCCAACGTTCTAGCGGATCGATGCAACTAATACAAAAGCAGAAATCCCTGCCGGATCACTTGTATCCGAACACGGCGTCAGTGACTCAACTGAGACCAAATCAAAGACGCGAGGGCGGAGTTCTCGAGTGGATTATGCAGCGGATCGTAGTTAAAGGCTGTGCAGAGCTGTTCAATGTCTCTCTTCTCATGACGCTGGAGGACGAGAACATAGCCATGAGTGTCAGTCACACGAGGTTCCTCCTGGAACAGATCGAGGAGAAACGCAGCAATCTCTATGAAAACAAGTTCCTCAACTTGCTGTTAAATCAGCGGCAGTGGAGCATGGAGATAATGGTGGAGACGCTGTGGTCGAATCTGAGGAACTCTATCAACGACACCAACAACCTAAAGAAGACCCATTCGCCCGGCTCACCGTTCTTTCTCGGAGTGAGTTTGGTGAAACTCTGCTCATACGCAAACACCACTAAACTGGACATCTCTGTGCACACCTTCCGCACGGAGTACAGTATGCAGCTGGCGGAGTTTGTAGTCAAATCAATGGAGTGCCTGCGGCAGTACCGGGGAATGGAACCGAAAAAGACACTCGCAGGCCAGGCCGAACCTGGCTCTCTCCGTTCAGCCACCAAACTCATCCACTCCCTTGCGCGTCTCCGTTAAGGTCAAGGATATAACGGCCTACTTTGTGAACAAACACAAGGTGTACACACTGCTCAGCTTCTCGGAGCTGAACTTGTCGAGAGCCCAGAACCTAACCTCCCTGAAGCTCGAAGAGTTCCAGCTGGCCATGATGCGCTCGATGACCGCTTCCTCGCTCTGCCTCACCGACTTTTCAGACGTGTTCGCCACTTGCAAAATGATTCGTCTGGAGCATGAACAGGTGGAGGGCACCCTGGGCAAGCTGTCCATCTACATACCCGGCAATACGGACGCGAAGTGGAACTCCAATTTGCACATGCACCTGCTAACTTTGGCAAGGGACATGCAAGACTTAAAAAATGAGTTGTCCCTTTCCGCTTCGCCTGTGAAGAAAACCGCCCCAAAAGGAGGACTTGTTGTGGAGTTGTCCGCCGAACGGAGCACTACCTTTGAAATAAAGTTCTCCGAGCGTCACTCCGTCCAGATATTTGTGGAAAGCCTTTTCTTCAGTCAAAAGGAGCGGTGCATCATCTATGCGGAGAACGTGTTTGTTAAGATTGATGATCAGCACATATTCACGGTAAAAGAGCTCGATCTGCAATCGGTTCCCCGACTTGAGGTTCTCACCCAAGAACGACAAAACTTTCCCGGCTTTCAGCTGCCCTCCAACAAGGTGTGGGTCTGCACCATTGGATCCTTTAAGGCAATTTTCCCGTACGACCACGACTTCTACAATGCCATCAACGGCGAGTGTGTGTCCCACTTTAAGTGGCTCAAAGTGGTCCACAACTACGAGAAAAAGCCGTTCACGGTGGACTCCCCGCTGCCCTGCGACCTGGTGATAAAGATCAAGGAGTTCCTCTTGGAGATCAGCGACGATCCCTTCGAGGTCAAGCTGCGGGACAACTACGTCCTACTGGTGGACGAATACCTGGAGAGCTTAAAGCGTAAGGCGCTGTTTGACAAAAAGATCGGCGAGATTCGCTCGGAACGCCTTTTGATGCCCACTGGAACCATTGAGAGTCTTTACGCCAACCTGGTGAAGAAGAATTCGGAGATCTATATCCAGCGATCAAAGAAAATTCGGGAGAGTGGCCCGGTTCGCACTCGGCTCCTGGCCTGGATCATGACGGATGTGAACATCATGGCCATGGCGGACACCTCCATCCACGGCTACGATAATGTGACGCGCATCATGCGGGAGATCGATCACGAGAGTCCCTGGCCCGAGGAGGGACTGGAGTTCTCCACGCTGTGGTGTCGTGGAGTAAACATCAGCTGTACAGAATGGAAATTTATGCTGAGGTGGGATAAACTAGTTAAAGGGATAACCCCGTTTTAATGAATTATATCTTTCCCAGGGACTTTCCGCAACCCATGTTCTGCGTGAAGAGCATGCGTCTGTATGGCAATCTCTGCGGAGCGGAGCAGATGGGTTCCAAGCGGGCCAAGCGCGACGTGCTCATTGAGGTCGGCGAACCCTTTGGAACCACTGTGATTCAACGTAGCATGCCGTCGCTGAAGTTCTATCACGACTTTGACTGCGAGCTGGAGAGCTGCAGCTACGCCTTTGGAGCCTGCTGGGAGCCTGTGATGGCCCAGTGCAACCTGAGCTTCGAAAAGATATCGGCTCCCTCCAAAGATCCCTCGCCTCCGTTGCCGTTTTGGGACAAGCTGCGCCTGCTCCTGCACGGTCGGTTAACTCTGATAGCCAAGCGGTTCACCATTCTCCTCCACGCCTCGCTGGATCCCTATAACACCACTGAGGAAATGGAGCTGACCTGGAACAACTGCGGCATCGTGCTGACGAATGCCAAGATTATGTTTAAAGGGGAACTCAATGTGAGTTTTAGGTTGTTAAATAGTATTCGATACTAAAGTTATTCCCTTTCAGGTCACCGTAAGAACAGCTTCTCGCTACGACGATTGCCGGTTGCTTCATTTCCCCAACCTTAAGTTGACGATCAAGCTGAAGTGGGTGTGCCTGGCCAATCCCAATGATCACCACGCCGTGATGCCGTGCGCCCCAAACAAGCTGCCAGAGTACTCGAGCAACCAGGTGCACGACTCGTTCCGCGCATTCCGTTCGCTCAATCTCAACATTTGGATATCCTTCGAGACGAAGCCCAAGGCGGGAGAGGACTTGGAGGTCGACATACCCAGTCTGGTGCTGTACGGCAGCACATTGCGCTGGTTTGAGAGCCTGCAACTCATTCTTTCGGGCGTGACGAGGCCCACGCGACGTGGTCCGGTCTTCAACAATGTGAGACCGCGGAAGAAGCCGCTTAGCCGGCACTACAAGAAGGCCAACCTGCAGATGTGCCTGCACAAGTTCCAAGTGCTCTACTGGATGTCGCACGCCCTGCAGAAGGGATTCCAGCTGAACGGCCGCCGCGTGTCATTCAGTTCCGAACACTCGCTGGCCCTCAATCCCATCGACGACGGGCTTATCCACCGACCGCGGGCGGATTGGTCGACGATCTACATGAACTGCGAGCTCAACGATGCGGAGATCTGGTTGAAGAGTATTCTGACCGAGAAGATGGACAGCAGCTCCGAAAACCTGGCCAGCGCAGCGGATGCCTTCAAAATCGTAAGATTCTACTTCCTGAGCGTGGCCAAGGTCTCCTATGGACGTGAGGCACTTATCCCGACGACAGCCACGAGCACTGAGGAAGATGTAAAGGCCCAGTCCACAACGCCAACCCACAAGCTGGTGGTGCACGATCTGAAGGGCGCCTGGACCAAGAGCAATCGCGATGTGGCGTTCGCCCTGTTCGACTCATTTATGAAGTCCCAGAAGTTGAAGAACAACTTGTCCACGGAGGCGGTGAAGAGTTATCGCAAGGAGGGGCCTAACTCCGCCGTCCTGAAGCACAAGCGCAGTGATAGCACCATTACCTTGTCGAGCAACAACAGCGAGGGTCTGCCTAGTAAGTCTGGGAAATCCATCTAGGGTTCATATCTGATGTGCCTGCTTCTCCCTTTCAGTTTCCAATCCGAATGCATCGCTGAAGAAGCTTCCCGCGCAGATCCACGCAACAGCCATGCTGCAGCAACTGATCGCGGAGGCCGACCACAAGTTCAACGTGTACAGCGATGACCACAGCACCCAATCCCGGGAGCTGCAGCTGCAAGGCCTGCAGGCCTGCTCCGCGCAGGATGTGATCCACGAGAACTGGTCGATCAGCCTGGTAAACTCGCAGGTCCTGCTCAAGGGGTGCGAGACGTCCGGCTACGTGATCATCAGTGCGGCCAAGGCGGAGATACTGCAACGGGAGCACCGTCCGGTCTGGCGGGAGCGGTCGCTCATCTCGAAGACCACGTGGAAGGGACTGCTCGAGTGCATGCAGTACTACGCAACAGTCAGCGCGGGGGACAACAACTCGCTGCTCGAGAAGGAGATCATGTGGCTGACAGTGGACAACATTCAGGACAAGGACGAGACCGTGATCAACAACCTGCCGGACATCTCGCACCTGGTCGGCAGTGGACGCAGTGTGGGTGGAGTGGTTTCCGAAACGGTGGGTGCCTTTCTGAGCGACAACTCTGGCGGGGCACAGCCCGTCCAGCTGCAGCGCATCGTGTCCAAGTGCAAGTGCGAGTTCTTCTATGTGAGCTACGGCGATGCCATCGATCCGAACAGCATCACGGAGGTGCCGCCTCCGCCCTCGGAGGAGCTGCAGTCGCCGTGGGAGAAGCAGGACGATCCCGTGGACGCCTTCACCCTAATGCATCACGACCTGGACGTATGCACCAATTCGCTGCAGTACGCGATGATTTTGGACATCGTTAACAACCTGCTGCTCTACGTGGAGCCCCAGCGAAAGCAGGCGGCGGAGAAGCTCACCCGGATGCGCTTCCAGCTGCAGCTGCACTCCACGGAGGACCAGAAGCGCCCCATCCAGCAGAAGCAGACTGTTATCCGCAGCCTGCTCATGAAGATTCGCTCGCTGGAGAAGGACACACACATGATCAGCAAGGAGCGGATCGAGGACGGCGACTCGCTGGAGCTGCGGCAGGAGTACGACCACGTGCAGCAGATGATCCGCGAGAGCAAGGAGGAGCTTAACACCTTCAGCGAGGAGCTGGACATGATGCTGCTCTGCTACAAGGAGACCCAGCTGTCGCAGCTCAGCAAGATCTCGAACGTGCGCTCCGATGAGTCGGTGACCATGATTCGAACCAACGAAATCTGCTTTAAGCGCGCCCAGTGGCGGCTGACTGAAACGGACGGCCAAATCGGCATAGCTGATCTCGTCCTGAGTGCCTTCCTCTACACGAAGAAGTCCAAGAGCGATGATTCGGTGGAGCATCTGCTGGAGCTGGGCAACATTCGCATGGAGAACCTATTACCGCGGGAAATCTATCGCGATGTCCTGCTGGCCACCGAAATCCAAAAGGATATGCCCGTGGACACCCACAAACGGGTGCTGCGGATCTTCTGCCGGGAGAAGGCTCCAGTTGGCGGAATATCCGTGAAGGAACACTTCGAAATCAACGTGGCACCCATCACAATTGCCATCACGAAAAAGTTTTACAGCACCATGCTTAAGTTCTGCTTTCCGGACCGCGATGCCTCCGAAACGGAGGCTAGCGATGAACTGGACGACAATGCTTCAACCAGCTCGGCGTCCACAACCAATTTACAGGTGAGGCCATCGACCTCCTCGTCGACCAAGCGCTCCGGGAAAGGCAAGAAGGGAGCCAAAGACTCCGAGTTCTATGTAAAGATCGAGAAGGACGACGTGGAAAAGATGAAGGAGCGCGCGGAGAAAAACAAGCTGTTTATTTACATCAAGATTCCCGAGGTGCCCGTGCGGGTCAGCTACAAGGGGAACAAGGAGAAGAACCTAGAGGACATCACCGACTACTCTCTAGTCATACCAACATTGGAGTACCACAACGTTACGTGGACCTGGTTGGATCTGCTGTTGGCCATGAAGTCAGTGAGCCGGCGCGTGATATTCTCGCAGGCCATTAAGCAGAAGCTGCACATCCACCAGCGCCAACCGATCCTCTCCGCCGGAGAACGAGCCACTCCCCAGGAGGCGGAGGACAAGGCAGTGATGTTGTTTGGAAATCGCTTACTCGTGAGTTTCACACAACTAGTTAATTTTATTTGCTAACTTCTTCACCCTTTCCTGCAGAACGATAACCGTAGTCAGAAGAAGGGCGTCTTCAAGTTCTCCTCGAGCGGAAAGTGATGAAACTCGTGTTGTCTTTTAACGATATTTATATGATTTATTACTGTACGTTCAAAGGATGTACGAAAATATGTGCAACTTGCGGTACTGACCAGGATTAGCACAGCTTACCTAAAACGCCGTAATCAACTAACAAGAATGTCGAGTGCGTCTTGGCCCGATTAACAATACATTATACAATACAATCACACACACTCTCAAGTATTATGCTATGTAACTCTCTAACTCTAGCTATTAATGTTATGGATACTTGTTGTTAGCAATAAAGAGGGAGTAGGCGTAGTTCATTTTTACAGACCAGTGACAAACTTTAAAACACTTATATTAAGCTTGATCGCCGGTTCATCGCTACTTGTTCTGTTGCTTCAGGGGTGGCTGAAAAACAAAGACAAATTAATATCGTTAAAAGTCCGGGGATCTCCGATTACCAACCAGCACAAAGACTCGTTTCGGCAGGGCTCGCTGCACCAGTTCGTCGAGCAAGGCGTTCTGGATGTCGTTCTTCTGCGGATCCGCCTTTGTGTTGTACTCCAAACTCAACACCGGCAGCTCCTGCCAGCCGACTTGCAGGGGATACAGGTTGTAGACCAGCTCCTTCTCCTCGAAGGCCATTATGGAAATGTCCAGCTGAGGAAATTATTATTAATAGAGGACAACTAACCTTTGTCTTTCAAGTCAAACCCACCTGCTTGTGGCCGGAGCAAATAAAGTTATCGGTCTTGCTGATGCTTAGGTTGGCTATCAGGTGGACCACGTGCGAGGTGGGATTCTTAAGCACCACCTTAAAGGCAATGGGCATCTTCACGAACATCTTCTCTTCAATGGTGCAGTAGATGTTGAGCGGTGGCTCCGCGATGTCAAGCCCGCTTATCACAAACTTCGACTCGTTCTCCTCCTTGCCATTGGCCCTCCGCCAGCGGATGCAGAACACTCCGAAGATGGGGACGGAGGATGGATTCGCCTCCAAGGTGTAGATGCCCTTGATGAAGCCGCGACAGTGTCCCGTTCCCTGCACGGCTTCCAGGGCCTTGTTGTAGACGAGACGAGTGGTCTTCAGGCCCTCTTGGGTACTGAGTGCATCCTCGGCCACATTGACCTCGTCCGACTGGATGGAACTGCTCATCACACCCGCGTTGGCGACCTGAAGAGCGCCGGAAACTGCCGAGTTGCTGTTTATTATGGTCATGGTGGTGGGAATCTTGGTCACCAGACTCTTGCTTATGTAGGCACTCATTCCGGCCGGCGGCGTAGGAGCAATGGGTTCTTCTGCAGAACTTTTCACTGACGCCCTGCTGAACTTACTGGCCACTGCCTTGCCCTCTAGCTTGCCCCGGTGATCTAAGTCCCGAGCAGTTGTCCAGTCCTTAAGAGTGGCATTTGTCCGCAGGACTATCACGCTCTCCAGCTGCTCGCCTGCACTGTACTTATTGGTGTATTTCTTCCGCTTAAAGCTGTAGTTTGATTGCACTAGGTTGTGATCCTGAAACAGTATGGTTATCATGAAGGATAGGCAGAGGATATTTCAAATCACACTTACACATATAAAGAAGCTGTCCAGTATCTCCACATCGTCTACAGCCACCACTTCGGTGTTGGCTCTCAACAGAAAGTTTTCCCCTCGATACACCTGGTTCAGCGGCTTTCTGTCCAGCGTGTAAAATCGGGCCGAAAACCTAAAGTCCCCGTAGCATTGAACTGTGAGAGTGTCCTCCCGCGACTTGCGCACTCTCGTCTCGTCCAGGTACTCGATCTGCACCGGGGAAATCGCAGCCAGGCTCTGGGCAACACCCTTCACCTCGTGATCGGGCGTAGATTCTGAGCTATTCGGAGTAGTACTAACCCGGGCAGGGGTGGAACCTCCTCCACCCTGGCCGCGATCAACGTCCAAGGTGTAGCTCAACCTCTGCTGCAACTTGATCTCCGCCTCCGCCAAGCTGAAGATGTAGAAGGTGGCCGTAGTACTTCCGTGGGCGGACAGCTCGCCCACGTCGATTTGGATCTGGGCGTGGAGCTTTTGGCGTCCCGGCGAGATGTCCGTCGTAAGGAAAACTAGAGAAGTTAAAAGGAGATTATTAGCAACAGATATTTTTCAAAGATATGTTATTTATTACTACAAATTATTATTGCTTGTGCAATATCCGATTCGCACCCATTGAAAAACACCTGCATTTATTGCCTGCATTGTTATCGGACTGCCATACCCCGACGATACCACCTTATACTTATTCTACCATACTCTCTTTCAGTTTTCGCGAGTGACGCGCGGCGCGCGCAGCTTCCCTTAAACTTTAAACCAAATTCTTCTTAAATTCAAACTAAGTCAATATCTGCTTATTGATATCGGGATCGCAAAGTGTCGAAAACGAATTAAACATTGGAAAAGAAGCGCCCGCAGTAATATGCTATAAGTTTTGGTTTATATCTGGCGGGAAACCGAATCTGCCACAGTTCAAAAATTGTGCGTGAGCTTCGCATATCCGGCTTTGCATGCATTGTTATCGGACTGCCAGACCCGACGATACCACCTTATACTTATTCTACCATGCTCTCTTTCAGTTTTCGCGGGTGAAGCGCGGCGCGAGCATCTTCCCTTAAAATTTAAACCAAATTCTTCTTAAATTCAAACTAAATCAATATCTGCTTATGGATATCGGGAACGCAAAGTGTCGAAAACGAATTAAACATTGGAAAAGAAGCGCCCGCAGTAATATGCTATAAGATTTGGTTTATATCTGTCGGAAAAACGTTCTTTCATTAAATTCTGGTACAGGGTGACAGACGCCAAGGACTCTTTCTGTTTTCGCGGGTGCAAGTGACGCGCGGCGCGCGCAGCTTCCCTTAAAATTTAAACCAAATTCAATATCCAAGTCAATATCTGCTTTGTATATCGGGATCGCAAAATGTCGAAAATGAATTAAACATTGGGAAAGAAGCGCCCGCAGTAATATGCTATAAGTTTTGGTTTACATATATCTGGCGGGAATCCGAATCTGGCACAGGGTGCTCTCTTGGACAGATGACAAAGAGTGCGTGAGCTTCGCATATGCGGCTTTGCATGTTACATACATATGTACGATTATGTAGATGTATGATTTTTTTTAAATTTTTGTTCAGTGCTTTAAAGTGAAGTATTTAAGTATCTTTGGTGAAAAATAAGTGTATATGTGCGAATATAATTCATTTTTTTAATATTTTTTTCTGTGCTGTGATGTGATGGTACATATACATATGTAAGAGCTAATGTTGATACTAGCAATGTCAAATATTCATATATCTGATTTGTACATAATTTTTTTTTGCGTGATATCGAAAATAAATGTATTTGTGTACATAATACGACGGGTTAAAGGATTTAAAATTCACCTTTAAAAATACCTAAAAGACGGGTAAGTCCCCCTTTGTTAATTTTTCTTATTTCTTAAAATTTGGTAACAACTTGAATATTTTGAACTGTTAAGGTTAAAATAACGTGTATATAAACTGTAAAGTTCTCTTGTGGTTCAAGTCCACGGCACAACAGGTGTGTGTGCTCCCGCTCTTAATTCTTTGCCATATCTATTATTTAACGCAAAACAAATAGTATTGAGTGGGAACAGTTAGAACAGTATTGAGTGGGAACAGTTTCTCTTCACTTCCTCATAGCCCCTTAAAGCCAAGTTCATTGTCGTGTGTAAATAGAGAGCAACAGGTGTTTTTTGTAAGTGGGTTCTCGTTGGGTAAGGTCAGTACCGCATCGTTCTATAAATGTCTGTGCTGCATGGTTTGCGGCTTCAGTTCCTTGAAGTTCACATTACAGGCCAGTCAAGATCGCGATGCAAGGCGTGCTGCTTCCACTGATGATGTGGATTATTTGGCTTTCGGAGATCCAAACTGAGGAGCTCGACTCACGTCGGAGTCCCCGCGTGGTGGGCGGCCATCCGAGCGACGTTCAGAATCTACCGTACATGGTCAACATCCGTAGGCGTGGCAACTTCCAGTGCGGCGGATCCCTGGTCACTCCTCATTGTGTCTTAACCGCCGCCCACTGCCTGAAAGATGGTCAAACCTCCGACTTTGTGGTCCGTGGCGGGGTCACTTATCTAAGTGACATGCGGAATGCCCGCTATGTGAGGAAAATACTGCTCCCTTCGGCCTACAGTAGCAGCACTTTGGATCACGATGTGGCCCTGTTGCAGCTTCAGAATCCTCTCCAAGCGTCCGTTGCACAGCCCATCTCGTTGGCCTTAAGGTCCCCTCGCCCAGGGACCTTTGTTCGAGTTTCCGGCTGGGGATTGACCGACGACAGCTCCACTTTGCTGCCCAATCAGCTGCACAGCGTCCACGTCCGAGTGATGCCTCAGCGAGAATGCCGGAATTTGTATCGGGGATATCGAAACATAACAGCCAGTATGTTCTGTGCTTCGATTCCGGGCTACAAGGATGCCTGTGCAGCCGATTCCGGCGGTCCGGTGGTGAACTCCAGTGGTTTCCTGGTGGGCGTGGTCTCGTGGGGAAGGGCGAATCGTTGTGCCGCCGCCGATAGTCCCGGGGTTTACTCCGACGTGAGTTACCAGTCCGACTGGATAGCCGAAAATATTCATAGGTACTGCTAGTTACCCTTCGAAACTGTATTAATCAGTATTAGATCAGATAACCCTGATCGTTGACGTCACTGGGAGCTGGAGCTAGAATGCCATTGAAGTGGCAATGCCTTCCATTGTGACCCGCGGTGTTTGCTCAGTTGTTTTCTAGTTGTTTTGCCGAATATCCGGCCATAAAAGCCGGGACAAGGTCACAATCATATCAGTTCACATCGAGATGCTTTGGCGCTGGGAGTATCTTATCTTGGGCATTCTGCTCTTGGCGGAGATCACCCAACTGGGTGAAGCTGCCATTAATCCGAGGAGAAACAGGCGGTTGAGAAGTGCGAATGGAACCAACTTGTCGAGCAGGAGAAAGCAATCCGGAAACAGGAACACTCGTAACCAAACTTCTGGCAGAAAACTCGCTGCCAAGAGCGTCAATCGAAGCAGGAAGTCCGCGACTCCGGCCAAAATCGAATCCAAGATTATAGGTGGCACAAGCACCACTATTTCCACGACTCCCTACATTGTGCAGGTGCGACGGGGAGAGAATCTATGTGGGGGATCCCTGATCACGGAACGGTGGGTCCTAACTGCAGCCCATTGCGTTAAGGGATACAGTGCCTCCAATTTTAAGGTGCGCGGTGGAACCACCACTTTGGACGGCAGCGACGGCACCGTTCGCTCCGTGGACTCTGTCCACGTGGCGCCCAAGTTCACCTCAAGGAGTTACAACATGGATGCGGCGCTGCTCAAGCTGAACGCGTCCCTGACTGGAACCAATATCGGAACCATTTCCATGGGTAACTACCGACCCAGAGCGGGATCGCAGGTGCGCATTGCGGGATGGGGCGTAACTTCGGAAGGTGCCTCATCAGCCTCCAAAACCCTGAAGGCCACTTATATTCGAGTGAACAAGCAGAGAAAGTGCCAAAGGGATTACCGCTCCAAGGCCACCATCACAAAGTTTATGTTTTGTGGCCGCGCAGCTGGCAAGGATTCATGCAGCGGAGATTCAGGAGGTCCTGTTACCAGGAACAACACCCTGCTGGGCATCGTATCGTTCGGCTATGGATGTGGCAGAGCCAATTACCCCGGTGTGTACACAGCCGTGTCCTCGATCCGCACGTGGGCCAACAACGTTATGGCCAGCAATTAGGGATCGCTAGTCTGAGCGATACGAATCGAAATGAACTAGATCGTAAGGTCGTTATGCGTTTTAATAAATATTTGTTAAAAACAAAACTTTCATGTATAGAGCTTTGACAATGTGGGAATTAAAAATAGAAATTATCACAGATGAACTGGAAAGAAATGTTTCACACTACGGCAAAATGTTATCTTAACGCAGAGCCTTGGCTTTAGGCAACGCTCAAAATTCATATAAACATAGAACTACAAAATAAACAACTTTGGAATGTAGGCTGTCATTAGTATTCTACTATTTTCTATTAATGCTTAGTTAGAAACATTCCACATAGATAATCCTTAACTTTTCTTGGTGAGAATGATAACTTTTTGGTAGAAGTCGATTATCCCAAAATCTAATAAACTCCCTATAAACAAACACACAGTAAAATGGGAGCAATGCAAATTGAAATATTTCCGTTCTTTTAATTTCGACTTCCCGTCAAAGATAGTTGATTGAACAATTGTGCAAATGTTGATGTCTTGTTCCGCCCAGATTTACATGATATAAAATCAGTTTCCACTTAGATTTAAACTAGTTCCCCACAATGATTGCTAAGTGTCTATCTCTAATGCTGCTGATCGTTATCCCGATCCTGAGATCCCCCTCAGTTTCGTCCTCCGATTCCGTGGAGATACAGCCCCGCATCATCGGTGGTCAGGTGTCCAGAATCAAGCTGGAAAAGTATCTCGTGCAGGTCACAACCTCCACGGAGTTGTGCGGAGGATCGCTGATCAAGCCCCGATGGGTAATCACTGCAGCGCACTGCGTTTACGGTCAAAACAAGGATGAATTCAAGGTGTACGGAGGAGCCTCCAACCAGGCAGGTCCCCATGCCGTAATACGAACAGTAGACTTCATGGCCATTCGCCCGGATTTCAATCGCAAGACCCTCAACATGGATGTGGCTGCGTTGCGACTGACTTCTGATATGACTGGAGCTAATATAGAGACCATTGACTTGGCCTCCCAATCCGTCCCAGCTCGTGCTTTGGTCAAGATCTCAGGTTGGGGTTATCTAACTCCGGATGCCACAGAGACAGCCACTCGGGTGCACAGCGTCATTGTTCCGGCGTGGTCGCGTCAATCATGTGTTGCCGCTTTCAGGGGGCTCCATCGCATCACCCGCTCCATGATGTGTGCCGCCAGGTTGTACAAGAAGGACTCCTGCGATGGCGACTCGGGAGGGCCGTTGGTATATCACGGAGAGCTGGCCGGGATTGTTTCCTTCGGATATGGATGCGCCGGTGCTCTGCCCGGGGTTTATACCAGTGTTCCTGTTATCCGAGACTGGTATCTGCGAGTGGTGAAAGAGCATTCCTGAGCGTAACTTATGGCGTATCTTTAAGTGTCAATAAACAGTTCGAGTGAATCCAACAGTAATTAAGTGGGGAATGCAGGAAGAGATAACCGAGTATATAAATGGAGTGGCTTTTGGGGTTGTGACTTCGTAGACCATGATCAGGCTCCTATTCGCACTAGTTATACTTTGCCAACTAGAAAGGAACATCTCCTCCTCCTCTCGACTGGGTAAAATCTTTGGAGGACAAACAGCGCCTGTGGAAAAACATTCATTTCTGGTCAATCTCCGACGTGGGGGCGTGTTCCGTTGCGGAGGGGCTCTTATCTCGCCCAACTGTGTCCTAACTGCTGCTCATTGCTTGGAGGGACGGCATCAACAAGTCCGAGACCTGACCGTCCACGCCCAGCAACAGTGTCTCGGCGATCAATCCCCAGCCGAGCATGTGCGTCCTGCTTGGTATGTCGGACTATCACCGGATTACTGCCGACAGCGAGGTTTGGACTCCGACGTGGCTGTGATCCGATTGAGTCGCCCCTTCGACATCGCCGGAAACGCAAGTCTGGTGAAGATCGATTTCAACGATCTGCCACGAAATGCCAATCTCACGGTGCTAGGATGGGGAGTGACCTCCGAAAAGGGCTTCAACTGGAACCAGTGCTTGCAGGAGGCTAAAGTTGAGCATGTGTCGAGGAACCAGTGCATCGAGTCGCTAAAATGGGGCAAGCAACAGGTTACCAACAACATGCTCTGCGCACTGGGGAAAGATTCTGAAGATGCCTGTCAGGGTGATTCCGGAGGACCCATAATTTACGATGACCGCACCGTGGGCATTGTGTCCTGGGGCTATGGATGTGGCAGCGGCTATCCGGGGGTCTACACCCGCCTCAGCAGTCCATCGATTACGTACTGGCTGAAGACCTTCATCGATCGACATTGCTGGTGATCTATCAATGATCTGTCTGCCAACAACCTTTAGTTTAATAAAGAAGTTAATATAGTATAAGTGGAAATGTAGCTCAAATCTCTTCCGGGATTTCAAACAATATGCAGTTCGTGTGATCTAATTTCCGGGTCAATTGCCTGCCAATAATCATTATCACTTTGCAAATGAGACACTTGTAAACACCCAGTAGCTGTCAGTTGGGACACGCCATGGTTGGCGTTTGGGTGCTTTGGTGGCTCTGCCAGATAACATTCGTTTTTCCCAGCTTATCCAGTAAATCCCGCATAGTGGGTGGCGTGGAGACCTCCATTGATCAGGTTCCATATTTGGTTTACATTCGACAAAGTGGTTTCTTTATCTGCGGAGGATCCCTTATCTCTACCAGCGTAGTCCTGAGCGCAGCACACTGTGTCCATGGATCCCAGCCAGAGAAATTTACAATTCATGCTGGCGCCAGTCGGTTAAATGAAGATGCTCCCGTGATCCGCAGCGTGGCCATGTTCCACACTTCGCCCAGTTACTCTTCCACTAACTTCGACATGGACGTGGCTTTACTGCTCCTTCAGGAACCTGTTTCTTTAATTCCCGGTAAAGTGGCCACGATAACTCCTTGTCGCAACTCTCCTGAGGCGAATGCATATGCCAGAATCAGCGGATGGGGAGTAACTCGCGAGAATAACCGCGATCCCGCTGAGCAAGTCCGCACGGCCATGGTGCGCGTGCTGTCAAGTACGGAATGCCAGCTGTCCTACGGCGTAGCGGCTCAACTAACTGATTCCATGCTCTGCGCTGCTGTTCGTGGTCTCCGGGATTCCTGCTCCGGCGATTCAGGAGGTCCACTCGTCTACCGCGGACAGGTTTGTGGCATTGTATCTTGGGGATTTGGCTGCGCTTCGCCACTTTTTCCAGGCGTTTACACCAATGTGGCTAGTAGAAGGGTTCATGACTTCATCGAAAACACTCTAATCAAAATTAGGAACTAGCTTAAAACAAATTTAAAAAATCTTTTAAATAGGCAAATAGAAATCTTCGAAAAACTTCATAAACTTTCCTTTCTTAAAAATTGTATACGAGTCTGTAAAAGTTATGTTCAGTAAAATAAAGTTTATAATCAGTACCCTTTTTGGAAGAACATAAAATCGCTTCAAAATTATGGTAAAAGGGGTCTAGATAGATGTAACTAGATAGATGTCGGAAATTATTCAATCAAATAATTTGTGGAATCTGTGAGGTTTTAACATCCCGAAACAAGGCCAGCAAAAGCGTTTAGACAAAAGATATTAAGACCCATTACACAGCAATATTGGTTGGGTTTCAATTTCTCGTTCCAAACCACGATGAAATCCGACGATAAGCCGTACAAAATGGTTTATTAAAATAATTATTATTTGCACAATAAAATAATGAGTGTGCTGTGCGCTGATTGTTTCCTAAAAGGCATATAAATCGAAGCGGAGAGCCGCGCGATTCTAGTTTTAGGAAGTGCGATCTAAAAGCTGTTTGCTCAGGTGGCCAACGGCTCTGTAACTCGCTTGGTAGATACATTTAACACCGAGAAGGGCGGATATCCAGGGATGGAGTGAGCCGATGGTAAAAATGTGGCTCTTGCTCCACCTGATCCCACTTAGCTGGGCAGCCGGAAACGAAGAAAACAGTCGGATTGTTGGCGGAGTGCCGGTCGACATTGGAAGTGTGCCCTATTTGGTAAACCTGCGCATCGGAGGAAACTTCATGTGCGGCGGATCACTGGTTACCCCGCAACACGTGGTCACCGCTGCCCACTGCGTCAAGGGAGTGGGTGCTTCTCGCATCCTGGTTGTGGCCGGAATAACGAAACTATCGGAAACAGGGGTAAGAATCGGCGTGGACAAGGTATACACACCGAAAGCCTACAACACCCGCACGCTCACCACGGACGTGGCCGTTTTGAAACTTAAGTCCCCCATCAGTGGTCCCAAGGTGTCGCCCATTGGGCTGTGCACCGTGAACTTTACGGCCGGTGAACTTATTAAGGTTTCCGGATGGGGACAAATCGCCGAGCGCAACAAGGCTGTTTCGATGCAAGTGCGCAGCGTGGATGTGGCCCTCATTCCGCGGAAGACCTGCATGAGCCAATACAAGCTGCGCGGCACCATAACCAACACCATGTTCTGTGCCTCGGTGCCCGGAGTCAAGGATGCCTGCGAAGGCGACTCCGGAGGACCTGCCGTCTATCAGGGCCAACTGTGTGGAATAGTCTCATGGGGAGTTGGTTGTGCCCGGAAGAATTCTCCAGGAGTCTATACGAATGTCAAGACTGTAAGGGGCTTCATTGATAAAGCTTTGGGCATGTGAGCCCAAACAAAAAATGGGATAGAAAAATGTTATGTTTAAGTTTCTTAAATAGTTAACTATTCTTAAGAGGGAAAAATTGGAATAAGCCAAACAATAGAAGTTTGACTTACATTTTTGAGAGATATATATTGTTGTTTTCATTTTAAGGGATAGGTTTTTGAACTAGGCTTTAGTCATCGCTTCATAAAAATCAGAAAGGTACCGAGCCCTACTTACCACTATTCCTTAAACCTGCGGGAACACTAATGTGCACGCCCACGTTCTGCAGATAAATATTGTACGGATTGCTGACGGTGGTCACAACCGGATAGTACTCGTTGACCAGCATTCGCGTGGCCACCAAAGCCGCTTCCTCATCCAAACCGCTTTCATGTCCATGGCCAAGGTTCGTTTGCGTGTCGAGGTGGAAACTGGAATAGAGACCCAGATTTAGTAGAGCATTAAATGCGCTGCTTGCATGCAATTGTCCGGAAATAAGTCACCGCTTCCGTTACGAATCACTTTGACCTACGTGGGCGCAATGTAGCAAATGGGATTGATCGTCACGTTGTCGTCGAGATCTCGGCTGCGCGTGTGGTGTCGGAAGAGATGGCGTGAGTAGTTGGAGCTGCAGGTGAGAAGGGCAGCAACCTGGTCGGTGCCCATGTGGGCCTCTAACCGAACAATGCGCAGCTGAGTGTTTTCCTGGAACTGCTGCGCTTCGGTACTGCAAAATAGCTGGTAATAGGAGCCCGGCTCTAATCTCATGTTCTTCTCAAAGTTTTTGGGTTCATAGCGCTGCTTTTCGAGCGGTTCCTGCGGCTGATTCTGGCCCCGCAGCTGGGTGAGGCTGGGAAAGCAGAAGAACTTGAGGGCCTCCAGTTTGTAGCTGTTCTGCGGATTCGCCGCATCGGCTAGAATCACATGGAAGCTGCGTATCCCCAAAGGCACGTCCGTGAGCACACTGAAAGAATTTTAGATTGAGGGATTGGTTCGAACAGAACGGAAAACTATTCTTACCGCACTATCAATTGGAGCTGTAGTAGGTCGTCGTTGTTCAGCTGAACTCGCTCAAATGTGGCACACATTTCCACCACGTCGCTGACCTTATCTAGATCGATTTGAATGGGTGATTTTACGGTGGCCAGCGCGCTGGTCCACAGCGCTTGGGCCTCGGGCGTTAGCTCATTTTTCGGAACAGGCGGCACGCCCTGAAAAACTTGCCACAGGTTTTCTAGCAGTAGAGTCCGCTCGGCGCGCTCACCATGATGTTTCAGTGAAAGAGCTTCAACGCTGCAAGCAATGTAATCAGTTACAGATCCCGAAAGCAAAGCACAACGAAGAGTCTTCAGCAGAACATCGGTGAATATCGTAGACCATTTCTCCTGACGATAATCGGGCAGCATAAGGGAATACAAACTGGATTAAAATGCATACATCATTAGTATTCGTCTAATAAAAATCTTGCAAATATAAACCCACGTCAAGGCCTTGGCATGATCCCCGCTTTTCAGGTACTCCTCCGCCATGTCAATCGCTAGTTTCTTGCGAAACCTGAGGCACTTGTAGATTTTGAACTGGGCCATGGCCTGGCTGAGGAGACCTATAATGCTGGACGAATGGTTGAAGCTGCGCTCCTGGTCACAAAGCTGCATTGTAGCCTGCTGCTCGGCCATCAGATCACCAGTTTTCACCGCCCGGATGCCAAAAAACTCGGTGTACAGCGACAGGGGATTCTGATTAGTGGCGGGCGTAACTTCTGCAGCGGACTGCATTGCAGTGTAGGCCTCCAGTGCGGCATCCCGTCGCTTCATTACGTACTCAGCCGCCTTGTGGTAGTAGATACCAGGGTGCTGCGTCTGCAGGGCGGGCAGTCCGTTCTTGATGGCCTCGCAAAATAGCTCAGCAAATACAGAGTGTCTGCAATTAAAATCGATATTCTTAACTGGGATATTAAAAAAGATTGACTGTAAAAATTACTGCGTGCTCAGCCAGGCATGGTGCTCAAAGGCCAGATCCTTGAAACCCACTCGAGATTTGTACTTCTCTACATGGATGATGAACTGATTGATGGCATCCCTGGGAGTTTTTAGCTTAAACATAAGTCGGCAGATTTTGTAGTTTAAAAACCCAGCAAGAGTTTTAATCTCCAGGCAATTGCCGTCGTTGATGCGTATTTCGTCCAGATTGGCATACGCCTGAAAGTAGTGCCTAAGGAAAAGTCGGATAAATAAATGCTTTGGATAGAATACTTCAAAGACCTACTTCTGTCCCGTGCTAAAGTCCTGTCGTATCTCCGCCACGAAACCCAGCTTAAACTGATGCCGAATCTTGAGCGAGGTGTGCGCCGCTGTCAGCTGATCACGATGGTTGCGTATCCGCTTGGACATAAGTGCGTAGTAGGACTGAGCCATGTCCAGAAAGGCAGACTCTAGACGCAGGGCGTATCCTGTGAGGTGCTCGGTGTGAGGGAGTATGAACAGCATCTTGCTGGTTATTCCGCAGGCGTTGGTCAGGCTGGCAGCCCGCTCTGCAGCCAAGAGATCCTCGCCAGGTGGAAGAGGCGCCGCCTTTTGCAGTAGCACTAGACAAAGCCGGGTGTTCCGCTCCTGAAGTGCGTTTTTAAGGGTCTGCACAAAGCTTGCACACTGCACCTGCTTCTCGGTCCATTGAAGGTCATTCCACTCCATGTCCTGAAAGAGCACCACCACTGAGGGCAAGACGTGCAGGTGCTTGAGCATCCAGTTCCGCTTCAGTACTCCTTTTGGGTGGTACCACTCATAGGAGGCCCGTTTCGGTTTGGCCACGGGAAACTCGTAGTTGGGCGGCAGCAGCTTATATTGTACCGCTGCTCGGTCAGCGGCCTTGCGCTGCAGACTGCCGCTAAACGCCTCCCAAACGGCCTTGTGCACCGCTACCCGTGCCGTGTCTAGCCCACAGAAGCCAACCAGCGGCTGTGGGGTCACGAGCAACTCCGACGGCAGGGCGGTAGTGTCCATTGTCATGGCTCCGCCGCTCCTGCTCACAATTGGATGAGATCACTTCGTCACCGACGGCCACTCCTCTCGTGCGCTGCAATTTGTGATCTTCTCCAGCTACGTTGTCCTCAGGTCAGTCTCAGTGTGACCGTGCTGGACCATCGCAGTTTACCATTGTTGTGACCGCCTAGCCCGCAAAAATAACGGTTGCAAGTGGGTCAAAAGGTATATACTTGGAAAATAAAAAATATTTTTCAGTTTTATCTTTTAAATCAATAAACAAATTTTATGTTTGTACGATTTCTTATTAATCCTTTTTTAATTTTTAAATGGTGTTATATTATTTGTTTAAAGTGTTTATTTTTTTGTTAGCATTAAAAAATGATTTGAAAAACTGGGTGGTAACAAAAGTTCAAATTATGTATGTATAATTTTTTAAAGCGACTTTTTTAAACCAAGCCCACCAGCTCGTCGGAACCTGGCAACTCTGACAGCAATCGATTGCACTGCCGGAACCCTGCGCATGCATCCCTGGCAGTATACGTGTCGGGTCTTCGCTTTCTCATTCGTTTTGTTATTTTTGGGCTGAAAGGTAGGAGAGTTCTCTTTAGCAAATATAAAGGCACAGCCTGGTGCAAGTTAAAATGATAAAGTGCACGCAAGCTGTGGTTCAAACAATTGGCAATTAAGCATTGTGTTCCCTTGTGATTTTCAGTGCGACAAGTGCTACACACATATTAAAATGGCTCCACCACAGAGAATGCGCGTCGCCAACGAAAAGGCCAGCAAATATGTGACAATGCGTGGCAATGTTCCCAAATCCTCGGTAAGATTTCATTTACAATCTGCTGTGAAAAGAACTAAATGGAAAAGTGGAGATAAGAATAAAACTATTATCCGAATAGCCGATAATCAATTGCCAAAAGTGCCACGCCGTCATTGATTTTATTATTGCTGCTGCGTATGCGTTTGCATGTGTGCGAGGAAGCTGGTGTGTGCGTGTGTGTTATCGGCTCTTCTGGAAATTGATTAGGTGTTTCCACTAATCTCTGACTGCAATATAAAGACCCAAGACAATGCTAATCTCTACTCTCCCCTCTCTAGAAAACGAAAGAAGGCCAATATCCAGTGGGTCCGTGGCTCTTGGCGCTCTTCATCTTCGTGGTCTGCGGCTCTGCCATTTTCCAGATCATTCAGTCAATACGCGCCGCGTAAGGAAAAGCTTATCCACATAGAACACACAAAGCAGCCGCATCTGGAGGAAGATAATAGACCTTTCCGCAACCTCCACTTGTTACTTCAATAGCCTTTCCAACAACAAATACAACACCTTTCCTAGCTGAATAGTCCCCGGAAATATGTGCAACCAGAGGATGACTCCTAATAACTTGGCTTTCCACTGATTATTTTGTGTCTGCAATATCTACTCTTATAAAACACATCAAAATTTAAGTTAATTTGACGCATTTTGCATTAAATAATTTAACTTTAAGCTCTCCAATGTGCATTCCTGCAACACTCTCCTACAACACTCACACAAAACAAATAACTGATTGATCCAGATCATTTTATAGGCGATAAATGCATTTTTAAGATGCTTCTCGATGCAGTTTTAAATAGTGCAAAGTGTTAAAGCGTTGTTTTCTAATGCAAAAACGAGTAGAGGAGAAACTACGAGTACATAACAATGATGAATATATGATAATTTTTTACCTAAACTATTTTGGTATGATTTTCGTTTTTTGGTGGGGATTGGAAATGAAGGGTCAAACATTAAACAATTCCGAGGATGATTTATCAAATTAAAAATGAGTAAATTTATATTATAAATTTTTAATAGTAATTGCATGTTGGTGAAGAACTTTTCATATCTATCCTAAACAACAAAGACTGGGTCATAAAAAAGGTTTAAATGACTTTTATTTGCACTGTGAGGTTTAAATATATATCATTTAAAAAATGGGGAAAAATAATTTAAAGACAATACCGTTATTTAATAAATAATGGTTTTCTCACACATCAAGTACTCATCCCTGTTTTTTCCCATCCCTGGGGTTACCCAAAACAGCTGATTGACGCCAAAAGAGATTGCTAAATTTGCCGAAAGTTTCTATTGAAATGGCTTTAAATTTGTAAATTAAATAGAATAATCAACGAAAAGTTCATGCGCCGCTTGTTTACATCGGTCAACGCTCAGATAATGTCGAAGAACAAGGGGAAGTCGAAGACCACTGCTGAAAGTGCGAAACCAGACGCGAAATCCACGCCGGCAAAGGAAGCCAGTCCGATCACAGTGGACAAAAGCGGGAATATATGCATACAAATTCTGGCAAAGCCAGGTGCAAAACAGAATGGAATCACAGGAATTGGCCTTGAAGGAGTGGGGGTCCAAATAGCTGCGCCTCCTAGCGAAGGGGAAGCAAACGCAGAACTGGTCAAGTTCCTCTCGAAAGTTCTCGGTCTGCGAAAGAGCGACGTCTCCCTCGACAAGGGATCCCGATCCCGCAACAAGATTATCATGATCTCCAAAGGAGTCTCCACAGTGGAAGTCATTGAGCAGATGCTCCGGAAAGAATCCGATTCATAAATACTCGCCACCTAATAAATGTCCATTCAATTAGATAATTTTTAAAACACATTTGCTGGTTTATTTGGTTGGTTGTTTTTATATTTATCATCGATCTGGTCATCAAACCTTAAATATACATTTCTCCATTTTTTTACATAGCTATATCAACTAGAGCGCGTATGTAGTCTTTAGTGTTTATACATAAATTACTTGGATTCTAAATTAGAAGTTCTTAAAACGACAACTGCTCTTGAATGTTTATGTGGGGTCCTAACCATTTTACGAGTTATTCCTTGTTTATGAGAGAGTTAAGCGTATGTTTGTCGCATACAACGCGGCAAAATGTAAATGGGATACAGAATTTAACTCGGCCGTAGTAAACTAAGTACGAAATTCGGAACGAAAGTAAATCTTGTATGTGTGAAGAATGGCAGTTTTGGGATGAATTTTGGTAGTGTTTGCCAACTAATCGACTGCTTAGTCGACCTCCTCCATGTGGGAAGCATCCTCGGTGTCCTCAACCAGCGAGGGGGCGTCACCGGCGCTCTGTGCATCCTCGGTGGTCATCGGCTCGTCCTCGTCGATGCCCAGGCCCAGCTTGATCATGCGGTAGATGCGGCTGGCGTGCACCTGGGGGCTGTCCAGCGAGAATCCAGAGGAGAGCAGCGAGGTCTCGAACAGAAGGATGACCAGATCCTTGACGGCCTTATCGTTCTTGTCGGCGTCGGCCTTCTGGCGCAGGGTCTCAACGATCGGATGGTCTGGGTTGATCTCCAGCTGCTTCTTGCCAGCCATGTAGCCCATGGTGGCGGTATCGCGCAAGGCCTGGGCCTTCATGATACGCTCCATGTTCGCGGACCAGCCGAACTGAGAGGTCACGATGCAGCAGGGCGAGTCGACCAGACGGTTGGACACAACAACCTTCTCGACCTTGTTGTCCAGGATGGACTTCATCAGCTTGCACAGGCTCTCGAACTTGGCCTTGTCCTCCTCGCGCTTCTTCTTCTCGGTTTCGTCCTCGGGCAGTTCCAGGCCCTCCTTGGTGACGGAGACGAGCTGCTTGCCCTTGTACTCCTTCAAGTGCTGGATGACGTACTCGTCGATGGGCTCGGTCATGTAGACCACCTCGAAGCCACGGGCCTTGACGCGCTCCACGAAGGCAGAGTTGCTGACCTGGTCCTTGGACTCGCCGGTGATGAAGTAGACGTGCTTCTGGTTCTCCTTCATGCGCGACACGTAGTCGGACAGAGAGCAGAAATCGTCTCCGGAGGCCGAGGTGTGGAAGCGCAGGAAGTCGGCCAACTTGGCGCGGTTGTTGCTGTCCTCATGCACACCCAGCTTGAGGTTCTTGCTGAACTGGTCGTAGAACTTCTTGTAGTTCTCCTTGTCCTCGGTCAGCTCCTCGATCAGCTCCATGGTCTTCTTAACCAGGTTCTTGCGGATCACCTTCAGCACCTTGTTCTGCTGCAGCATCTCACGCGAGATGTTGAGGGGCAGATCCTCGGAGTCGACCACGCCCTTGATGAAGTTCAAGTACTCGGGGATGAGGTCCTCGCAGTTGTCCATGATGAAGACGCGGCGCACGTACAGCTTAATGTTGTTGCGCTTCTTCTGGTTTTCGAAGAGATCGAAGGGCGTACGACGGGGGATGAACAGCAGAGCGCGGAACTCCAGCTGTCCCTCAACGGAGAAGTGCTTGACGGCCAAATGGTCCTCCCAATCGTTGGTCAGCGACTTGTAGAACTCGCCGTACTCCTCCTGGGAGATATCGTCGGGGTTGCGGGTCCAGATGGGCTTGGTCTTGTTCAGCTCCTCATCCTCGGTGTACTTCTCCTTGATGGTCTTCTTCTTCTTGGCATCCTTGTCCTTCTTGTCGGCGTCCTCGTCCTCGCCGACATCCTCAATCTTGGGCTCATCGGTATCCATCTCCTTCTTCTCCTCGTCGCCCTCCTTCTTCTCATCATCAGCCTCGTCGTCGCTGACCTCGCGATCGCGCTCCTTCTCCACGAGCAGCTTGATGGGGTAGCCGATGAACTGGGAGTGCTTGTTCACGATCTCCTTGATCTTGCTCTCCTCCAGGTAGTCGGTCTGGTCCTCCTTGATGTACAGCACGATCTTGGTGCCGCGGCCCAGGGGCTCCGAGTTGTCGGCACGAACAGTGAAGGAACCGCCGGCGGAGGACTCCCAGACGTACTGCTCGTCATCGTTGTTCTTCGAGGTGACAGTCACCTTGTCGGCGACCAAGTAGGCGGAGTAGAAACCCACGCCGAACTGACCAATCATGGAGATATCGGCGCCGGCCTGCAGGGCCTCCATGAAGGCCTTGGTTCCAGACTTGGCGATGGTTCCCAAGTTGTTGACCAGGTCGGACTTGGTCATGCCGATACCGGTATCGATGATGGTCAGAGTGCCGGCCGTCTTGTTCGGGATCAGCTTGATGTACAGCTCCTTGCCGGAGTCCAGCTTGCTGGGATCCGTCAGCGACTCGTAGCGGATCTTGTCCAGAGCATCGGAGGCGTTCGAGATCAACTCGCGAAGGAAGATCTCCTTGTTCGAGTAGAATGTGTTGATGATCAGGGACATCAGCTGAGCGATCTCAGCCTGGAAGGCGAAGGTCTCTGCTTCTTCAGGCATCTGAAAGGATAACAAAAAGGCAGATCGGGGATAAGTAAAGTTGGTAGGTAGAAAACGTAACAAAGCAGCTGCGTTTACAGCAGATGCATTTCTAGCAGCTGCTTTTTTCATCACCCCATACACATCGCTTATTTACCGCACACGTTTAAACAGATAAAAACATTTTTTGAAACAATGATTCATAAATTTAAAAAAAAATTATTTTTCAAAATGTTTTCTTGAATTAAAAAAAAAAATTAATTTGTTAGTAAATTAATTAGCTCCTTTTTACTGATTCTCGAATATTCGCTGCTATTTTTCAACCCCTACCGTATCCAATGTGCACGTGTGTATATGGGAGCATTTTCTCATTGCACATTAAAACCTTTAATGTTGGTAATTGAAAACATCTAGAAACCCAAGCCACCCTTATATCCATGGCAACAATTATTAAAATTAAACAAATTTAACCAAGTTCACGCTCTAGTGTCATTTAAAAGTTTTTTTTACCTTCCCATGCATATGTATGTGTGAATAGCATGTGCAAAATCGAAAAAAAAATGCTAATGCAGAGAAAACACGTGCAAAGGGTAATCAAAGAAAGTAATTTATAATTAAGCAGCCTATTTGGAATGTTGTTTAATTCATAATCCTGTAAATAAAGTTCTGGAACATTCTCTAGCGAAAAAAATTACCGGCACTTTTAACTGTGCATGGTTGAGTCACACATTAAAAAGCGGCAAATGAATTCTAAGCAAAAAATGATGCTTGCTTTTGTTTAAATTTTAACCTCTTGCATCACTTGGTTTCTAGAACCATAAAATCGATTTTACTGCATTTGGGTCAAGAACATTCGAGATGCAGACGGCAATGCACATTTTAAGACATCGTCTTTGCAAAAAAATTATTCACTCTTTTACTCACCTTGTATGTATGTTTTTCGTTCTAGTCACAGAATAAAGGTAAAAATATAGTAATTTTCACTTTGCTTTGTGTAGAGTAGGAAATTCACAAAACTTTTTCAGACGCTGCTGCTATCAACGCACACCGCACGAAATTTTTTTAAGACTCGAACCGGCAAACGACGCGCTTCGGCTTTTATACAAAAACCAGCCCCAGTCGCGAATGTTCTAGACGTTTCTAGAGACTTCCAGAAGCCAGGGACACAATTTCCGGTTGATAAAAACCCGCGGTTGGATGTTTAGTGTTGTAAGCTGTTTAAAAAGAGCGCAACCTGTGCGGGCGAATTCAAAAATAATACTGACTTGATGTTGTTGGTAAATATCCGGCTGGAAGGTCGGAATGTTTAAGCATAGCCTACTCGCTTATATTTGATTATTATTTAAATAACAATCAATAGGGATAATTACCTAAAATTAGTAATGGAAAAAAATAATTCAATTGTTTTATTAATGATTTGTTAATAATATACAACTAAAGTTAATTAATAATAAATATAAAAACAATTTATCGGAATCAGCATTATAATATTTTTGTACCATATCATGTCTAGTGAGCGCTTTCAAAATAAATTTAATTTGATACTTTGCTTTTTTATTTGCTTTACTCTGTATTCATGGATTTTTACGTTACGAGATCAAGTATTATATTTTTTATAGTAAAGGTGTGCATAAAGAAAATTTGTTTATGGCTTGGTTATTTCTTACCATAAAATTCTCATGCTTACATTTTTTGAAGGCTCTTGTCAAGCGCGCCATTCTGACAAGTCTATCGATAACTCCAGCTGTTCTCGGCCTTACCGCCACTATCAGAAATATAAAACATATCTGGAATTGTTTGTGTTTAAACTATGGGCGGCACTAAATGCAGTTTTCGGGACTGCCCGGTCAGTTCTGGTCGAAATCCTAACATGCATTTTTTTAAGTTTCCGGTAAAAGACCCTAAAAGGTTGAACGATTGGATAAAAAACTGTGGAAACGCAGAGATTTCAAAGGCGCCACTTGGCAAATTGGCCGGCAAAACTGTTTGTGCCCGTCACTTTCGCATCGAGTCCTTCATGAACTACAAAATGGATAAGCTTATTCCCAGGCAGACGCCCACCTTGCTGAGAATCAATCGGGATCTCGCCTTCGACTTCGAGAACATCGACCAGAACCGCGAGGCAGTTCTGGTGAAGCTTACTCCGCCCACGCAGCCACATCTTATTCCACCAGAGGATTTCGAGTGTCCCCTGGGATTGAAAGCCGACGATGAGAACCAGATGGTGGAGGAGATAAGAAAAAAAATTGGAATTGATTTGGACCACAGGATTGAAAAAGATTTAAAGGAGATGTTTGAGGAAGAGGACACAGAGACGCAGGAGTCACAGGAGTCTCAGAACTCATTTGATATTTTTGGAGAGAATAGCCAGCCGCCAGCAGGCGGTATATTTGACGATATTTCGGATATAGACTTGACGCAGGAGTCGCAGAAGGAAGCGGAACAGGAGATGGAGCCGATGTCGGAACGAGAGATTGAACAGCCTGTATTGAAAAAAGAGAACATTTTCACAGCATCCACAGTTCCAATGTCTCAAAATAATCTTTCGCTTGGCCTTGCATTGATAGAAAGCGTGGTGAATATTCAAACATTGGAACTGAAACCGAATGTAGAGCAGTTACCAAAGGAGCAGACTTTGAGTTCAACAAAGCGACCATCAAGTAAGACCGAGGAGAAAGTTTGTCATAATCGTATAGCGACTGGCAAAGAACAGGCTAAAAGAAGGAAGCTGCATTCCGACTTTCAAGCAAACGAGAACTCAACGGATAGTAATTTGCTAAGGAGTCTTAATCAGCAAAGGCAGGAGGCAATCGAAAACGAGCAGAAACTTCAAAACTCTATTTACCCCACTCCAAAGAAAAAGCAGCCCGTCACTTTTTTCGACTTGAGAGATGGAGTAAAATCAAGCAGTGAAAGTCCAGATAGTCGTGCATCGGCGGAGAAAGCAATTTCCTCCGACGATGACCTCCGGAATAAACTCCTTCAGGACTATAACAAACTAAAGACCGAGTTTGAGGAGCTTACGAAGGAACATACCAAACTAAAAGAACTGCACGCAGCACCCCCAAGGGCACCCACTGCCACGAAACCTGGCCCACAATCGTTGAGCAAACCACAGCTTTACATGGCCATTAAAAAGTATTTGGGACCAACGATGGCCGCCCTGCTCCGCATGGAAATGTTCGGGGGCTCCGAGGAGCGCGATTGGAAGGATGACGAGAAGGAATTCGCCATGGAACTGTTGCAGCTGGGCGAAGTGATGTACAGGTACTGCTGCGACGAGTGGCGATTCCGGCTGCCTTCCTTAAGGATTGCGCGTTCCTGGTTGAATGAGAGGCAAAGTAAAGATGCCGAAGAATTCTTCGATTTATAACCGCATTTTAGTTTGATAATGAAATGAGAAATGGTCTGAAACTTAATCGAAATGCGCGTTTCTAGTTTGGTTTACCATGAAAGACCCCTTCAGTATTTGGTTAAGTTTAGGGAATTTGTCAGCGTTTTGTTTATTTTTGTCATATTTTGAAGTTACATTTTAATTTGTATTGCGATAAGAGAATATGAATGAATAATAATAATAATATTGTAAAAAATTTACCATGAAAGACCCCTTCAGTATTTGTTTAAGTATTAGGAATTGGTTAGCGTTTTGTTTATTTTTGTCATATTTTGAAGTTACATTTTAATTTGTATTGCGATAAGAGAATATGAATGAATAAGCACATGTAAAAAATATAAAAAAAGTTTCCAACGAGGAATAAATGTTTTAAGTTCACACCAGCAAAATATCATCGGTTTTAATAAGTAAGATACGAAGATCCGTTGTCAATTCTTGTGGCAGATGATGGAATCATCAGTGGCCTCGGTCACGCAGATCTCCTGGGTGGAGGCGTCGCAGAAGTAACCATCTGGGCAGCTTCCCGTCACATTTGTGGGCGTGGTGGCGCCGAAACAGAAGGCGAATGTGGAGCGAGAGGTGCAGGCAAACACGTAGTTTGGGGCACACTGGCCACAGCTGTCCGTGTCGCCACAGCTGGCGGGGGTGGTGCTCCTCTGGAAACAGATCACCGGCTGATCCGTGCACACCAGGCCATCGGTGCAGATGAAGGTCTGATTGGTAACCGGTTCGCTGCCACCGAAGCACAAGTTATATGCCGTTTGGTTGATGCAGGCAGCTGAATTCGATTGGCAAACATTACACTCAGCCTGGATCCAAGCGATTGGAAAAGCCATCAAGGCAAACTGAAATTGTATTTTAGAAGAATGGTTATTGATGTTCCTTGAAAGAGTCTTCAAGAAAGTGTATACTAAGCCATCTAAAATTAATTCTATTTAACTCACCAATCCCAGCCACCTGTACATCTTCACAATCTTAGGAATCTTCTGCGAATGATCAAATACACAGTGCCAAGTCATATTTGTACATTTTGGCAGCGGTGTCGAATTTGTTCTATGGCATCGTAAACTCTTTGAGCCTTGAGTAATAAGAACAACTACTTATCTTTTTATGTGCGCAAAGCACACGCTAACTGAAGGTGTGGATTGGCTTAGGCTCCTCTATAAAGAGAATTGGCACCGCTTTGGCCAGCCATCACAAGTGAGTTGCTCTTTCCGGCAAACAGACAAACCATGCTCGCAAATACAACGGCGGTGAGTCGAGGGAATAGTGGGCCCCGAGAAAGTGACCCACTTTGCATATAATTTTAGTTTCTGCTGTTCGTCTCGATTTTGGGAAGGACTTTGGGACAGTCCTCCGTATGCTCCGATTGTTATTCGACAAATGGGCAGTACGCCTGCATCAATGAAACCGCCTACGGTTTTTGCTTTAATCAAGGGACGGTCTATGAAGGTGCTGTGCAAAATTGCCCGGATGGAAGTTACTGCGTCCTCGAGGGATTCTGTGCAGCCGAAGATTCAGCGGAAGTGAGAATCTCTTTGCTCTGCGATGCTTGCTAAATTTCACCCTTATTTTCCCACAGCCGTCTTGTGTCCCAGATTCTTCAACTACAACGGAAGTAGTAACAGGTTGGTAAATGTAACACCTTTAAGTTGAATTGATGGGTTCATTGCCCTCGGCTTTATATTTTTCGCGCTCTGAATTGGAAGATTTGACGACCGATTCGAGTACGCTGGAAACCTCGGACTCTACAATCACCTCTGAGTCTACTACTTTGGAAACTACGGAGTCTACAGTGACTACAGAGCCTACTACATTGGAAACCACGGCGTCTACAGTGACCACCGAGCCCACTACATTGGAAACCACGGAGTCGACAGTAACCACCGAGTCCACTACTTTGGAAACTACGGAAACTACAGTAACCACTGAGTCCTCATCATTGGAAACCACGGAGTCTACAGTAACCACTGAGTCTAGTACTTCGGCAACTACGGAGTCTACAGTGACCACTGAGTCCACTACATTGGAAACTACGGTACCCACAGTGACCTCAGAGTCCACTACATTGGAAACTACGCAGTCTAGTGAAACCACTTCAGAGACCACAGTAACTACGGGCTCCACTTCTTCTGATACAACAACAGAATTGAGTACGCAGGAAACCACAGAATCCTCGGCGGTTACCACAGAATCTACTTCACCAGAACCAACTACCGAGTCCACTAGTTCTTCAATTACTACTACAGTTGCACCGGAAGTAGACGCAAACGTCTATTGCGCAAAGCTAAGGAGCAAAGGATACTTTCGGGTGGAGACAGATACAACATGCCAAATGCAAGTATTAATAATCTCTTTGGAAAAAAGTCTTATTGGCGTACTTTTTTAGGTATGTGTACTGCTATAAATTGAGCCAAGATTACCTAGGATGGCTATACTATTGCAACACAAATCAATACTACAATTCAGACACGGAGAACTGTCAATCTGCACGACCAAGCAACTGCTAATTTTATAGGCAGAATCGAAATTAACCACATTTTCAAAATATATCAATTACTAAAAGGTTGAAAAATTTTTACATTTATTTTAATCGTATCAAGTAGAAAAATAACTTATAACACATAATATATTAACTCTATTGCACGACAAGTATTATTTATTTATCGTGCAGGGGTCAACTTAACACAAATCTTTCTTAAATTATTTAAGCCTTAAAAACTTTATTTACATCCTTCCGGTTTGTTGATAGTGCAGAATTTATTTACGGCATCAAAGTACTGTCCGCTTTTGCAGCTTTTAACAAGAGCCCTCGGCGACCCATTGGTTATATAGCAATAAACAAATCTGCAAATATCAACTTCAGTACATAGTGATCTCCTTTATCTATGAACTAGCTTACGAGGTGCATGTGGAGTCGTTTTGGTTTGCAATCATTACCGATTTATCCACTTCCTGGCAGGCTTCATCCGCGTTCCAGGATTCCGTATTCAGATCATTTGACTCGGGAGCTGGCAAAGCGACCAGGCAGTGAACCAGGAGCTTTTTAATATCAGTGTTATTAACCGGATCGTGTCCCTATAGTCCTTGCATAGTTACCAGCGATAAAATAAGACTCGTCCACATTGTCGGTTCGGTTTAACCTTGCTTCACTTGCACACTGAAACCTTGAATCTCTGGAGGGGCATTTAAATACCGGGAGTATTTAATCTACAGCATCGTTTATCTCGTATGATTTCATGTTTATTGCCTACGTTTATTAATTTGTTTTGCCGGCAATAAATGTAGGTGTGTGTTTTGTTTACGGACCTCTTAGATATGTGCAAATTTCTGGGGAAATTCTGAGTGTTGTCAAGAACAACAATCCGGATGTGTGGAAATGCAAATCTTTCACCGAGAAACTTCTTCCTGGAACTTATTTGAGTAATATCAATCATTGGCGTTTTTTGTGAACCATTTTTTCTCATCTGCCTCAGGTGGGATTTTCATACTATTATGAATCCTAACTTAAGGTTACTGAAAATGTAAGAAACTAAGGCTTAGGACTATCTCATTGTAACAAATGTTTTTATTGTCGTTTACAATCATTTTTGCTCTCAATAATTTGAATTTTATGTGCAATTATCAGGCTTGGTACTGCTGCAAGCCTTTGAGGTGGCATCAAAATATTGGTCTGTTTTGCAGGACTTAATTAAAGCCGTAGCTGATCCACTGGCAACATAACAATACAGAAAGCTGGAAAAGTGTTTGGTGTTAGCTGATTGCTGGTATCTGCGTACTTTGCACTTACGTGGAGCAGGTCGGATCATCTTCATTAGCGAACAAAGTGGTTTTTGAGACAGTCGAGCAGGTTGCCTCGGCGCTCCAGGGCTCTGCGGTGGTGGTGGTGCTAGTGGTGGCCACAGTGGTTGTGGTGGTCACAGTAGTTGTGGTGGCCACAGTGGTTGTGGATTCCTCTACGCATCCATCCGGTTTCGTAGATGTGCAAACTTTCAAACTTGGGTCGTAGTACTGATTCGTCTTGCATGAAGTGACTTTAGTAGAATGCGTTCCGTTGGCACTGACTGTGCAGGTTATAAAACTGAGAAATGTGCCGAAAGTTAATTCAAGGATCCTCTTTCACCAAAAGATATTTACGTAGTGCAAGTGGGGTCGTCTTCGTTTTCGAAAAATGTGTTTTTAGTTGCTTGGTCGCAGAGGTCATTCGGATTCCAAGGTGCTGCTGTTGTGGTGTCCGTGGTCGTAGTGGGTACTTCCGTGGTGGAAGTAGATGTTTCAGTAGTGGAAGTAGATGTCTCAGTAGTGGAAGTAGATGTTTCGGTAGTGGAAGTAGATGTTTCAGTAGTTGTGGTTGGTTTTTCAGTGGTTGTTGTTGGTTTTACAGTGGTTGTTGTTGGTTCTTCAGTGGTTGTTGTTGGTTCTTCAGTGGTTGGTATCACAATGCGTGTAGTTAGTGTTTCAGTGGTTGTTAATGGTCTTTCGGTGGTGGTGTTTGGTGTTTCAGTGGTTGTGGTATCCTCTTCCGGCTTGCAAACCGGGTCAGCATTCAGATAACAAGTGTAAAATCCATCGGTGCAATAATAATCCGCTGGACAAGACAGCAAATCATACGATGGCTCTCCTGCAAAACAAAAAATTCATAAGTAACACTCCTTTTTCAAACATTAACTCACCGTCATAGCAAACGGAAAATGTGGTTTCATTGTGACAAGCCACTTTGCTGGCACTTTGGCACACGTTGCACGTGGACGCCGCATATTGAACCAAGAGCTTAAAAATGTAACAAACAAATCACAGTCTGGAATTTGCACAGCTTCGAGTAGTTACCAGTGAAAGAAGCGTCTTGAACAACATCTTTTTTGTCTTCGGCCGAGTTTCATTCTAAAATACTGGGGACGAACGAATCACCTTATATGTATCTTCGGTTATCTTTAGAGACTTGCCCAAAAAGTGAGATATTTTTATGTCTGTTTGCTTAGTTTTATTGCGGTGTTAGGCTTTGCGTCAATAAATAGTACAAGACTACGAGTAATTTATAAAAATATATTCACAAATTGAAGGCGCGTTTGTTGGCTGCTAGCAGAGCACGAGTGTGGCATACAACGTATTTAGGAATATATAGATAGTCGAGTTTGCAAAACATACATATATATATATCGCCTTATCAACGAAAATGAAAGCCTTTCGCTTTGGACGTAACATTGAGGCATCGGTATAACTAATTTGTAACATACTTCCGTGTAGTTTCGTGTATATAGTATATAGGGGTGTATACTGGATAGTTATGAGTTCGCTTAGTTGGCGCGTAGTCTTCTAGGGTTTTAAGATTGCATAAATAGGTACAAACTATAGTACAGCATATGGACTTATTGTAAACGTGTCTTAAGGCAAATCATAGCGGTTCAAGCAGCACTTTACACTTACACTTCTAACTAGTTTAAGGCAACATCGATGTTCTAAAGTACACATTTAAAATAAATTCGTAATTTCTAAAACGAAATAATACTTCGTCAGCAAATGCATTATGTTCGAATTCAAATTCGAGTTCATGTTGTGGACGTCAACTGTTCGCTTGACTGCCTAGACGCAGCCGTATTCATACCAGATGCTGTTACTCTTGTCCTCGGTCCGCTTCCTGGCCGACTTGTCGTCCTGCAGGGGCGTGCCACTGCCCACGCTTCCGCTGGCCTGCAACAGCGGACTCTGGTCGCCGCTGGTTGAGGCTCCGCCGATCGTTGTGTTGATCCGGTTGTACATGAGGAACGTGGCCGGGCCCACGGGCGCACTGTTCTCCGCGCTCTTCTGCGGCGTCTGTGGCTCTGCGGGCGACGGATTTGCGGCACTGCCGGGGCCGCCGCCTCCACCCGACTGAGGCTGGGCGGAGCCGGGAGAGGAACCGTCGGGCAGCTTCTGATGCTCATCGATTAGATAAACGGTGCGTCGGGAGCCGGCTGTGCCGAGCGTCAAACTGCTGCCAGTCACGTCCGGCGCTTCAAGACTGCTGCAAGGCAAGTGGATTATCAGTGGCTGATGGTTTAAAGATATTTCACAGAGATATTTCAGTCGCTCCTCACGACAAGAACATGGGGATGCGGGATGCGGGGGGAAAGATGGACGGGGTTGGACATGTTTTAATGGGAACGTGGGTGTTTGTTACACATCTAAAGCGCATACCCGTGCACGCTATTTCTACGTGAGTTATTCAAATCCGTACGTTTCTGAGCCTGCAGGCTACTGCGCACGGCTCCGCCGCGTTGAATCGAGTTATCCAGCAAGTCCCTACGCGAGTATAGTGTACAGTGGTGTTGGTTGGTTGGTTGGTGCGAGTGTGGTGTGTATAATACATGTAAAAGAACAAAAACCATAAACCACTTAGCCATTTACACTATCCCGAACTGAGGGCTTACCGCTGCAGGCTTTGGCGGAGCGGGACGTTCCGCTGGAGCAGATGTGTGTCGGATGCAATGGACAGCGGCTCCTCGTTGCTGTTGTCAGACTCGTTGCCGCCGGATTCGGAGCCGATCACGAACTGGGAATTGGTACGGGCATCATCCACCCAGGAGCGCCGATTCTAAAAGGAAACATTTAGGAGGGTTAAATTAGGCTTCATCAATTCTTTTCTGGCCAACCTACTCTACTGGGAACCTTATTCATCAGATCCGAGCTGGCCTTCTTGACTCTTCTAACCAGCATGCTGGCAAAGGGTTTCCTGCAGTTTAAAGTGGTTTGGTTATTATCAAATAAACGTCGCATATTTCGGGTCATACTTCTTGTGCACCGTGGTCTCAGACTTCTTGTAGTGCTCCATGATTTTCTCCTCCAGCTTCTCCTTCTGCCGCTTCAGACTGTGCACCCGTTCGGTGTAGTTTTTCTCCTCCTCGTGGAAGTGCTTCTTGTCCTCCAGGGAAATGGCCAGGAGTTCCTGATACTGCGAGAGCAGCTGGGACACGTTGTCCATCAGGGCCTTGCGCTCCGAGTCCAGTTCGGCATTGTTTTGAATCAACATCTGGAAGGGAATTTAATTATAACAATAATTGTTATGGATTGTCTCCCAAAAACCCACCTCGCATCGTTGCTGCACCTTGCTGTACTCCACCTGCAGGTGACGCACCTGATCGCTCTTCGTGTTCAGCTCGCCAGACAGCTCTGTGTTTTGCAGCTTGAGGCTCGAGTGCTCCATGCGCACCATCTTGTACTGTTCCTGGATGTTCTTGTACTCGTTCTTGAAGCGATCGCTGGTGGCGAACAGGTTGCGGAAGTCGTCGGTGAGCTTGGAGTGCTCGGTGCGCAGGATCGATAGGTCCTCGCTGCAGGTCTTCATGTTGTTGTTCTGCGTGGTCAGCTCCTCGATGCGCTGCTCCAAAGCTGCTTGCTGTTCGCGGGTGTCGCGCAGTTCCTGGCGCAAGTCCCGCACTGCCGCCTTCAGCTGCTCCTTGTCCTTGTTCAGCGATTCGTACTCAGCGGAGAGCTGGTCGTGCAGGCACTGCAGCGTCACCTGGTCCTGCAGAGCGTGCTTGTGCTCCTGTTGCAGCGAGTCGATGTCCTTGAGGAGCGTGTCCTTCTCGGCCGCCAGTTGTGAGTTGGCCAGCTGAAGAGCCACATGCTGGGTATTTAGGGACGTGATCTGCGAGCCCAAGGCAGCCACATCCACGCTGAGCCGGGCGTTCTCCGTCTGCAGCTGTGTATTGCAGTCTTTGATGCGCGTCAGCTCTGCTGATTCGCGTGCCGGACTCAGTCGCAGTTTGTGCTCGAAACGGAGCTCCTGGGAAGACGGTTGCGCCGGGGCAGGAACTGGAGCGGCCGCCAGCTCGATTTTCTTTTCCACCGTGAAGATCTCCTGGCGGTGGCACAGCACACACATGTCCGACTTTACGCCGCCCTCTCGCTCCTCCTCCTCCTGCTGCTCGCGCGTCACGTTCAGCATGATTTCACGCACCGTCTTGAAGGTTTCCGGGTTGCGCACCAGTTTCTCTACCACATGCTCCACATTCAGCTCGCCGGGCTCCTCGTCGGCCAGTCCCAGCTTCTCCAGGTTGCGCCGCACCTTCTTCGTTACCAGGGTGCCAGTGACGAGGTCGTTGCGAAGCGTGCTAATCATCTCCTGATCAATGTTGCGCTGCGAAACCAGCTCTTGGTTCTGCTTCTCCAGCTCCAAAAGCTTCTGGTGCACCTGCTCTGATTCCTCAAGTGCCTTGCCCAACTTTTGGATCTCCTTGGCCTGTACATCCAGGCGGTTGACGCTTTCGTCCAGCTGGACGGACTTTTGTTCGCTGCCCTCCTTCAGTTTGGAAACTTCCTTTAGCAGGCTGGCGTTCTCGCGCTCGAAAGCCGAAACCTTGGCCTCGATTTCGTAAAGCTTTTGCCTGGTGTGCTCGTACTGCTTGGACTTCTCCGAGTACTGCTCCAGTTCCTTTGACTTGCTCTCCGCCAGTCGTTCGAGATCGTCCGCTCTTCGCTGGATGCTTTCGTTCAGCGTCTGAATGCGTTGCTTCTCCTTGTTTAGAGTCTCTACATGTTGCTCCGCATCGGAGAGCTTCTGACGGTCAGCCTCGCGCTCCAAGCTCTGGCGATCGTAGCTCTTCTGGCGACTGTCGACGGCGTCCTGTAGTTTCTTGTTCTCCTCCAGAGCATTCTTAAAGACGCTCTCAAGTTCCGCATTTTGCTGGGTCAATCGTAGGATGTTCTCCTGCATCTGCTCGGCCTTTAGGGAGAGCTTCTTTTTTCCTTCTCCAGTTCCAGCATTTTGCTGGTGGACTCGTGGAAGCTGCTCTCTTTTAGCTGTTCCAGGGCGGCAGTCAAGCGACGGTTCTCCAGCTCCAACTTAAGAGCACGGGTCTGGGCATTATTAGTGAGTTGTTCAGACAAGCTGTTGTCGCCGGAGTTGCAGTCGTCTTCGTTTTCGGAAAAAGATTTATCCAGATCCATCGTGGAGTTCAGATTTCTGGCCACCAGTTGCAGTTGGGCATTCTCCTCCAGCAGCTCTTCCAGTTTGGAGCGATCCACGTCCCGTTCGAGCGCCATGTCGTTGAGCTTTTGCTTGTATTTTATGATCTCGGATTCCAAGGAGATGGCGTGCTCAGACCTTTTGCGATAGCGCTGCAGCTGCTCCTCCAGCATTTCTCTGAGGAAATAGAGGATAAAGATTATAAAAAGTTTAAGACTTTTTTTTTGGGCAAGAGTACTTTGATTCAAGAAGCACACGATTATCCTCGCGGAGCTCCTCAACACGCGATTTGTAAAAGTCCGAGTCACCCAGTTTCTCGCGGTACTTCTGCACCTCAACCTCCAGTCGATCAGCGCGTTCGGCCCGCTCCCTAAGGATGTCCACCTCGTCGCGATAGGCAGCTGCCCGCTTGGCCTCCGTAAACCATTCCTGGCTCTCCTGGCGCAACTTGTCGAAACGGGCCTTCTTGTCGTCCAGCTCCTCTCGCAGTTCCAGCAGATTTTCAGACTTTTCCTCACTGAAAACAGGTTTTAATTATAATAACTAAATAGCAAGTGAGGTTACCACTTACAGTTCCTGTCGCAGTTTCCGGTTCTTCGAGCGTAGATCCGCGCACTCCACGGCTAGGTGGTTGCTCTCCGAGTTAGAAGAAGAAGAAGGCGTCGAGGTGGCAGTTCCATTTGAGGGCGATCGCGGCACATTGACTCCCTGGCTGCACTCCACCAAATTGTCACTGGCTGCCAATTCGTGCTCCACACACGCAAGGTCAATCCACTTGAGGTACATAAGATCCCTCTCCTTGGTCAAGCGCAGGATGTGCGAGTACATACTCTGCGGGGTTAGCCGCTCCAGGGAGTCCTCTGTGAGCACTAGGCTGTGGCTGTCGGTCACCTGCTTGATCAGAGCCACGATGGCATGCTGCGTCTCCAGATCCAGCTCCTTGATGCGGGCGATGAACAGCTCCTTGTTGGGACACTGCACAGCTGCACCAAGGAGCAGGGTCAGCAGGGTTTTCATCTGGTCTAGGCCGTTTCTGCTCTCCGGATGGTGACCCAAAGTAAACGCATCTGGGAGAACCAAAATGGTCTGGCCGAGCTCCTCTTCGAACAGCGATTTCAGATTCCTTACGATGCACTCAAAGTTCTTGGCTCTGGCAATGCTCAGGGACTTCCCGTTTAAGTCGGACAGCTCAGTGGGGTTATTTTGCGGCTCCGGATCGATTTGCAGCCAGACGCTGTGGATTATGTGGCCGTCCAGCAGGGAAGTGTACCCCGCAAGGAGCTCGGCACGTGGCAGACATGATTCCAGCTAAAAAGTTGATAATACCAGTTTTAGATGCGGAATTCAATAAAGAACAAGGGGGGTGTAAATATGTATATTTCGCTGGACAGCAGTTCACGAATAGAGCTCATTACACTCCTCCTCCGTTCTTTTTGTACCGTAAGCCGTCTTGAGCAAGTTACAATGACCTTGCTTCTTTGGCGACTGCTGCGAAAAGCCACATAACAACCATACAATTTTGGGCAGCATAATAGGGGAAACGTATATTTATGTATTAAAAATTATTTAAAAAAAAAAAACATTTTTCAAACTTTTAAAGGAAACATAAAACTAGGCGAAACAATATTTAAAATGTATTATTTTAAAGTTTCCGAGGTAAACTGTAAAATTGCCTAAAATTCTTATTGTAATTCGTTGACCGCTGCTGTGCTTGTGTGAATGTGTAAGCAGGTTGTTCTCACGGCTGCGTTGTTGTTGTTTTTGTTTTCGCTATGTTTCCATATGTGAGCGCTTGGGAATTGAACACTTGTATTATTTATGCCAAGCACATAGGCCCACTGGCGATGCAAATATCGAGCATGTTTACCCATATTACCACATAGTACTCACCCAAGAAACGAGTGCTCCATTTATGAATTCGTCAATTTCCATTGGCGTCGCGGTCGCCGTTCCAGCCATGGTTGTTTTTGTTTTAATGGACGGGCGGACTAAATGCAGGTATGAATGTATGTGTGAGTGTGCCGCTGCACCTGTCACAAAAGGAAAACAGCTGCGGTTTTTCCTAAATCCAATACGCTGTGTTTAGTCTTTATTTTCCCAATAAATGTAATACAACAGCATCCCAAAAATCATCCCAAGGACGGGGCATTTTTTTAATGCACTCAAAACACACATAAATTTAGATCACAGTTTTAATTCCACTATTGCAGCACTATTTGAATTGGGCTTCGTTTAATTAACTAGTTAACAAGAAACACTAAAAGGCGGCACTACAAAAAGCTGAAAAAAACACTTTCGGGAAGACTGAACTGCTGGAAAAGTTAAGCATAATTTTTGCAGGTGATGACACTCAGCCACTGTTGCCAACTATCGATAGCGAATCGATACTAATTGTGGGGGACCTAGAAATGGTGCTTTGCAGGATGTAGCTAGATTTCCAACTTGCAACTAGCTGTAAAAATGCTCACTTTTAAGTTGCAAATATTCATGTGTTGTTAAGAACATACCTTATTTAATAAACACTTTAAAAACATGCAGAAATTCATAAAGTCCCAACGGGAAAATATCTGTGGAAAATATGTTATTTTCATGAGGTTTCTTCATACAAGCGGAAGGGACAAAACCTCATTCACCCCTTACATTCCTTCCGTCTCTGGTTTCAAAACACGAAACACAAAAGTGAGGGGCAAAGGAGGTTTCTATGTGAACCTCTGGCAGGCGAATGCAGGCCAAAATCCCGCTTAACAGAATTTCCACATGTACTCAGTTAAGGATTTTCATTCCTTGCAATATGTGCATTTCCCCTTCCATGCAATATTTGCTTTTCCATTGAACTCCAATATTGAATTTCCATTCAATTGCAAAATTGATTTTAAACCACTCCCTCCCTAATCCACAAAAACAATACTTTTTAATTTGGTATATGCATTTATTAATCTATTTAACCTTAACAGAAATAAAAATTTTGTTACATAAGCCATTTTTATTAAGGCTTTTATGCTTATAGCAACATAGGAATGTATGAACTGATAATGGCAGTGCAAGTAATGACGATGATTATAAGTAAAGTACATATGAAAAGAAAGGAAAACTAATTTGTACGACTATTAACATTTTATTCCTGAGAATTTGTTTTCCTTTTTTTGTTAAAATTATTTTTGTACACTTTATTTTTTGCCTTAAGGATCGCTGAACGCAGATCACATTTATATTGTTGAAGACTGTAATTTTCGTTTTTGAGTGATTCTGAAAAAAAAAAAACCATAATATATAAAAAGGTATGGGAAAAATATATTTAAAACAGAGAATTTCGAAAAATAAGTTTAATTACCATACAGTACGTTGGTGAAGTTATAATATTTCACTAGGCCGACCTGTCCCATCTTTCCCGAATAATTCATTTTAAATAACAGGTCATCTGACAGAAGTTTTCTTAGACCAGCTATTATGCCTTCATTTCCGATTATGTTTTTAAACGAGATTTTCTGCAAAAAAAAAAAGCCTTCTATACTAAAATACAAATAAATTTATTTTGAAAACATAATATATTTAAAACAAATCAGTTTATACACAAATCAGCTGCATGAATTTAAAAAAATGTAATTACATAGTAACAAGCATGGGAACACAGTGCTATTGAAACTTATTAAAAATTTAGTGAGTACTTACAAATGCTTCTGGATTGGCTTGGGCATCGGAGTCCAATTGGCCGAGTTCTTCAAATGACGAAATCGGAAATTTCCGCCCGCACACGTTTTCCTGAAAGTTTGTTTTCCCTTTTTTGTCATAAGTATTTTCCTGAATATTTGTTTTCTTTTTTTTGTCATAAGTATTTTTGTATACTTTATTTTTTGCCTTAGTGAACGCTGAACGCAGATCTAATTTGTATTGGTCAAGACTGTAATTGTCGGTTTTGAGTGATTCTGAAAATAAAAACCATAATATATAAAACGTAATGGGAAAAATATATTTAAAACAAAGAATTTAGAAAAGTAAGTTTAATTACCATACAGTACGTCGGTGAAGTTATTATATTTCACTAGGCCGACCTGTCCCATCTTTCCTGAATAATTCATTTTAAATAACAGGTCCTCTGAAAGAAGTCGTTTTAGACCAGTTTTTATGCCTTTATTTCCGATTATGTTTTTAAACGAGATTATCTGCAAAAAAAAATCCTTCTATACTAAAATACAAATAAAATTATTTTGAAAAAAAATTTTTTTTTTTTAAACAAATCAGTTTATAGCTGCATGAATTTAAAAAAAATTTAATTACTTAGTAACAAGCATGGAAACACAGAGCTGATGAAACGTATTAAAGATTTTAGTGAATACTTACAAATGCTTCTGGATCGGCTTGGGCATCGGAGTCCAATTGGCCGAGTTCTTCAAATGACGAAATCGGAAATGTCCGCTTGCGCACGTAATTTGTTTTTTTCTTTTCTCCATAAGTATTTTCCTGAAAATTTGTTTTCCTTTTTTTGTCATAAGTACTTTTGTATACTTTATGTTTCGCCTTAGCGAACGCTGAACGCAGATCCTCGTTATATTGGCTAAGACTGTAATTGTCGTTTCTTTGTGATTCTGAAAATAAAAACCATAATATATAACAATGATATAAAAAAGTAATGGGAAAAATATATTTAAAACAGAGAACTTAGAAAAATAAGTATAATTACCATACAGTACGTGGGTGAAGTTATTATATTTCACTAGGCCGACCAGCCCCTTCTTTCCCGAATAGTTCATTTTAAGTAATAGGTCCTCTGAAAGAAGTCGTCTTAGACCATCTATTATGCCTTCATCTCCGATTACGTTTTTTAACAACGTTATCTGCAAAAAATAAACCTTTTATACTAAAATACAAATAAAATTATTTCGAGAAACGTATTCAAATCAAATCAGTTCATACGCAAATCAGCTGCATGAATTAAAAAAATGTAATTACATAGTAACAAGCATGGGAAGACAGTGCTATTGAAACTTATTAAAAATTTAGTGAATACTTACAAATGCTTCTGGATTGGCTTGGGCATCCGATTCCAATTGGCCGAGTTCTTCAAATGACGAAACCGGAAATGTCCGCTTGCCCACGTTCATATTAGCCGTTAATATTGAAATTTCGGCCAGAATCTTTGATGTCGTATCTATTACATACTCTTTACAAAAAAACGTTTGTTTGTTCTTGTAAAATTGAAAAGTAAATTTTAAAAGATAACTTACTTTCCAAATTATCAATTTGCTGCTCGAGCTTAAAAAATCTAGCAGAAATCTCGTAATGGTCCATCCTGAAATATCAAAACATTTTTTAATTAATCCTGCAAGGTTCAAAACTAAGAGGTCTACTTGTAAACAACGGGTTAAATATTAAGTTATTTTGCATCCATTTTACCAGGCAGGTCGATTAAGTAAGTTAGTTAAGTAATGTATACCTTTTTTGTAACACCTGTTTAGACCTCCTTGTATTCTATTACTGAAAGAGCGTCCAATAAAACACGTCTTCCTTTGTTGAGTTGATATTTCAAAATGGTTTTATTTAAGAATATCTTCGACTTAAATAGCTAACATGAGACTTACAACTATTCTTATCTTTAGACCTACGAATCGGTATATCCCGGACTACGGGAAATATGCTAAGGGCTATAGAGGATTATAGCAAATTATGACCACTCGCAGGAGGTCATTTTACAACATTTTTACCTGTGCGCCTACAATTCCGCTACCTAAGTGTAGTGGGTTTTTGAATATGACCTTTAATTACAAAGAATTAATGACTTATTCTATTAAGCGGGAAGGAAAAAACCAGTGGATTTTGGCCTGCATTCGTCAGGGACGTAGGTCCAGCAGGTAGAGCGCTGGTCTCCGGTCCGGAATGTCCGGGTTCGAATCCCGGGCTCCCCGCGAAAAAGAAACGATCTCTTTTTCCAAATCTCCACCACTTCTATGCTCTATCGCTCACTTAACGTTAGCAACAAATTTCGGCTCCCCGGACCCGCACACCCCCTCGTCCACGTTACTATGGACCCAACAATAGAACTTTTCGTCACTCCTAGATGGCGCCACTGGCTTATCACCAGTACGATCGAAAACCAAAGATAAATGAATCCTCTACAAAACTGTAGAGGCTCTATGCTCCCGGGTGGAGTTAAAGAATGTAATTTTTTCGTCAGCCAGAGGTCCACATAGAAAACTCATTCAGCCCTCACTTATTGTGACACCCCGTGTATTTTTAAACCAGAGACGGAAGAAATGTAAGGGGTGAATGAGGTTTTTGTCCCTTTCGCTTGTATGAAGAAACCTCATGAAAATAACATATTTTCCAGAGATATTTTCCCGCTGGGCTGAATCACTATTAACGATGCAGTTTGTACTGTAATGATTTCAAAAATAATTTATGAAAAGCCGAAAGAAATGTTTACTGTAAAACAGCGCACAAAACGCAATTTGACAACCGATGTGGCGGCTAATATTTAGTTTTAGTAAAAATGCCTATGTTCACCATATCCCTAACTCTGAAATAAAGATATACGAACAAAAATATTTATGTTATAACTTACCTTTATCTTGTTTTTTAGAATTAACTGAAGTTCTTTTCCACTATTTACACTTTTTGCGCGAAATTTTATACTGATGTGACCGTGCATCATATATTTGATAATACCAATATTCCGAAGATAGACAATAATTAGTCATAACTTCGCTGTAACTTAAGGTCATACGTTGCCCGCGAATAAATATTTCGTTTAAATAATATTTTTTAGGGACCGTAATAAATAAAGGTTATGTATATTATAGGTATACTAGGAATTTTTTGCCAATTCAATTTCATGTTAAGTATTATCAGTACTACCAACACGAATTTTTATTTTTTAACAATACTTAAAAATGAGAATAAGGGTTTTTGATTTGGTGTAAATCATAGGATTGCTGATTTTTTTTGTTAAAAATATAATAATCAGGATGCCACAGAAATCGCACAGCGCATAAGTGACCTGATATTGATGTTATTCAGAAAAACACTCCGTTTAGCAATCCGATATTTTCTATTCCTACACTACTGCCTGCTAAAAGGAGCAAGATTTCCAGTTAACTAAAAACCAACTTCCCACTTTCCCGTTGGAGTGTTAGTTTTGTTTTGCAACTGTATGTATATGACTTTGAAACAACCAGACACTGGTGCTTCCCCTTTCGCCACATCCACTGCCAGCGCTATCGATATCGATAACTACTATCGACACCAAACGGATTTGTTGGAATTTCATTTTTGAAAAAGAGCAGAAAGCTTTAGAATCGAGAAGAGAAGCGCTCGGCTCGCTCGTGGATCGGAGGAGGATGCTGACTGCCTGACGGACAGATTATTTAACGCCGCAAAATGGCAGCGCTGGCAAACAAAATACAAACGCTACAAAAGTTACATTACTAGTAATTAAACCATTCGGAGTAAATATAGTTCGAGTTCAAAGTGTCCTTATTGGCGAAGCAAAAACGACGGGTCCGCGAGTGTCCCAAGTTAATTTCGACTGTCTATTTTTAGTATAGGCAAGCACAATATTGCAAATAGGTTAAATATCTAACATCCCGAGATGGGAAATCAGCCTGGCAAGCTGCATACGCATCCGCAGAGCAGTCGACCCAAGAAGAATGTCCATTGGAAATCGGCAGGCAAGTAAAGACACCGGAACGCAGTGGAATCCCAGTCCGAATCCCTTCCCGAATTTCGAGACATCAGATGGGGGCCCCAAAGAGCAGGCAGGCCCACATAGCTCGACGGCTGGTGGGAGCGCTAGAAATTCGACTATTTATAGCCACTCGCACACTCAGTGGTTGCCGTGTTCATCTGTTTGGCCCCAAAAACCTCACATCGTCAAAGTAATGTTGTCGTTCGCATAGCGAAAGAACCATTATGCTGAGATAGTTCCCCCGCAATATTTTTAAAGGATTTTTAACCGCAGCATCACTTAGGAAAAGATGACTCAGTTCAATCACGATTTCAAACATTTCGCTTAATGTCAAACTCAAGGGATAAACAACTCCAACAATTTTTTGCGCATTTTAAATCTTAAAAAGCTACATTAAAAAATTTAATTCATGTCACATTTCTACACGTTTCCGAATGCGTTTTTATAAAGTTGACCCAAAACCGCCCTTTAACCTTTTTTTTTAACATTGAGAGAATGTGGTACTAACTTATAGGTCTAAGAAATATATTAGGGCCTTGGGCGAAATTGATTTTATTCTGTTACTCCCAATTAGAGCGACCTTCACCACCCGGCAGGCCCATCCTGACACCGGTTGCTCTTCCGGAACAGCAACCGGATGTCGTGAACCTGCGCTGGGAGCGCCCACTCCACGACGGAGGTTCCCCCATCACAGGCTACACTGTGGAGCACCGGCGCATGGGGTCGCCCCATTGGGTGAGGGCCACGCCCACTCCGGTGGACCGATGCGATGTGTGCATCAGTGGATTGGAGCCAGGATGGCGCTACCAGTTCCGATGCTTTGCCGAGAACATTGTGGGTCGTTCCGACGCGAGTGAGTTATCCGATCCGCTGACGGTGACTCTGCAGAGGAACGCCATAACAGTGCCCCGTTTTATCGACGAGCTCGTGGACATGGACGCCGTGGAGGATGAGCGCATCGAGTTCCGAGTGAGAATACTGGGGGAACCGCCTCCTGAGATCAATTGGTTCAAGGATGGCTACGAGATCTTCAGCAGCCGGCGCACGAAGATCGTGAATGATAACGAGGCCAGTGTCCTGGTGATCCACCAGGTGGCTCTAACCGACGAGGGAGAGATCAAGTGCACGGCCACCAATCGAGCGGGTCATGTGATCACCAAGGCGCGACTGATGGTGCAGGCTCCTCCGAAGATCCGACTGCCACGTACCTATGAGGATGGACTGATTGTGGAGGCGGACGAGGTGCTGCGTCTCAAAGTGGGCGTGGCCGGTCAACCACCACCCGCCATTACGTGGCTCCACGAGGGCGAGGTCATAGCTCCAGGTGGACGCTTCGAGGTGGGTAACTTAACTTTATTCTGGCGTGACCCACAAAAATGCAACGAAACCAGTGATAAGTAAGTCACACTATAATCTGAGCATGGTACCTGTTCAATCCATTGCAGATCACCAACACGGAGAAGAACTCGCTGCTCAAGATCGACAATGTTTTGCGGGAGGATCGGGGGGAGTACATGGTCAAGGCGTGGAACCGACTGGGCGAGGACAGCACCTCCTTTCTGGTCACGGTTACGGCCAGACCGAACCCCCCAGGAACTCCCAAGCTGAACATGTCCTTCGGCAAGTCGGCCACTCTTTCGTGGACGGCTCCTCTGGACGACGGAGGCTGCAAGATCGGAAACTACATAGTGGAGTACTTCCGAGTGGGCTGGAATGTTTGGCTCAAGGCTGCCACCACGAGGGCACTGAGCACCACGCTGCATGATCTGATAGAGGGCTCGGAGTACAAGTTCAGGGTGAAGGCGGAGAATCCCTATGGCCTGAGTGAGCCCTCCGGGGAGTCCGAACTGCTTTTCATACCCGATCCCAAGAGGGGAATCACGAAGCCGAAGTCGGCCACTAGAATTGCAGGAGATGAGAAGGACAAGCCCAAGGGAGCAGCTGGAGCGGTGCAGGTGCCACCACGTCGGAAGACTCTGTCGCCACCACGTCCGCATGCAGATGCCTCCACGGGAATGTCGCCCAAGCAGTCGCCCAGTGTGAAGCGGAAACCCAAGCCCCAGCTGGTCGACAACGAGCAACTGACCCACGAGATGTCCTACGGAACCTCAGACCAGGCTCTGAAGATGGATGTGAGGAAGAGTCCTTCGCTGAGCAGCGCTGATCTGGGCAGCAAGCCCGCTGCGGCTGACTCCAACCCGAAGCTCAATTTGACTCTGGTGACCACCACTTTGACACCGGTGGAGAAACCGGAACCCACTCCCAAGTCACCGAAGACACCCAAGTCACCTACTGCCACTTCCTTTAAGTTGTTCAATCCGAAGCCGCCGGGAGTCGCAAAGGAGAGGTCACCAGCACAGCCACAACCACAACCCTTGCCTACTCCCCCGAAGGAAAAACCGGCAAAGGCCTCTCCGAATCGCAAGAGGAGCTTGAGTCCACCGAACAAGAGGCAGCCGGCGCCACTGCGCAAGAGTCCGACGCCCCCGGAACCCATTAAAATCACTCCGGCTCTGCTGAGGAGTGCGGAGCCCGTTCAACTAGGTGTCAACCAGAATGTGAGACGCTTCTCCGGGCAGACCCTGAGCCCGGCCAGAAACGTGCCCACCTTGGCCCTCGCAGTGGCCTCCGGGATGTCGGCCGTCATTGGTGAGAAGCTGCCCACCATCGAGATCAGTGCACCTCCAACGCCGCAGGAGGAGGAGCCTCCGTCTCCGAAGCAGGAGCCCTCGAAATCGCCCTCGCCAGAGCCAGCTAGTAAATCCCAGTCCAACGCAAGGCGCTTCTCCAGGTCAGCCGACAAGCACGACGAAGTGCACACGAGCAACGAGTTCATGCTCGTCGTGTTCGACAAGAACAGCAAGGTCAAGGATAAGGACAGTACGTATGCAGTTAATCGGATCGGGATTGGGATTACATATCATCGCTTCACCTAATCCACAAGCATACTTATAACACCTACCACATTATAATCATTTCATCATTCTTTTGCGAATCAATGATGCTAACCTTTATTGACTCTCTTAATCCATAATCATACTATGAAAGGTACACCTTATAAGGATTTCTCTTTTATAGGGATTGCAAATCACTCAAAAGCTCCACTAATATTCACTAATGCTAAGACCACACTGAATCTAATCCCTGTTTCTTGCTCCCAGAACAAGATTCCTTTGAGCTGGACCTGGAAGACGCCATTCAGCCGCCGCCCATTTCGATTTCTGCCCCGGACCTGGCCTTTCTGGAGTTCACAAACTTGCACACGACCTTCCCGCTGCGTCGCTCCGTCAGCTCCACGGAACTCCTGTACGAGAGGGCGATGGCGCGGTTCTACGAGGCAGTGGAGCTGGAGCAGGCTTCCAAGTCCCGCAAGACGTCGCAGGACAAGCTCGCCGCTCCGGCGCCGCCCCATCAAACGCCCGCCAATCTGCGCAAGCGTCTGGGTTCCATTTCGGAGGCGGAGCGGTTGTCCTTCGAGAGGAGGAGCGAACTGCGCCGCCAGTCGGCGGACATGGTGTCTATTTCCCGCAAATGGGACTCGAGGGAGAACGTCAACGAGTTGGGTAACTTGTCACGTATGAACACCACTGGGCAATTGCCCCTGGACACGAAACAGGATATTCGGGAGCAGGAGGAGGAGGTGGAAGAGGAGCACCTGACTGAGAGCACCGAGGATGACAGCGAGGATATGGACTTGGACTTCGATGAGGACGTGGAGGCGGAGTATCCGCCGCAGAAGCAGCTGCAGCAGCAGTCCAGCAACGACCTCGGATCGGACTACACCGAGAGCACTGCCTCCTCGGAGCAAGACTCCATCGAGAAGTTCAAGATGGAGCTGATGGCGCGCACCCGCTCACCCAGTCCCCGGGATCTGGAGACCTATCATCCGCGGAGCATGGGGGCGGGAACCTTTACGCCCTACAGAGCTCCCACTCCGGAGCAGGCGGCCGTGGTGCTCAACCGACCAGTGCCACTGCCCAGTCCGGACTTTGTGCCCAAGCCGATCCTGAAGAGGTCCTCCAACGAGCATGTGGAGCAGTCGATAAGCCCCCTCCCGAGCAGCGAACCAACACCCACAATTGTGCCGCCGAATCCAGCTAATCCAGTGGCTGCCAGCAACCCCAGCACCCTCAAAATGGACCTGGCCAAGGGGATCAAGTCGTTCTTCAGCCGCGACAAGCGATCGGCCACGGAGAAGAACACGGAGGCCAACGAGGAGATCTCCAATCCGCTGGAGAGCACCAATGCGGCGGCGATCGCGGCTGACTTGGAGGCCAAGCGAAGGGCCAAGGAGGAGGAGGAGCTGCGGCGCCTGGAGGAGGAGCGCCTCATGCAGGAGGAGGCCCATGCGGCGGTGGACCACTACAGCGATCTGGTGCGCGAGGTGGGCAGCTCGCACCGCTACCACACGCCGCTCTACTTGGACCGCGACGAACTGAAGCGGGCGGCGGCCAAGGCGTCGGCGGAAACGGACGAGGAGGAGGGGCTTTCGCACGCGGAGGAGCTGAAGAAGCGGCTGGCCAGCGACGACATGCTGCTGGCTCCTCCTGTGGTGAGGGAACGGCGTCTCTCCATCTCGGAACGGGAGCAGCTGGTCCATGTCCGCGATGCAGCCAGTTCTCTGGCATTCCACCGGTCGCCAGACTCCGGAGAGGCGGAGTCCCCACAGCCCGCCCAGCCGGATGATAACCAGTTCGAGCCGGAGGAGCCGGAGTACCCCACTGTACTGGTGGTGCCTCCGCCCAAGTCGAAGAAGAAGAGCGAGTCCGAGACGGAGAGCGTAATGAGCGAGATGGTGGAGGCGCGTCCGGATGCGAGGGGCAGGACTCGGCTGGTGAAGGTGAAGAGGGTGATTCGGCGGCGGGTGCCCTCGAGCACGCGGTCGCGCGACGCCTCGCTGACCAGGCCGGCGGCTGCAGAGGCGGAGCAGTCAGCCCTAATCCCCTCCAGCGCCGACAGGGATCTGCTGCAGAAGGCCGCCGCGCTGGCCATCCTCCAGTCGGAGGAGCAGGCCCACGAGAAGGTCCGCTCGGCCCTGAGCTACTGCACGGACCTGGTGCTCTTCCTCGTCGCCTGCTACGTGTACTTGTTCAAGGACGCCCGCCTGGTGCTGCCCATCCTCGGCCTGATCATCTACCGCCAGCTGGGCGAGGCCGTGCGCGGCTATATACCTGGTTGGCTGCGTCGCCGGATGAACGGGCAGGGCAGCTAGACCGAAGGACACCGGAATCCCATCCCCTGCTCCCACTCACATGCGTTTATCGGTTAAGTTAAGTTACTTTTACATACGACTTATTTATACGTCTTAAGCTAAAGATGAGAGTATCCCCCGCGTACATCGTACTGCAATCTGTATACGTAAATCCCTGCAAGTTTTATTTCTTTACCCCCATTTGAAGGACTCTTCAATCCTCATTATTTGGAAAAGCTTTTGTTTTTATTAACTTTAAAAACCAGAGCAGGGAAATCAAGTAATCAATTGACAACCATTAACTAATCGTATCCATATCTTATCACCATCACCTTGGTGCAAAAGCACCTCCATTCACTAAATTATTCATCTGCGAGCATCAGTCTTGCCAGACTCTTTGGCAAAGAATTGATTCGCCATTATCCCCAAGAATAAGAAGTCTATATCCCTTAGTTTTGTTTTGCCTTGTGTATGTATGTGGAGCTATGTAAATCCTACGTTATGAAGTGTTCGTTTGCGGTTCTTTGTGGATTGTTGGTGATTCACTTTGAAAATAAAGCTTAGCATGTTATGAATTCGTATGATATAGCTACTTTCTTCTGGCCTTGTTTGCCCTCAACCTATTTTGGCCAAGACACAAACTTCCGTGGGGGATTTGAGAGTGGGTAAACCCATAAACAGATCGAATCGCGAGTAAGCGCTTATCATACGACGACAATTGTCAACAGAGATGCTGCGCCAAATTCCGGGAGACGCAATCAGAAGATAAAAAAAAGGTGCTGGGGGTATAAAAGGGCGTGTGAATTGGAGCAGGCAGTCATCTTAGGTTGATCCCCAGTCATGGCTATTACTCTGGGCTGGCTCTTTCTGATCGCGCTGGTCACTGGATCCCTGGCGCAGTGGCCTCCTCAGCTGGTGGCTCCAACTGGCGGCCTATTTGCCCAGCCACCTCCTGCCACCTTGGCTCCGCCGCCAACTTTATCCCAGGATCTGGAGGAGATCCAACGACTGATCCAGTTCAAGCCCCTGAATCAGCTCCTGGTGCGCTACCTCATCAACGACGCCCAGTTCCAGGGCTTCGTGCGAGCAATCAACAGCAACGCCGCGTTCACTGCCCGATGGCGACTCCTCTCCCAGCCGGAACTCATACTGTTCCTGCAGTGGGTGGACCAGCAGCTCGTGGCCTCAGGCGGATCCTTCGAGTGGGAGGAGCAGCGGCTGAAGGTGAGCCTGCTCAACCAATTCCCCTATTGGTCGGGCACCGTTTTCGGCTGGCAGGGATTCCTCAGCGAGGTGCAACTCTACTTCCCCCTCCCTGCCATCCGGGCACACATCAATGCCAAGGTGCTGCAGCAGGGCATCTTCGCCCAGTTCTGGTCCAGATTACAGGGATTGGGGGTGGTCTACGATCGCTGGCTGGCTTCTGTCGAAACTGCCCAGGTTATCACCGATCTCCAGCGGGCGGGCATCGATACGGTCCAGTTGGATGGCATCATAAGGGAGCTCTTCGGCTGGAGTGCTGTAAATGGAACTACTGAATCAACCACTGCTGCTCCTGTGACTCCAACTGCCCCTACTGTAATCCCGGGAGCAGTTCTGCCTCCAGTAAACGTTGATGTTGTGGTTGTCTAGGTTGCCAGTGAGCAGTGATGGGAAGGTTATTCATCCTTAGATAGTTTTTAAAACACATTCTTATTGGTCATAGGTAGTGTAAAGGGTACACTTGTGTAAATATACAAAAAAAACGCATAATATTCTTCAAATAAAAAAGGGGATCAACGATAAATACTAGAGACTTTTTTCCTTGAAAACTACAATTATCAGGTATTAGATTGTAAACGGAATGAAATCACAAAATAGGTCAAGGCATCTGAGTATTGATTGGGAATAGAAAGAGCGACCTACCTACCTACATGAAAACCTTCCATCACTGCCCACCTAGCGATCGTATATTTTGGATTATCCTTGCCCTAGCAAATGTAACAATAAATGGGGACTAACTACTTCTACTACTGATTTTGGTTTAGTTCCTTAGAACTTGAGTTTGCCGAGTGTGTCGGAGACTTTCTGGGCATTGGCCCCCTTCTTCTTGTTGTTCTTGATGGGTGCCACCGGGGCCTTGGGTTTCTTGACCACCAGGTCCTTGTGCAGTGTCTTCAGGCTGGCGTCCACCTTCTCCTGCTTGGCCTTCACGGACTCCTTGATCTGTAAGTTGGACCCTTGAGTGCGGGGATTCTTCTTTTTGAGTAGAAGTCAGCCCACTCACCTGCTTGAGCTTGCCCTGCACCTCCTTGGGCTTCTTGCCCTTGCCCTTGTTGCCGTCGCCCACTTTGAAGACGTTCTTGGCCTTCTTCGACTTGTTGAGCGCCGTCTTTGGCTTGCCGGCTCCAGGAGCCACCTTCTTGTTGTTCGCCTTGTTGCGCCCCATCTGAAAATAGGTACAAAAAGATTCTTTTTTAGGTTTGACAGTCACAACTTTATTGCATCTATTGTAAGAGTATCAAACACATTTCACTTTGCTGGCTGCCAGCGGCTCCTCCGACGCACAACGCTTTCTCGAGCCTTCGATCTCCTTCGGGGTGGTTAGCAGGTGCTGGGTTAGCCTAAACGACACCCTGTACATGTCCTTGTTGGGGGCCACGTTCCTGACAAAGCTGATTCCCTCCAGCAGGTCCTCGTCGAGACTGGCCCCCAGATTGCTCTCCACCAGTTGCCTCACCAACTCCTTGGTGTTGTCGCCCTTGGCAAAGGAGTAGACATGGACGATGGGGTAGGAAACCCTTTGAGGCAACTCGGCCAGTTCCTCCGGCTTGTAGAGACCTCGAAAAGCGTCTAGAAACTCCACGGCCATGGCTGGTAAATTCATAGTTATGTGTATGGCGTAGGAGGTAGTATCTGTGGTCAGCAGACGCTTTAGCAAATCCTCGCGCACCTCATCGACTATGAACTGCCTCCCGTCCTGGTTGAACATTTTTATTTGGGAAAGGCACTTGTTCCGCTTGGCGTTGTGCTGCAGCCAGTGGAAGCTGACGGGATTGAGGTCGTTGGCCAGAACGTGGCAGCGCTTCTTGGCCGCGGGAACACTAAAAGGTCCGACGCCAGCAAATACGTCGTAGAGAACATCTCCCGATCGCAGCATCTTGACAATCCTTTCGTGCTCCGTCGAGAGTCGTGGATTCCAGTACACTTTAGAGAAGTCGAACTCGAAGGGAACGCCGTTCTCCTTGGTCTCCACCTGGTAATCAGCGTCGCCACAGATCAGCTCTAGCTGGAAGTTGCGGTAGGTGTTGTCTATGGAGGCGGCCTTGTTGACCACCGTGCGGCAGTTGGGCAGCTTATCGCGGAGCACTTGGCCTATTAGCTGCTTGTAGGGCAGTAGGTGCTCCCGGAGATTAAGATGGGCAATGTGGCCGATGCGGGAGTAAGAGGTGAGTCCCTCCTCTTCCGCAGGCAGCACGCTCTTCAGGATCTCGTTGGCACTCCAGTTCTCGTAGCCCAGCTCGAGCTCGCTAAAGGAGAAATTCTCTGCGGTGACCTGCTGCTCTTGCAGATCCTCCGTGGGGAGGCACTCCCAGTCCTTAATTGGAGTCGGGTGCAGCAAGATTTCGCGGGACTGGTCTACCGCTCGGACCGGGTGCAGGTGCTCCATTTTTAGCAGAAACCGCTTGACCAGCGGCATAACTCGTTGTACTTGGGCTTCGGGCACCCGTAATCGGGGCACTTGGACGCTCTTCCGGAACTCGTCTCTTCGAAGCTCCTGCATCCCGCGCACCGCAGCAGGTGGCTGCAGCTCCTTCGCGTCCATGTTTCGAAAGTAGTGACGTAAACGGGTGACACTAAGCGCTAATCCCGGGACCTTCAAATTGGTCACCATAAACATCCAAACACGTGCGACCTAGATTCGTGGGTATCCGCGGTTATTGGCGACAGGAGTGAATGTTCGAACAATGTGGGATTGCGCAGAAGTATAAGGAGTTCTTCCAAATTCCCTAAATATTTATTAACCGTTCAATATACCTTTATTATTTACTAATCTGTCGATATGCCCACAAGATCGAGAAAAAGCCAAACAAACGCAAGATGGTAAAAACAGTGTGGCCAGACGATCTACCGTTAAAATATACTGCTTCTTAAAAAAATATACATCAAATTTTTAAATTTTAATTTTTAATAAACATTTAAGTGTAACGTTTTTATTCAATGATTATATTTGAATAGCTTTTATCCAAATCATATGAACAATAAAAATGAAACTAAATATCATATGTTAACTCAGGCTACTTTCTTAGCCATTAAACATATGTATATTTATAAGGGTTTTTAAATCAAACAAATTCAATTCATTTAGTGACAATTTCGGTTTTATTTAAAAATAAAAAGTCAAATATATAGAATTGGTGATTAATTAATACAGAGATTAGCTTTCTGGTATACAATATGCACTTTCGCTAAATTTCAAATTGTTACAAAAACATCGCGTTATTTGTCTTTTTGACTACATCCTTTCTGTATCATTTATACTTATGAAACATTGTGCAAAAAACCGAAGCTGATCTTGAATAGATTACAATTTGTACATATATTTTAAGGTTTATTTTTCGCGCTGGACAATCATGCGACTTTACAAAGCTTGTGCTCAGGCATTTATAATACATGGTGAAGCGAATTTGATTTTTCATTTTCGTAGTAGTTGTCCTGTCCGCGAAGGATTGAATAGTTAATTGTGTACATATTACTATTTTAAACGTGGCAGAAACAATGACGTAACAGTTAAAGAGGGCGAATCAATATATATAAGACGGCGAAGAAATTTTAGCAGGTTAGCATTAGTTTTAGGGGAAGCCTGGGCTCGTTCCATCTGCCTTCGCTGTGGAATCCAAACGACATTACTACAATTAAATAAATAAAGGCAAAAACGCTTGCTTAAATTTAAACACAGTACACCACTGAATCGGATGGCATGGTGGCAGGATCTTATCGACGGTAGCGCCCCAAGTATGCCCGGCAATTGGGGCACGAGTGGTGAACATCCATACAGTCGTCGATGCAGCAAGGTATCAGGCAGCATCCCAGCCAGCAGCTAAAAATATCAAATGGTGATTAAATGGAAAATAAGTTCAAAAAATTCGAACGATCGAATGTATGATATTACACTTACCCAAAGAGGGCAATCAAAAATCCGGACAAGTAGGCAATCATTCCGGGCTCGGTACGCGTGGTCGTCTCAATCTCGGCGTGGCACGATGGACAGATCATGTGCGTCGAGGTGCGACTGATGGGCACCACCGTGGTCACGATCGTGGTGTTCGCCGTGGTCGCTGGAGCCACAACGGGCGTGTATGGACCCACGGGTTTCACCCCGCCCACCGCCTCCTGGTAAGAGGGCGGTGCCGAGGGGGGCGGCACATAGGTGAATTGCGGAGGAGCACTGCCCGGTTTACTCATTATTTTAGGCTAGTAAATGCACTTGAAGACTTTAGTAGCTGCAAAGGAGAAAATAATTGGATAGTTTTTTAGATTTAGATTGCACAAAACGGGACAAGCATTTATCTGAATCTAAAATGAAATTTACTATCACCCATTTTCGAATAATCATCAAACAATTTCTTTCGATAAGATTCTTTTCTCTGTTTGAGTTGGGATGCGTAAACTTTAAGCCTTAAAATTCCAAAGATAAATAGAATTCAGTTTTAAGAACATCAAAAAAAGTATTGGGAAAGGTAAACAACCAGTAATGAGTTGATTCAAAATAATGCCGCTGAAAATAGCACACAGCCCATTGGTCAGCACCGCATTTACTGTGAGTCATTTTCGCTCTTTTGGCACGCACACGAATCTATTAAAGAGCAAGCCTCTAGAGAGACCCTAAAACATGCTCCAAATACTCTATTTAGAATCAAATAATAAGTGTATTTAAACTCAGAACGACTACCAAGGTTATCTTGAATTTCAAAAAATGAATTTTGAAGAAGATCAATAGTTTTTAATGTTGATTTTCGAATAAAAGATACGGTCTGAAGACAATAACCAACTGAAATCTCATCAAGGTATGGGAGTCACGAAGTTATTGACTATCCATTCGGTGGAAGCATTGATGAATTGGATCTACATATGTGACGACAAGTGCCAAAGCTGTGCAATTGTTTCAACAAGTCTGGCGATCAGACGAAAGGCACTCAACTTTAAGAGCTCGTGTACAATGACCTGCCCCTCATCCAAACTGCGGCAACTTTCACCATGCGATTGCATACAAACAGAAATGTACAATGTGTCCCGAACGAAACCACATAGTTGCAGGCGGAAGTATAATATGGATAAAGCGGAGAACCAGATGTCTGTTTCTTGGCCAGAACGCCAACAATCGGCAAAAACCAGCTGCACTTGGCGGAAATAACCTCAGATACGATGACGTATGTGGGCGAAGTGCATTAATACCGAATCTCAAGCCATTAATCGACTTCGATTTGGTTTATACTCAATTAAAGCAAGCGTTAATCCAATTAACATATGATTCTTTTACATAGGTAGATCTCATTCCAGGTTTGTGATTTGTGGAACTTAAATTGAGTCTTCTCAGCAGTCACTACACATCGGCGTTCATCTGTAGCCCAGAAATCTATCTTATGTGCAACCGCAGCGATTACGTCAGACTTGTGGACTTCGCCGCATTCATCATTATCTCAGCTCAAAAGAATCTTCACTTTAAAGGTGCGATAACCTCGCGTTTTGGACTTAATGCTTAAATTAATCAGTTTACTGCAGACATTAACTAAATCCCCTAGCTAGTTAAAATTTTTAATAACTTGTTTTTGCTAGACTATCTTATCTTAGTTATTCGATAAATGCAGACGGGATGCTAATCTATAACTGTTACGAGACAATCTTAGAGAACACCGTATCGAATCTAACACATTTTCATAATAGAGAAAGTAGTCCTAATTTTGAAGATCATACAATTCAATAAAACACCTGTGCTTTTGCTTCTAGATTATATCTTGAAAGTAGTAAGGGCTTGAGCAACATTTAAAATTATTCCAAATCCAATTCAAGCCAGATTGATGTTACTTTCAGAAAGGGTATAATAAATTAGAATTTTCAGATGTTTGTATGTCTGTGCGTACAAGGTCTGCCACTCAAAGCAATCAGAAGAGATTTAAAAAACGCCTTAGTATGTATTTAATTTTAGCCTGTGTGTTAATTTCAGACAACGCTTTCGTGTATTTCTCCATCATATGTAAATTTAATGAATCGAACTTTAGTTCTAAGGTCTTTACGTGCAACAAAAGAGCCGTAAATCAAATTACCCAGTAATAAGGCAGGTAAACCGGAAAATGTAAGACATTTCGGAGATACATTTGAGTGAAATTGCTCGCAATTACCCAAATTTCAAAGGGAGTTCATGATTAGAACTGGATTTTGGTTTTGGGCGACCTTGACGACGCCCTTTTAAGACCGCTTTTTGGAACGGAACCGAATTCGAAAATGAAACCCTCCCTCTCTCGCGATGATGATGTTGTTTCGTATGATGTGAATAGGAGTACCAAGCACATTATCTTTCGCACCGCCAGATGTTTTTGGCCGATGCCACAGATGACGTAGTCGCGCCAAAAATAGCCACTTTGTAGGCGGGAAGGACGCGGGGGGCGTGGTAAAAACAAGAGTCAAATGTTATGGGTTTACAGGTGTGTGAATGTGTGGGTGAGTTATCCACTTGGAACTGCTTTTTTAATGGTAATTTAATCGTGGGACTTTCACAGTCCGTAGTATCATTTGCCACAATATGGCCACAAAAATAAACCCGATTTAATTTGCGCTAATTTTTAATGTATATTTTTATTCGCACGCACACCGAGGTATTTCTTGGTATAGGTTTGAATGCACCCAGACAGGGCTCATCTTTTCATCTCATTTTTGGTTTATCTTTTTTTATTTAAAGGCTTCTATTGATTGCCCTTATTTGGTTGTTATTTATAGCTTGTCACACCTGCACAAATATTCTTTCGAAAGCGATCGTTACCTCGAATTTTGTAAGCGACGTATACGTTATAATAATAAATTTCTCGTGGAAGAGTGACCGTATGTTGAACTGTAAAAAAAGCTATCGATAGGCATTGATTAACACACTTCATATTTCGATAAAGGTCCTTTCCCAAAGCAACAGAGATGGCCATCACTAATAAGAAATTTACTTTTACGCCGGAAATTAGCGAACTTCTACCCGTGCGGGAACACAGGTGCCAGAAGTGTCCTAACCTGGTGTTTGGCAACCTTAGTCATTATCAATTGCACCTGCGCCAACGCCACCAGGAGGTTCTCCCACCCTCACAGAGCGGAGCAAACACCGTCTTTCAGTGTCCAGTGGAAAAGTGCATCTACCATGTTGCGAGCAAGGGAGTTCGCAGCTTCTCCAGCCTGCGGCTGCTGCGACAGCACTATCAGAAAAGCCACCTGGACAAGAACTACAAGTGCCAGGGATGCGGTGAGAAGTTCCTGCTGCAGCATCACCTGCACAAGCATAGATGCTCGGAGCACAAGTGTCCCGTATGCGAACTTACCTACAACAGCAAGGCCGGATTGAGGACGCACATGCGGCGCAAAAACCATTTCATGGAGGAGCTGCAGCCCGTCAAAGTGGCTATTCCTTCGCTTGACACCTGGAGAAAATTGAATCCAGTGCCTAATCCCTTGCCTGCAGAAGAAACTAACGTTCGCTGTTTGGAAGAAACACCTGTTTTACGTGTTCAAGACCAAGAATTTAACCACATTACCTCCAGCTTGGCAGTCTTTACTGAATTTCCATCTGAACCAACTCCAGGAGAGGATTCAAATCTAAACACAGTCACCAATATACCCGCCCCAGAGGAGCATTTTCTTTGCTTTCTTCCGATTATGGATGTTCCATACTCTGTGGAGCAGCCATCACAAAAACTGGACATGGAGACCCAAACAGAGGAAGAAGATCTGAACGAAATCAGAAACGAAGTGTTAAGCCCACTTTTGCGCGATATACAAACACAAACGCCAGATACCAGAGGCGACATTGGAACTATGACCGAGGATTTCCCCGAGGAGGAACGAAAAATGGCAGAGCCAGCTCCAGTTGATAGTGATTTTCCCACCTACTCCGAAAACGAATCCATGTTCGGTTTGCAAACTTCCGCACACATGTACACCCAGACCTGCGACGAATTGTTCGAGGAGCTCGGATTGTCGCATATCCAAACGCAAACCCACTGGCCAGATGGTTTGTACAACACGCAGCACACACAGACCTGCGACGAAATGCTGGACGAACTCTTCCTCGATAACTTTCAGTCGACATGCACTCAAACCAGGTGGCTGGACTGGCAGGGCAACGGCGAAAGCGAAAGTTATGGAAAATCAGATTGAAAGTTTAGTAATTTTGAATGTGTTTAATTGACAACAGGACCAAAAGAAATATAATTATAAATTAGATTTATTAGATCTTTCTTTTGTACAAAGAATCTTTATAAATACTAGACACCTGTTTGCAAAATTCACAAAACAAATATTTAGTCGTGATATAATACAAGTTGCATTGGTTTGTTCAAAGAAGGTTTACGTAATTCTAAGCAGACTTTTAGCGAGGTCAATTAGTTTTGGTTTTTAAGCGACCATCAGACTTGGCGAGGAGCAGCTCAGAGCACTGAAAAAAGCAGTAGCTACAGAAGCACAGGGCCATATAGTTTCCCACCCCGCTGAGGTAGGCGCCGCGCATCAGAAAGTCGCCGATCTCCTGCCCGCCGATGAAGTAGACGTTGGAGAACGCTGCTGGGATGAAGAGCTGGGTGGCCATCATGGCATAGAGCCTCTGGGCGCCCACGGTTCCCAGATAGCGCTGTGTAATCCGCTTATACTCCGGCAACGAGGTCAGCGCCCTGAAGAGCTTCTCCGCGGCCAGGCAGAGGAAGTTCAGGATGCTCCAGATGAGCACGTAGGTGTAGCATCCGTGCCAGACGAACACAAAGGCGAAGGTCAACGCGGTGGCGCCAAACTTGGCCGCCGGAGAGGATCTCCTGCCGCACAGCTCGGCGTAGATGTGTTGAAAGAGGAACTCATAGAGGCCCTCGTCAAAGTACTTCCACATGTCCGAGTAGAAGTGGATACGACCGATGCACCGCGGCCTGCTGGGCGCCGGGATGCCATCCTGCCGTGCGAAGGCGATGCCCAGGCCGTAAGTGACCACATAGTAGAGGAAGAAAAACTGGCCCATGAAGTAGCCGGCAGAGTGCTGCCAGAACACCGAGTCCATCAGCTCCACCATGCGCACATCGCGCGACATGTAGTGGATGTAGAAGTAGTGGAGGGCGCACTGCATCACCAGCCACCAGAAAGCGCTGCGTATTATTCCTACGGCGAATTCCAGCCAGTTCTGCTGTTCCTCCTCCCTCCTATCTACGAATCTCCGGTAGCCGATGATGGGTCCGTAGGTCAGGCAGGGGAAGTACATGGCGTAGCCGAGATACTGGACGATGTTGTACCTCTGCAGCTCCTCCTCTTGGGCCCCCATTTTGGAGAGGGAGTAACTGCAGCCACGCAGCACACTCCATGACAGAGTGACGATCACCAGGACGTATTCCGAGTATCCGACGCGTTCCGTCCACCACTCGTTCTTCTGCAGCAGATTGATGCACAGTATCCAGCCGCCGGACAGGAGCCACACCAGATGCTTGGACCTGGCCAGAGAAACGAGGTAGTAGCTGGCGATCACCGTGGCCAGGAGCAACACCGATGTCCAGTCCAGGCTCAAACAGAGCGCCAGGGCGCACACCGCCGCGAATCCCTGGCACTGAAGGCGGGGACACTTCCAGCGAACAAAACCCTGGACAACCGTGTGGAGCAGGTAGAAGGGCCAGAAGCTGGCAATAAAGTCCCCGAAGTTCTCCAGCTCATCGTTGCTGTCGTCTCGCCTCCGCTGGGAAAAGGGATAAAAGTTCCAGCCCGCGGGAAACTGGAACTTTGCTTCCTTGGCAATGTGATCCCGGAGTACGTAGATCTTGTACAGGCCCACAACTATGTAGGCTATGTAAACGCCGAAGTAAACGAATATCTCGCAGCGCGTCAGCAGCGATCGGTCAGCTAACCTGGACATAGCTCAGCCACCGACTTGGACTCTTCATTCCTGGAAAAAGATTGCGTTAGGGATGTGAAGAACCAGCGAAAATATCGATAGTCAATCTATGTATGTGCACATACGCACCGGAGTTAGCAGAGTTAAGATAAAAGTTTAAATTTTTATTTATATTCATAATCACCTAGTTATGAACGAGGGAACATGAACAAAGGGATTGCCTTAAACTACGTATGCATATGGTATCTACAGATAGAGCTACGCCTAAGCAACTACCTCTAGTATAGCATCTCTTCCCGCTCCTCCGCTGTCGCGGAATCAAGAATCTAAGCTGAGACCTAGGGTGAAATGATTTACATCGATGAGAGGACAAACAGTTTAAAAGCTTAGCTAATGGCTTCTTAATGCTAACTTAAAACTCCACTCCTAAATCGTTCAGACCTGAACCTTGGTCTCTCTAGATCAGGAGATCGTCCTCGTACTCGTCCTGCAGCTCCTTTTTGACCTTGCGGTTCTGGTTGGATAAGCGTCGCTGCAGGTGTCGCCAGAGTGTGCTCTTGGGGATCTCGAACAGGTTGGCCGCGTGGTTTTGGGACATGCCCTCGTTCAGGCAGGCGTGCACCGCCTTTGCCAGTTTGTCCCGCAACTCATCCTTGGGTGTGGTGTCTCGCTTGCGGCAGGCCACGAAGTCCGGCAGACGTCCCTGCGCCGACAGACGAACCTTATGCCGGTGCAGCGTAGACATGGGGATCTGCAATTCTGTGCTGATGCTCTTTAGCGAGTCCCCGTTCTTCAGGCGCTCATAGGCCTCTAGCAGCGATGGTCGTTCTCTGTTGTTGCGTGTGTAGGCGGGATTGGTGCGCACTCGACGCCACAAGACGGTTTTGGAGATATCAAAGCGGTCCGCGGCCTTTTGTAAGCTCAACCCCTCGACGATCACTGCCTCCGCCGCCAGATCCAGAGCGTCGTTGATATCGTCTTTGATTTCCCGCTTAAGTGCCACAAACTGCTGGAGTCGCGTTGGTTTGCTTGGCGATCGCTTTGTGGGTTTTGCATTTACCGGGCGGCGGACCCGCGGTTTGCCTTCGAGCAACTTTCGGGGCTTTACGTCCTCGATCTCCTCGTCCGCCATGTCAACCGGCACGTCCTCGTCGTCATCCATTTCTGCGGCAGTGCCTAGCTCGATGAGTGGATCTGATGCCGCGAAGTCTTCCTCGATCATCTGGTTGTCTTGTTCCTCCGAGTCATCCTCCGCCATTTCCGCCTCGGCGTCGTCGTCTACCAGCTCCACTTCGGTACCACTGGCGACTGTCTCATCGGCTTCCAACTTGGTCAAGCTGGAGGCGGACTGTGTGATGGTAAAGGTGCCCGTGTTTTCGGTTAGGATGAACTGGTTTCCGCTCGAATGGCCGTCCATGTGCTCTATAGAGTAGGTGATCTTTGGCGGCTCGTACACGTCCAGGTACTCCAGTGACCGGTTGGAGTGAGTGGGCTGGTGCTGGGGTTCTGCCAGAACGGTCGTCGGCACGGTCTCGGCCGGCTGTGCCGAACCATCCTCCTCCTCATCCAGTAGCTCGGCTTCGGCGATTTGCAGGCCAGTTATCGACTTAGCTGTCTCAACGGCCATCGAACCGCTTCCCACATCCGCACTGGGCGGACTGGCCGAGGGATTGCACTCAAAGCTGATAGCCGACTTGATGCCCAACAGGTTGATAGCCTCCAGGAACTCGGACAGCGAGGCGGAAGGCAGACTGGTCTCGCCCATGTAGATGAATGAAAGCATACTTTCAAGCAGATCGCCGCGAATGTCGGGCAGCATGATGGTGGCCTCCTGGCCACGGGGCACATCGACCAAAAGGTTCCGCATCAGCTCACTGCAGGTGCTAAGCACGAAAAGGTGGGCTCGCACCCGGACGCCGTCCCTGGAGGCCAGAACCACTTCGCAGTTCTCGCTGTCGTTGCGCAGCGAGCGCTGTATATCCATTATCGTGGACGAGTGCCCCATCCACTTGAGGTGATTCTAGAAGCCAAGTCGCGGTTATTTTAGAGCTTCTAAATGGCGCGTTTCACTTACCATCTTGTTGTGTTTTGATTTCCAATTGATTTCCACAAACTTTTCGATTTCAATTCTCGCAATTCCAAACGCGACGCCAGAGTTTTCGCTTTAGGGTTGTCGAATGCACGCATTGTTTTGGTATATTACAAAGTGGCAATAGAAACCGCTTCGGTATTTTTTTTTTAATTGTCAATATTTCCATCGAAAAAGTTATTAAGAAAAAAAAATTGAAGTGCTTTTAAGTATAAAAATCTGAAAATATGAAATAAATAAATTGAAATTATTCAAACGAAATCAAACAAATAATTGTAGTATCCTTAGACAACGGATCTAGCTAGGGTTGCCAAGTGTGATGGCAGATCCGCACCATGGTAACTCTGGAAATACAACAACTGTATTGACATTTCAGCATTACATAAATTGTCAAAACCTGCAAATTGTTAAATTAATATTAAGCAGTTTGTAGAATGGCGGCCCTAATCAGGAACCTGGGTGCCCGGGCCGCAGTGGCCGCTCTAACGGTCAAACATGGTGGGTAGACATCCCAGATCGTAGTTCCGACTGATCCGTTTTAACTTATGAATATTTAGTGGTGCCCGCTGGAGCAACAGCAGCCCTGCGTATGGCTAGCACGGCTCCCGTGGATCCCAAGAAGGCGGATAAACGTGGGTAACGACTCCTTTTGTCCCAGAGATAACTGCATCTCGAACTTCTTCCCCACAGCCACCGTCCGCCAGCCGGACGCAGTTGCTCGCTCGCACCTCTCCGATTTCGGGCGTTATGTGGCCGAGTGCCTTCCCAAGTACGTACAGAAGGTACAGCTCACCGCCGGTGACGAGCTGGAGGTGCTTATCGCGCCGGAGGGCGTGGTTCCCGTACTCCAGTTCCTCAAGGATCACCATCAGGCTCAGTTCACCAACTTGGTCGACATTGCAGGCGTAGACGTGCCCTGCCGCAAAAACCGCTTCGAGGTGGTCTACAATCTGTTGTCGCTGCGCTACAACTCCCGCATCCGCGTGAAAACCTACACCGACGAACTCACGCCTTTGGATTCCGCTTGCGAGGTGCACAAGGCGGCCAACTGGTACGAACGTGAGATATGGGACATGTACGGAGTTTTCTTCGCCAACCACCCCGACTTGCGCCGCATTCTCACCGACTACGGATTCGAGGGACATCCCCAGCGCCGCGACTTTCCACTTTCCGGCTACGTGGAGCTCCGCTACGACGACGAGAAGAAGCGCGTTGTCTGTGAGCCTCTGGAGTTGGCCCAGGAGTTCCGCAAGTTTGACTTATCGGCTCCCTGGGAGCAGTTCCCCAACTTCCGCAACGCAAATCCCCCCGCAGAGGTCGTTCCCCCTCAGGCGCCAGCCAAAAAGTAATCCGGAGTCGGTTTGTTAAATGGTAATTAGATCAATAAAGCGAGGTCATTATGAGATATGTATGACAAAACGGAAACACTTCCGGCTTTTAGTAAAGTTCAACCCCTTGAGCAAAGTGTCAGCTCCCTCTGCAGGCAGTCAGTTATAGGGTTTTAACCATTTCAAGTAAACCAGGCTTATCATTAAGGTTCTCCTTTATATTTTTGTTGTAGAAAAAAAGCGCTCGCAATACCAAGGAAGGAAACGAGGAAATTGGAATAAATAAATACTTACATTCAACCTTTAATGTTCTTATATACGCATTCAGTTTTATCAATCCAGAGCGGTGACAAGTATTTATTGATTTCTGTATTGTTTACATAGTAGTTTACACTCATAGTTAAACGATTCTCCCGAACCTGGCACACACGGATGCCATCCTTCAGGACACGGCGTGGGCAAGTTACATACAAAACGATTGCTAAAACAAGTGTGTGGGCCTCTTGACAATTCGTGCGCCTGCGCAGCGGTGCCCGGCAAAATAGAGGTGGACATGCTTAAGTTTAGACCGGAGAGGATCGGGGAGTGGTACTTGTTGAAATCCTAATCGTAATTCGAGCTTCTGAAGTCGGCGCACCGCTTGGCTGCACCATCGTCGTCGCCTAAACGTTTCTAATTAGTTAATGTATTTTTGTTTGATTTTTCGTTTGTTTGTTTGGTTTTTTTTGTACAAGAACATACACACATATATATATATATATATATATATATAGATCTATATATAGTACATAGGTACACACACATAAACATAGTATTACATTTAGCGATTTTAAAAAAGTTTTTATTCCGCTTTTCGGCGGAGTGATCCAAAGGGTTTCGTTACTTTACAATGGCTGCGTGCCCGTGGGGCACGGCTCAAAAACAAATCTCCGGCGCCGTTCGGCGCCCCTTTCCGGCAGTCCATGTGCCCGGAGTTCCGTCCTGACTGGCACAGCGGGACTGGGACAACAAATGAAAATTTCGGAGCAGGCGTAAAGTTCGCGCTTTTCGCGCATCCTGCTGACAAAAAAACAAATTCGACAGACGGCCTGCCTGCTGGGAACGAGACCTCCTCATTGGGAGAGGGGTTCTCCTCCGCTGAAGGTCTTCCTCTCGGCGGCCGACCTGTCACAAATACAAATTCGCGGGCGTGGCCTCTGCAGCTCCAAATTAAATTGACTCTGTCTTGGTGTAGTGACGCCCTGTTCCCGCCCCGCTGCTGCTGCTGCCGGCGGAGGAGACGTACGGCGACGCCTTGCCGCTGCTGCTGCTCCCCGAGCCCGAGCCCGTTGTGCTGCTGCTGTTGTGCTGGCTCTCACCCGCTCCTGCTGCACCGGAGGCGGCGGCCGCCTCGTTGTTGAGCCGCTCGTGGTACTCCTGGAAGCAGGGCACGATGCACAGGTTGGTCTGGCACTCCGGGCAGTGGTACTTCGTTTTGCGTCGCAAAATCCGGCCATGCCCGTCGATCGTGTTCCAGCAGAAGTTGCAGCCCAGCGCCGGACCCGGTCGTATGACCGGGCAGTGACTAGAGCGCGGATTCTCGAGGGTGATGATCTCCCGTTGGGTCTGTCGAGCACATAACAAAGTTAGGGGGCATTCGGGTAAGAAGTTCCCATAACTCACCTGCGGAGAAGACACCGATCGCTGCAGTTCCTCGTTCTTGACGCGCAGCGTGGGCAAATGCTCAAACGAGCTGCTCATGGTGACCTGGCCGGGATGCAGGTGGCTGCCGCTGATGGAGCCCGAGGCCGACTTGGAGTTGCGCAGCCTCAATCCGCCCCCGCCGTTTGCCGCCTCGCCCGGGTTCTTTCCACCCGCGTTCCGCTCCACAATCGGCGACCTGGAGACGTTTGGCGAGTGCGGCGACCGCCGCTCGTGGGCAACGTCCGATCCGACAGAGAACGTAGGCGACATCGGGTGCCGCCCGGCGTTGTTCTGCAGCCCTGAGACGGGCGAGGTGACCACGGAGACGGCGGCAGAGACCGCTGACGCGGAGCCCGGACTGGCGTTGGTGGGCGTGGCTGCCGTCTCGCTGGAGACCGCCGGACCGGTCACAACGCGCGTGGGCACAAGGTACTGTGAGGAGCCGGCAGGCGGCGGGGAGCCCGAGGCGTAGATTGCCTCCGGCAGCGAGATGTGGTGCGGATGGTGGAGCGGCGCCGGCGGCACGTAGCTGGCACTGCTGCCGGACAGCGGATGCGAGTATTGGCGGTGCAGCGGGGCAAACGGATTGCTGGCGGTGGACAGGCCGGAACTCGAGCCGGCGATGTGCAGCGCGGACTGGCGGGGCAGGAGCGGGTCGGAGTGCTGCTTGATGAGATAAGGTGTGCTGGACGGCACGCTGAGCAGGTGCGGCGTGGACGGGGCCAGGCTGGGCGCCGGCTCCGAGGCGTGGCGCTCGATCCGCGGCGGAACGGTCAGCAGGTGGTGGTGCTGCTGCTGGTGCTGGTGCTGGTGCACCGGCGGCTGGTGGTGCAGGTGATGCGAGCCCGTGGTGGAGTAGTCCCGGGCCGTGACGGTCGTGGCGCCCGCGGCGTTGAACGGATCGAAGTCGAGCGTCGAGGCCGCAGTGTCCGGGGATATTTGGTTCGTCGACGAGATGCTGTCGCTGTCCCGCTTGACGCGCGGCTGGCGGGTGAGCACCCGGTTGCGCTTCGTGCCCATCACCACCGGCGAACTGGGTGAGCCGTCCGCGTCGCACTCGCCGGAGCCAACGCCCCCGATGCTGAAGGAGCGCTCAAAGCTGCCGCTGCCTCCGCTGCTGCTGCTGGCGGCCGCCAGCGAAGGATGCGGAGCATGGGCTGCATGCGCCGGGCTCGGCTCTGCAAGGAAAGATGGTTAAAGAGTTAGATTTGTTTGCTGTTTACTGAAATCCTAGACACAGGTGCCACCTTTCGGGATGAAAAATATCGAAACCTCTTCTGTTGCTCACTAGGAATCTCAGTTGATGAAAAAATGAAGCTTGAGAAGATCTTGTGTACGTTGTAGTTTTGAAAGTTTATTCGTTTCTTGCACATCGACTACAGTCTAGAATGTTCGTTCCATCTCGATTTCGGTCTCGATCCCGATCTCGATCTCGATATTCGTTTGGGGCTCGCATTACTTGGTATGGTACATGCAACTTATAATACAATCGGTTCTTTTATGCACTTGCGCTGATTTAAATAATTTATATATATATTTAACACACATAACTAGCGTAGTTATTGGTACTTTGCAATTGTAGGAAACAGAGTTAGTAATATTTGCTTATTGTTTCTGCTATTCTTCCGTTCGCGTTCGTGTGTTATGTGATCTGGGATCTGTGATCTGTAATGGGGATCGGGTCGGGATCGTAAGGATCCACCGTGGTATCATGGTATATCTATCCAGTGTGTGTGTTGTGGGAGGGCGAGTGTAATAAAAGTCCATTATCAAAGTTGACGTTACTCTATGACTTCTAACAAATCACGCTTAGTTCTTAGTATGCCTTGACACAATATAAAAAGTTCTCTATTAGTTACAATATTTATATGAATTGTATTAAAAACACACTATTCGTAATCGCTATCATAACCGGAATCGTATGCGTTTTCCGTTTGTGTTTGGTTTTCTGTTTGCCTTTAGCTGCAGTCTCCGTTTAGGATTTTGGGTGGTTACGAGTTATCTTTAAGTTTCGTTTGTCTTGCGTATCTGTGATCTGCATCGTGTAATTATCCATTACGCGCCCCTGTATGTACATACCTTTGTACAAAGAAGTCCTTAAAAACCAAGTGCCGAAACAAATGAGTGTCCCTCCCCGAAAAACCCCCTTCTCTAAGATATGTTGCTGTCGGATTTGGAAATGTATAACCCTAAAACCTGTGCCAGCACCCAATGGGACCGGCACCTCGCGAACTCAGAAAGAAGTGACAAGTGGATACGTTCACAAATATAAATATATATACATGTATATTGGTTGGTACATATTTATCATACATATCCGGCTCCCTTACATGCTCCTCCGCTGATCTTGCGGCTTACTCTATTGTACGCGTCCGCGATCATTCGTCGTCGGGAGCTCGCTATCGATTACATTTATGCTTCGAATGAGTGCGTCTGCCTTTCACCGTACACAGATAAGAAGCTTAATATAATGCCTACATACTGATATTTGCTATTGTAACACAAGTGCAGAAATTAAATCTCTTTCGAATCGAGGAATAAAACATATTTCTGATGCGCCAGAGCCTAGCAAACCACCGGACCGGGATGTGGATGTGGGGAAATGTGTTCAGAAATCGCCAATAAATCTCATGGTGTCCTTAATATTTAGTATTACGATTACAGATAGAATTTTTGGTTTCGTCCATTGCTTGTTCGCATTACAGAAAGTGGAATAGGAGCGGATTCCTCGCGGTTTGATCGGCTGCTGGCACACAGCACCACTTTAGCTGCAGTTGCTTTACAAATCATTTGATGTTCGCGATTAACACTAATAAAATTGTATAATTTATGTACAATTACATTATACTTTTACACGCACTATAGCTATATATATATATATATGTAATCGAAGATCTGTACTACCGATTTCTTAGTTAACAATCGTAAAAATGTAGGGTTCAAAACTTTAAGCTTAAGGAATTAGGTCCTAGAAAATTATTACAAGTGCGGCCTGCCTTCAATTCTCCATCCGCATCCGCGTCCGCTTCTCCTCTCCGATCCTCCTGCTCTGCTTAGCTCAGCTCAGCGCAGGAATCCGATGCTCCGTCCTTGGCCGACCTCCTCTATCCTATTGCCACTCTGCCGTGAAAGCGGTCCGCTATCGCTATGTACACTAGATTGCTGCCGTTGCTCTAATACCTGTATCGATCGATTTGAGGGCCCTGCTGCGCCGGGACCTACGACTTGTCCAGGTACTGCAGGCCCGAACTGCTCACCGTGGCCACCGGCGGCGCGGCCACCGTCACTGCGAAGTTGTTGATTAGGAAGCTGTGGGCCATGCCCATGGGCACGGAGACGGGCATGGCTGATATGCTGAGGGACTCCGCCGGCTCGCTGGCGGCCATCACGGCGGCTGCCTGCAGCAGAGTGGCCGTCCCCGCCTGGCTCGAAATCGTATTCTATATCGAGTTGAAGTTAATACTCTGCAGATTCATGGCGGTGGTCGGGTTGACATTGATCGTTCCGGTGCCCGCGCCCGTTCCCGCACCCGCTCCGCCACCGGCTGCCTCGATGTACCGCTGCCGCGTCATCGAGTGCACGTTGCCCGGGGAGTCCATGTAGCGCGGATCGAACAGGCTCATCACGCCGATGGCCGGGTGCGAGTTGCCGCCGCCAGGCAGGCTGCCCGGTCCGCTTCCGAGGCCCGCGTGGTGCGGGGTGCACATCAACGAGGGCGTGGGCGTCTCTGCCTGCGGCGGAATCTGCATGCTGAGCGTCTCGTTGGTGTTGTCATCGCCCTGATTCGTCGAGGGCGTGGGCGAGGGCGACAGGTTAGGCTCCTGCTTGACCACGCGCGCCTTGATGCTGGGTCGCGAGACGGGGTAGCCGCGCTTCTTGTACTCCAGCCACAGCGTTCTGTTGTTCACGCCGTACAGCCGGGCGGCCTTGCAGAATCCGATGCCACCCGTGCGCACTGCCTCCAGGGCGCGGATGAAGTTCTCATCGCCCTGCGGGTTTACCGACCGCTTGCGCTTCACCACCTGGCTGGCTGCGCCAGTGGCTCCTGCCCCATTGCCGGCCGCCGTGTTGGCCGCTCCTCCGCCGGCGGCACTTGCTCCGGCCACTCCCGCGTGCACAGGCGACTGGGTGGGCGTGGGCCCTTGGCTGTAGACCGACTGCACCATGTTCGATTCGTTCGGAGAGGTGGGCGAGAGGTTCTGCGCGGCCGTCGCGTAGCTGCCGACCAGGTTGTTTACGGTGATGATCTGCGACGAGTAGGCCTGGCCGGAGGCGGCGGCCTGCTCCTGCTGCTGGTAGTGCAACTGCTGCAGATGCTGCTGCTGAGTGGCCTGCTGCTGGGCCTCGTGCTGCTGTCGCTGATCGCCACCGACACCGCCGCCGGCGCTATTCGCACCGCTGCTCTGGCTGCCAGCCCCGCCACCACTGCCCCCGCCGTTGCCCAGCAAGTTGGACTGGCAGGCGGGCAGGGAGAAGCGTGGATAGTTCGAATCGACAACTGTCCATTGCAGACCTGGGAAGGGGAGAGAGAGAGAGACAGCGAATGAAAGATTGGTTCTGGTGTTCGTTCTGGGGCATTTCGATCGAAGTTCAACTTGAGATCGCTCTCTCCTAGCTCTAATGGATCGGGTTCTGGTTTGGGTTCAGTTTGAGGTCTAGTCTGGTTAGGTCTGGTCTTGGTCTTGGTCTGGTTCTGGGACAATTTATAGCATCGTAAATAGGCACAATAGAGGTGGGATAGGTAGAAAGATTGCTAAGGCTAAATCATTATCATCGGAAACCGCTGTTTGAAACTCCCACAAAACAAAAATCAATAAAAACGCAAGTGAACGCAAATCGAGAATGAACAATCGAAACAAACAAATAATATTTTGAGTTTTGGAAGTTTTGGTTTTTGTTTTTTGTTTTGGACTCTGTGCTAGCTCTCTCCCATTCCCAAGTTCAGGCAGGATTCGGTTTTGGAATACAATACACAATAATATTTAAACATAGAAAATTTCGGCATTTTACAGATATTTCGTTGCACTTAGTCGGTAAATCGGTAATGGATAATCGGTATGCTAGATCTCATATTTAGCTTTAGCATTCATTTCTCCAAGCGCTGTGTACTGAAATTTATTTTTCGAAATGGCACCGTTCGTGTGTGAGATATGCGAATGAAGTATGATCGTGGAATTGATGGGTGAATCAGAGAGTACACAGTGGTTGATCAGACTAAACTTATTGGGAGACCCTAACCCGTCAGTTTACCATGCCCAGTCATAAGTCTGCAGTTTTAGGATGGCAGTCTTTTATTTTACATCTTTTTTAGACTAAGGTTTCTTATTCCAGTCATATTAAAACATATTAAAGTACCTTTTACTAAAGTATACATTTTTCAAAAATGTCTTTCTATAAACAGGTTTTTTTTTTATGATTTTTGTCTTTTTAATTTTCTAGCATTAAGCCCCATTTTTTTAGTGTTTGTGTTTTAAAAAAAAATCATAGCAAACAAATTTAAGAAACGATAAAAAAAAGGATCCATCCTTGCGAATGAGTTCCCTACCCGATGAGCAATGAGTTTTGATGGTACCGTGTTGGATTCTGAGTTTTCTTTGCGACTTACCCGAGTGCGAGGACTGAGAGTTCGGCGCATCGTGTTCCGAGGGCGTGGTGCCGCCGGAGATGTCCAGGGGCATCGTTGGGTTCACGCCGCCAATGTCCACTTCGGGCTTCTGCACGTTCGTAGGCCGAGAAAAAATAGGAAACAATTAGTCAACTTGCTCTACAAGACGATGGTTCGAGGTTAACGTGACCAATTTCATTACAATTTGCATGTGTAAGTGTCCGTGTCCGTCGTCCAAATCCGAGTCCTGCGGCTGCTGGTCCAGCTCGGCGCTGACAGATTCCTTCAACAGCTTGGCCGCGTGCAGCGAGTGAGCGGCTAGACCGCCAGCCGCTCCGAAGGACATCTGGCTCATCTGGGCGAGACTGAGACCGGCGTTGCCGGCACCACTGCCCGCGTCCAGGGAGCTGTTGTGCTGCTCCTCAACGTTGTTGCGTTCACCAGAGCCTGGAAAGGTATCGGAGTTAATTCGATTCGGTCCTTTGTTTGTGAAACGGAGCAGTCGACGATGCTTTACCCAACTCCAACTCACCGTTATTCGATGATTTGCGCAACCGCTTGCGTCTGGTGGCTGGCGAGGTGCCGGCGCTCAACGGCGACGGCGTACGTCGCATCTGGTGGTGATGCGTCTGCGCCGCCTGCGCCTGCCCGCCCTGCTGCTGCTGATGGTGGTGGTGGTGGTGCTGCTGCTGCGCCTGTTGCTGCTGCTGCGCCTGCTGCTGTTGCTGCTGCAGCTGCTGTTGTTGCTGGTGGTGGTGGTGCTGCTGCTGCGCCTGCTGCTGGGCCTGCTGTTGCTGCTGCTGCGCCTGGAACTGCTGGGCCTCGCTGCTGCTCCACAGGGAGTCGCCCACGCTGCCGCCGCTGGCGCCCCCCAGGCTTCCGGCCGAGGTGCCCGCTCCAGAGCCCACTCCGGTGCCACCCACTAGCTCGGTGCCGTCCGTGGAGGACTTGCTGTCCGACTTGGTGAGATTGGCCGGATCCGTGGGCATCTCCGCCAAGCCCTTGATCTTGAGCATCTCGGCGGTCTTAAGGATGTGCGGAAGCTGCTCTTGCGAGACATTAACCTCGCCGTAGTACATGAAGTCCACCATGGTCTTGAGGTCATCGTACTGCACATCCTTCAGGATGACGATGGGATGTTGGCACGGATTTGTGGTGAACAGAGCCTGGCGGGAGATTTGATGGTTAGCTATGGGTTTTCCTGAAAGGATTATATACTCTGCTTACCTGGAAGTACGAACTGCAGGCGGAGAGCACTATTTTGTGGGCCTGCAACTGACGTCCTTCGGCAGCCAGAGTGACGTCCACCAGGGTGCCATTGTGCAGCAGCGAGGAGCACACCGAGATGAAATTCGGTTGGTGGTTGTTCCACCGCAGGCAGAACTGCTGCACGGACATGGTGGTGATCCGGATTTGGAGCTTTAGTCCTCAATCTCCGGATCCGGAGCCACCTCCTGCTCCTCCCCCTCCTCCTCACCCTGTTTGCGGCCAATTAACTCGCACTGATAACACTTTTTATCGCCTCCCGCTCGCCGCTCTAGTGGTTTTTATTATTAATTTTTCCGGTGTTTTGTTCGCCTTTTTGTTTTCGCCTCTTTCGAAATTAATTAAAATTTATGAACATTCGTCGCAGCTTGCAGATGCGTGTGTGTTTGTGTGTGTGAGTGGGGGGTCGGGGTTTTCGGTTTCAGGGGGGTGACGACTTCTAGGCCGCACGCATCGCGAGTCTCTGCAAAAAGGGGTACAAAAAATGGGGTTTAAATAAATCAAACATTATCGATGGTTACACAAATTGCTCAAAAACACATTCCGCTCTCTTCGCGCTCTCTCCTTCTCTCTCTTTCGTCTTTCTTCTGTATCACAGCTGCGCGCTCTCCTCGCTTACAAAAAAACCACAAACAACAACAACGGCTCTGCGTGTGTATGTAATTATACAGTCGCGAAAATGAAACGCACACACTCACTCATACTTGTTGTTGCTGCCTGCTGGCCAAAGTTTTATTTTTGATAAAACCGAGAACGTAACGAAATCGAATAGCTTTTTGTATAGTCGTAGCGCTGTAGACCTTGAATTTTCTTTGATTCTTATGACGTAATTATATACGTGCCCCGCGCTGTCCCTCCCCTTCTAACGCTCTCTTTCTCACCCACACTGACGACCGCCGACGACGTACTAATCGCTGCTTCTTCGTTTATTCATCGTATCGATATTTTCAGTGGCATTTATTTATGTGCATGTCGCGCGTTATTTTCGTATGGCTATGATGTTGGGAATAAAGCTAATACACAAACTAGCGGAGCGCCACATGTTTTTCACTCGCTTCTCCCCAGCGACTTGTTTCTTTTCGTTTTTACAACTTGAACTTTTTGTGGTAGGTTTTTGCTGTTGTATTTTTTTTGGCTTTCCAAAAACAAAATGGCGCGCAACAAATTTATGCGAGGGCCAAAACAACACTGAAAACTGATCGCGCAGGCTAGATTTCAATGCACTCGCATGCCGCACTGATAGCTCCAACTTGTTTACCACTTTTTATATTATTTTAACGCAGATTTCCCAACGAAAAATGCATATGAAAATTCTTACGTTTTACTTCTTTATGCGAAAGATTTTTGTGACTATATGGCAACACGGCGGAAAGAGAGTTGGCAGGCCGGAAGAGTGTGGCCAAGTCGGATAGAAGAAAAATATCTTTACTTCATAATCTTTATTTTTTAAGCGGTTGTATAATTTATTGTATGTTTTATTCCAATTGTCCCAAAATATAATTTAAGGATAATAAGTTAACTGAATCACGACCAGAGTTGCGGAGCTCTCGCTTTGTTGTTAAAACCCAACGGAACTAGTTCGGTGACTCGCGAATTTGTTGTTGGTATTGGTTACAGATGACAGCTTTCAACAAAGAAGCGATAGTTGCAACCGGCCGAGTTAATAGATTTAAGATCTTTGGTGGTGAAAAAGAGAAAACACCAGCTTACAACTCATACTAAGAAGTATTTTATAGGTAAGTCCCGACTGAAGTAGTCCAACTGTTTAAATCCCTATAAACAACTAACCGAATCCATCGATACGCGCCATTTTCGTGCCCGCCGGTATCGATGCATTCGTCCTCGTTCATCTCTAAGTAGCCGCAGCTGCAAAACTCAAAAATCATCTATTTCACATTCGGCTCGTTGTCCAGTATATGAGTAAAAGGCCAGCCACAGAATTCCAGGTAACATCGTAATGGAGGAACTACGCAAGCATTTATCCAAGGTGAACGTGCCTTGCGGCTCCGGAGCGGGGAGTCCGCCGATCTACAAGGACGAGTGCGTCTACTCCTACGACAACCCAGAGACGCCCACCGGGCTGTACGTGTGTCTGCACAGCTTCCTGGGCTTCGGGGAGGCCTACGTGCGCGAGTACGCCGACAAGACCGGCAACGCTGTCTTTCTCCACATTCGGAGGGTAAAGACGCCCAAGGAGGGAGCCGACGCGGAGCCGGGCTGTGATCCCGAGGCGGAGGCAGGACCGGAGCGCAAGATCACCCGCCTGGCTATTGGCGTCGAGGGCGGCTACAACGAGTCGGACATGGCTAAGAAGTACGAGATAAAGGACACGTACAGCATAGTAGTGGCCCCGCAGCTGGACAAGAAGCTCCCGTATCCCGACCCTGAGCTCCCCATGCGCGTCACCCAAGCGGTAGAGGCGATCCTTGCCGCTGACTCGGCCATAGCCAAGCTGGAGAAGGCCACGCTGATGGGTGAGTGTGCGACCGAAATAAGTTTTGAATAGGATTCAGAAAGTGCGCAAGGAAACTACCTTGGGTTGTCCCCCTATGGCTTGGGGACCGTCCAATTGGCGGTGCCTTCAGCATTTTTTACAACGTATCGTTTTCCGGTTGAATTTGTTTATTAACTGACCAACCCTCTTGCGAATTGCAGGCACCTGGGATGGAGAGGTGCGTCAGGCCTCCAAGTACGCGGAGAACCTGCAGCAGCTGGACAACGGCAAGCGAATCCCACCCGCCGGCTGGCAGTGCGAGAAGTGCGAGCTGACCAACAACCTCTGGCTGAACCTCACCGACGGATCCATTATGTGCGGTCGGAAGTTCTTTGACGGGAGCGGGGGCAACGACCACGCCGTGGAGCACTACCGCGCGACGGGCTACCCGCTGGCTGTCAAGCTTGGTACCATCACCGCTGACGGGAAGTCGGACGTGTTCTCCTACCCGGAGGACGACATGGTGCTCGACCCCTACCTGGAGCGCCACCTCTCACACTTCGGCATTAACATGGCGGCGATGAAGAAGAGCGAAAAGTCTATGGTGGAGCTGGAGCTGGACATCAACCAGCGCATTGGCGAGTGGTCGGCGCTGACGGAGAGCGAGAGCGAGCTGCAGCCGCTGGCCGGTCCGGGGTACACGGGCATGCGCAACCTGGGCAACTCGTGCTACATAAACAGCGTGATGCAGGTGCTCTTCGTTATCCCGGACTTCCAGCAGCGCTTCGTGGGCACCGGTGCCCAGCGCTATTTCAGCGAGTTCCCCAACGACCCGGCCAACGACTTCAACATCCAGATGGCCAAGCTGGGCACCGGCCTGGAGTCGGGCAAGTACAGCAGCATTGCGGAGAACACCCTGGACACTGACCACTCCACAGGCATCTCGCCGGCCATGTTCAAAAACATAGTGGGCAAGAACCACCCCGATTTCAGCACCAAGCAGCAGCAGGATGCCAACGATTTCTATCTGCATCTGCTTACTTTGCTGGACAGGAACTCCCGCAACCAGAGCAATCCCGCAGACGCTCTCAAGTTCCTGCTGGAGGACAGGGTTGAATGCCTGGCCAGCCGCAAGGTGAAGTACAAGACGCGCGAGGAGTACAGCTTCCGGCTGCCCATTCCTCTGGACAAGGCGACCAACCTGGACGAGGTGCGCGAGTTCCAGGAGCGGGAGAAGACAGCCCGAGAGACCGGCCAGCGGCTGGTGGAGCGGGACATCGTGCGGCACAAGGTGCCACTCCAGGCGTGTCTGGAAAGCTTCTTTGGCCCGGAGCTAATCGAGCAGTTCTTCTCCACTGCCATCGATGGCAAGACGAACGCCAGAAAGACCACTCGCCTGGCCACCATGCCCGACTGCCTGATGATTCACCTAGGCAAGTTTACGCTGGGCGACGACTGGGTGCCCAAGAAGCTGGACGTATCCGTGGACATGCCGGACGAGCTGGACCTGAGCGCCTGGCGCTCTGCCGGCGGGCTGCAGGCCGGTGAAGAGGCTCTGCCCGAGCCCGTGGCGGAGCAGCCGAAGTTTGCCTTCGACGAGGCGGTCATGTCCGAGCTGCTGACAATGGGCTTTCCGCCGGAGGCCTGCAAGCGCGCCTGCTTCCACACAAAGAACAGCGGGCTGGAGGCCGCCTCGAACTGGCTGATGGAGCACATCGCCGACGAGGACATCTCGGAGCCTTTCGTGGTGCCCAACAACCGCATCGGGGACTGCGCGCTCGACCAGTTCGTGGCCAATCCGGAGAGCCTCGCCATGCTGATGAGCATGGGCTTCGACGAGCGTCAGGCGGTCGCGGCTCTGAAGGCCACCGATGGTAACGTGGAGCGCGCTACCGACTGGATCTTCTCGCACGCCGACTCTGTTGGCTTGGAGGAGGCTGCCCCCGCTTCGGATTCATCCGCTACAGCGGCCTCATCGGCGCCAAACAGGAGCAATTACCGCGACGGCGGCGGAAAGTACAAGCTGGTGGCCTTCATCTCGCACATGGGCACCTCCGCCCAGGTGGGGCACTACGTCTGCCACATCCGCAAGAAGGGCGAGTGGGTGATCTTCAATGACAGCAAGGTGGCCAAGTCGCAGCATCCGCCCAAGGACCTAGGCTACCTGTATCTGTACATGCGCGACCAGTAGCCCGCCCGATCTCAGCCCCAACCCAACTACCCCGGTCCCGCAACCCAATATTATAAGCCCTAAGAAATGGAATTTAATAATAAACTACACATACAGTGCTACACTAGGTTCTGCGGCTTGGATCGGTGTACTTTGTGGGAGGCTCTTTTGTTTCTCTGTTTTGTTATTTGTAAGCTACGTATTAGTAAGCTACTCATCGAATTTAAATTAAAATTGGAATAGTTTTCGATTATCAAATAATGTAAGCATTAATTGAAGAAGTTCTGACGTGGCAAATATTACAAATTTAAAATAATTTCCTTGATATTCGCGTTCTATGATGACTCACTTTTCCGGAAAAACAGATTCCCTCCTAATGACTAATTCTAGAGCGCAGCTAAAAATAAGATGCAATAACAATCCATGCCACGGATGTGCTGTTTCAACTGGAATTTTATTCAGTTTTCTTAGTACTCGACTGCTTTGGAATGGGAACCAGCTCCTGGACAATACCATTGAGCCGATCTGCGAACGCCTGGAAGGAGAACTTTTGCTGCACCCGCTTGTGGCCCTGGTCGCCCATCTTGATGCGCAGCGGTTCGTCCCGGAAGAGCTGGTACATCGCTCCGCCGAAGCTCTTTTCCTGCTTCTCGCACAAAAAGCCAGTCGAGGTGTTGACCACCGTTTCCGTGGGACCGCCGCTGTTCAGAGCCACCACTGGCTTTGAGCAGTACATGCCCTCCAGCGGCACGATGCCGAAGTGCTCGTTCTCAGGCGTGTACAGCAGGACGTGGGCGGCGAAAAGCAGGCGGCACTTCTCCTCGTCCGTGGGAGAACGCAGCAGCACTACGTGATCCTGCAACTTCAGCTCCTCGGCCAGCTGCTCTAGCTCCGCAAAGTGCTCGACGTTCTCCATGCAGCGGGTGTCGTATCCTCCGGCGATGATTAGGCGGCAGCGTTTGAAGTCCATGGCAGGCAGCATGTCACCGAGCAGCCGCAGGGAATGCAGGGCCAAGGCGTGATTTTTCTTCCTTTCGTACCGATTAATGTCCAGGTAAATAAACGCGTTTCGCGGCACTCGCGGGTGCACAGGCTCATCCAATAGGGCGGACCGCTGCTCTAGCTTTTTCTGCATCTGGTCAAAGTATTGGGTGTGCAGCGAGGGGTACAGGACATCCGGCACCGTGCTTAGTCTGCGAAAAGTGTCCTGGAAGACGCGCAGAGTAAACTTTGAGTTTACGAGCACCTTGTCCGCCAGTCCGATGGTATGCTCCTCCAGCCAGTTGATGGGCAGCCGGTAAAGCCTTTTCAGAAGGCCCTCGCGCGCGCTGAGCAGCTGATCGGGAAAGTGGCAGTAGAAGAGGACCCGTGGCCGATGGCGGGCCAGTCGGAGAACAGGAATGCAAACGGAAATAAGGTCGCAGATCACTACGTCCACCTGCTCCCGCTGGGGCATGAAGAAACTGGCGTAGATCGCAGCGTAGATCACGCGCAGGTAGGCGCAAATGGCGTAGAATCTTCCGAACAGTCCGCGTGGCATCCAGTCGCCAACAACTTGGACCGGGAAACTACCGTCTGCAGTCTCCTTGAAGCAGTGCGTGCTGTCATGGTGGTTCGTCAGGAAGCTGACCTGATGACCATGCTCCTTGAGAGCCAGAGCAGCATCCACCACCAGGCGCTCGGCGCCTCCGATACCCAAATCCGGGTGAATGAAAAGGACCCGAACCATGACCTAAACTTACTATCTGCAGTACGTGAATTTAGAAGGGATTAACTAAGAACTAGGATTGTATCCTTATTTAAAGGCGAGGGTCAGAATATTTGCATTCTTTTGCGGACCTTTGTTTTTATTTTTCAACTTTTAAATTCTTTTACTCTTCAGCTGACTTGGTGGAAGTGTGACCGTGGTTCTTAAAGGATTCTAAAAATACCAATTACACCGCAATTTTAACAAAGACTACTGTTTTTTTTTAATGATTATATCAGTCAAATTTATGTATAAAAGCGTAGTTGGAAGGGTATATAAATTATCAATTTCCGATTGGTAACAACTTGGAGAAAACTTTTAAATTTTTTAAGTGCAAGCAAAGTTCTAAGAGACTTTTTTTAAGACTACAAAAACAAAAGTTTTCTTGCAAGTTTTTAAATGAAAGGCACAAGCATTTAGATAATCTAAAGATCTAAACATCCGTAGCACCTGCAGAGCCCAAAACCCTCTTTACAACGCTAGAACTACAGCGCACAGCTGGCAACTCTAGAACACATGTTGACAGCGCCCGCTTTTGGCGTTTTTTAGCCCCAAAACGTAATCGCTCTCGGTCCGTGTTTGCAACGAACGCATTAAATTTTCGTGGAATCCGTGGAATCCGAGTCCGAAATCCCAGCTAGAATTACCATCCAGAAGAGCAGCTAAGACCCACAAACAACCAGCCACATGAGGTCGTCGATGGCAGTTAACCCATAGGCATGCGAGCCGCCTAAAACGCCGCCGTTGCTGTTGTTGTTGTTGCTGTCCAGGCGTCTCTTTACCACCAAATAATAATAGTAAATTAATAATCGTGATTAAAGCCAGAATAAAACGAGCAAATCGAGTGACCGCCGTGTTTGTGCTGTGCGCCCCTTAATTAAGTCAATAGCCGTGTAGCAACGCAGAGAAAAACAACAACAAACACACGGGTGATGCAGGCAAATTGCTGAAAAACACTGAAAGAAAAGCGTGCGACCGACCGACAAGAGAGAAAAGAGCGCGGGCATTCATTCCAATTCCCAAAACAAACATTGCTAACGGTAAAGCTAAAGCTAGAGCCACGTAGCCAAACCGTTGCCAGTTCGCCGCCAAGATGCCTAAAATCCATGTCAAGAAGCCGCTGGCGGGATTGGTCATCCGGAATCGGGCCCACAAGAGCAAGAGTGTCTTCACGGTGAGTGTTTCCACGGATTTTTACTGGGTCTACGGCAATATCGTACAAGTGTATAGGTGGGGGAGCCTTATCTCAAGACCACTGCCATTGAGTGAATCAGCGAACGGCGTGTGCTAGCCGACACTCCACTCCCGCCGCGATTTGGGCATTAGTTTTAGGCGTAATCGAGGTCTATCAAACGTTTCGAGTAATGACTACGCCAGCGCCAAAGTGTTTACTCAGTTGGCAGGGGGATTTTCATAGGAAATTATTGTGGTTTTCGGTTAGACTTGAACTATGTTTATGTTTATAAATACGTTATGATATGGATTTCGTGTATGGAAAGGGTTGACAAGTATCCAGATTTGACAGGTTCATACATTGTGAACAGAACACTAGATATACATTCGATTTGGATAGGCTATATTTAAGATTTATATAAGCTTTATTTTAAACGTGCTGAGTAACTTGCACCCCTTATCAACGTAGGTGTAATTTCAGGTACTTCGTGTTCGGGTTTTAATATTTCGCAATTGTTTTAAGCTCACGGTATGATAAGAAAAGCAATCATCGCACGGAATTTTCAATTAAAATTACATTTCGTGTTGCCAGTGATGGAATAATATAATACTACCATATGTATATTCTCAATTAAATTATGACCTTTATAATCAATTGTTTCCTGTGTAGTTGTGTTTTTTCTGATAAAGTGGGTAATAAATGTGGAACTTTCCCATCACTCATGATTGATATCCACTGTAGAGGATGGAAACTGTACCTTCAGACATCAGGCGATTTCCACGATAATAGCGATAATATCCCGAGGTTTTTCCCCAAATCGGCCGATTGCTTTAAAGCTCTGCACCGAAGTCGAAGTGTAGTAAAGACATAAAACGTGCTTGATAATGCTTGATAATAGGGTTCTCCCTTGGTGACTAGTGCCCATATACTCCACTCCTCTCCGGTTCCATTTGTATTCCCATAATAAGTGTGTCACTGGCGATGTCGTAATCAATTCAACATCGGTGACCCCTCCTTAGCACAGCCAGATGAACCACTTGTAGTTGTGGTAGACTTTCGATTTCGTAGAGAAGCTGTTCCGTGGGTTCTAGACTCTCGCTTTCGCCTCTCGAGCGCTTGAGTGTTTTCGGGTTTCTGTTTTCATTATTATTTTTGGGGGAGCATTGAACTGCCTTTTGTTTACCCATGCTTGCTCTTGCCTTTGCCGCACTAATGATCGTCCATTTGGACGGCAAATCAGTGCGCGTGTAAATATTACATTAGTCGCCACTACTTTCCACCCCCAAACTGCGTTTCTAATGCGGGTTATTTTTGCTGTGAAATTAGGTGCTGCCCAGGTGAGTGCGAGCTCCCATATCCAACCCATTTTGACTTGGTCACGCATATTTAAACCTTGGCTAAAAGATAATTAGCCGCTGCGGGGAAATAGGTATAGACTTAATACTAAGAGTTGCTAGTCAGCCTGCCGCCAGGCCCCCAATTCTATGCAACAGTTTTCGATTTGGTGGAAAGCTCATTACGCCTGCGCCGCGCTCTCATTTCATTTTCCGTTCCCCCATTGGTTTTGCTCTTATTTTTTCTGCGGTCTAATGGCTGTCATACCCACAATTAAGGGTCACGCCACTAGAATTTAATTTCTGGAGTTGTTTTGACCTTGGCTAGCCGGTAATTATTTTATACAGAGCCAACCATTAGACGAAATGCCACCCAAGAGACTTTACAAAAACTAAAGTTTTTACAATTCTCGTACTCCCTGGGGAAACATATTAGACTTATAAGCCCCTCACTAAAATTAATTTTCGATTAATAAACTTAAAAAAAAAACTTAAAAAAACAAACAAAATTATAAAATCTTTTTTTTCAAAAACAATTTTTCCGAGTGCACTAATTACCATTGTCAAGCAATTAGATAATTTCCCTAGAAAAGTTACACTTTTTCGCTTTTCTTTAAACTTTATTGAAAAGTCCCTTTGTGAAATGTTCCCCAAGCAAAGCTTTTGACTGCGAGTATAAAAGAAAAGCGCCTTCATTCATAAAACACTGCGATAAGGCGCAGAAGCGAACAGGTGCCAAAGACAAAAGTGAGTCGACAGAATGAATGGCGGGGAGAGTGCGGAAAGTCCCTGCGAGCGAAAGCTTTCCCTTGGCGCACTCTCTCGGAAAACGCGAAGCCGGGAAAATGTGACATGCAACAACAGCAACAAGGCAAACAAACAAACAATGCCGAAGGTTCCGATGGTAATTGTTATGGGAAATTTTGAGCACGCGAGAAAGCAGGTTTATGGAGCAAATCTGCGACGAAAGTGAAAGAATCGAAAGTAACGCGAGGAAAGGGAATATAGTTCCTGTTAGAGTGGATTCAATCTATAATGCAAATAAAGTATAGTATGGCACTCAAAAAAACATTTAAAGATATAAAAAAAACCACAAAAAGAGTTTCTGCGATACATTGACAATATTAACATAAATTATTTAAATCTGCAAACCTGTGTACATTCCTTAGAATAATTCATGAGCCCGCAGAGAGACATTTTCTGAAAATACCAAAAAGCTTTTCACATCCAAAGCTCTGAGGTCGCGTGTTTGTGAAAAATGCGAGGAAAAACTGCAGGCAATAGAAAATGCTCAAGCAGACGCTTTTCCAGCTGAGTACGGCGCAGCGTGTGGAAAAGCGCACATCGAAGCGCACATTTTGTCGCGCTGTGTACGAAGCTGAAAAATCACTGAACAATTTCCACGCGTTTTCTTTTCGTGTCGACTTTAGTTGTTAATTATCGCTACCATGTGCAATTAAATCAAGCCTTGTATAAACAGAAAAGCCGTTCGTTTCGCCAGGAAAATTCCGTGAAAAGTGTGTTTTTGTGGAAACTCAACGAACCAATTGTGGGAATTTGACAGAGACTGAACTTGAAATGCTTCTCAATTTGCTGACCCACTCAATTCGCTTTTGCTTTAAGCTTTCCACTTCCACCCACGGAAAACTCGGAAAAGTGTCCCGTTACGCAAAACTGAAATTGTTCTCCCACCCATCTTGTTATTCTCGGTTCAATTATGCTTTTGTTCATGAGATCAGACTATATGTATCTATATTTCAATTTTTTGGCGCAGGAAAAACCAAATGTGGCGGAGAATTTTCCCATGCAAACGGAATTTCCTTCAGCCTCTCGTGTTACTGATTTTCTTTGTTCTTTGCCCGCCTGACGCACACAAACGCAAAAGTGGAAATGAAAATGAAAAAGAAAAGGAAAAGAAACGAAAAGCCTCGGCTTTCCTTGGAGAAGGTCACTCAAGCTTTGCGTCCTTTTCGCCCATTTTTCTGATCCTTTTAATTTCTTCCCTTGACCAGTAAGCTCCTGTTTAATGTTCTGAAAATTTCGCATAATTCCGTACGTATTTAGCGCTCGTAAAATGAATTTTTATGGCTGATGGGCTCCTCGAGATTGTCGTTTCATGGGGGCCCATTTAATCTAAGATAGTTCCCCCGCGGTGCAGTCTGATTTGCATTTGCTTAGGTATATATTATATTAAGTACAGCTTGCCGAATAAGCAATCATCCTCCGAAAGAGACATCTCTTTTTATCACATAACCCACGCTTATTTGTCAAACCAAATTTGCTCAGAGTTCAATAAACTTTTTCTCATTTTTTTCTAGGAACACGAAACAAAAAGTCTGCCACGCATAAATTTCCATTCTCATCCTTCCGCAGGTTCGGGATTGAGTCCTGGAGCCATGGCAAATATTTGCTCAGTCAGGGGCTCGAATTCCAATCAATTATGGCGAAACTTCGCCACATGAGTGGCGGCTCAAGTCTTATAAAGCGCCGTTAGATAACACACTGCCATCCATAAATTATATCCCCGATTCCTAGGCTTTGTTTGGCCCTTCTGAGAAGTCTTTTGTCGGAGTTGGGGCTTTTGTCTATGAAGGCATGCCGCAGTGGACAAAGTGTCAACTGCCGCACTTTACAATCTGCCGCAAATCTGAATATGCGAGTATTCCCTAGTAAATAAAAGGTTTGCCTCAACCTTTTTCATATAGCTTTTATTAAAGAAATAAAAGGAGGCGATTTCCTACAATCGTATAAAATTTAAAAAGCTTTCGAGATTAAAACACTCGGTTAATAGAAATTATATTTTGTACAAATACTTGGCTTAAGCCTAAATTTGACTTTTTTTTTTTAAAATACTAGTTCCTAATGTACTAAGGAAAAGGAATTATCTAAGTAGTCACATTCGTTTTCGGCTGCGGCGCTTTGGCCAAGTGCCAAGCCTCCGGGAAATCGCTTCCGTTGTCTCCTTATGCAAATTAACTGCACGACTTCCGCTGATGATGCAGTCCTGCCGTGTTGCAGTTTTATTCAGTCCTTTTGCGGCTGTTGCCTCTTCTTCGGGCGGCCTGTTGTGTCAACACTTTTTGGGCAACAGTTCAAGAATCATAAATTTATTAAAATTGCTTGTGTTCCGTGTTTGCAGTCCGCCGTGCTTGGTGCGGCATGCAAGGTCAGCCGGGTGCTCGGAATCGCATTTAGATTCGGATCGAATTGGCTTTCGGCTGGCTTGGGCCTGGGCTTGGGTGGCAAGTGCTCCGCCTCCCCCTGCCCCTCCGTTCGGTTCGCTTGGGTGCATCATCGCCGCTAATCAATAAGGGACGCCATTCACTTTGGCTTGCCCTTTTTCGCCCGATTCACTGGGGCCTGATGAAATCCCAGGCCATTGCAATTGGCCGTTTTTGGCTGGCATGGCTTTGATTCCATGCTTTTGCTGAATGGCCGACACTGCAATTTCAATTATCTCACTGCCGGAATCTGTGTGAACTGGCCAGCAAAATCAATAGAGGGTACACACATAAATCATGTGCTCTGCTGCGGACAGGCTGTGGTGTCCTGCGTCCATTTTAATTGCGGAGCCCTAAACTTGTTCAACTAGAAGCCCACTTTTCCTACAAGTAAAACACTTTTCGGTATGTGTTTCAGTCTATATTTCCTTTGTTTATGTTAATAACTTATTACTTTATAAAAGAGCTTACTTTCCTAATAGTTTGCGGTGGCCGATCGATAAAATTGATTATTTTCACCAATCAGGGGGTAGTAGATGCCCCATTCCCAAGCAGAAAGGCGGTGCGCTCCAACTCATCTTGGGCCCATCCTTCTGGGGGCCCAAACCAATTTAGTCGCTGCAGCCGTCGCAGCTTGACACTTTCTGGCCACGTTGTTGACAAACTATTTTTAATATTGAAAGGCGGCAGGCAGCGTTTCCCCACGGGTCGGTGTGTGTGTGTGCTTGTAGGCTAATGTGAGTGAGCACATTACGTATACGTATACGAGTAATACGTATCCGCAGCGTTGCACGCGCTGCAGGCTCTGAATTGAATTTCAACAGCATCTGCTTCGGCAGCGTCTCTCTCTCCCCCTCTCTCTCTCTCACCCCTCTCTCGCTCTCCCCCCTCTCTCTCTCCCCCTGTTGCTTGTGTTTTAGTTGCCTCTGCTCTTGCACTCACATGACCTTGGGGCCGGGAATGCTCTCCATTAGCCAGCAGTCGTCAGAAAGTCCGTTTTTCATGTGGGCTGACATTTGGCATCAAGCATGGCGGAAGATGAAAGGCATCGTTGGTGGACGGAAGGCCCCACATGCCCATTTTAGTTTCACTTTGAAGCTGCAGGAATTATAAACAGTTCTGTTCAGTTTGTTGGTGGAAAAAATGGGAAACCCTTTAAGACTCCAGTAAATATTTAAAAGAATAAGAGTTTTCTGTTTAAATTGCTATAAAATAAAAGATTAATTTGGAAAAAGTTTTTGACTTTTTTGTAGATTTTCTTTCCATCAAGAAGTCGATTTAATTAATCTCTGAAACAATAACCCGGGAAACAAAAAGTTACGTTTAATCCGGCGCGTTTCGGCTGCTTTCCTCTGCCAAAAGCGTCGCTGATGGATTTGTGTGCCGTCAGGCTTGCTGGAGTATTTTTAATTAAAATTGCGACAGTCTTTTCCGTCAGGGTTCCCAGCTTAAGGTTCGGAACACCTGCCTGCCACCCACGCGCGATTATCTTTGACTTTTGGGGAGGGGAAGAGGGGAGCAGGACATTCCGCTGGAGGCAAACTTCTGCGTTGTTAGCTCGTCCTTGCTGCCTTGGGCTTTGGCCTACTTTTCAATAAGCCACAACAATGGAGTTGCCAGTTATTGGCCATTGTCTGGTGTTCTTGGTCTCATTGCGAAACCCAAATCGAAATCAAGAGCGCCACGTGCGCCAAACTTCCGCAGAGGACGGAGCTAACATTTTCCACACATACAAAATACAAAATTTACATAAACATTCTAGATTCGAAAAGTATTTTAACCCCTTAAACAAATTTCAGGTTCTGCTCATTCTTATTTCATTTTTACAGAACCGATAGAATACATAATAATAACTACTTACAGCCATATTTACATTTAATGTAAATTTATACTATAATTTTTTCTCCCTGTAGGGTTAAATGCATTTTAATGGAGTTTGGAGTGGGCCACGAATTTCGCTGATATGCGAATATTTCAGTGGCCCCCAACTTGACCTTCGCAGCCTTTTCTCTATTTAAACTTTTGCGTGTCCTTTAGCCACCCCGTCATATGGAATTTTCCTCCTACCGATTTCCCATGACCGGCAAGATTAATTAGCAAAGAAAAATTTCAAAACGAAACAGTCGTACATTTGAGGGCACGTAACACTCGTCAGTCGTTAGCTCACATCCCATTTTAGCCGGCTTTTCAATTTGGCAGTGCCCAGCCCACCGACTAACTATCCGCTAGTCTCTTTTTGTGACATTAATGAAAGGAAAACATGGAAATGTATTTCCCAGCTTGTCTCTTGCCAAATCGTTACGCCATCGTGGACTTGTTGTGTGTTTTTCATTTGTTTTTTGCTGTGCCCCAAAACGGATGCCTGTCCATCCATCCATTTGGTGCTTTTCCTTTGGCCGGTCCCTCCCCTCCCCGTTTTCCGCATCCTTTGCCGCTCCTGCCAAGGTCGTTCCTAATGCCTTTTGATGCGACACATGCAGCCATGTGAATGGGATCCAACACATCAGTACCTCAGTGGGCTGCAGCCCTGCCTCGGGTTCTCTGAATGATTGACTTGGCAGCTGCCGTTTCCTGCTCGGCTAAACAGGCTGTCCCCGCAGCAACAGGATCGCTTTCCCCGTCCAGGTTGTCGCTCTGTCCTGGCTGGGAAATGGCATTTACTCCGCCAGTTCTGCGTTCTCTCTTTGGTCTGCACTTGACCCGATTGTATGGCGGTCAAGTCACTGTGATTGGGTCAGTTTAAATGAGTTTTATCTCGCTAGTTCCACGCACAGCGATCTTCTGCCAGCGGAGGTTTATGCGCGTTAAGTTTTGCGAACTAGTTTCCCAAGTTATTACCATAACTTACAGACTCTTATTGCTTTTCATATTTAAACCCATAACCCTTTGCAAACGACTTATGGCTTTAAGATAAATGAAGTTCAACAGTTTTAAAAAGTTTTAACAATTCTTTATTGCATCATTATTTCTTTAATCATGATTTGCAACCAAGTCGATACAATTTTAATTTAGTATAATAAATGCTAAAAATTCGCAATATTTTTAATTTCTTACTTCTTATTATTAAAAGTTTGAAGGGTGTTTTAATAGATTTTATCTTCTTTGGTTGCTTCCTCACATGTTATTATATTTACTTGCTTTATAGCTAGTGTCTCGAGAACAAGAGCACATTTTCGGCCCTATCCTATGGAATTTTGTTGGGTCGACAAAAGTAGTCACAGCATAATTGCCGAGCCTAAGATAACAATCAAATCCGAGCGGTCGGACCGCAAAAACATTTCCATTCTACCGGAGACCGCTGCTCATTTGCCTTTAGCGAGAAACTTTCATCATCGTTGTCAAGCTCATCCATTTGATATGTGCGACAATTACTTTTGGGCTTTTTTATGGCTCCCCGAGGCACCATGGAGACTCTGCTACGTGAGGGGTTTGTTGTTTGGCGGTGGTTAATAGAATCGCCAATTTAGCGAACATCCGAAACTTTTTAGATCGGTAGATAATGGCCATAAATGCGTGTGCGTTAAACTTGTTCGGAGTCTTCTTTCTGATACCCTCGCTATGTATACATCAATATATTTATGAAAGGTGCTTATTAAACTCTTTTTACCATAAAAGTAATTCAAGTTGTTTATATTAGTTCTTATGTCCCTTCTAACTGGACACTAATGGGTACTATGCCGTCGCAACTCTCTGCTTAGCCTTCAATTTCCGACTGTTGTTCTCTATCGGGAGTGTTTACTTTCGTGGCTCTTTCTAAATAAGCCCCACAGCCGGTGGACATGTGTTTCTCTCGACTTTTGGCGCTCTGCGGAGCTTCCGCTCGCTGGAGAACTAGAAAACTCGAGAACTGGAAAACTAGGGAACTGGCGGACTGGCGAGCTGGAGAACCGAGTGCTCGACCGATCCACTTAGTGAGTCGCGCACATCGGAACACAGCAGACGTCGCTGGCTTTTTGGGGAAAACGATCGAGATATCGACAGCGTCGACAGAGTTGGAGATGTATTCAATTCACATTATTGTCAAAATTCCAAGTGACTTTTTTTCGTGTGCTCTTTTAATTAAAATTTCATCGATCGCTTTCCGCGCACGGAGTGAGAATCGCAGTGAACTGACGTAGAACCGGGGATCCGAAAGTCGGCGGCGGGTATGTGTGTTTGCTCCCCGATTCGCAGACCGGAAAAACTATTAGAAAACGTTCCCCTTCTGACATTGCCGGGAAATTGCTGTGAATCGCCGAGCAGCCCCGATTTTCAACCTGATTTTCCGTTCACTTCACTTTGAAGTGCTTCGATTTAAATTGCTTCGTTTGCCGGTTTGCTAATGTTGATCGATCTATTTTCAAGCCGTTTTAAGCTTGTGGCTGCGATTTACACCTGGGTGCTAAAATCGCCACAAAGCAATGGCATTAAGTGCGGGGTCAAATTGGCTTTTAGCGCGATCTCTGCTTTTCTGGGCCAAGCCCAGATCGGGCTGAGAGCATACTTTGCGGCGTCTTTAAGGATCAGAAGTAGTATCTCTCACAGTTTAAAATTTAATTCTTTTACTAAAGATGAAGCTCGGAAGAGTTGTCGTTTGAGTCGCATTCATACTCCAATAATTAAGACGTTCATTAGACAAAGCAATCAAATTTGTATCGATTAACAAGACTGTTTTATAGACGTGTGTTGGGTATTTGATTCCCCCATTGTGAGGTTCTATACTCTGTAGATAGGGGTTCTCTTTACGGGTTCCTCCCCGGTGGACAGCTGAAAGCAAATCGTGCGTTTCGCGAGAATCCGAATGAGTAAACGGCAATCGGTTGGCCACTTTAATAGCAGCTAGAAAAGTGCCTCAAGCTGAAGAGCAGAAGCGGAAACATCGTGTTTAGGCCAAACAAATGATAAGATAAGGCTCGCTTCGATCGCAGCAGAACGCAGAACCGAGGAGACAAGCAGCTCGCATCCCCAGGAACACGAGGAGCAGGAACAAGGAGCACTCAGCGCACATGATCGGGGACCCGCGGCAATGGAAATTAGTGTGAGCCCGGAGCCCGGAACAGCATCAGTAACCAAGAGGGAGACACGCAGCTAGAGAGCACGAGACCAGCAGCCCAGGAGCCATGCGCAGCGGGCGGAACTACGTCCAGCGGCCGGGCGAGAGTAGCTTCGAGCTGGAGGAGCCGGAGGACTCCGAGCAGGAGTCGCGTAGCTCGGCCAAGGGGGAGCCCGCGGCGGAGGAGGAGCGGCAGGAGGAGCTGCAGGAGCAGACGGACACCTTGAGTACCCGCAGCAGCAGCTCCACCCCGACGACAGCCGACGTGGCCGATGTGGAGACCATCAGCTCCCTGCCCCTCTCTCCTCCCGCCTTCGGCGGCCGAGGCAGCCAGCTGGTGAAGCGCCACTGCCCCTCGAAGGACCAGCAGCAGCAGGCGGACAGCGGCTCCAGCTCCAGCTCCAGCTCGAGTTCCAGCTCCAGCTCCAGCCAGCAGCCGGATCTGGACGACGTGCCCACGGTAAGTGGGCGCGATCCGCGGCGCAACGCCTCCCCCTCATCCACTTCATCCTCCTCCTCTTCCACGACCCCGCAGACATCGCGGTACGCAGCAGCGGCGGCCCATCCCAGTGCCGCCTTCGCGGAGACGGCGGCCACCTCGTCCTCCGGATCGGGCAGGGCGTGCGGCGGGAACGGCGGAGCCGCCCACAGGCGCACCCACTCGGCCGCCTCCTACATCTCGATGCGGTCGCAGGGCGGCAACTCGGAGGCGCCCCCGGAGCGGCCCAAGCGGAACCGCTTCTTCGAGTGGCTCAGAGTGCTCTGCAACATCTGCTGCTGCAAGGTATTTCCTATAACAGTTGGGGGGTTATTACTTCTTGATACTTTCTAAAACTATTCGAAAGCTTAATGTCTTGAATTATGTGGGAGTAAGTTGCAATTTACTAATTAGCAATTACTAAAAATATGGTTAATCAGGGAGGGTTTTACTTTTATTCGCATAAAAGATCGAGGAAAATGTTGAAAGCTTCAACGTTATGTACTTAATAAGATAACTTATCTGTCGTTTAGATATGGTCTGATATAAATGTCAGTTTGCATGGAAAAGGTAGCTCTTATTGTTGAGATAAACCATTATCTTCGACCTTGTAACATTAAATATGAAATTATTCTTGTTACGGAAACCTATGTGTTTATGTAACAGAAAGCACACTGGAAAATAGTTGTAACCTAATTTAGGAAAATACTGCATTTAAAAGTATCATTTTTGGTTACTGTTAAGAAAACAATTCTTGCTTGTAATTGTAAGTTAGAATCAATAAGAAGGTTATAAACTATCTTTTTTAGTTGAAAGGTTGATCTGTATGCTAACTAAATATGTCTCATTACGGCTTTACAAAGACTTCTAGCTAATTAAATGTAGTAAAAACTAATTGAATGGGAGTCATTAGCTGTCGCTTTTTAGCCCAGCTAAAAACATGTTGCTATTACTTAATAAATTTTAGCTTCGGTAATTAATCTTAGTGAAATGCCTTTTGTCCACTTTTGACTCCCTAGAACAGATACTTAAAAGTAGTTAGCATTTCTCATATTTGAACGCTTTATGATCAGAATGAGGGCTTTTTGATCCGGGTTTCTTTTTTATTTATTGGTGCGCGACAAAACAAATCAGAATACAACGCCCGATGCCTCGGGTGACATTGGGGCAGTTAACGAGCGCAAACAATTTCGCATTTAGTACAATTTATTTCGAGCAGACTCCGGAGTCAAATGTTTGCAAATAAAACAACAGTCGCCAATTGGCTTCCATTCCGTTGGGGCCTCAAAGGGTTAACGTGGCAGCCTTACAACTGGTTGCGATGACGCACTCCATGGGTGCGTCGCCTCGGTGCATCCTGCAATTATGCCAATTGGCTACTGCTCTTTACTTAGCTGATATCTATCTATCTAATTATATGTCTAACATTACTAATGAGCCATCCATTCCACCCCATTTTTCCCCAGAGTTCCGGAATCGGGGAGCCGAGTGTTCATCATGCGCTGGTTGTGATATTTCTAGAGTTCTTCGCCTGGGGCCTGCTGACGATGCCCATAATATCGGTGAGTACTGGATGATACTGCATGGGTTCTCCAGACCTTTATCCTTTACCCTTTCTCTATTCTCCGTTCACCTCGCAGACCCTCAACCAGACGTTCCCGGACCACACATTCCTCATGAACGGCCTGGTCATGGGCATCAAGGGCATACTGTCCTTCCTGTCGGCGCCGCTGATCGGCGCCCTTTCGGACATCTGGGGCCGGAAGTTCTTCCTATTAGTCACAGTATTCTTCACCTGCCTGCCCATACCGCTGATGTCCATCAACACGTGGTGGTTCTTTGCCATGATCTCAATAAGCGGCGCCTTCGCCGTCACCTTCTCGGTGGTGTTCGCCTACGTGGCGGACGTCACCACGCCGGAGGAGCGCTCCAAGGCCTACGGCCTCGCCTCGGCCACATTCGCCGCCAGCCTGGTCATCTCGCCGGCCCTGGGCAACGCCCTGATGGAGATGTACGGCGACACGCTAGTCGTGGCCCTCTCCACGGCCATTGCGCTGCTGGACGTCTTCTTCATTCTGGTCGCGGTGCCCGAGAGTCTGTCAGAGAAGATGCGGCCCGCCTCCTGGGGCGCGCCCATCAGCTGGGAGCAGGCGGACCCCTTTCTGGTGAGGATCTCATTGGAACCTCTCACCTCCTAGAGCTTTTTCTAACATTCATCTTGTGTGTCTAGGCTCTGCGCAAAGTGGGCACCGACAAGACCGTGCTGATGCTCTGCCTCACCGTGCTGCTTTCCTATCTGCCGGAGGCCGGCGAGTACTCCTGCATGTTCGTCTACCTAAAGCTCAAGATGGGCTTCAACTACGTGGAGGTGTCCATCTTCATAGCCATAGTCGGCATCCTCAGCATCACGGTGCAAGTGACCCTCGGCTCCTTCATGCAGTGAGTTTGCACTTCTCGTACTTTCAATGTACCAAGATATCTAATTAAGCTTAAATCCTTTAGGGTTTTCGGGGCCAAGCGCACGATCATTATGGGCCTAGCCCTGGAAATCGTGCAGCTCCTGTGGTACGGCTTTGGCAGTCAAAAGTGGTAAGTGATCTGTGCTTACTCCTGAGATTGATTGAGTATATCTAATCCAACTTGCTCTCTCATCTTAAGGATGATGTGGTCGGCTGGCGTGGTGGCTGCCCTGGGCTCCATCACGTACCCCGCCATCAGCGCCTTCGTTTCCCTCTACGCGTCCCCCGAGAGTCAAGGTGAGTGTGGAACACTTTAAAGTTGAACCTCTGCTAATTGAGTAATTGTGTTCCACAGGCGCTGTGCAGGGCATGATCACGGGCATGCGGGGCCTGTGCAACGGGCTCGGGCCGGCGGTGTTCGGCGTCGTCTTCTACCTGTTCAACGTGGACCTGAACGACGACCACGACGCGCACGCGAAGAACAGCGGCAGCCGGGCGACGAACGTGGAGAAGATCTCGCAGCACGTGCCGGGGCCGCCGTTCGTGTTCGGCGCCCTGTGCGTCTTCTGTGCCATAATAGTGGCGGCGTTCATTCCGGAGGGCCAGACCTCCACCCTGGAAAAGAAACGTAAGCGCGCAGAGTCCGGCTGCTGTCATTACTCCCCATCCATAACCCAATCACCATCACTGACCTTCATCCCAGGGCAAGATGCGCCGGTTGCGACCAAGTCATGAATAAATTCCCAGTTCAGTGCAATCACCCCTGACCCGTTTCGTTCCGATCTTTCGCAGGTGCCTCGCTCGACGTGCAGTACGAGATCGAGACGGGCCACAAGGCGCCCAGCTCCCTGGCGCCGCTCATCCGCTCCGATTCGCTGGCGCAGCTGTAGTGCGCTCCTCCGCCGGCGTCCCGGCCACGCAACTGGAACCAGCTGCTGGTGGCCATCGATACGTTTAAGCAGTGCTAGGGCGTTAAGGATTTTGTAACTGTAACAAATGCTGTAACTAGTTTGGCTTTAGTTTCCGGAGTCTATTAGGTGCATAATAATCGTATATACACATAGCGCAGATGCAGATCAGGCCTTGAAGATGATAATGTTATTGTTTGCATGGCTAGGCCTTCTTACTAAGTTTCTTTCCGTTAAGGGAGAGCACCACCACCACGAACCACCTCAGCCCAATTACGTTTCGTAACTAACTAATTTATTATCGCCTAAGTAACGTAGTCACACATTGGATTTGCCCGCGTGCTTGCCCATTTCTCCTTTCTTTGCGACTGTCGGTTCTCTTCGGGTTGGGATTACATCACAGCAGACAGACAGCCGGACAGCCAGACAGCCAGACAGGCGTTTAGGCTGAACACGTTTTGCAAGAACAACAAAATAACTGCCAAATAAAAAACAAAGTAAGTGTAATTCGCGATCTTTCAGCACAGCACAACACGCGGAGTTCGGAAACGTCGGAGTTCTGAACATCGCTCGGTCGATCGCATTTCTAGTTGGGCTTGACGCACTCTTCTGTTCCTTGCCCCAAAGCCGTTTCGTTGCAGCCAGTACAGCCAGACGAGGAAAATCCAAATAAACTGAATACTAAGCTTTACTTTGAAAATTGTAGTGATTTAAAGTCTAAACTCTAAACCAGAATTGAGAACTATAAAGAATCGGGTCACAAAACCACGAGGTACGAGTATATACAAAATAAATGTGTATATATAGAGAGACGCATGTATGGATACTGACACAAATCGTAATGTTTTTAATTTAGCTAAATGCAAGTTAGCGCCTCCGATCATGTGCAACGCTGTAGTTATTATTTTGATAAAGATAAAGATAAAGATAGAGCAGAATTATGCAGAGCCTTCAACAAAGTCAATGCTTGAAAGTACATATAAAGAAAGGGAGCATGTGTATGTATAGTACTATAGGTATCAAAGTTATATTTTTCGAAGTTGCTACAACAGTGTAAAGTTCCCCACTCGCTCCTCCCACGAAAAAAGAAAAAATGCAGACGTAGCACGTACATACACATCCACCCGTGTGAGCGGAGGCACAGTCAATGGAGCAGAGACCCCCAATCGGAAACCGGGGGCCGCGACAGACAGTATACAAGAAAACTGATCCCAAATTTCGATTGTAAATTATTTAACGTGTAATTTAGTGTTTTAAACGAAACCAAAATAAACAAAATTGTTTAATGAAACGCTAGTACAATGAACTCACGACTCCTTTATCACAAAGCGGTGCGAGTAAGTAATAAAGCAAGTTTGGAATGGTTATAAGTTTTCTATTGGACTTTATAAATGTCTTCAAAAAAATAAAGCATTTCCCATTTTCTTTCCTAAATTTAAAATTCAAACGGTTTAACGGTTTACTAAAGCAGACTTTCAGGGGTGGATCTTATGCGGCCTTAATCTAGTATCTTTTAATTTTTGAAGTGGTATTTTTTCGCGCATTCTTCTGAGCCGCGATGGCATGTTTCCTCGCTCAGCACACGGTCACACTGGGCCAGAACTCTTTCAAATGTGAAGTTTTTTCGATCGGATAAAATAGAAACAGAAAAGGTGAATATCCGGGGCGGATCTAGTCTGAATGGAGCGTGCGTTCGCGTGACTGAAATTCGATTGGCCACGCCTACTTGTCCGGGAAAAAGTGAAAATCAAGTGAAAATCCCAGCAAATGCCAGGTGAAACTGGGCTGAAGGCAAACAAAGAGCAAAAAGAGCAGAATGTTTCGAAAGGGCGGTGCAGTGCAGTGATACATACAAATAGAGCCACATAAAACATATCTGTGCGCGTTCGCTTGAAAATCGGTTGTGAACCCTTTAGCGGATTAACAAATTCCCATGTTTCCCATGGACTCTACTTCGGAAAACTCCAATTAGGCCAAAAGGGCCACTGGAAGCTGGAAAACTGAGAAAACCTCGCTGTGGCAGCGACCTGAATTCGAAATTATTTTTTTTTGTTTCCCTAGAGCATTTTTCCATCGGTTTTGATTTATATGTTAACGTTATCTCAAGTTTGACTTCAATTTTACACGGAATCACACAAAAAACCTTAGATTTTAAACACAAACATCATAAATCGGTCGAACTGCATCTCTTGAGTTTTGAGCACTCTTAGCTCTCTAAATTGGTTGTTTTTGTTGTTCTTGTTACGGCGACTTTACGGAGGAACCCACCATCTGTATCTTCATTGTAGCATTGTAGCATCTGGGGATCCGAAACCATCTGGAATTGTGACCGATCCAGCGATCCTACGATCCTACGGCTAATTGGATTTGGACACATCGCATCATCTTTCACGAAACCGAGTCCGAAAGCCAGCTTAATTGGCTTAGGCGGCGGTTGTCGATGTTGGTGAGTGTCTCATTTATTCTGTTTATTCCAATTTACCCAACCGAGTTATTCAATTTGCGGCGTCGAATTAGTCGGAACAGTTTATAGTGGCCCTTCCTGCCTCGAGTTATGATATACCCATCCATATCGGCGAGAATTCCCACCTGGCTGTGTGCATAATTAATGTGCGGTGCTGCACTAATTGCTCCACACCAACAAAATACTCAAAAAAGGAACACCCGCAGATATGTACACGCACACACACACAGCATACTATACATCCCTGACCTGAGATACAGATGCGTGTGGTGGAAACGACACCCAGCCGAGTGAAATCCGTGTATTTATAGTCTCGGGTCCGTTCTATGAGTTCCCAGTCATTTACAGAATTCGGAAGCAAACTCAAAATTAAATCGCAGCATACATATTTGTTCTGCCTGAATAAGCAAGTTTCATGGCACATTAAACGAACGTTTTTGATAAGGCCTAAACCTGAACTTAAGCAAAGATATGCTAACTTTAAACTGAAGTGTTTTGCAGAAAAAACTTATTCTCTGACGCTATTCACTTATTTCTTAGGAAAACTACATAAAAATAGAGTTAGCCAATATAAAAAAGTAGAGATAACCATAAGATTTTAGCCCAGAGCTCAGAGTGATTAATCAAATACTGTAGAACCAAATGGAAAACTTATGACGCCAACCGGTCGGGTCTATCTCGTGTCTGCTCTTATAATCCGAGTGCAAACCGAAAATAGACCCAAGATTATTCAAGGTTTGCAATCTGATAAGCAATTGGATAACCAGGCAAGAGATTCATTTAGCAAATAGCTGACTCAACGTCAGAGAATCAGATGATATAACCCGTCATTGGGCACGTACCCTGCATTTCTGTCAGTGTACTTGGCTTCCGTTTCTTCGTTTAACTGAAGCGAACTACTTCTCGATCGTCCCCACCCTTTTTTGGTTTCTGTTCATTTCCGCCCCTTTTCTCCATCTGCATTACCCGACTTCCTTTGTTTGGATTCGTTCAGTTTTCATCTAAAGAAGTTTACTTTGTATCTGCCTGTGTGATTAGCCCATTTTTCTGCGGTTTTATATCGGAGTGTGAGTCACGAGAAACGAGTTTTTGCTTTGGCACGACTTCGCTCCATCGGCAGGGCAACCTGTTCTTCTGTTTGCGCTGTCTTTCGCCTCGAACCTCCGTCCATGGACTTCTCCGCCGGCTGTTCCCAATTCGATGTAGATGTCTCTTGGCGGAGGCGGCTTCAAATTAAATGATGTGCTGCGAGGAGAGTGCTCTCAATTCAATCAGTCTTAAAATTAGTTGCAGCTCGCTCGGGAAGAAGTTGCTATTCATAAACTGATTAATCTCACACATTCCACTTCATATTTAAAAGTTCATTTTTGGGTCATTGCTGCCTTTGTCATCGTTCTTATCTCTGATTTTTCTCAGCTTTAAAAATGAATTTTGTATTCCGAAATGGATTTCATAATGCATACAGTTCAACTAAGAACATGTTGAAGTAACTAGCCTAAACTAGTTTCATAATACATACATACTTGAGTTCTTAAATTTAAAAATGATTTAAAATGATTAGCATTACTTATTTCTTCCGCTATTAATCCGAATAAATACTAAACATTTTTTACATTCTTGTGAATTCTTTAAAATATATTCCCTGCTCAGCAGTTTTGCTTTACGACTGGCATTGATTGTGACTCGTTATAGATGGGGGAAATTGTTTTTATTAATTCAACCTTCAGTGTGTATTTAATTCTTTTGTTTATACAAGCCACAAGAAACCGGCGCTCAGGTACAGTCATTAAGTTTATCGTGTTCGGACTCAACTTTTTGCTTTTGCTGACTTAGCCGCCAGCAGATTTTAAAGTACCTTGCACTTGGCGTTTCCGCAGATACAGTGCCCACTCGTTCTATGCTCCGTGCCGGTGACCCAATACGGGTATCGCCAAATAAGTTTGCTTAACTTTGCCAACTTTCTCTTGTTGGCGCACAGAAAACCAGTTGGATTCAATCAGCTGGGGTGGAACAGGCGAGACCCCTTCGACGTCAATAGATGGATTGTTGCCTTTATTGCAAGCCTCGACTTGCCTTACCTAAAAGGGAAACTTTATTACGATACCAGATATTCGCCGACGACAATGGCTATATTGTATGTATGTGCAACAGCTCGCTGGAGCATCTGAATAATCTAGTTTATTTTGATTCATTCTGCGACGGCGTTTGTTCTGCAAATTAGCAGATTGTGAAACCCGCTTTTCTGGACTTGTGTACTTTACGACCCTGATTTTACTGTTGTTAGCAAATAGAGAGTTAGCATTTTATTAGCAAATAACTGCAGTTAAGGAATTATATTTTGCTTCAAATCATCTTGTGTTTGCAAATTAACATATTGGAAATCCCACTTTCCGGGAATTCTGTACTTTTTATGGGCTGATTATTATTATTACGCTGCCTCATTTTCGTAAATAAGAATTTTATTAGGCATACCGCCGCACATTAAGGCCGCAATTCTTAAACATCCATTTGATTTATTTGTTTACCTGGTGCATGCCACAGAAAAATATTCGGCCCCTGGAAAATTTGTGTTTTTTATTTATTGAATTTGGAAAAGTTTACAATTAGTGTGAAATAGAATGAGAATGTTATTTACCATTTCCGTGGAAACAATCCCCCATTGTTTTGAAATCTTAACTCTGTGAAATTGTGAACTCTAACCGGAATTAAGGGCACTTTGCGTGTGGCCTTGCCGAGCCTTTGCCTGTTCCGCCCACTGTTCGGGGAGTGCAGCGTCCTGCAGCCTCCGACTGCGCATGTCCTGGCCTGCTTGGATGGTGCTGATGTCCTCCGAAAAGCCGAGCCTGCAAATTGTTTTGTTTTCTCGAATTACTGAGGAGACGCGACCTCTGGCTAAGCTTTTGATTCAGCCAGTATTTGCGATGCTTGCGATGTGCGTGCCTTTTCAAGTCGGTTTTCGATGGGCAAAAAGCAAACTTGGGGCGAGAGAGAATCCACTCGACTCGCAGCCCGCAGCAACCGCGTGTCAAGGCCGTTCAGAGGCTGCTCCTCCAAGGGTGTAGAGAATTTTCTGCACAGCAGCAGCATCGGGCCACAAATGGAGCATCGTTTTTCCAGCGCCTTTAGTTTGCTCCCAACCAGACAACGCTGCGTATACGCAATCGACACCGAGCAAACGCTTGCTTTTTGTTTGGACAGGCATTAAGGCCCTGTCAGCAGGTGCAGTCCGCAGAAAACGTCTATTTTTACACGCTATTTTGCCATCAAGACGCCTGGTAATCCAGCCCTTTCCGGAAAGTAAGCATGGAAAAAGAGGGGCAACCTCGAGATAAGCGGTCGGCATTGCAGTGCTCCGAGTGTTGTGTGTGTGTGTGTGAATGTGTGTGGTGTTGCGACACATTCGAGGCGACAAGGGGCCAGGGCTAGGCTATAAAGCATAATGCCATGGAAATCCGACGAGTTGAGGGGCAGACCCTTGGCGCTTCTCGGCCCTTGCTTCTTCGCCTGTCCACTCGCCCACAAAGTTCAATAAACTTTTCGATTTCTTTGTTTCTATGCCCGCTTGTTGTGCAAAGACAGTCGATGAGCAGCGATGTAGCTGCTGCTGCTTGTTGCTCGCCTCGCTGGCCATAAATTTACAGTTGCCACTGGCGGGTATCAAATGAGCACACTCATTCCTTCGATCTCCCCGTGGAAATGCGACCAGTGACTGTAGTGAGTAGGCAGGGCACTCGGGCAAACCCACTCTTTTGTGTCAGCGATTCTCGGGAAGACGTCCGTCGTCTGGGATTTCTCAAATGCTGCAAATGTCTCTTAATCAACTGAAATTACAAAGCATGTGTCATTGTGCCCTTGTTATGAATTTATTTAAATTTAATGCGGAGTGAAATTAATTTTTAATTTTCTTGGATGTATTACAAGGGTGCAAGGGAAAAACGAACAACAATGTGATTTTTCCACAAACTGATTGTGTGTTTCTATGCCAATTATCTGATTGATATGGGAAAAACAATGTAATTAGTTTCAATATAAATACGTGGTTTACTTTATGTGTATATACTGGTTAAGAATCGTTTTGTTGACAGCAAATATTGATTTATTTGAGTGTTTGACAGAAAAAAAACATCCATTTAGTTTTTTATTTATTTTATTGGTACAATGCATTGCCACTCGATTTCACATCGATAGGAACAGACTACAGAACTCCTTATCTGATAATTTTAGACAAGCACACGACCTGTTTGCATAGGCCCAGTATTTCTCACACATTTATGTATATTTGATAGGTAGGTATAATATATATATGTATCTATGTTCTTAGCACTTGTGCGACATAAGAACCCTTCGCAGAAGTGTGCTTTTTGCCGGCACCGTGTTCATGCCTCGATGGCGCAGTTGGCAGCGCGTAAGTCTCATAATCTTAAGGTCGTGAGTTCGAGCCTCACTCGGGGCATGTACTTTTTGTATTGTTTTTATTTCTACAATGTGTCGGTTTTTTGCTCGCCATTTGCATTAGCTCTGCTATTTTGAGTACTGGTCTAAGCTAGTCATTTCATATTTGGGCAATTATGCAAGGGCGGCACGCGCACGCAATGTTTTGCGGCAAGGTTGGTGACTCATGATCCCGGCAAGTGCATTCAACCGACGCCAAAGGGACTTTCACCTCCTCGCCAGAGAGATAACACCTGAAAGCCACTGGGCAATGTGCCAAAGTGGAAGCTCGGTCCTTTGCATCGCCAGTGGATTGCATTCTCGGGCGGCTAGAGCCTCAACCCATTGTCATCTCCTCGGCTTTTATTGACCTTAATTGATGTCAAGTGGATGTTAGAGTGCCTCTGGGTGTGTGTCTGAGTCCGCAGTGCGATGTGCGGTGTGCGGTGTTCGGTGTGGAACCAATCCTACTCTGCGCCCTGGATGATATGATTATGCCCCATTTGGATGGACACACCGAGAAGCGAATGTATATTTTATTGCCTCGCCACGCATTTATTATTGGTCGAGGACATGCCACCGAAGCATTAGGGAGTGGGCTCTGACCCCGAACCAGCCCTTCCATTCTCATTTGCAAACTGAGGGAGTTGAGATTAGAGATTAGTTTTAATAGCAGTTTGTGGGGGAGATAGCCCCTTGAGATAGCCGCCAAGAAAGCTATCTTCTTAAATGGTATATTTTGCCCATCTCCCATTCCAGGCCACTGACGTGTGAAATGGGTGTGGGCTACTACACTGAAGAGAACAACATCAAGAGCAGCGGCTCAGCGCGTCAGTGAGTTGAAAGAGGCTTCTCCCGAACCGAGGACCTCGAACAGCACAAGATGAATCCAGTGGCGGGCACAGTGGAGCCTCTGGCCACGGCCAAGCCGAAGGCGATGCGATCGCGGAAGAGACGACAGCGGAGGAGGCGGCAGATAGCCTACCTGGCCATCTGCGGACTGAGCGTGGCCATCTTCGGGTTCGCCCTGGCCACGCTGATCAGGCCAGTGACCGCGCAGGGTGAGGGTGAAGGAGAAGGAGAAGGAGGTGAGGCCCAGCCCGCGCCAGAAGAAAAAGCTCCTGTACAATGGCGCAAGGGATACGAGGGCCACGGCACCACGCACGAGCAGCTCGGCCAGCCGCACTGGCCGCCAGTGGAGTACACCAAGTACAGGCCGACCACGAACTACACCAAGGAGCCCCCGCCTCCCACGACGGCCATGAACTCGATCTTCAACTTCACCCACTTCCTGTACGACAAGGTCCTCTACAGGGACGATCCCATTCCGGAGGGTGAGTAAACTAAGCCGTTTAGATCATCTCAATCTAATATATTGTATGCCTTTCTCAGGATACGTTGTGGTCAGGAACTCGGACACGCTGGCCCTGGGACCCAAGGTGGAGGAGAACGACTGGCGGGATCTGCTGAGCCACTATTGGTTGGTCCTCATCTGGGTTATCATTCTCGTGGCGCTCATAATTATCATACCGTTCATTGCGTGAGTGTGAAATCCATCTGGCACTACCCCAATGGCTAAGTAAACTAACGTATGATCTCCTCCAGCGTTTGCTATTGCTGCTTCTGCTGCTGCCGAAGATGTCGACAGGGATGCCCTCCGTGCACCAGTAAGCAGGATGCCCAGCGGCGCTTCTGCTGCGGCATCTGTCTGCTGATCCTCATCATCGGACTGATGTAAGTTGGAAGCCCGAAGTCGAGAGCGATCCCCAGCTAATCTGCTTCCCTTTCCGTAGCTTTGGCATCATCATCGCCTTCGTCACCAACAAAATGATCGACAGCGGCTTCTCCGAGACCTCGGAGACAATGAAGCGCGGCAGCGAGGACACCTGCACCTACCTGAAGGACGTGGCCGACCATGTTACCCATCTGATGAAGTACAACTACGAGGAGATGGAGACCCATGTTCTGGATCAGCTAACCCGTACGTGAACCACATGTTTCCCAGCCTGGCAATTTTAATTCTACCTTCTTTGTTCTCGTTTTCAGACGCCCACAGGCACATCTTTTTGGATCTGTCCGACACTTCGGAGAGTAATTCGCTGGCCGAGATGGAGCGGGTGTTGGAGAACATGCCCGAGGCCCTGGAGCTGATGAGGCAGGTGGAGCAGATGGAGAAGGACCTGCGCTTCTACGGCTCCCAGTTGAGAGATGGTACGGTTGACTGAAACAACGGATCGGGAACAGCACGAATAATCCTATTTGTCCTCAGGTGTCCGTGGCATCAAGCGCGACGTGAACTTCGCAGTGGCCAATCTCTGCCAGCTGCAGATGTGCCAGAAGTTCCTGATCAGCAGCAATATCGAGCACATTGACACCTCGCAGTGCCTGCACTTCGACAATGTATGAACAGTAATACATCCCGCAAACATGTACACTAATTCAATTCGATAATATTTCAGCTGCCCAACACCAAGGAGTTTGTGGAGGGCATGGAGGACATTATTCGGAACAAGTACTATGTCATACCGCAACGGGGACTCGCCCGCCTTAAAAAGGTCAGCGACAAGGTGAAGACGCAGCTCTCCTTCGTGGTGCCGCCAATGATGCGCGACTTGACCAAGGGAAGATCCATCTTCAACGAGCAGGCGGCGAACGTGCGTAACATCGTGGACGCAGTGCTGAGCGACATCCACATAAAGACCCTGCACTCGACCAAGTCCTTCGAGGACGTCTACGACCGGTTCGGCCACGACAGGAACATAATCAGCTTGGTTGTGTGTTTGCTCATCCTTTTGGTAAGTCGCTCCTTCGAGGTTCAAATCGAATGAATTTGAAATTAATCAATTTATGTGTTGTGCAGGTTCTTTTCATCCTGATCTTTGCTCTGCTGTGCGGCTGCTTCGGCCGACGGCGCACCGGATATGGCGACGAGTGCTGCAGCAAGTCCACCGGCGCCTCTTGCTTGCTCCTGTGAGTACACTAAGCGAATCCACTCCTCAGCTCTCTGAGTAATCAATTCAACTTCTTTTTTAGTGCCATCTTGCTGATATTCTGCGTGTTCTCGTTCATCGCCCTCGTGGGACTGTTCTACTTCATGCTGGGCATGGTGACCTACCAGGGCGCCTGTGCCCCGCTGAGGGACCAGGAGAACAACACCCTCTTCCGGCAGCTGGACGCGGCCATCGACCTGAACCACTACCTGCCGCAGGGCGACGGCTCCAGGAAGGAGGTGGGCCAGCCGCTGAAGATGTCGGGCGCCATCAGCGCCTGCCACGCCAACCAGACCATCTTCGAGATGCTGCGCGTGAACGGGATCTACGACATCAACGACCTAGCACGCATCAAGGTGATGACCCGCTCGGAGGACCCCGACTCGGTGAAGATCTTCGATGAGGACCTCTCCGGCGTCGTCCTGCTGACGCCGGCGGAGCAGAAGGACCTGGAGACTGCGGGCGGCAACAAGCTGTCGCCGTACCACAGCTCCCTCTACTTGCCGAGCCTGTGCACCCAGTTCACGCCGATGAACCTCAACGCGCTCTCCGAGCAGCTGTTCAAGCTGTCCAACGACCTCGAGTACCCCGCCTACGGGTGGGCCAAGGTCTCCTTCTGGAACGAGGGCCTCAACACGAAGGCCTTCCACCGCAACTTCGTGCCTAAGCTGACCAGCCTCGTGGAGAAGATGCGGGCTAACCTGCAGAAGATCGACGAGCTGATCTCGTACGAGAACCTCGACTTCACCACCACCATCAAGGTGCTCACCGACACGGCGGTCAACTCGGAGAAGTTCATCCAGACGCGGGGCAAGGACTACATCAACACGCTCGGCACTAACCTGACCCTGACCATCGACCAGATGATCGACGAGTACATCGACATGATCATCGCGGAGGCCAACGAGAGCGTGGGTCACTGCGCGCCCCTCTCCTACATCTACTATCGTGGCGTGGACCTGATCTGCCACCGCCTCGTGGACCCCATTGTGAGTAGATCCTGAGATCATCGTGAAGCATAATCTTTACCTACCTTATCCATAGAACGGCTTCTGGGTGGGCATCCTGCTCTGCGCGCTGCTCTTCCTTCCCATTCTGTTCGTGGCCCACCGGCTGATGTGCCTGTACAAGAAGATCTACCCCTACCTGGCCACCGTGGGAGCCGCAGGCGTGGTCGAGGGCGGGTAAGTCAGCACCCTGTGTTCCCACTCCCTTTCAGGCATCCCGCTTAACCGCCGCCCTAACCCAAAGCTGTCCCATTTGCACGGGAGCTGCGTACGTGCCGCCGCCCATTGTGAGCTGCTCCGGCGGCCAGCAGGCCTACTGCGGCTGTCCCGCCGGCTCGCCCACGCGTGGCGGAGGCGGCGAGGAGCCACTCGAGGGCGAGGCCGAGGAGGCGCAAGCGCAGGCGGAGGCTGAGGCGGAGGCCAGCTACCAGAGCCCAGATCCTGACTTGTCGGCCAGCAAGCGCAAGCAAGACTAACTCCTTGACTTGGACTTGGTTTTACCCCATTAACTTTCAGCATTTGTTTTGTAAATTTATGCGTGTAGTGAGATAAAAAAGAAAAATCCTTTGTTGCACCACAACTAAGCGTCCGCATTCTTCTCATTTCACCGCTAACCCGAATCATCCGCCCGCAGCAGCGACTACCTGTACGACGCTTACAGTGAGCGCGAGCGCGAACATGTCCCATTGGCTAAGTAAGCGAATCATCCCTCATCCCGCCCCCTCACTAGCAGCTGCTCTAATCCGCACCCTTTCCCCTCTCGCCTCTCCCCTTTAGCGTTCCCAAGAAGCGGCGCAAGGCGTACGAGCGGCGGAGGGAGCAGCAGGACTACTACGAGGACGCCTCGCCCAGCGTTTCCCGGGGCAACCGTTCTGGCGGAGATCGCGGCGGCGGCGGCGACGGCGCTCCCGGCAGCAGCAGCATGCGCTACAACGACATGGCGCCCACGTAAGTGTCCTCCACCTCCCAACTAAGATTACCCTGCTTTCAATCTTACTGAAAGACTGGCAAACCTAAAGAATCAGAAAGAACAGAATCATATTTGCCACAAATATATCGAGTAAAAACTAGAGATGAAACGGATAGCAGTTTGGCCGGATACCGGATATTTGGCCGACTTTTTGGGCCGGATATCCGGCCGCCGAATATCCGGCCGCCGAATGTTTTGCAAAACTTAGTCGTTTGCGTAGACGTCGCGCCAACGATCGGGTGGACTCGATTCGATTTGGGTATTTTTGTTGATGAGTGAAGTTAACAGTTGTACCCATGGTGCAATTATACAAGGTCGTCTCGTCGGCTGCGTCACTTCCCTATCGACACTACAATGAGAGCGAGAGAAATCGTAGCTATCCGGTATTCGGCCGGATAGTATCATCGTGGCCGGATAGGCCGGATAGGCCGGATACCGGAAAGTTACCGGATACCCGTTTCATCTCTAGTAAAAACATTATTTTATCCAATAATATATAAGTAATTAAGTAACGCCAGTCTTTTGGTAAGTGAACCAACCATACTTTAACCATAGTAAATGCATCATAGCCGAGTGACACTGACCAAGTTATCAGCCTGCCCGCATCGACAACCAGTTTCCCCCGATCGCTTTGACCGCTGCTAATCGCTAAAACGCTAATTTTTAATTTTGTTTAATTTAGCGCTAAAGGTGCGACCAATGGCTCTCGGCCAAAGGCTTTGGCGGCAGACGGTTTCTTTTAGGCATGGCCCAAATGCTAATCGGTTTCGGTTTCTGCCCGGTAATGTGCCACTCCACTCAAAGAGTCAATCGGTGTGCTTCCCCGACAGCCGCGATTCGAATACGTGTCCGACTGGGAAACCCCCCCAAAAACACAAAGCTTTGTTCCCTTTTCGTTTCCATTTGCAATTGCTACCTTTCGTTAACTTTCATTGGCTTTAATTTTCGTTCTCTTATTGGGTAAAAGTAGCAATCAAACAAGATTGGATTTCGATTACTACTTCCTAACTGCAAAAGGCTTCTTTGTTGTTTAAATATGTGTAAATCTGCAAACGACTGTATGTTTGTGTTTTAAATTTTTGTTGCTCGATGGAGAAGCTTTCGTATTTCGTACTCGGGTCGCTGCTCCAAAGTAACAGACACTTCTGGAGAGGATCCCTTGCCGGCCAAGCCCACAGCTCATTACCCAAGAAGTCCTCCGATGGCCCCTCCCTGATAACCCATTCAGCTTTTCATGACCAATCGCCACTAACTCTGTATCGGTTTTCGATCTGTGTTTGTTGACCAACTAATCCGGTTAATCGCAGCCACTGCGCCCTCCTTTCGTTCTGTGTGTTGTGCGTGAGTGGTCGCACTATCAGTATTGGATGCCCTGCATATTTCCCATGAACTAATTCGATTCGTTACAATCCACAGGCACTGGGACCACGAGCCGCCGCGCTACCACAATCCGCCAGCGGCGCCGCCATCCTCGGAGTACGAGCGCCCGCCGCCCTACTACTACCCGGGTGCCTCCGAGCAGGATTAGGCGGACGGAGAGGCCCGGGACGGCTCGTTCGGGAGGAGGCAACATGACGATGATTTTATTTCGAACCCTCAGGCCCCGTTCCCGCTTCGATTTCCCCTCATTGTCCCCCACTGAGACTGTACTTTTAGTTAAAAGCGTAAAGAGATAACTGAAATTGTATAATTTAATTAAGTAGTATTGTAGCATCACATGTGTTATCGCCTTGGCCCGACCAACTGGAAGCTGGAGAGGAACCGCCAGTTGCTATTGGAAGCGGGCCGAAGCAAGGAAACTCTCAAAAACCAACCCCCTTATAATTACTTTGAAAATGTTGCCAAAAGACGAGCACCGTAGGAACCGGACGAACCGAAGAACGGGAAGAACCCGGCGGGGATTCCCCGGCCGGAGCATTTAATGAACTCTGGAGTCCCGAGACTCCGGGCTAGAAGGCCGGGCGGCGGGAGTCGGATCTGATGAGTCCCTCGAAGAGTTGGCCATTCGACGGCCGCGCGGCCACAGAAGCTTTAAGGAATCTCATAATTTTATTATGCACACACTCTGAGATGGCGATACGTACCCAAAACAAAACAACAAAAAAAAAAAAAACAAAACAAGAAATAAGAAATGAAAACGAATATCTAGCAAGCAACAACTACATAAATAATAACCGATCGAACACTTTATGGAATCTGTAAACTTCCACGAAATCAAAATCGCGAAAACAAATATGATCAATACCAAAACTGCCATTTTAATTTAGAAAAGAGCAGGAAGAGAGTTGGGAGTTATTCAATGCATTTAATGTATTTATTTAGAAACAGTACGAACCCCACACACTTCCTTAAGACCGACAAGCCCTGCACTCGGACACTGAGATACCAATCCAATAGAGTCCCCCAATAGAAGTTCGAGATGCATTCGAGTGCAGTCGTACGAACACGTTGTCATAGTTTAGTAAGTTAAAACCAAACGCAAGAGCAACCCCTAAGCATTTAAACGTCTCCAATTGTATTGACTAGGACCTCTAAGCTGTAAGTCTCCGAAATACCCATTACTCCACACACCACACGAGAATATTGTACGGACTACACAATTACATAATTTTAGTATTATTATACGAGTAAGGATGTATGTTGTATTTACATTTGACGTACATTGAATGATTTCCGCTTAAGTCAAGTAACCATGTATCAATATTGCCGCGCGCAAGTAAAGATTATCGACTAAGACCCGGAAAACGCAAAAACCCAGTTGCCAGTCAATCATCGAGCTCCGTTGATGGTTGTCTCCGTCGTTTGCAAAATTTTGTCAATAAACTTCAAGTGGTTTTATGTACGAACGAGCGAGTCTTGATTAATGTTTGCGATCTAGCAATCCAGACTTTCTGGATCATGAAAATTAGCTATATGATATTCGTAAGTAGTAAAAATGAAAGCGTGCTTGTCGGGTGATTTTCTCAATTTCCTTCTTTGGGTTGGAGTTCTTTTGTTCCGACTGGTGTTAGTTGATTGCCAGTCGCACCACTTTCTGCGTCCCTATAACATACTGATCGAGCGGGACTCTTTGGCCAAGTTCCGTGAGTTGAAGCCACAAAACAGGGAACTGCAATCGGAAACCAGGACTGAAGGCAACGACACCTTCGGAAAAGAGATATCCTTGGGCCCAATAACCTGTTATCCCCACGCATTCACCAGAGTCTTGGTTAACGGCTCCAAGAATGTGCCTGAGGAATATATGTCCAACGATGGGAACGACATTGGACCCAAGGTGAAGAAGGATGAATGGGCGGCGTACCTGAGGAGCCAACCTGGTCTCAAGATATTCGTATTTCTATTGATCCTTCTGCTCCTGTTGGTACCGATCATTGGGTGAGGAATCTCAGATAGTTCGGGTATTGTTATTAAGAGACTCGATTCCCAACAGGCTAATCTACGCCTGCTACTGTGCGCGCTGCAAGAAGGTTCACAAGTCGAGCAAAGGTTGTCGCTACTGCTGTGGCATTCTTTTGGCCCTCTTGGCTTTTTTAATGCTGTAAGTGCGTGGAGTGATTCTTAACCCAAAGGCGTTTCGGATTAACTCCCATCTACACTTAGATTATTTCTCATTTTTGCCCTATTGGCAACCATCCGGCTGAATAAAGGTTTGACAGGGGCTAAAAGCAAGACCTGCTTGAGAGAACACTCAAACCACAGCCAAACAAATGAGGATGCAATCCGAACGGCCTCCAAACGCATGAACCATTCGTACATTTTCAACTACAATCAGTTGCGGAAGAGGATCAATGGAGACCTAAGACTTGAGCCCAATGTCTCACAGGCGCATAGTGAATACGAGAAGCGTGCTAGGGAACTCGGGAAGCTGGTCACGGTGCTCCGCAATATGCCAAAGATCAAGCCATTAATGAAGGAGAGGTTCAAAAACGAGTTGGCGAAAGCTCGACCTTTAGCCACTCAGTTTCGGGACGGTAAGGATTGATCTTTTCCCCACATGGTTGATAACTCCACAACCTGCCCTCGACAGCGTTGCGTGGAGTCAAAAGGGATCTCATGGTGATTCTCATCGCGGAGTGTAAAGAAAAGGAATGCCAGGATTTCTACAAAAATAATGATATCGGGATGCTTGACATGGGATGTTTGCATTACGATAGTGTAAGTGTGCTTGAAATGAGAACTTTTGCAATCAGTTGTTAACTTTTATTTACCTGCAAGGTACCTGAACCGGATGGCCTTATCAAAGCCGTTCAGGAAGTCATTGACAGCGGGTTTATAAACATTCCGCGCAAGGCTGTTCATCAATTGGAACAGATTTCGAAAGCGATCAAGGATAACGTGAATAAAATATTAGACAAAATTAGGAAGGCTCTTGATGAGGCCGGTGAGCTGTGGGATTTTAGGAATTTAACAAGACAACCCAATCCTCTCCTTAGGAAAGAAGCTGCAGAAGAGGCACGAGGCATCCTTGATGGGGTTGCGGCGGGTCGTCGAGGAGATGAAGAAGGATAAACCATTGGCTAGATCTCAACCAGCCGCTGCGCTGGGCAGGAAGCTAGGCTCCGGCTGGTACGGAATCACCATCGGCTTGCTTGTTTTGCTGATGTTCGTGATCCTTCTGCTGCTCATTGCTCTCCTGGTGGCTCTGTCCAGTCCGAAAATTGCCAGCTGGCTGCTGTGCGCCTTCTTGGTAGCCGTATTTCTTCTTTTCGCGCTCAGCATTATCCTGGTGCTATTCTATCTGGTCCACGGAGCTCTACTCTATCAGGCCTTTTGCCTCAGGTAAGCTTTGCTTCCGATTTATTTTGAGACGGAAAGTCAGCCTTTTAGCTGCAACACTCCTATCAACAGTCAAAATATGAAATGTTATACCTTGTTGAGCTCGAAATGATATTTAAGTTCGATTGGAACATAATTCTGAACCTTTTCTTACCAAAATATTAACAAAAAATGCGCAAATTGGAATAAATATCGCTTATTTCGTATTTCTGCCAAATGTTCAAATGTATTTTAATAGCGTCAGGGCCAGGGGCGGACGCAGAAAAAAATTTTGGGGGGTCCGGTCGAAAAATTTTTTCGTTGGGGGGGGTCCGGTCAAAAAAATTTTTAGTTTATATGGTTGAAAGGCCGTGTGCTGTAAGGGAATTTGAAAAAGTCTGCGATTTTGGGGGGTGTCCGGACCCCCCAAACACCCCCCCTGCGTCCGCCCCTGGTCAGGGCTCTTATTTTCAAACAACAAAACCCTTCAGACACTTTAAAAATAGTTTCACAAGAAATCATAATACACCTTTATAAATTTGTAGTTAAAACAAACCTAATATTTAAGTATTTTAATTAATCGATTAACCCGGAGTCGTAGGCCCTAGCAGCTAGTACTCTTTAGAAATACATTAGATTAAGTATTGTATACTAGATTTAATTTTGTTAAATAAATAAAATAAATAACGAACATTTTTTAATTTGTTGGTTTTATAGTTTGTAAGCAACTTTTAGGGTTTTTAATAAATGCTTATCAATAATAGTTGTAGCACTGTTTTGGTTTCTGATTTCTAATACTAATTGAAAATGCTAGCAGACTTCTGGGATAACCTTCTTCTAAATTCTTTTCGCCAGAAACTTTAATTCAGGAAATTAAAATTTGTGGTCTAATCCGGCCACGCAAAACCAAAAATTTTCAGGTAAACCCACTTTTAGGTACCAGGCGAACAGAATCCATTAGTAGGTGGAAATGGACAAAATTTTTGGAAAAGTTGCTCACTGACAGAAGCTCTATGCTACTAATTGCTTACTGACAGAAGATTTCTGCTACTGATTGCTTACTGATGGAAGATCGCTGTTATAGAACTGCTGATTGCTTACTGACAGAAGTTCGCTGCTATACAATTCAGACTCAAAATTCGTGTTTGCATTAACCTACTGCTGCGTTCTGTTCGCCTGGTAATTTAATTCAGAAAATCCTAGTTTCTTGTGAAATTCGGCCATTCAAGACCAAAAATTTTAAGATCAACCCGCTTTTAAATAACAAGCGAACAGAATCCATTAGAAAGTGGAAACTTTTCGACATTTTTTCAGGAGTTGACAGAAACCCTCGGCTATATAGTTCGAACTGAAAAGTATTGCTTACTTCTAAGAGTAAATAAGGTGGCTAACAGTAACCTACTGCTGCATTCCGTTCGCCTGGTGTTTTATTTCAGGAAATCCCCATTTTTTGCCAAATCCGTCTGATTGTCAAAAAAAAATCAATTTTCCAGATTTAAAGTCAGTTTATTAATATTTATTGTTATTACTATTATTATTACTATTATTAATATTATTTTTTATTATTATTATTATATTATATATATTATATTATATTATATTATATCCATCAAGGCATAACATTCCATATTTTTTTTCTGCGTCGTCGTCCTACAGTTTGTTGATTTTTACAGGAATCTCTCACAATCGGTGGGGAACAAATCCATTGATCCGAACGAGATTCTCTCTAAGAACATAACTCTTCCCCGTCCGCTGCCCACGTTGAGGGCCTCGGACATTCTGGAGAGCTGCGTTCGCAACGAAAGTTTGTACAAGGCGATGGGTCTGGAGGAGATCTATGACGTGGATGGCCTGCGCTGGGGTGTGCTGAGGGATGTCCGCAATTCCCTGGAGGAAGTGAAGAACGCTTCGCAGCCCGGGAAGCTTGTCAAATATTACCCAGAGGCAGAGAGAGCGGCCCAGAAGTTGCTGAGGGGCAAGATCAACAGTTACAGCAGTAAAAACTACACGAAGCACGTGTGTCGGGAACTGGTGCCGAAACCCAGGCCGGGACCTCTGCCTGCGTTGGCCAGGAAACTGGACAACCTGGCCGAGAAGGTGGATTCCGGAGTCGCGCTGAAAAATCAGGCAACTCACCTGCGCGCCTATCAGTCAAACCTCGGCGATCCCTTGGCTGCGATTGTGGAGAAACTGATGAATATGCTGAAGCTATTGGATCTCCTTCTAATGGGTGAATACCGCAGCTTTGCCGATTACATAAAACACTTGCTGGCCAAGATCAAGGAGGGCGACGAACTCATCCGACGCGATGTAAGAAATGTGACCGCTGAGGTGGCCGACAACGTCGGCAATATTGTGGAGTCCGCCCTGGATGAGTTCGTCGTCACGGTGACGGAGGCCACCGAGGGCGATATGGGGAGCTGCGGGCCCCTCATCCGGGACGAGGTTCGGGACATGAAGGAGTACTCCGAGCTCTGCAACCGCATTGCCAAGCCAATGGTAGGTTGGGGGTCCGGCAGTCTTTTGTTTGTTCACCATCTCATCATCATGCAAGGGCTTAACAATTCACATGATAATCATCCAATGTATAGAATGCCATCTGGTTCTGGCTGCTGCTGTTCTCCCTGCTCCTTCTGCCCGCCCTTTGCTGCACGCACTTTCTGAGGTGCCGACTGGCATCCCTGGGGAGCACGGCGGAGGAGAACTTCGTGACGCCTGTAATGCTGCCGATGAACTTGCCCCCCTGCTACTGTAAGTACGTTCCCGTTGCGGCGGAGACGAATGTGGATCACCTGGAGGGCAGGGACGACTTCTACGTGGATCAATTCAAGCGCAAGCGGGAGTAAATCCTTTTCCAGTTCTCCCAACTACAAGTCACCATCAAGATTAAACCCAATTCCTAGCTTCATAAGTCATTATTTTTGTAGCTTTTGTACACACACAATAAATGTAACCGAATGAAGTAAAGGTAGTCAAATAAACAATGAAGTTGCTGTGCTGGGAGTTGTTTGGCTGCTCCGAGGCCGATGTCCTGGGAAATTCGGTAACGCTGACTGAGGACTCCACAACCCTGAGCATGGTGAACCACAGCCAGGATCAGGCGATGCAGGGCTCCCTTGGCTGCTGCTCCCTCGACTGGCTGAAGCAGCTCCAGCAATCCTCGTGCCCTCTGGTGAGGCTCTTGATACTCGGATTGCTGGTGCTGCCCCTTTACAATGCGCTTTTGATCGTGGTGGGGTGAGCTGCTCACTTTGTAACTCATTGGTTTGCTTGTTAAGCGGATCCCCTTCAGGTGGCGCCTCAACTGCAGTGCCTCGAGCAGTGCGGAGCGCTTGGTGCTGGACATCCGGGTGGCCAAAGCAGTGAAGCGGCGGGCTCCATCGCCACCCTCGGCTCCCAAGCCCCCGCCTCGGATTCGCAGACGTAGGCCTCCCACGATCCCAGCTCCATCCAGAAAGCTGCGCTCTCCAGAACTGCTCTCCAGCAGAGGGAATCCCTTCGAGCTTTCGGAGGACCAGGCGGATCAGTACAGGAACCTGAGGAACAACCTCCAACTTGTGCTGGAGGGCTTGCAGAAGCCTCAGCCTCCAGCGAAACCCCTCACTCCACCGGAACCTATATTTGTTCCCCCTGCGGAAGAAGAACCCCTCTCCGTGCCGGAACTGCTGACTCCGCCGGAATCCCCCAGAATGGAACCCCAGAAGCCACGCTCCAAGTTCCACGTCTTCAAGCGCCTCTGGCTGAGGTGGCGATCCCGGCGCAGTCGCAAGAAACCCACCACTCCGGAGGCCAGCACCACCTCGTCCAACTGCTCGAGCACGGGATCCAGCTGCTTCTACGTCTACTAAACCGAATTCCAGACCGGAGATCGGAGGTCATCGCAGCTTTGCATTCGTGTGAATCCGAGCGATAATATGCTATATTTTGTTACGATTAAATGCGTGCTGAGGTCAGCCTTGTTGGCCCGGCCCATTGGGACCTTGAATGCGCGATCGCTTGGCTTTATTAGAACACATCCGGCAGTGGAACTAAGAGCGGCCGCCGACAAAAGACCTAAGCGACAAACCTTGTTCTCGCATCAATCTTGCGGAGGCAAATGAAAAGACCCAAAACATAAACAGCGAAACAAAACTGACACAAACAAAGGCAAAAGACTAAGCCCAAACACCAGAAGGTATCGCTGGCTACATCAACTACCGGGTGAGCTGGTGAGCTTGTGAGCTTGTGAGCTCGTTCGGCGATGACTGGCTGATTAAGGGGCAGCGAAAGCAGATCTTTATCGCCGCTCCGCCCCACAGCAGCCACTCCAGTTGCAGCTCCTCCTCCTCCTCCGTCGGGTAGCAAGTAGTGGAGCAGCCAAGTGCAGCTCCATCATTGTCTGCTCCACAATGGCAGGAAGGAAAAGCCAAAGAGCACGGGAAAAGCGAGCTGCTATTTGGAGCACTGAACACCCGATGCTCTGCCGATTAAAGATGACAGCTTTACTGCTGGGTTGGGCTCGCCATTTGAGTGAACCGAAACCCCAAATGGATTAGGCTTAGATATTCCGGGAACAACTATTTCGAACAGCATTGAAGGGGAGTTCGCTAGAAGCTTAAATCTTGATCAAGGTGTAGCAGAAACTGCAAAGCTTGTTTCATTTCACACTAAACAGCAGATAATTGCCATGGAGCACCTATCATTCTCTGTGACAATCCTTGATTGTTTATTTATAGAGGTAATCCATCAAGAGATTATGATTATAAATAGCCAAAACTTTTATCACCTTGAATGCCAAGAAATTCCTTTTTAGGTATGGGAGGAAATTAATATTGCTTTTCCTTTAAAGTTCATAAAACTTCCTACGACTTGCTGAGGTGTGTAAGTTAGCATACTTCTTTTTCCACCTGTGTTTTGTTAATATTTGTTTACATAACCCAAATATTTACCATAGCCAGCTTGCAGAAGGGCAGTAAACAGTAAACAGTCGAAAATTACAGCGCAAAACGAGCGGGCGAACAGTCGACTCCCAGACGAGTTTTTGTTCTTCCGCTGTCGAATGAGATGACCAGGGCGCCGATGGTCCGATTCCAGTGAGGCAGAGGTAGAGTGTGGGTAAAAAGTCGAGACAAGGCCCCCCAGGCAAGGCCATTGAAAAGTGAAAAGCCGCTCGAGCACTACGTACGTATGCTTCTCATAATTCGTAGCTAAAAATTAAATCACGTTTCTTATCAGCGATGCGATGCGATTGTGATTGTGATTGTAATTGCGATGGTGAGTGCCTTTCTTTTTCAACAATTACCAAAATCATAAAGGCAGCCAACGAAATTACCTACAACGAAATTTCACTTTCAGTTCGTACGCCTGTGTGTGTGCGAGTGTGTGTGTATGAAAACAAAAGACTTAAGGCACGAACTTGCCGCAGTGAAGGTTAAGTCGTTCGATTTGATATTCAATCGGTACGCCGATTTCGAAAGCCCAAAAGCCAATGCACCCATGGATGAGGATGAGGTCCCACCTGAACGGCATAGCCAAAATAGTATGGCGATCGCCCGATCACCCGGATAGATCACTTCTTCCTGACTTTTTCACCATTCAGCACTCAACATTCAACATTCAGCTTTCGGTTTTTACTTTTTGGTTATGGGCTTAAGCTCTCGATTTTCGGTTGGTTTGTGCATCCGACGAGAAACTCGGCCAGCTTGCGAAACAGAGCATCGCATGGAGGAGTTTTCTCGGGGAAAACTGGCACACAGAATTGCAAAGAGCTGCCAAGAGCCGCAAAGAGGCAGCGCTGCAGCCACCGTCAAATGGCAGAAGGCACGCAACGGAGTGGGCATTAAAATGCACGCAATTAGGTTGGCCAAATGATTTACAGTGAAAGGCGGTGAAATTTACGGCATGCACAGCGTGAGAAGGCTCTCTGGTTGTTCGAGTGGCTTCAGATCCCAGGAACTGCCAGCCCAGAACTTCGGATAGAGCCACTCCCATCTGGACTTTCGGTTTCATTCAAGCGCGATTTGTCGACGTTTGCTGGATGGCTAGATTGCTTGATCGAAGGGGGCGTGACTGGGGCAGGGATTGGATCGGATTGGAAACGCTTATGAAACCCCTTCACAGAAACCCATATGCTAATTAGCTCCGCCGCCTCCTGCTTTCTATCGTGTGAAACGTCAGCCGCGTGTTATGCGCCGCGTATTTTGTAAATCATATTTCGAATTTGCATTTAACGCAGTGCGGATGGGAATCGAAATGGGTATAAAGATGGAGATGGAGATGCGGGTCAGGTTGGAGACAACCAGTGAGCTGACGGGTCTTGGCCGTTTGTCTCTATGCTAATCAAACATGTTTGTTTACCAACTCGCAGTCCGATTGCAAGTGGGGCGCCCAGTGGGTGGGTGGGGGAGTCGCCCGGTTTCACCCGGCTTATTATCGAACCGAAGTGGTCAACCCATTGTCACTGTCAAAGATTTACCAAGCAAATCCAGTTTCCGAATGGGGTTAATTCTGCATTTAACGGTGTAACCTGCGAGTGATAAATATTATACGCAGCTATTGATAATTCACTTTTATACTGGGTGAAAACAAAAGTAACCTTACAGTCTATATTTTAGATGAACAAAGCACCAGTCAAGTTTTTATAATACGTAATTAAACGGTGTTTTCTGTATTAAAAGACGATAACAAATGTGTCTGCCATAAAATAAATTAGTATCCAAGCCGAAGTCGCCTCAATCTGTTATTGATTCGGGGACGTTTGGCGGCCCCAAGAGAAACCGGTTGAAAGGCGCTCGGTTGAACGGCGATTGAATGGCAATTGACGGCTGCTAACATCTTGTCTAGTCCGCCGACCAACTGTTAACCCTCTGTTAGCCATTAACAGTGGCTCACGAATCAGAGAAGCAAAGGCAACGCGGCGATTTCATTTCCCATGCAGCTCACAGCGCGCGCTGCAAACCGAAAACTGTTTTTATGCTGCTCTTGCTGCCTTCGTTGTTGTTTATGTTGTTGTTGTTCTTATTGTTGTTGGATCGTATAAGGCGCTCGTACGTGGCGGACCTCAAAGCTGAAGCTCAGCCGTTGTCAAACAGCAACAAACAGCAAACAGCAAAGCCAAAACCAAAACCAAAACCCTGCTCAATCCGGGGGCCAAACTAAGCTCAGCTCTACTCACTCTCCGCCGCTCCACTCGATGCACAGGGGGAAATATATATCATATATCCCAACAACATAATGATTTATAAGCAGAATATATGATTTTGTCATCTGGGATAAGAAAAGGTTTTTGCAAATAAAAGGTTAATTGAAAATACACCGAAACTTCTCACGCAGAAACTCCCATAGAGTAGATCACCAAGCGAACTTTGAACATTTTATTTTAACTTCTGCACACGCTAGTATTTTCTGGCAGTGTCGACGTCGGCGGCGCTGCCGTGGCCGTTATTGTCGTCGCCTTGTCTTCGCAGCTGGCGGAGGCAGCGCTCAAGTCAGTTTCAGTTTTTCAGTCCAACGTGCGAGTTCGAAGCGACAAGCGGTCCACTTCGCCTTCTCAGGGGGCCAGGATTTTTGAAAGTGACTAGTGACTAGTGGCAAAATATGTGCGGTTAGCCACGACAACTGGCAGTGTCTCGAGTAGCAATCCAATCCAATCAAATCGAATCCAATCGAATCCAATCGAATCGAATCGAATCCAGATCAATCCAATCTAATTCCCGCTGCCAGCGCAACTCAAGGAGAATCGATTTTGTAGCTTGTGGATACGCGGCGCAGAGTCGAGTCGCTGAAAATGGTGAGTGCAAATGTGTGTCAGACGGCTGGAGCTGGAGCCGTGGAAATTATCATAGCCACAGCAGAACAAAAAGCACGCCAAAGCAGCCAAAGAATATTGAAAGTCCGTTGACGCAGCGGAAAAGCGAATGCCAAGCAGCGGCAACTCCGCGCCAGTTGGAGAACGTGAACGTAGACCAAGACTGCACAGGGAAAAAAATTACTTAAGACTAGAAAACCTTAATGAAATTGCTATTGGGTAAAGCTGGTTAAATATTAAGGAGATTTTAATAACAAGAATTGTAGTACAGAATGTCAAACAGAATAAATAGCTTAGGCAAATGTACTCTATATTATTTTCATATATCTTTGTACTGTCACTGATTCATTGAGCTCCTTCGTTATTTTCGGTGCTAGAATAGGTGCTGAAAAATCTTTTGCCGTGTAGGGCTTAGTCGCAAAACGGGCGAGTGTGAGAAAAAGCAACAACAGCAACAACAACGGGTTCTGTACCGCTACTGACCGACCGAAGTTGAAGGCGAACTTGTCAAAGACAATGAACAAATGAGCGACTAGAGGGGGAGTTCGCTGGAGTTGGAGTTGCGGGGGAAAGAAGTTGCTGGGGGTTTTGGTTTCGGTTTCGGTTTCGCTTTCAAAGCAGAAAGCCCGGCTGAAGGGGAAAACGCCCGCAGGCTTCGATTGGCCAATTGGCAGCGGCTTTTACTTCCTCGGCGAAAAGCGAGAAACGAAAAGCTAGCCGAAAGATTTCCATTATGGCCGCAGCAGGCGGCACGCCTCAATTTGGCAGCGAACTCAGCAGCAGCAGCAGCAGCAAGTAAAAGTTGCAGGCGCACAACAATAGCAATAACAATAACTAGTTTTGTTTTACAACAATTAATATTTGCAAAGGAAAACAACAGCAGGCGAACAACAAACAACAAATAACGAAGAAAAAAGGAAAAGAAGAAATACCTATGGTATTGGTAGAGCTCGCCGCCATCGATTGGCAAACACTCGCACATAGTTGGCCTGGCAAAAACTGGTCTCGAAATGAAAAACCCGCAAAATTAGGTTCGAGCCGGAGTCCGACTCGCAGCGGAGTCTCGAAAACAGTGGAAAAGCAAGGCGATCGGAGAGTCCGAGTCCGAATCAAATGCGAACTCTGCCTGCTTTATAAATTAAACATTTATTTTACGGTCTTTCGCTGGCCAAAAGGCACAATGCAACCGATCGGCCAACTTACTCCACTCCACTCGACTATTTTTTGAGTATTTCTGTGAACGAGCGTATAATGTGTATAATGTGGAGCAGGTCGAAGCCCAGGCGTTTCGAAAATGAAATCTAAAAACAATAAGAAATGTTAATTACCCAGGTTTCCATTGTCTCAGCGATAGCTTTGCATTGGTTAATAGCTTTTTTGACGCATTTTTGAGTGCTAATTAACGTTTCCCAATGAAAAGCGATAACCTGATCTGCCGAAAATAAGTTACTCAAAGAGTAGCAGCTCTTAGGAATAAGAGAAATATAGTTTTTTGAATAATTAATAATGGTAAATAATTAACAACCATAATGACAAGTAATAATGTTTAAGCAACTTCATTTCTTCGTAATTTCAGCTTGCTTTCTGTCTTATTTCATTGTGTTTTTCAAACACTATTAGCTTTTATTTATTATCCCACTAATAAAAAATTTGTATCTTATGTGGATCAGGTAAAAATGTAATCATTTTGAAAAAGAAATGGGAAAAATGTTAATTGCCGGACGGCGCAGAGTTTTCATTGCCTCCGCGCACTTTCGCGGCGTTTCGGCCTTAGTTAATAGCTCTTTTTACCGCCGCCCCTGGGCCATGGGCCACGCCCACCGACGTGACACGCGCTATTGACAGCCGTGACTGACATGAGCAGTTGGCGCAGTCCGTTGGAAAAGTATCTGGCGACTGACAAGCGATGTATCTGCGCTGCGAGCGCGTGTATATGAAACTCTCACTTTCGTTCGAAGCGACTCTGCCGCGGCAGCAATTGAATGGAAACACTTGCAGAGAATTTGTTTGCAAAACAAACCATTGAAATGGCGAGCCGTCGGGTTGGCCGTGTTTACATTCGAAAAACCCCAAAGAAAATAAAATGACAACGAGAAATGTCAGTGGAGAGGGGGAGAGAAGGGGGAGGAAAAGGGGGAGGGAGGGGCAGACAATATAATTGCAGAGCAGCAGACTTTCTCCCTTACAGAAAACAAGCAACGCACTTTTCTCCACGCTCTGGCCGTATTATTTTTTATATTGTGACGGAAGTTGCTAATGCGGTTCGACTGGGCGTATACGTAATGCGAATGTCAGCCGGCGATTACGAGGGTCCTCGCAAGCCTCGCCAGCTTTTGTAACCGATCGCGCAATTAGCGTGTACAAATAGAAGAAGATGTAAGCGGCCAATTGGGTAACCAAACGTACATCTTCCTGGAAATATTTAAAGCGGAGGGGAAAACATAAGTACGTTAATTAGCAGAAGCTTATGATTTTATTAATCACTATTAATAATAAATTGAAATAAACACTATATAGTTCTGACATTTTATACTCGTCCCTGAAGCTGTGACTTTTGAAGCGATCACATCGTTTATACAGCACTTTAAGCGAGACTTTACATAATTTAGAGACATTCAAATGTTGTTCAATTGTTGTGCTGACTACAATGCAGCTGAAGTTTCTTCGAAGCAATCTGTGATATTTCTATGAAATGTGGCTAAAGTGCCACGAAATGCCAGGCACTCACAACTGAGCCACGAGTCACGGCTCAAACGGCGTCAAGTAGCTGGTTCATAATTGCAGGCCAGGCACTTTTGCTTTGGCCAATAACCATTTGGCTCTAACTTTGGCCAGAAGCGCCTGGCAACACAGCGTTCTCGATTCTCCATTCTCGATTCTCGGCTGTCGGCTTCTCGGCAATCACTTTTTGCCTTGCCCTGTCAGCCAGCTGCAACTGGGTTTGGGTTTGAGCTTCAGTTCGTATTTGGATTTGGATTGGGGGAGTGTGGGCTGCTGGAAAACACTGTACACTTTATGTAGAGAAAATCAGCTTGCGAGAGGCAAATCAAGTTTGCAGCCTCGCTCACTTTTATGCTGATTTGTGTGCACAGTTCGCTTGAAATCGAAACGCATCAAATGGTTATTGAACCCTCGTTGAGGCGACAGTCAGTCAGATAGAGAAACAAACAGACAGACGGACAGACAAACAGCTGATGGCGATGGAAGTGAGAGTAATTCAACAAGTCATTGCACAGAAAGAAACTAACTCGTAGCTTAAACTATGTGTTAAGAGTGCTTGAACCACTGCGAATTAAGTTTGGCTATTGAGGTGCGGAATTTGTTTATCATACAATAGGAAAACATGTTTTTCATACAGCAGTTAAGCCAATTTAATTTCAATGTATTCATGAGTTATCGCACTGGTAAATCAAAAGACTGCGGCAACGAACTTGAGACCCAAAGCTAGTTTTATTCTCGTGGTCTGGCGAAGTGATGAATACAAGCGATACACAATTATGGACTATTTATAACAAGTCGAAATCGGTTTCCTTTTCATCTGCCCGCGCACTGGCAATCAAACCGAATAAAAAGACTGAGGCAACGAACTTGGCGCTCGGTGCAAGTTTCAGTTTCTCAGCACTTCAGCTTTTCTGCTTTTCAGCTTTGAGTTTTAGGGTCTAGCAGGAAGTGCGACAAAAGCCACCTCGCTTTGTTTGCCCAACCACCGTCTTAATTACCCCGCAGCCAATGCCAAGAGCCATGCCAACACAAACAGATGCTAATTATGCCTGGGCCAAATCCACATCCACATCCACATCCACATCCATATGCTCAGGGATCGGATCTGCGGAGTGCTGTTTGCCGCTTGCGAGTGTATCAATCACTTGTCAGGCGGCGAGGTGACAAACCGAATCCACAGCAAACTGGTTCGCCACTGGCGTTATGTTATATAAAGGCGGAGTATCGGAGTATCGGAGTTTATCGGCCGTATATCCACGGCGAAATCGGACGGCGACATAATCGAAATGTCAAATCACCTCGGTGGCCACGGCTGATCGCGACTGGTTGCACAACTGGCTCTCATAATTGAAACTAATTAGGCGAAATTGCAGTTTGGGGCCCTTCCGCTGGCCAGCGGCCACCTCGATTGCCACTTGGCCATAAATTCGTCCGGCCAGACCGGGCCATAAAGCGGCTGGCCAAACCGTTTTGTGGTCTAGGCCATAAACATTGATCGGGCCATCAAACTGGCCCACCCTCGAGGCAATCGCGCATCTAACGTCTCTTAATTTGAATAGCTGCTTAACACTCGATCCGCCAAACGGGTTGTCAGTCGCATCTCCGCTTGGCCAAAAGGTTAGAGTTGAGCACAATGCCACCTGCTTTCGGCCAAGCGGAGATGCAGACTCCGCATTAGCCTGCTAATAATAGCAATATGAATTTCTCCGCTGCTCGCTTCCCTATTTTCGAGGCGCTTTGTTTATTAATAAAAGCGCAGCGCATATGGCACACCAGCTTACGTAAGGAGGCTGCTTGTATTTGGCTGGCGCTTCTCCTCGAGTTGCACTTGCTGGTGTCTCGAGTCCGATGCCTTGCCTCTGATGGCGATGACATAATGTCCGCACCGCCAGTTCCTTATTGCCGCTGGGCTGGCGGAGCTGACAAGGCTGGGCCACTGAAAAGCACTCCCCCAGAAAGCGCAAGTGAAAATATGATTTAGCCGCCGTTCGAGAGACACAGTCGGGCCGTCGAGCGTTTTCCAGGCCGTTAGCCGCCGTCTCGCCAGAGTAAACAGTGGAGAAGCCAGTGGAAAGGCGGCTACAAGGCCCAAAGAAGCGGGCTCCACTGCTCCAATGCTCCAATGCGACACTGACAAATGGCGAATTCTTTACGAGGCCAGCCGAAAAGCAAGACAAACACAACACAACACAGAACACAACGCACAACAAACGGACATAAATTTTATTGACATTATGAACAAGACTGCGGCGTGTAGGAAATGCTCGATCTGGCGGCTCTGGAACGGAAGTGGTGCGCACTCGACTGTTGAAATCTGGCACTGCAGCGCAGAATAATGGATACCCCACTCGATGGCGAGTGACTCAGCAGCAGTGGCAACAGCTGGCTGGCATTTCATGGGCCCCACGTTCGGGACATTAAAGCGCCAGGCCAAAAGGCAGTTCCATAACTCAGTGGGTGCGTCGAAAAAGCCGCGCTGTTGCTCAATCCATCAAGAGATGAAGAGGTTTAAGGACCGTAAAGGTCTAGTGGGGGATAATAATTGGGTAGAACAGATTGCCTTTGGTTTTATGCGAGTGCGAGTATAGGAGTGCCAAGGAGAGACTTTTCTAGATACTTCTGGAGCTCACACTTGAAAGCTATGCAATCCTGACTCAAAAACAGGTATTACCTCACACGTATGAACTCTTACTTTTAAACAGTACAAAGGGGGTTCTGTTTTTCAGTGTAAGAAGCCCTAAAACAGGCTCGGGGTGTTGGTAAACATAAAGACGCTGCTGGAGGCTGCTGCTCCAACCCGTTTTGCCGGGGCGTCAACGGCCTGCTCAGGGTTATGCTGCAGCAGGAAGTAATTGCCGCAAAAGGAGAACCGAGGGATCAGGAGATTGGCGCGGAGATCGGCGAGGAGCCGCACCCAGAAGCAATTGGCAATTGGCCATTGGAGTCGCTCATTCTGGGCCCAACTAATTGCCGGAGTTCGGACGCTGTTCTAATCGATCCGTGAACCAGTTTCGCTTGGGCTTAAGTACCGCTGACTCAGACGCCTTAATCGCCAGTCTCCGCGGCGATTTGCTCTCTGCTGTACCCGTTTGCCCAGCTTTTGGCCAGATTGCGCAAGGTCGTCTGGTCAGGACAGGTGCTCACCAGCTCACGAGCTCACGAGCTGGCTTAATTGTGACGTATGCAACTGGTCCGAGACCGGGCGAAAACAAAGTAGCAAAATGGTTAGCCGCCAAATCAAAGCCAAAATATTGCCCAAACAGTTATGACTTGCGGCTCCAAAGCCCCAATTTATAGATATAGTATATAGTATAAACCCACACATCCAAGTGACGCGTGTCGCAGGTTTTCTTCGGTTTTCTCTGTACTTTTATTATTTTTTCCTTTTCCTTCGCATTTCGATGCTGTTTTCGCTGCTTTTGCTTTTGCTTTTGCTGCGCTGCGTTGCGCCTCACCTTGAGCTTAATTTCGGTCAAGCAAAAAGGCGTTCAACATTTAATTAAATATAGCAGGCGCGACAGAGCCGCAAACAAACGGCCAGACAACATCGACTCGACAGCCGCCAAAGTGGTAAATGGTAAATGGTCGAAAGCCGAGAGCGCATTTAAATAAATCGCACTTCAAACGAGCGCCAACTGCATTGCCATTTCCATTTCCATTTCGATTTCGATTCCCATGGGCAATCCACTTCCATTTCCATTTCCATGGATGCAAACGAAAGACTCAGGCGACGAACGCGCCGCGAACGGCAGATGTTGCAGCCTCCGTGGCGCATGATTAATGCAGCATTTGCGCAATTTGTCTCGCCCGTTGAAGTTATTGAGCGGACACGAACATTCGGCATTCGCCATTCGCCATTCGGCACTTGGCATTCAGCATTCAGCATTCGGCAAACGGCCACAAAAGCCACAAAATTTACGCAAATGAATTGCGATTTGTGCGCTTTCTTGCTTTCGTGCAAGTGAAATCCACGATTCCGAAACGGATCATATTTTCAGCTACCCTGGAAGTAAATGCAAAGTGGGGAGGATAGTTTAATTCGATATTCAAGTGGCAATAGGGGTGCCAATTAATTGGGATGCATGGTTGAACATTTAAGCTAAAAACTTTTGAAGCGAGTTGAGATCATTAAAAAGATTTATCGACTGTTTTTATTAGTGGAAAGGAAATAATTGAATTGCAGAACACATTTGGGTATTTGAAGGCTCGCATGCAAAGCCAAAGGCTTAGTGCAATTTTCTCCGATTTTCCAATTCGAGTTGTACGAGTAGTTTCTTTTTTGCGCAAGACAATTGAACAAATCCAATCATGCTGGTGGAATGCAGTTGGCTTGTCTCTACCTGCGGCCACCCCCTCGTCCACCGGTCCACCCCTCTCTCTTTCTATTATTTATTGACTTTTATTTGGTGTTGTCGTAACCGCAGACTTGGCGCGGCTTTCAGGCTTTCAGAAAACAAAACGCACACGAGGGGCCAAGCTGAAACCGAAGACTGGCGGCTCTTTAAAGCCGAGAAAGAAAAGCAAGTCCGAGTTACACAGAAAAGTGGTAGTCGTATTATCTTTTTGTAGCTCGTTTGTTACGAAAATTAATAGGATTTATGGAAACATGATTCTGTCTTCAAAGATAAGTTGCACTTAAAGCTAGAAAACTCTAGAGGAGCCTTGACTTTTTTAGGCAGCTTTTAAACGGATTGACCAGTCAGCCTCTAGAAGTGGCTGGGTATTCAAATCAAATTTGATTTGTAAATAAGTGTGCTTGTTATGCCGCTAACAACACTCGGTTTCGACCAGTGTTGGGCTGCAGCGAGCTGGCTCTGCTCCAGCGAGCCGTTAGTCAACATGGACACCAGCTAATGATACCGCCACACAGCCAGACGAGCACAATGGACATTTGTACTATAGGAGACTTTGCAATGCGACTTGGACAATCGCCCGAAATGGACGTGCCAGCCAAACACCCAACACTCGACTGCCGCACAGAAACACACTTTACGCAAGAATGCAATTGAAAGATGATTTACCAAATTCGAACCCACCAAGTTGGGAGTGGGATTCGGGAAGGAAGGGGGTTTCAGTTCACTTCGCTTGTGTTCGGTGTGGTTCTGGCGATTTTCGCTTTCGCACAAGGAAAATGAAAGGCATTTGAGAGGCCCGGTTTCTCTTTACGGTCACTCCGTTTGTTTCCGCGCCCAGTTTCAGAGCCAAAGATGCCGAGCTGCCGAGCTGCCAAGATCCAAAGCGAGGGCAAACCAGTTGGTTGGGTTGAGACCAGTTCCTCCGACTAACTGGCTAACTGGCTAACTGACTAACTGGCTTACTGGCTAACTGGCTAACTGGCCACACGCGATAAGGAACCTTTTGCGTGCTGCTTTAAGACCCAATAATTTATGCGTCGTTTGCGGACTGCTAAAACATTTAAATAAATAGCCGAAATAAGCCCAAACCAGTTTCACTTTTTTGGATCGGCCGTGTCGCATCTCGATCGCCCGATCTAAGGAGATTAATGCCGGACTAATGGCGGGGGATGTTGCGGGCATTCCGGCCTTTTTGGCCAGTTAGTGACTCGACCTTGAGCACTCCATGCGAGAATGGCTATGACTACAGCTTTCTAACTGTAAGCCAGAGCCGTTGGCAATCGACTCACGATCGTGCCAATTCTGGCCATTTCACCATTTCTCCACCACCATTTCTCCGCCGCCATTAAGGCTAACTGTTCGTGGCCCTCGGGCGATTTGCATAACCCGGCGTTGTGTAAGGTGTTCTTAATGGCGATGCCCCCTGAATGCCTAATCAGGCGGTGGGTAATGGCCCAGAGAACCCGCTAAATCTGAAAGGCATCGGTAATCTGCAGTCCACTGCCAAAAATAAACGTAGGCAAGGTGAGAGGCGCCCAGCTGTAACCTCTGTAATTATTTCAACTCGCTTCCAATAAACAATAACTTCTGGTGCCCCAGAAAATGAAGTGCCTCGTCTTCCCATCACTTCAGCGAACCCTTGTGAATGGGAATGGCGTCGGCTGGAGGTCGGACTTGCTTTCAAAGTCAAGAGAGACTCTTCAAGACGGCTAATAAGTCGCCGGAGTGCAGCCGAAGATGTCAGACAAGTTTTAACAGTTTTATGAGACAAACTGTCTCATCCGAACAATGAATGGGCCGCATAAATTGTGACAGCCGTTGTGAATAATTATGAGCAGCGGGTTAATTGTTAATTAGTTGGCCGGGCAATCGAGTCGAGACTTCGGGCGCATTGTTTGTGTTTCGGACCAGGTCGACTGCCAAAAAGTGGGTCAATGTCAAGACGTGTTTGTGGGCGCCAAAGGGCCATCCGACGACCTCTGTCCGTCGCCCGGCGACCTTCTCTGCGGCCCAATTGGGGAGGCAACAAGTGCCACGTAATGTGTCGAAAGTCGACGTGCCCCCACATAAACCTCAGATTATTAATCGTACATCAAAGCCTGAGCCGTGATTAATTGCCCCTTGTTTCTCTTCTCGTTTGCAGTTTCCACCGCGGTTGCTGCGAATCGCATTTGTGATATGCCTGCTGATCGTCTTGATCTCGCCCTCCGCAGACAGTGCACAGAGTAAGTAAAAAACGTAAAACAAAAAAAAAGGGGAAGGGAAAGGTAATTGGCTAATTGAGTAAAAGGTGGCAAAAAACAAGGGGACACCCGGGTTTGAACCGGGGACCTCTCGATCTGCAGTCGAATGCTCTACCACTGAGCTATATCCCCACTTATATAAAGAGCGAAAATAAACCCAAGAAATCAAAACATCAGCCCCACGATTTTTTCGCGTGGGCGTCTATCTCGTCTATGACTATATTTGGTTCCCCTTTCTTGACGGAAATTGATAAACAACACTGTTTCCTTTACTTTTGTTGTTACTTCTTTGCTGTGATTGCCTTTATCTGCATCACTGTCACACAATTGACTGTTGCTTAACCCCAAAATGTAATTAGTGAAAGTCAGAAGGGCGTGGCAGACAAGCCCATGAAGACAGCATTAAAACTTAATTAAGAGAGATAATTAAAAACGTATTATTCAAAGAAAACAAATGGTTTTGACAAAACAGTGGCCAATATCGTGCAATTAGCAATCTATCTCTACATCAATGATGTGGTGCAGACGAGATGTTAAAATCATTTACATATATCATACACGCATAAGCAACACATACATATACCTTAATTTAGTCACAACGTTTAAAGAAACTAATATCGCACAAAAAACAAAATAAAATCTGTTAAATCACTTGTAGGAAATAATAATAGTTCACTTAGAAACCAAATTGAAGCAATCACATTACCTAATTAAACTCACATGGACTGGGATTCAGTTTCCGTAAAGTTATGTTCTGAATTCTTTTTACGTTGAAACACTTTTTTCCAGTTATTTTTTTGATCGCGATCCTATTCGAAGATTTTTAGTTTGACTCTGCGCGTCATATAGCCCGGCTAGCTCAGTCGGTAGAGCATGAGACTCTTAATCTCAGGGTCGTGGGTTCGAGCCCCACGTTGGGCGAAATGCTTCTTTTTCCATTACGTGTTGTGTTTTTTATATTAAAGACAAAAAGCTGTTTTTATTTAAAAAAAAAAAATGTATTTCGAACAAAAATATTAAAGAAAAATTTCGTATTATTTTAATAAAACTCACCAAAAAGTTTTTTAGAAATTGAAAAATCGCGAATAAAAAAAGTTTCGCCCAACGTGGGGCTCGAACCCACGACCCTGAGATTAAGAGTCTCATGCTCTACCGACTGAGCTAGCCGGGCTATGTGGCGCGACAAGTCAAAATAAAAACACGACATGACGTTCTAATCTTAAGAAGACCAATGTAAAAGTCTCTGGCATTAAGGGGGGAAATACAATTAGAAATTTTTTTTTTCGAAAAAATTTTTTTTGGCTCAATGTACTCTAAATATGTCTGGGAATAAGCCTTTAAAAGCATAAAGCCGTCCGGTACTTATTTTCAAAGTTATAAGCAATTTAGTGAGGGTGTGTCATATGGCGGACATGCACAAAAGTAAACTTTAAACGCTTCTCCTGAAAAGTCGTGTTTTCAAAGTCGCCGTGCAATGTACAGGTCAGAGATTTTATTTTAATCGAATGCGGTTTTTTGCATTATGTTTGAAATTAAATTCTCCACACCATGAATATAGCGGTTTTTCATATTTGTTTGTTATAACATGTTTTTTTTACAATCAAAGTCAAAAAAAATCGTTAGTTGTGAAATTTTTTTTTAACCTAAAATTTTTTAATGGAAAAATAATTTTTTTTAAATATGGTTTAATTCATGGTGTGCGCTGTACCTTTAAGTTTAAAGCCCAGTTGCTTTTTTTTGTTTAAGTCGTGATCCTGGACCTGGAGACTGCACGGCGCAAAGTCCTTCCCTAAAAACACGACTCCACATTATTGATCATAAATGGGCTTAATTACAATATTTTTCAAAAAACTTGACTGATTTTTATTGCTCAATAATTACCCAATAACATGCAAAAAGAATCACTAAGATTCATTTAATACTCTACTTGCAATCCACTCCCAAAGATAGCCCTCATTTCAGGCCTTCTAATTGTATTTCCCCCCTTAACATGTTTGACGATATATGTATATTTGCAAACATTCCCAGATCCTAAAAAAAAAACAAACAATATTAAAAATGGGATCCTAGATAAAAAAAAAAACCTGTGTTCAAAACACAAAAAAACAAGGGGACACCCGGGTTTGAACCGGGGACCTCTCGATCTGCAGTCGAATGCTCTACCACTGAGCTATATCCCCACATTTGGACCACACGGCTAAAGTTCTACTTGAGCACCAAGCTCACAGTTGCGTCTCCAATCAAACATGTTCGCGAGCAACATTTAAGAATTTAACCCACGGCTGGGCACACGATTTTAACAGCGCAGATATTAATAAAACTGCCTTCAATTATACAACGCTTATGCTTGAAGTTAAAAAGTAATTATTTATTGCTCTTGTGCAAACATAAAAATGGTTATTAACACAATCTTAAGCTATCCACAAATTGCATGACAATTTCGTTTAAATTTTCATTAGATCTTAGATGAAGTCAAGGAAAACTGGTTTGTAGCAAGACATAATGCCATAACAGTATTCAGTTTATACAAGGAAATTAAAGTAATTAGGAATAAAAGTTCAAGGCGGAAACTGCAAAAGCAGCAGTCATATTAATTTTGGGCAATCAGTTCTAATTATAACTCACACAGGAAATTCGTAATGGAACAAGTAACCTTTTGAAATTAGGCAAAAAAGTTTACCTAGGGGACACCCGGGTTTGAACCGGGGACCTCTCGATCTGCAGTCGAATGCTCTACCACTGAGCTATATCCCCAAGTGTGACTGCGGGCTCCAACGGAGCGCCCACGTGATAGCTAAACCGTATTTACTACCTAAAATTACAACTTAAGGCGTCTGATAATTAAAAAGACCGTCTCCTTGCCAAACAGAAGATAAGGACTGATCAGAAAAAATATTGCGAGCATAGCGGAGCAAAAAGGTTTACCAAGGGGACACCCGGGTTTGAACCGGGGACCTCTCGATCTGCAGTCGAATGCTCTACCACTGAGCTATATCCCCCAGTTGGAGTTCGACCGCTCAACCGACAACTAGAGGCTCGCCAGCTAATAATAATAGCGTGCGAGGGCGGTCCCGCCCCCTTTGCAACCATATTCAGAATTGAATGGTGTGTGTGGGCTTGCGCAGTGGAAAAATGCAAAAGATACGGCCATTAAATGAAATATTTAAACAGGTTTAGCAATAATTTCGCTTTGTTATTTCTGCAGCAGCAATTCCACTTCATTTAGCGAAATTAAGCAGCGAAATACGACAGAAACCAGTGTGTGACAGCGACTCAATTTAGTCGCTCCATTGACAATTATAAATGTATGTTTATTTGCACAGACTCGAGAGTTATCTACCAGAGATATCATAATTATTAAGACAAAATTAAGTAAATCCCAACGTCACGACTGTCGATGGATTCGAGCTGAAGATACATTAATTTGAAATTATCAACACTCGACGATCGCAAGTGGTTGACAATCCATCGCAATTGCCATTACGATCGCGATTGAGATCGAGATTGCGGCAAACCGTCATTACCATTGCCCCATTGACAACTGATGGGGAGTTCAGTCGGATGACAGGTGCCAGCTACCGTGCCTGTACAGTGAAGCTCTCATTGCTGGGGATTGTGCAATCTGGGCAAGGTCAAGTTGGTCGCTTTGTGGGTCAAATGTGGGCGAACCCATCAAGTCACAGCTTTAGCTTGTAGTGAAATCAACAAATTACTTTCAACTGAAATAGGTTTTGTTTCAAGCAGATGATTTTTCTTAGTCTCTCTTATTACTCTTCTAAAAGTTAGCAACAGAGACTGTGCAAAAATAAAAAAAAATTATGAATTTTTTGCTCACATAATTAAGTTTGCAATGCGGTTTCATTTAACTATTATACTCACATGAACCATAAAAATTGCAGCCAAGACACGGCGACGCCTGCGACGTCCCACCTCGTCGGTCAGCTCCTCGCGGAGCAACCTCATCGATGCCAAGAAGTCCACTGAGGCTCCGGAGGCGGAGAAGCGCGTGGACCAGATCACCTCGGCCACCACCACCAGTGTGCGGCGCACTCGTCTCCGCTCCAAGGCGAAACTGGGAGCAGCCGCCGGAGGAGCAGCGGCAGCCGCCGCAGGAACGGCCTTGGTGGCCAGCGGGTCCTCGCTGAAGGGCAAGAAGACCAAGGTGGACGATGGCTCGCCCAAGATCGTGTGCTACTACACCAACTGGTCGCAGTACCGCGTCAAGATCGGCAAGTTCGTGCCCGAGGACATTCCGGCCGACCTCTGCACCCACATCATCTTCGCCTTCGGCTGGCTGAAAAAGAACAAGCTGAGTTCCTACGAGTCCAACGACGAGACCAAGGACAACGTGCCCGGCCTGTACGAGCGCATGATGAACCTGCGCAAGGCCAACCCCAAGCTAAAGGTGGTTTATTAATCGGAATTCAAACAAAACAGTATGTTAACTGATATACTTGCACTTTCAGATACTTCTTGCTCTGGGAGGCTGGTCCTTCGGCACCCAGAAGTTCAAGGACATGTCCGCCACCCGCTACACCCGCCAGACCTTCGTCTACTCCGCCATTCCCTTCCTGCGCAAGCGCGGCTTCGACGGCCTGGACATGGACTGGGAGTACCCGAAGGGCTCCGACGACAAGAAGAACTTCGTCCTTCTGCTGAAGGAGCTGCGCGAGGCCTTTGAGGCGGAGGCCCAGGAGCTGAAGAAACCCCGCCTGCTGCTCTCCGCCGCCGTGCCCGTGGGCCCCGACAACATCCGCGGGGGCTACGACGTGCCCGCCATCGCCAGCTACCTGGACTTCATCAACCTGATGGCCTACGACTTCCACGGCAAGTGGGAGCGGGAGACGGGCCACAACGCCCCGCTGTACGCCCCTTCCACGGACTCCGAGTGGCGCAAGCAGCTGTCCGTGGACAACGCGGCCAGTCTGTGGGTCAAGATGGGGGCTCCCAAGGAGAAGCTGGTCATCGGCATGCCCACCTACGGCCGCTCTTTCACCCTGGCCAACCCGGACAAGCACGGCCCCAACGCGCCCGCTTCGGGCGGAGGACGCGAGGGAGTCTACACCAAGGAGAGCGGTTTCCTGGCCTACTACGAGATCTGCGAGATGCTGCTCAACGGCGCCGTCTATGTCTGGGACGACGAGATGAAGGTGCCCTACCTGGTGGACGGGGACCAGTGGGTGGGCTTCGACGACGAGCGCGCCATCCGCAACAAGATGCACTGGATCAAGTCGAACGGGTTCGGAGGCGCCATGGTCTGGACCATCGACATGGACGACTTCAAGGGCGAGGTCTGCGGCGGAAACGTCAAGTATCCGTTGATCGGAGCCATGCGGGAGGAGCTCCTGGGCATCTCGCGCGGAAAGGAGGCTAAGGATGTCAACTGGACGGCGGTTGCTGCCACATTCGAGGATATTGAGGAGGTTGGTTTAACAGCACACATCAATATCTTCACAGTTAATCACATCTTCGACGATTTTATGACACCGGTTAATCCACTTTATTTGTCATCCACATCTTAAATACATTTTTAATGGTTTCCAAGTAAACCAAGTGTATTTATAATTTCTTTAAGTAAACTTTTCTAACAAATGAAATCACTTTCGCTCCAGAAACCCGAACCCATCAAGATTTCTGTGGATGAGATCCTGAACAAGGTGCGCAAGCCGCAGGTCCTGAAGAAGCAGCGCATCAAGGGAGGATCAGTAGCTGTCGACACCAACAGTAAGTAGTTGGATAACAGCATAACACAATCAGAAGCTAATACCTCTGGATTCCCGCAGCTCGTCCCGCCCAGGTGTTCTGCTACCTGACCAGCTGGTCGGCCAAGCGGCCGGGAGCCGGAAAGTTCCAGCCGGAGAACATCGACCCCAAGCTGTGCACCCACATCGTGTACGCGTTCGCCACCCTGCAGGAGTACAAGCTCACCGAGGCCACCGACGACGACCCGGAGAACTACGAGAGCGTGATCGCCCTGCGCGACGCCAATCCCGACCTGCAGATCCTGCTGGCCATCGGGGGCTGGGCCTTCGGCTCGACGCCCTTCAAGGAGCTCACCTCGAACGTCTTCCGGATGAACCAGTTCGTCTACGAGGCCATCGACTTCCTGCGCGACTACAAGTTCAACGGCCTGGACGTCGACTGGGAGTATCCGCGTGGCGCCGAGGACCGGGTGGCCTACGTCAGCCTGCTGAAGGAGCTGCGCGTGGCCTTCGAGGGCGAGGCGAAGTCGTCGGGTCTGCCGCGCCTCCTGCTCACCGCCGCCGTGCCCGCCTCCTTCGAGGCCATCGCCGCCGGCTACGACGTGCCGGAGATCTCCAAGTACCTGGACTTCATCAACGTGATGACCTACGACTTCCACGGCCAGTGGGAGCGCACGGTGGGCCACAACTCGCCGCTGTTCGCGCTGGAGTCGGCCACCGGCTACCAGAAGAAGCTCACCGTCGACTACAGCGCCCGCGAGTGGGTGAAGCAGGGCGCGCCCAAGGAGAAGCTGCTCATCGGCATGCCCACCTACGGACGCAGCTTCGAGCTGGTCAACGACACCCAGTTCGACATCGGGTCGCCTTCCTCCGGCGGCGGCAAGGCCGGCAAGTTCACCAACGAGGCCGGCTTCCTCAGCTACTACGAGGTGTGCTCCTTCCTGGCGGCCGACAACACCACGCTCGTCTGGGACTCGGAGCAGCAGGTGCCCTTCGCCTACCGCGGCAACCAGTGGGTGGGCTTCGACGACGAGCGTTCCCTCAAGACGAAGGTGAATTACTTAACTTAAATCACCTCAACCAAATCATTGTGGTAACTTTTACTATGTATTATTCACAGACCGAGTGGCTGAAGGAGCAGGGCTTCGGAGGCATCATGGTGTGGTCGATCGACATGGACGACTTCTCCGGCCGCTGCGGCAGTGGCAAGTACCCGCTGCTGACCGCCCTCAACGACGAGCTGAAGGACTACAAGGTGGAGCTGGAGTACGATGGACCCTATGAGTCCCACGGCCCACGAGGAGCCTACACCACCAAAGATCGTAAGTGTGCCACACAAATTGAACTTGGAACAGTTAACATAACCACTTTCGCCAGCTCACGATGTCACCTGCGCGGAGGAGGACGGACACATCAGCTACCACAAGGACTGGGCCGACTGCACCCACTACTACATGTGCGAGGGCGAGCGGAAGCACCACATGCCCTGTCCCGCCAACCTGGTCTTCAATCCCCAGGAGAACGTCTGCGATTGGCCCGAGAACGTCGAGGGCTGCCACGCCCCCACGGAGGCGCCCGCCTAGGAGCTCCGTCTGCAGATGTTGTGCAGAATTGTTAATATTATGAAATCGATGCCCTAGATTTAGTCGTAATGCGAAACTGCCACGAAACTCTTTTGCTGCCGCCGCCCCTTTTCCCCACTAACTGCGAAAATACTCGAAGTCTTGCTAAATTTCGGCTGAATTTTTTTACACTAAACATAGGTCTAGCTAGTACTGTAAGTAGTTTTTATGTCTTAGTTACCAATTCGCACCCACAACCAACCAGGATGAATGAGCAACCCGAAACCCCAGGACTACTTTCTGCCAGGCCCGAGCAACCAAGCCACCAACTAACTTTCGCATTTCCGAATGACTCGTAACAAAATGGTTTATACGGAGGGAGCCCGAAACCTCCGTATAGCAAACTGTGATAATCATAAGAGAGCAACCAACCAGAAATCGGCCCAGAAGTCACTATCGAAATTTTGTCCAAAAACAGTTTCCTCTACAACACAGAGTTCCCTGCCGCTTTGCCCCGCCCCAGGCCTCCATCTCATTCACAATCTGAATAATACAAACTGGCACAGAGAAAATTGTACATTTTCAAGTTTTAACAATAAATTTGTATTATAGAGTTGTAATTACGTAGTTAAAATAAAAAACAAAAAAAAACCACAAAGTCGAATTCCTCCGAAAACCAACTAAGGGAACACCACTCCTTATAGAGAAATAATTCCAGTTTCTCAGATTTACTCCACTTCTCACTATCTCACATTTATTCCTTATGGCCCCAGTCTTGCGACAGGGCACTACTAAAAATTATTTTAGACTCATTAGAGTGCTCCTCTCCACGGAAATCTTTAGTAAAAGGCGAAAGATTTATTCGACAATTGAAGAGAAACCAGAGTGCCTGAACCACAATTCTCATCCGCTACTCCATGCCGACGCTGCTTGACCGGGTTGGGAATTATAACCAGAGAGCAACGTTTTTTGTAAAAAGCTGTTGCCGTCTCTTGGGCTGAAAGTGAACCCTCCCTTGAAATGGATTTTGTGAGCGCTTTGTTTAAATGCTCCCTGCGATGAGAAAATCGAGAGTTTTCACGGCTCGCAGTGCGCAAGTCCCCAATTTTCCTGCCTTCTCCACTCTTATATGCCTCTTATTTATTTCCACCTTATATATGCCTCTTATATTTTGCCACCTTAGCGGAGGTTACTCATTGCGACCAAATCTATAACTTGTATAAGTATTCCACAAACAGACGGATATTAAAATCCAGAAGTAGGTACAATAAATAAACACTCGCTACATTTAAAAATTTTATTATTTTTTTATTGGTTTTTTCAAAAAGTTTTTTACAGTTTGTTTTTCGTTTCAATTAAATAATTAGTCTTACGTTGATGTACACAATAATTTAAAAATAAAGTACACAGTAATCTTGACGAACAGAAAGAGAGATAAAAGTACAAAAGTGTAAAAAATCAAGAAAAATATTGTAAAACTTGAGTAGAACCAAATTGCATAAACCGTCTGATCTGAATAAATCGAGTAGCCAACAAGTACAAAATTAGTATAAATCACACTAAGCTGGTAAACGAACCGCAGCATCTACTGATTTGAATTATTAGTACTCTTGTATAACACTTAGGATAAATTGCCAAAATTGGAAATTTTCTTTGAGGAATTTCGAGCGGACTCTATAAAATTGGATCCTTTAGATTTGATTCCTTCCGCCGTTCTTTCGTTGCAACAAAAAATGATATCAATATGCAGTTTTCGGGAGTCTCGAAATCAAACCGTACTTAATATGTATTTAAAAGTTCCTTGCTTTCCATTTCATGTGACTTGGTGGTGGTGCGGAGTAGTTGAAGCCTTTAGTAATCATCGTTCTCTCGGTTGGGTGATATGCGGCCGCGCAGGCGCAACGCGACTTTCGGACTGGATGGGATTACGGATTACAGCGGGGAGGAAGAAGGAGCTTTACAACTAGAGACAGACTTTCATTAGCAAAATATTGTACTCGGATGTTCAGCGCGTGCGTGGCAATTCACATTATGCTTCACTTAGATCATTTGAGAGCGCATTTCAATATGGATGTATCACGCTATTACGCTATTGGCCTAGACAATTTCGTTTCGATTTTAATTGCGGTCTCGGTTTCGTTTCGGTTACAGTTTTAAGAGTTTCTCATTTTCATTTTCAGTTTCTGTTTCAGTTTTAGTTAGATTGAGTATCTCGTTGAGCTACTTTCTAGAGTCGCGCTGTGCGTCGCTTTGCATGTTCCATGAACCAACATTTACATTTTCTTTACAAATACATAGTTTCACATCTCATTTCGTTTTCATTTTGTTTTTGTAAACTTTTAAATTGTATTTAGAAAATTTGTGTTTTTCTTTTTAAAATATTTTGCTATAAAAAATACACAGTTTGAAAAATAAAAACGTTTCGCGGTCGTCCTCATTCTGCCCGTCTGCGCATTTATTTCGCTTCTGCATTCTGCTCCACTTTCCAGCGGCTTTCCAGCTTCTCTTCCACACTTTTACTTTCTTTTTGTTTTTGCTTTTGTTTTCGTTTGCTGTAGGGGAGAAGAGGCAGGCGATAATTGTCAGACATGCTTTATAAACATTTGATGTGGTTCCTTGTTCGCTTTCTTACTTTCTCTACGTTTCTCATAATCCTTATCCATCTACTCTGCATTGAAGGTTTCTTTCTTTTTTTGTTGTTGCTCAACGATTTTGCTGCACTGCACTGTTGCAATTTTTGTCATTACAGTTATTTATTGTTGCAAAATTTTACAATTTTTTTCTTTCGATTTTTTAATACATATTTATAAATACTTTCATCCTCTCTTAGCTCTGTAAAAATAGATCCATGTTTTCTCGGCTCTTTCGCTTGATTTCTTTTTCCCTTTTTATGTGTTTTTGCGTTTTTTTTTAACAAATTTTTCAAATTTTGTTGCTTTTAAGTATGTTTTTTCTTGCTTTTTGTTTGTTTGCGTTTTTTTGGATTTTTGAGTTTTTCTTTTGGAGAGATTTCGTTTTCAAAAAGTGGTTGTTGGTTTATTTGTTGTGGTTGTGGTTGCTTCTTTGTATTCTTTAGTTTAAATGCCTAAAATTTAGTTAAGAGCTAACATAACATTGGATATCGGTTTTCATCTTTTTTCGTTTTTTTAGTTTTCTTTTCTCGGCTTGGCTTAACAATAAACATCTTCGTACTTTACTTTACGGTTTACGGTTTACGGTTTACGGTTCTCAAAATGTCTTAGTCGTAATGAATGTTTCGCTTAGAGGCTAATCCGTTTAATCGTAGTCGCTTTGTGGTCATGCGGAGGGTGGCTAAGTGAGCTGCGCGTGTTTTCAGTGAGCGGGATCCGTGATCCGTTTCCCGCTTCCCATTGTGGGTCTCAGTTGGCCCGAGGTGCTCAGTTGGCCGCACTTGACATCAGTTCGGAGAAAGCGTTCTCCAGACAATTCTTGAGTTCAGCATAGGAGACGATGAGTACCGATTGCTCGTCGCGGGACATAAGTTGCACCTGCAATGCCAAGCGGTTAGCAAGTGGTTAGCTCGTTGCAATCTCTGTGGCTGCGGCCGACTTTACTGCACTTCCGACTTTACTTACGCGCTCTATGGAGCCTGCATCCAGCTTGTTGAGGCATTGTACAATGTGTGCGTGATCCAGCCAGGGCCGGCCATCCTCAGTCACGGAATGGAACAAAAAATCACGGAATAATTTCAACATGTATCTATCACCAGTCTCGGACCATGTGCAGTCCAGATTGAAGCTGAAAGGAAATCAGTAGTTTTAATCCACCTTAATTTGAAGCCTTGAATCGATAACCGACTGAGGCTCTCACACTTACTCTGGCCGATCGTTGATGCTGTTCAGCTTGACCAAAATGCGATACAGGCGTCCGTTCTCCATCTCCTTTGCCAGCTCGTCCTCCTGCATGTCGATTTGGCTCTGCAGGGCGTCCAGCTGCGTGTAGAAACGGGCCCCGATCATGGGCATCAGGTCGGTCACCGAGCGCCGGTTGTTCGTGGTGAAGAGGTAACTGCGGATCAGAGTGGTTAGTCCACTAGCCAGTAAAAAAGGCATGCAAGGCTATGTCTGCTTACACTATGAAGTTTCGCAGATCGGTGGAGTAGTTTCGCGTAACCATATCGATGCTCGACTGGACGTTGTCGCGTTGCACGGACTGGAGGCAGCGGCAGGCCAGCGCTAATACTAAGCGACCCAGAGCAGTCAGATCGTCCTGAGGGCATAGAAGTAGTTTTAATATTTATCCATAAAGCGGGAGAATGAGGGAATAGTTCACCTGCTGGTGCATGTTAACCAGGGCCAAGGGATTGGCCGCATTCGGGTCGAACTGCGTGATGTCCGAGATGCAGCAGGAGCTAAACCGCACCCGCTTGCCCGTCACTATGATCTTAGTGGGATCCAGGACCCTGAAACAACAGATCAGTAAGTTCCATCCCGAAAAGGATTATGTGGAGCACCTACTTGCAGGCAAGACCCGCGTGGTGGATGGCTTTCAGGCCGGCGGTCAGCTGCATGATGATCGACCAGATGGTGGCCTCCGGCAGCAGTTGTCCGTTGCTCGTTCGATTCATGTTGCTCTTATGACTGCAGGGGATTCTTGTTAGTGGATGGCAACTTGACCTCCTCGGGAGATAGAGAACTCACCTGAAGGGGCGGGCCTCGCCTTGGAATGGATCAGTGTACCCGTTGGTCTCTGGCGCCGGCGTGAAGTATTTGGCCAGTAAAGTTTGTGAGCCGGGATAGTAGTCGTACACTAATACTAAAGCTGTGGGTGCCCCAAAAAAACATTATTCATATGGAAAGGGTTTTCCTTACACCTTAACTAACCAAACATCCCGTATTGCTTATCAAGAGCTACTATATTTTATCGGAATCAAGGTTAACGCGCTCTTTATCAGTGATTACCGAGTTATCTATTATTTATTTTGCTCTGCATAGTTAAGATTAAGTGGTCCTAAGTGGCTTTTCCATAAATAGTACCATTATCGCATAGATTCTAAGTTGACATATCGCAACCTTAAGCAAGTGACTTGGGAAATCCCACAAAGGAAACCACCTGGCGAATCTGTTATCACGGTCTAACATCGTCCTCGAATCCCAGAGGCAGCATTAAGCACACACCTATAGGCTATAGCTCTACCCAACGGCTCGAGAGAGCGCTCCCCACTTACAGTTATCACCAAATGCTTTCGTCGTGAACACCTCGCGCAGTTGCACCACGTTCGTGTGCTGCAGCTTCTTCCACATCTCCACCAGCGTCATGCACTTGGTCGACTGCAGGCGGAAACCTAAAGATAAAGTCACGTTAGTTATTTGAAAAAAACTTTGGGAATGCAACTGCTCACCGTGTAACCTTCGCAGGCAGTACTTGTAGCCCGTCGTGTTGTGCGTGGCCCGGTAGGTGCTGGCGGGGAGCGTGAGCTTGACGTGCATCGGCTGGGCCGGCGGCTCGAGCGGATACAGCGCGTGGTAGTTGTCCACCTCCAGCGGCAGGGCGTGCTGCGCGGCCTCCGCTGCGTCCATTATCAGGTTGGAGATCTCGTTGCGGGCAAGGATTTCGGAGCGCATCTCGTCCGGCATGAAGAAGGCCGACTCCAGTTGCGTCTTCGGCTGCAGGGTGACCACGTTGGAGGAGGGCCCCGGGTACACGTGCCCCGCGTACATCATGCTGGCCGGAACCCCGCCGCTCATCGGCGCCACCGAACTCACGCCATGGTGAGCGGGGTGCGAGTTGTCCACCAGCACGGAGTTGCCGACGGGCTGGTTGTTCTGTGCGTTGGCAGTCGGGTAGAAGTAGATGGTGCCGCCCACGTTCTCCTGAGGAGCGAAATTAAGCGGTGATTAGCAAGGAAGCTCTGCAAAATATCGATCTGATAAAAAACGCACCTGGTGGACGCTGGTGGGCAGCGATGTGGGAATGGGCGAGGCTCCGTGGGGCGTCATCCCGTGGGGCGGGGACTTCTCGCCCGCCAGCATGGCCGTCGTGGGCGACTCCTGGCGCAGCAGGGCGCCCCTCCCCTTGAGCGGCGTCTGGGCGGACAGGCTGCTGACGAAGGGGGGCGGCGGCGGGGTTCGGCGGAGCTCCGCTAATCGCGATGGGGGCGGAGGCGGCGGACACCGCTCCACCGCCCACCGAGGGCGGGTGCTGCTGCTGCTGCTGCTTCTGTGGGTGCTGCTGCTGCTGCTGCTGTTGTGCGATGGTGACTGTGGAGATGGAGGCGGACTTCTGCAGCGAGAGCATGGAGGCTCCGCCGTTGCCCGACTTGCTGATGGTCACCGAGGCGGACACCGATGTCGTGGAGGAGGAGGGAGCTGCGGCTGCCACTGCTGACGTTAACCCATTGACGCCGTTGAGCCCATTACTCAGTTGGATGGGCGCGTTGTGATATGGTGCGTAGAAGTTGGGGTTCGAGTTTAAGCGCGTTGGAATGAACTCGGGCGACTGCGGCGTGACCTTTGGGAATCGATCGAGAACTTTTTGTTAGTAAATCGTTAGTGAATCACTCTTTTGATCTTTGATTTGCTTGATTTCGGCAAGGATATTCCATGCAGACCTAACTCATTTTAACTGCCATGAAGTGCATGAAATCTGGTGCTATTTTCTTAAATGTAAACTTATTCGAGCACCAGACATTAATACAACATTCATTTATTCATGAAAGAGTATCAGTATATCCTGCATTGTACAATATCTTGCCGAACCCAAGAACCAACCCTGTAAGTAACACACAGTGGGACATTTGTACACATTCTGTGGGATAGGATGGTATATTCACTAACTACTACACTAATGGGATAAGATAAACCTCTACTGAAACATTTACACGTCTAACGCACTTTTTGGGGGCCACAAAGACATGGGGAAGGGAACCAGATGATTACGGCTTTACCTGGGACTTTTTATTCAGGGGCGAGTCCAAGTTAAGTAGTGAGAACCCGTTATTCAGCCCATAACCGCTCGATGTGGCGACATTCTGTCGATTCTGAGATCGGAGATCGGATCGGAGTAGACGGATAGATAGAAGTTCAGAGAAATACAAAAAGAGAGTAGTGAGATATTCAGTTTTACTGGGGGATCAAAAATTAAAGATAGTAGAGCAAGTCTTATTGGGATAACAGGAATTAAAGGAATTATAGATGTGGTTAAGAAGAAGCAATCAAATCAAAGTTAAAAGATTTTGCTTAAATCATTTTAAGTTTCCCGTTTGTGTACAGTCTGCTACAGATACTTCCTCTGCAAAAAGAGTGCTTGTCCCGTCTATGCACCCATTATCTTATCGAAAGTCCACAACTTGAAATATCAGACATTGCAGTGCCCATTAAAATTAGCTACAGCGTCATCTACTAAATGTGCTTTACTAAGAATTAAAGAAACTGTTCAGCCGCATATATTCATTATCCAGATCAGTAGGAAATTTATGTGAAATTTATTATTTGAATTCTACAATTGAATGCACGCCTTTAATGCCATTAAATTCCGTGTATTTTTCCATTAGTTTACTTGCATAGCAATTATGCGACTACCACATTAACGTTTAATTGCTAATAATTTCCGAACTGTTTAGCTCGCAAAAATCGTATGCAATAAAAAATCCATGCATAAACGCAAATTGATATTTAACGTTCGTATTCGACTTATATGGCACTTTGTGTGTCAGTGGACCCAAAAATAAAAAACCGAAAAAGTCGGTCAAGTGTATATTATGTGCGACTGAGCGTTGAAATTGAAATGGTTCGAGTAAATTGAGTGAAAACAAATAAAGCATAATTAAAAATACTTGAGCAAACGTGGCCAGCTGTTAAATTGGGGGCCAACAGCTGTTTTCAGTGGGTGGCTTTTGTTGGGGTGTCAAAATAGTCCTCCCCAAAACTGTTATCGCCTTGCTTTTGTGCTTGGCTTTCGGGGGAACTGTGATAAAAGGTTTGTGGAGGGAGGAGAGGGGAGGCACTAACTTACCATATAAGTAGCGAGTTTACTTTCTGACGGTATACCATTCGTTGGCGAGAAGAAAATTGGATCCATAGCAGCCGTATCTGGAATGGGAGCAAAGAGAGGGGGGGTTATATTAAGAGCTGCGTTACACACGATAATTGATTAGAAATCAATTAAACAAACATCAACAGGAATTGGATGGGCTGGCTGTGTGTTTGGGCGATAAGCCTACCCCATCAAACTATTCCGCACTCCGCACTCCGCACCCCGTTTCCCACAGTGAAATTCTTTTTTGTTATGTTCCTTGTTATTTTCCATGGTTATCGATACGACGATAACGCGTAGGCCCCAACATTTTTGGAGTGTGCGCAATATATTGCTGTTCTGCTTCTGCTGCTGCTTCTCCCGCTTTTTGTTTTCGAGGCTCCAGGTCGAAGCAAATAAAAGCCAAGACGCAATTTGTGCGGTAAACAACAGTGCCGCCAAACTTAGAGTTTAGCAATTCGCACATTTAAAAAGATAATACAGCTGAGTATATGTTGTTGTCGGAACGGATGGGCTGTATAGTAGATGAGCGCTGAGGTTGCTCAGGTTGCTCAGGTGTTAAATCACTATACCTTCCTCCTATGTAGACGACTCGGAAGCAGCGGCGTCATGACTAATCGGCGTTCCTATGCTGTGTTCTCGATTTGCCCAAAAGTTCTCTGAATTTCGAACGCCTTCTCCACCGGATATTCGAGTGTTGAATCAATGCTAATGCTAAGCACACTCGTACTCGTACTCGATTCGAATGCAAGTGACTTTGCTCTGCCAAACCGAAAGTGAAAAATTCAATTTCAAAAGCAAAACATTTGATTCGGGGTACGGGGCCAATGCCTCTTGCCAATGTACGAAGAGAAAACAAGTGATATTGGCCTTGAATTCGCTATATAGCCTATACACGAATACGTAAAACTTTTTATATTTATATGGAGCAGGTTGTGTTCGGAATTCGTGCAAATTCGGGGGCAGACGACAGTCGAGAATATATTTATTGACTTAATCCCCATAGGCCAAATTGGGGTTTTTTCTTTACATATCAAATTAACAATAACTTATCTCGAGGTGCGTTTTTTCCATTCAGTTTTAAAAATCCATGTATATAAGGTTGTAATCTACATTTTAAATTATATTTATAATATGTACTTCCAAATAATCCAAATGGAATTTTATAAACCTTATCGCCTTTTTTTATATGTAAAAATTCAGTTTCCAAAAAACAAACGTTTTAAGCTTTGTTTTAGAGCAAATTTCACTTCAAGATCAAGTTTAAAAGTAAAAAAAACGTACCGATAATTAGTTGTTTTCTGTGAGAACTTTTAAATTGAATGTTTCTATTGAAGGGTACCAAGAATTCGAAAACGCAAATTATGTTTACAAAATGCGAGATTATGGTTGCTGTTGATGACGCTGTAGCCATATAAGCAATAATTCGTATGCCGATTTTATTTATTTGACTTCGAATTGGAAAACAAACACACGAGCGAACAAAACGCGAGGCAATTTAATTGAATGCCTATGTTAATGATAATTATTATGTGTGCTTTTATTTATTCATACTTTGTGCACTGGACGGATTAATTAGGGAGCGGGAGCGGAAAGGGGGCGATAACCTGTTAAGGCGGGCGCAACAGTTTGGGAGCCACAATCAGGTGTTGTTCACTGTTTGACAGGCAGAAACTTACTTGAACATGGCCAGAACCAAAGTTGTCTTTACTTTACATAAATCGCTAGCCACTGGTTGTTTGTTGGCATGACGTCGACAGAAACACTATATAGCAATGTCTATATTTTAGGGTTTACGTGAGCAAGTTCGGTGCTCCGCTATATACGTGGGTACACATAGAAAACCGATGATTATTGGGCCGTTGCCTTATGCTGCGTTTCGCGGCGAAATGGACAGCTTTAGCTTTGTTTTGCTTCAAAGATCACGAACGCGTTCATGAAAACGCCACACTCAGATATATACGCTCGGCTATATATCTTTATCTATATATGTATATGGGCAGTCCCACGTTTGGGTAGCAGGCCAAACAATAACAAAAAGTGCGCTGTTACGTCACGTACGGTGAATATGTAGATGTGGCAGAGCGGTGGAGCGGTGTCCACCCTTTACCGTTCACCGTTTACCGCCAAGCGCGCACTTTGTTGCGATTATTCAGAAGGGAGAGCCGCGTAATTGTCGCAGTGTTTTTGCCTTCGGTCGGCGTAAGTGTAATGAATATGCAAGCGGTGGAATAACACATCGGATCGGATCGTATCGGTTCAAATCGGCGGACCATCGATCGCTCCACGAACCGAGCGACAGCGCTGCGTTCTCTAAACTGAAAGCCCCAGCCGCTTTTTTGCTTGGGGAAACGCGGCAGCAAACGACTGCGCACAGTGGTCAAAGTAAAACAAAATCTGAATGCAAATTTTGTCTTTGATAAGAACATCTTCTGCAGTCGATTGAAAATACAAAGTGTTTTTCTTTAAGCGGAATTTTTTTTTTTTTTTTTTTATTCACTGCCAACGCCAATTTGTCCTACTGTTCCTTGGTAGAGAAGAGAGAGAGATAGTGAGCGTTTGGGGGCCAAGCCAAAAGCAGGAGTGAGCGAGAGCGAAGCAAGTTGCTCCCATAGTGCGTCTCAAACTGTGTGACGATGACAGACGAGCGGCAAAGACAAAGTGGGCGTGTGGTGGTGTGGGGCCTGCTCGCTTGTCCGCCCGATTAACTGTAAATATGTGGCCGCAGCTGCAGTAGTTGTTGCTGTTTTGGCATTGGCATCTTCTAACCTGAATCTTCATTAACTTTAAAACTGATGCTTATCCCCGAAATTATTTACCTTAATTTTTTAATCGTTTTAATTCTTAATTTTTTAATCGTTTTAATTCTAGAGGTCGGTCTTCCACCAAAATTGAACTTGGCTCTATTAATCCTATTCGCTACTTTCGCATAAATAATCATAGGTTTCCAATAGTGGTAGTTTCAGTTACTTTGGCTTCACTGTAATGGGAAAGATCAAGCTCTGCAGGCACACGCGCAACAGTAAGAACAATGAAAACCCATTGGCGTTGTTTGTTTGTTTATTTCTCTCACAGCAACCAAGTGCTTACAGTTTGAGAAGCGCCCAGCCTCGGTTCCAATGACCCTTAAAACTCTTGATCAGAGAAAACTGCATTATGATCATGCAGCGAGAAAAATAGCCAGATCTCTGACTTAACATTCTTAAAAATAATAATAATAAGAAATAAGTTTTATCTAGTTAAACTCTACTCCATTTTAACATTTTTGTTTATCTCGAGTTTTAAAAGAAACTAACCCTGCGATTATGAATATTTTTTTCTGTGCAATCATGTGTTTGCCCAACGCCGAAACGAGTATTTTGCGGATTCTAATTATGAGAGTGGGGCGTTCAAGGGGCTGTAAGCGATCATCTGATAAGTTCACATCCAAAGGGGGATAGTTGGAAGAGCGGGACGAGGGGGGGCACGCACACACGTGGCCATCGCTTTATGGCATGCAAAGCTGTCGGTGTAATAATAATTCACTCGCACACATTTGTAAGTACATTATAATGAAATATTTATAGCCAAGGCTTTGGCTTCATTATCAGTCCAACCGCAGTCAAACGCTAACACACTCTGGTCTATCCACAAACACTGAGGTATGTAGCTATAAGGTATACGAATTGGTAACTTCAAGCACATGTTAATTGATTTCCTGTTTGAGATCATAAGAAACTGATAAAAACTTATATTAAGGAGCCCCAATGCCAATAACGCGATCCTCTGGCAAAGAGACATTTAAACTAAAACGATAAGAGTCATTCAACCCCAATGGTTTCAAATTGGAAGCCTATAAGACTGATGCTTTCTGAAATAGATAAGAGAAGTTAGGGGTCCGTCAAAGAACTTGGCCAACAAGCTCAGGAGTAAGTAATTAGATTAATGTTACAATATTCCATTTAATCACTGATTTGTTTGATGATGTTTCTAACGCTTCGTGTATTTATGCTTGCAAGTAAAATTTCCTTAAATTGAAATTAAACTGTTCCAACATTTTCCCACCAGTTTCTCCCTCTGACGGCCTTATAAATATTCCATTGGAGAGAACCCATCCATCGAGATTGTTCTTCTGCGCGGCTTCTGTTCTCTTGGCCGCGTCACTAAACTTGGCCAACAGAACCGTAAACCGCTTGTCAATCGTTTTTACTGCTGATCGCAATCTGAGCTTGATATCGGGCAGAGCTAACCTCAGAGAGCTGCGAGCTGAGCTGTTTTATTTTTTTCGTCTTGGCCAACAGACAAGTTTGGTTGGTTTACTGCCAGCGGCAAAAAAGCAAAAGCAACAGCAACAGCAACGCCAAGCGGCAGTAGCAACACGGCAACAGAAACAGCAACAGTTTGACCCAATTTTTCGCTGAGCAACAACAGCTGCTTTCAATCATAGACGCTTGAGCCGAACAGCTGTGCAGCTGAGCTTCAAGCGGGGGAGGTCAAGTCGAGGGGTTTAGGGGGTAGATCATATCAACTAGATATATCTCCGCAAACTTAACATAACACTGGGCAACAAAACAATTGCGAAAGCCGCAGCGAAAACGAAAACGTCCGAAATGTAAATTGTGTGTAAATATGTACACATGAAATTAAGCCTACTCGCTTTTTTATTTATTTATTCGCCGTTCGTATTCATTTTCGTATGCATGCGATTTCGACAGCGTGAAGTTTTAAATTTTCGAAACGCGGCCATCGAGTTGACAAAGAAAAAAGTTGGACGGGATGAACGGGGGAGGGGATTACTTGGGGGGTGACACCAGTAGCGGAAGTTGTAAATGTGAAGCGAGCCGCAAAATGATATGCAGACTGGGAGAACGACACAGTCCAACTTCCAACTAATTTGGTTGGGGAAGCTCGAAACTAATTCAAAACAGGTTTAAGGTAAAGCAATATATTCTTTTAATCGAAGTTAAGTGAATATCATTTATTGTCTGATAAGTTACGTTTTAATTCAAAGCTTGTTACGCGGTTAAAAATACTTCCGTTAGACAGGAAGTCGACTTTCAAATAGAAAAATAGCTTAAACTCAATCTTCTCCGGCAGGAAGTGGACACTAAATTAGCTGTTTTAATGCTTTCGTGAAACTAAAAAGAACTTTCGAAGGCGTTGATACCATTGAAATGTTATGTTTCCATCCTTTGTTTTTAATTTACGCATAAAGATACGGAAGCTGGCAGACAAAATAATGAAATTTTTTCAGCCCCTTTTTTTTTGTATGTGTTTCAGTTTTAGAGCCACCACTTGATTGATGACCTAGTGTGATTGACGGCAGAAGCAGAAAAACTCTACCTTGGGGGGTTAACACATGTCACGCATAATATTCCGATTCTCCACTTTTTTTTCTTTATCGCTCCACTTTTCCAGCGCGTTAACCGTTAAGACCTCCACACCACACACATACGCACCGAAGCACTCACAAATTCGCATATGATAATTCCAAAGACACTGGCGTAGGTGTCGAAAAAAGGGGTCGTGGGTTAACTGGCCTTTCGAGAAACCCGCCGTTTGCTAACGCTCGCGACCGTTGCCAAGGAATGACTAACAAAAACACAGACAAAGTGAGCAGAGCGAGAACTGAGATTTAGAGAGACACGCGAGAAAAAATAAAAAGCAAACACCTCTCGACACAAAAACACGAAGCAAAGTGCAAAAGCAAACAGCCAAGCGCAACAATGCGAGAACAGCAAAAACAAACAGAAAAAAACGAAACGAAATCCCCAACGAAGCGAAACAAAACAGCAAAAGGCAAAAGACAAGAGCGCGTGATAATACAGTTTTGGAGGCACCCGGCACCCCAGATAATTCTGAGTGTTGTCAGAAGAGGCTGAAAATTTGTGATAATGCCAATTGGAAAAGTGGAGGAGGGCAAACACGACTCAGCGATAACCAATGTGTAGATTAACTAACAATCTGTTCCTATTTAAAATTAATTGAATTTGAAAATTATCAGCATTTCATTTAATTGGTTATATTCTTATTCCTGTATTATTTGTTATGTATAAGTCTGGATTAAATTGATCCATCTCCATATGAAAGAGTAGAGAAAAGTTAAGATCTACGTGGGCCACTTGTTCCTTATGATTCCCCTCCATTTGCATGAAACACACCGGAAATCCGTGCAGACGACCGGCGTGGAACTGAAGATAATGACACCGACCAAGGGCAATAAAACGGGCCGACATTCGGTCCTCCACTGCGAGATGGCCATATTGTGCGGCGCGTGTCCGTGCCACGCACTTGGCCAAATTGCTTTATGGCCACTAGACTGTGGGCACGGGCCCAGCGGCGTATTTACGAGATATTCTAGGGACACATCCCTCTATAATGGCAGGAAAATGCGAAATGGGAAATGTGGCGGAAACCACCCCGTCGTATGAGTAATGCGTGTGTGCGCAGCATTGTGGCCCAAGGGCGCAATGTGATATTTGGCAAGGCAAGAAGCGAATGCGAAATTAAATAGCCAAAGAGATGGCAAGGCCGAAAGGGGGCGTGTGGAGAAAGGCGAAGAAAGACGTGGGAAACACAATGCTAGTGTCATTATTAGCCACTTGCCAAAAGGAAAGGCGAAGAGCGAAAATATTCAGAAGACTGGTGCGTGCCAACGAAGGAATGTGTTGCATACTTTCTTGCGCTTCGCCTTGGAATTTGGCGGGGAATTGAAAACCAACGACAAGCTATACAAAAAAAACTAGTGCAAAAACTGTTGCAATAACAAAAAAAAAGTGACAAGTCTGGCACATTAGCGACGTCAACTTGTCTGCAATGTCGCTTGCAACGCGATAATTAAATTATGGGTCACAAAACAAAAGAGGCGACTGCGATGAGCTGGGAATTTTCACTCCTAAATCGCGATAATTCCGAAAATGAATAACCAATTACAACACTAATCAAGAAAAGATTTCCTGTTGGCTATCGTAACTTATCTAAACGTAATGTAACTACTGAAATCCTAACTACAGATAACTACATTTGAATACCAACAGTTTTGATCATCCTGAGTTGATAGCATTGTTAAAATCAATGACACATGAAATGAGTCAGTTGTAAGAGAGAAGCTGAACAAATAAAAATAAACTTGGTAAACAATGAAAGCATGCAAACGCCATTCTCCAGACCCCTTAAAATGGAATAACTAAATTTAGCGACATAAACAAAGAAATACATCGAAGAAATGCTGATGAAAAAGTTATTTGCAGGCAATTTCCGTCAAAATTTGTAAACAAAAAGGACAGAGGAGCTTCCCCCTGCTGGCAGACAACAGAATAGAGTATAATCAATCGATAGTTATTTGTTTTTGTAGTTTTCCAGACTCTGGCACATTTTCCCTTCTTTTTCCGATACAATTTTCATGTTTCGTGCACTTGTCGCATAGTAAAAAGCGGAAGAACAAAAGCAAAAACCTTTCACGAATCGTTAGACAATAAAAAGTTGATAGAAATAAAATTAAGCTCGTCTCTGGGTTTTTGTTGAGATGAAACGAGTGGCGGTAGGAGGGAAACAGGGGGGTGGCACTTTCGGGAGGCTTTTAGTTGGTGCGTCAATAAAGTTGAGCGAAAATATTTGCACAGCGTTCCACCGACAAACAAACGGCGCTTTCCTTTTGTTGCTCGCTGTTTTATGGGCCATAAACAAAGGCCCAAATTGAATGTTGGGCGATTGAGACTCGGAGAAATGAAAGAGCTGGCCAACAGCTGGTCTGAAGACCCCATTAAAGCTGACCATATACACAGAACCAGTTGCTCGCCCGATTTCCACTGCCAACCAAACGTTCTAACGGCACGAAAGGCTCACAAAAATGGCGAAAATTATGGCTACAAATCATGAGGTAATACTCTTTAATACCCCTAACTGTCAGCCATTAGGTTTATTCAACGTTTGATGTTTATTATTGAATAGATGGTATTCGAGGACATATTCTCAATTTTTCAATACGTTTTCCATTAAAATGTTATTGGGAGGCTGTAACAGCTTTGCCAATATGAAATTTAAGAATCAACTTTTGGGCAGGAAACAACTACATTTGTACATTCTATACAAGCAAGAAAATTAGAGTCCAGAGCTCAAGATCTTCAATTTCGTCTGAGCCTTACGCAAAAAGACGATCAAAACAGTTGAGGGACGAGTGCGGGAAAAAGGAGCGGGCTGGTAAACCAGTTCTCAATTGCACTCGACCAGAACGGACAGCGCCAGAAGAGAGAAAAAGGAGGCAGAGCAGTGAGTGGTAGGGCCATCAACAGGTAACCCAGTGCACCTACAGACATCGCTGCACCAGAAGTTGCCATCGCCATCACCGTCCTATTGTTCCATTGTGCCCTGGTACACGTATCGACGTATCATATCACCGGAGTCAATGCGTTTCCGTCAGCTGCCGTTCGCCTCAGCCTGAAAGAGCTGACGATGTTGATATTGTTCAAGTTCTGGGTTCTCTCTTGTTTTGACGCCACCAAAGAGCTGATCGGGCTGAATTTCGGTTCTGCAAACGGGTTTAAGGAGAGCAGCCATCCAATCCATCCCAGCCGACTACCTCTTCGGTATCTTTTCCCAGGCTTTCCAAGTGCTTGCACCCTTTCAACGAGTAGTTAGAGTTCGATTTGCAGCTATAAAATCTAAAAGAAGCGATCATTCGCCTAATCGTTTCTCTATGAAAGCCCTAAGATCTATGATTGGACACATTCAAATAAAATCGATAACAATCAAGAAAATCTTGGAGATATTAGGAGATTCTTACATTTCAAATAGGAAACAATCGTAAATCTTATCTGTAGAAAGAGTATCCCAGGGTTCTGCGCCCCTTTAAGAGAGCCTTTCTTTATTGTCTTATTGTTTTGGTTTTGGTTTTGGCAAAGGGCAGGGAACCGAGGAAGTGGTTTTTCCGGCCGTACCTGTATGAGTTTCCCTGCCTTGGCTTCTGTATTGCCATCTCTTTCGCAGGACAAAGAAAATGCAAGAGAATGTAAAGTGTGGAACTTGTTCCTGATCCCAGAGGGTTGCAAGGAGCAGAAAATGGGTATCCGAGAGTTTCCAGGAATAAAGGGCACTAAAGGAAAACAATAATCGATGGCATCGAACCGTGGAATGCACGTAATTAAAGCGAATCGGATAGATTGTTCTGGATAGATTGATTACAGCCAGATTCCCACTGGGTACTCCTTCCCGTCCTTATTCCTTCGCCCTCTCGCCTTCTTTGTTCCTTGGTCACGTCCACGTAATTGCCAATAATCACAATATGCGCTTCGGTAAGAAAATTCAATTTACATGCCGCCAGTGGAGCGGAAAAGCGAACGAGAGCGGCAGAGAATTGAATTACAGGATGACCCCGGTGAGAACGCTTATGAAATATGCCAAAGGTGACTTTCAATTAAATGCCACCCAATCAGTGGCGAGAGAAGGATTCAGAAAGGGGGGTTTAGATCATTTCATTGTCCTGCACTAACTTAAAACGGAAAAAGAGCGTAATGAGTGTAGTTTTTCAAATACACAACAGGTTAGTGGGTATTCCCTTTACCCTGCACAACGGGTTTTTCGACGCCCCTGCTACCAGCTGTGTTTCCTCTCTTACGTTCCCTGAGTTTGTTGTGTTTGATTTTATTTGCTTTACTTTGTTTTTGCTTACCTGCCGGGAAGAAATTGTTTAAGAACGTTGACATTTTTCTCTCTCGCTCCCGCCTTCACCTTTTACTCTCTCGCTCCTTGTGGTCCTTCTTTTCCCGTTCTGTTAATCTTTGTTTTTGTTTTTGTTATTATTGTATGCACTAGTTTAAAAAAAATGTTTCTTGTTTTTTTCCTTTTTTTAGTTTGTTTTTTCGATTTTTTTTAGTTTTTTAATTTTTTTTTATAGAAATCATTGAAACAATAATTTAAATAATACATTTAATCCGCGCTTAACTGCTAAATTTCACATTACACATTTTCACATCTCACGTTTCGATTATAATTATTTTTTTTTTTCAGTTTTTCACGAAAGTTTTTTACTGTTGAAATGCATTTTTGGGCAAATTATTAACAATTAGGGCGCGTCGACTGAAAAGTGAAGAAAAAGGAATGGGAAACGAGTTTAGTATATTATAAAAAACCACATAACGGTAACTAAATGTATTTGTTGTTTATTTTCCAAAAGGCAGAAGAACTGAAATCCCCAAAGCAACAGTAAGAATGAGTAAGACAGGCGAGGAGCTGGGTTTTCGTTTAATTTTCCAAAGTGTATGTGTGTGGGTGTAAGGGGACGTTTTTTCACACATATACAGACACAATTGCGCGCATATTTGTTTTACATTTCCCACTTTTTGCACTTGGACTTCCATATTTTTAGAGTTTTATATTTAACACAATCCGAAAGACATACACACCGAACCTAAGCCAACATATTGTGAAGTAAATTGATGGATTTACTTGGTAGAAGTTTTTTTTCATATTGACAGCGGCTGCTTCACATAAGTTGTATTTCTATAACAACTTTTTAAATACATATGTGTACTTTTCATTACCATTCCTTAACGATTTTGCAAATAAGAAAAACGCAACACACACCGCGCGATTGGCGCTGCACGAATGAAGAAAACGCAAAGAAGATCCAACAGCCAAGCAAAATGGAGTCCACAAACGACCCCAGAGTGATTATATATATGTAGTATATGTATGTATCAATGTGTGTGAACAGGAGCTCGAATAAAAACAACAACAATGGCCAGCTGTGTGTGCAACACACTGTGTGTGGATCGCGTTGGAGGAGTGGTGAAAAATGTCTGCGTTTAAGGGGTTACATGAGTCTTACTGCTTTCCCTTATTTTATTTTAAATTAGATGGTGCTATGGAACATATTAAATACGATATTTAAATATTTTAAAGATGGTAAGGCCACCTTGAAAACGTGTGGAAGGTTTTTTTTTGTATTTAAGAATAATAAGGCTAACTGGAACCAAAAGTTTTTGGGTAATAGGTCATTAGCGGCATTTACCAAAGGTATATTTACTACTTTTATTGTACGTAACCAAGAGGCCATTACCTTTTGCAGAAGCCCTAGCAATTGGCGTTGTTATACACACAGGCATATATATGTGTATATAAATTATATATCAGGGGGGAGTTCAACAGGACCCAACAGCTGGCCACAGGTTGAATTCCACATAGAGAAAAGTTGAAGCCCGAGCTCCCAACAACATCCACACTCCAGCCATATTTGTGGAACGCGACAAACAGCTGGCTGGGATAAGGGGAAGAGAAGGAGAGGAAGGATGAAAAGATGGAGGCAAAGGTAAAGAACAGGAGCAAAGAAAAATTAAAATATATTTTTTAATGGAAGCAATCAACAATCTATTGTTTTTATATATACACATATGTACTAACGTAAAAAATGCAATTTTCGAAGCGTTTTCAAAGTTTTTGTACGCTTTTTAGTTTGTGTGTAGCAAATGCAGAAATCAAGCCCTGTCTACCACCTTTTCCTTAAGACGCAATTTGCCCAATGTTGGCCAAATATCTTGGTTGGTTATACCGGTAAAAAGATGAAGAACAGACATATGTAGTTTATGTAAACCATGCCAAAAATAAGGTTTTTTTAATTTGTTATTTGTTGTTTTTTAATTACTGCCGCTGTTGCACACTCACACAAACACAAACAACGCCACACACACGATACCAACATGTCTGATAGAAAGAAGTGGCTTTTTCTTGGGAAAAATCACTGGTTTTGGGTTCTCCGTCGACACCACAAGGCACTGAACAAGCAGACATTTTCTGCATTGTGTGTTTTTTAATTTTAAACAATTTACAGACAAAACAAATATTCTTACATGTTTTTCGTTTGCCGCTCGCAGTGTGACCGCATTGCGAGTGGCCAAATCGTGGCGTCTGGCTTACAGTGGTGTCATTTTTTTCTGAGCAAATAAAGCTGGACGAAAAACAGAATCGAAAAAAAGCGGAATACCAGAGAAAGAAAAGTTATGAAAACTATATAATATACGTTAATGTACAAAAACTAAGAATTATAGTATATTTAAGATATCGTCAATATTATGGGCATCATCGATTGGATAAAAATTCTTTTGTTCAATTGTAGCTGGTCAGCTGGTTGGTAGATTGTAGTTGAAACAGCACTTATTGTGTCGACGCAGCCCCCACCTAAAATTTTAAGTAAATTAATTTCAACGTTTGATCGCTTATGCTATTTCGAATTTTTGTTTTAAATAAATTTACTTGACTGAGTCCAGCAGTTTCCGCCAGAATCCCGCTATTTCTGAACTTCAGCCCAGAACTTTGTATCACATCATCCACATTTTCCCACTCTACCAGGGTTATGTCGTTGTACAGACGTTCAATTTTATCGATGTTGGAAGTACCAAAATACTCAAGGATTGGAGTAATACTTTTCTTTTTAATTTTCAAAAAACCCAGAACTCCCGCTGCCCGCTGTTTTCATATTTTTCCCGCAATCCGACTTCAAAAAAAATCAAAATCTGACGGAAAAAAAGCGGAAATGACACCGCTGCTGGGTAAGCGGAACACCGACCCAAGCTGCGAACCACTATTTTAACAAAGCGAATTGAAACGGTTAGGAAGGTGCATATGCTAGGTCGGGAGGGTGCATTGGCTAAGTGAAAAACATCGGCTGCAATACACCAGTTTTAAAAAATCGATACTATCGTTTTTGAGAGCGATGCTTTTGCATCCCTCTCCCTCTCTTCTTCTCTTTTCAAAGCGTTCGGGCGTAGTCCGTTAACGTTCGGGTGGCTCTCTCGGATTTGTTAAACAATTTAACCGTTTGGAAAAACGTTGTCCAAATGAAAACGCCTCTAGCGGAAAAAAAAATTCTAAATTCAAAATTTATTGGCATCGACAAAATTGTTTAATACTTTTTTTTTATTTATTTTGATTTATTTATTTGATTTTTTGATACTTGTTGCAGTTCAGGTTCTGTTTAACAGGTTAAAAAAAAGCGCCTCTAGCCGACGAGTTTGCCTTACATTCAAAGATATAAACCAGTGGTGGGGTGATTGACTAAGGCCACACACTCTATTTCTGTTTCATTCGCACTTAAGAGTAGTGCTCACTAATGAACTGACGGACCCGACGAGACCACCTTTCAGTTATTCTATCATGCTGAGCCATTTCCCTGTCTGACACCGTCTGGCAAGACTCATTTTTCGGCGAAAACTCACTGGGGAAACGTCGCGGAGACGGAGACATAGACTGTTGAGAAAGTGGCTAAATAGTGCCATACGAATTGAGTGTGAGAGCGGGAGAGCGCAACTGGGTGTTCTTGTGTGTGTGTCATCAGTGTGTGGGTGTGCGAGAGCCAAGGAAAAACATAATAAACAAACATACTTCCGAGGAAGTTCCCAATCATGTCGACGGTGGAGTCCTCCAGTTCGGCGGTCCAACAGCCGCCGTCCTCGACCTTGCCCCTTCTGGGCGACAACCAGGTTGTGATGCAGGCGTCCACCTCCAGTTCTGCTTCCTCGGCCTCTGCCTCTTCCTCGGGGGGCGGTGGCAGTGTGGTGGGGGTGCCGCTGGACACGCAGAGCGGCGGCGAGCCGCCGGCTAAGAAACAGCTACTGGACGGTGGGGCACCTAGCAGCAGCTCGCTTTCCAGTGCGGCAGCCGCCTCCGGGATGCACGAAAAGCTGGCCCACCGCATCTCCAATGCCCTGTGCTGCGCCGTCTGCCTGGATTTGCCCAAAACAGCCATGTACCAGGTGAGTTGTGGGGTAATTGCAGCGGAACCTTTGAAATATCGAAATACACAAAAAATAGCTAACAAAAAGAAAAGGGGCGAGCGTGTGTGTGTGGGCCATTCTGTATACAAACAATTCGTGGCAGCTCAGCTGTAAGAGTGAATTGCCTCTCTCTCGCCCCCACCACACATAACAGCTGTGCGAGAGCGAGACAGCTAGCTGAATGGGGATCTCTTGCATTTGCCTTGAAAACATTGGGTTAGTGGATAGGGAAGGGGTGCAGGCGCACCTCGCAGCATAGGAAGGCTGACTCTCTCGCACTCTCTCGCAACTAATGCAGTTTTATTGCGTTTTAGAAAACAACCCCCCAGTTGAGCCGTTGCATTTCACACTATGAATTAAAACCCCCTTCCGCCATCTATTTCTCGCTCTCTTTTGCGCAGTAACATTTACTGCAGATTTTCTGTATTGCGTCATAGAAGTGGTATTATGTCTTCCCCATTTTGTTGCCCTATTTTAAGCAGCATATTACCAGTTACCCTCCCTTCAAATTTTTTGGTTTTTTTGAGGCCAATTCCCGCATTCCTCAAAATTTACACTTATTAATGCGTCTGCATTGTTGTTGCATCTGACGTTGATTGAATTTAATGGACGAATACACAGATGTCTTGAGAACTTAGGCACGGGCGTGGGCTGCAGTAGGTGAAATGGGGCTTTGTATAACTGCTTACAATTTCAAAAAATAATTTGAAAACATGATTTGCTCATTTAAATCGGTAATATGGTGCCCTGCTATAAATAATAAAAATATAAATGCAATCAGTAAAAATAGGCTTTTAACCACCTTCTTGCGCCTATGAACTAACGGATCTTTTACGTAAGGCGTGTGTGTAGGTTGACATTGCTCTCTTTTTCTAACAAACACATGCCAAGGCAACCGCAACTGCGTCATTGAAAATGGTTTTGTATTACGGTTTAAAGAAAAATATCTGCTGACCCACACAGAAATAAAAAGTAGACCGTTCGGAACCCAAAAACGTGAGCACACAAAGATGAATCATGCAAAATGGCAGAAATTCGCAGAAACCCGTACAAACTATTAATTAGCTAAAGAATCCCTGACGAACCTTAAAAACACGATTGTTTTTCTTTTTGTATTTCCACTCTTCTATATGGGCTGTTTGTATGTATGTACTGCGCACACACACGCACTGGGATTTTTGCTCTCTGTTATTGTTTTGCTTTTGCCACTGCCTTGCTCTCGTGTTGTCTCACTCTCTCGCAAGTCGTGGCAAAATCAGCTGTTGTGGGGCCCCTGGGGAAAATTAAACAAGAATTTCACTATTTTCAACTAGAAAAAAATTAATATACTGCTCATATTTGTTTTTTTTTAAATGCAATGACACAAAAGTTGCTGATGAATTTGTTGAATCAGCTTGACGGCAGTTTTAGGGACCTGTAATCTGGTATAAACTCGTTTTACCAGTTTTCCGGTTCTAAGCGCACTTTGTAGGTGTGTGTTTGTTCGTAGGGGAAAGGTATACCTGAAAACACACCTGAGTTTTTTGTCGTCGTCGATCTTTTTTGTTATTTTCCTTTACCTACGCTGTTGGCGTTCTCTTCCTCTATCCACTCTCTATCTACAATAACACTATCAGCTGGTTTTGTTGTGTCTGCGTTTTTCTGTTTTGTATGTTGTTGTTATTGGAAAAAACGAGTTAAACTCCTTTGTGAATCCGAGGATTCTTCATTAAACAATCATATTGTATGCAGCTGCTGGCCGCAGTTAGTCTAGGCCATAAATTTGCCAATCAAAGAACACGATTTCACAGGTTCATTCAACTTGAAAAGATTCAGTTACTCAGATAATTTAGCAGATACACAAAGAACACAGGAACAAATTGTGGTTTAAAAGCCCAAAGGCCAATGGTATCAATAGTTTTTCTAAAAAAGCAAAAAATTAACCTAAAGAAATTTTAAGACAGACTGAATACTGATCCCAAATTGAGCACAGACCCAAAATATAATAAGAAATTTTGAATTTTCTACTTCGAGTTTTATATCGCCAGACATAAAACAAATGATATCTGTGAAAGGCACATTTATTTCATTTCTTGCTTGAGGTTTCCCAGACTGTCCCGCGATTATCAAAATTTTGTTACGTGCACAAGATACACAAGAGAAGCATTGCTTATCGCTCGGAACAGGCGGGTCTGTCCACAAATAGTCCCGGCGGACTATCGTTGCCTCCTCCGGCGCTGAATATTTCCCAAAATAGATATAGAAATTCCAAAATGAGGGAAACAGCCCGCATTCCGCACAACGGAGTAGTAAATAAACGCATGCGGCGATTTAATGGAGGTTTCTTGCAGCGGCGGGTCTTGAATTTCACTTCTGGGTTTTCCACTTCTTCTATATGGCCGTTATCGGTCCACTATCCCGACCTTTCATCAATTGCTTGACCAACTCATGTCCGAAAACCAATTGAGAAACGCACACTACTATGTCTTAATTGGCTTTCAACCAAAAAAAAAAAAACAGAAAAAGCAAATTTGTATGATAAAGAACGCTAAATTTAACCCAGATCTATCAACTATTTATGATTTTAAATTTGCCGTAGCCCTACTTAGATAACCATTACTTTCCTAATGATTAATCTTAGTTAAGTCTATAATCTCGATTTTGAAACATTTGTAAGCACACGCAAAAAAGAAAACCATAAGATTGTAACTATAATAAACAGATTTCTTAATAGCATTAAAGTTGAACCCTAAAAATGTATCCAAAAACGGAAAAAAAATAAACCTAAAAAGAAACGAAGAATTGAATTCAATAAATTTGCAAAGGAGAGTGCAAACTTGAGAATGCAAAATAAAACCAAACTACAACATAGCGTTTTTATTTCAACCAAAAAAAAAACACAACCGGAGCCTCAAAGCTAAACATTTCCAGACTCCACCTTAGATCACCTCCTGCCAAGAAATCCATGCCCCACCATCTTCCTCACCTCAAAGGTATCTCCAAATAGATTCATTCATTCGAACACCCAGAAACAAAACACCCCACACACCCATAAAAACATACAAGCTCTTTGCAACAAGGCCGTATTTTGACTAATAGAAAACTTTTCTTCTTTTTTCTTTAATTGCAGGTTAATTTTCATTCCACTTTTGTTTTAGTTTTCGATCTCTATCTGCTTACGATAGAAACTAGTTGTGAAATTACTAAAATGGCGTTTCCCTTTCTCTCCACTCTTTTTGTTTTCAGTGTCAAATGGGTCACTTGATGTGCGCCGCCTGTTTCACGCATCTTCTGGCGGATGGACGGTATGAACCCACTCTAAACCCAAAATAAGAATCTCATATGGATGCTAATATATTGAAGTTTGCTACTTAGCTATTTTAAACCCTTTACAATATTATCTTCTCTTCAGCCTGCGCGACCAAATTGCTACTTGTCCTAATTGCCGCGTGGAAATCTCGAAGAGCACGGCTTCGCGTAACTTGGCCGTGGAGAAGGCCGCTAGTGAACTGCCCAGCGATTGCCAGGTGGACTCTTCAATATCACCATTTGAATGAATTTCTAATTAAATAACCTTTATCAACAGTTCTGCAACAAGGAGTTCCCTTACAAATCACTCGAACGCCATGAACAACACGAGTGCCAGGAGCGGCCCACCAAGTGCAAATATCATCGCATTGGCTGCCAGTGGCGCGGACCCTTCCATGAGAGTGAGTTCGCCTCCTCAAACGCAACTAATTACCCGTATACTACTAAAGACCCATTAAACCCACAGCTACCGAGCACGAGCGCAACTGCTTGCATCCCCAGAAGTCCGGATACGAGGTGATGGCCGCCCTGGAGGCCCACGATGTGATGATCAAGGAGGAAAAGAAGATGTTTAACACCCTGATTGACTTGCTGAGCTATGAGAAGATTATATTTAATGGTGAGAGAGCTCAGGGCTACTGAATTTCTTTTAATTGATATTGCAAAGTGATATTAGTAGTCTGTGTTCATTGTGAGCCATATAACTAATTCCCAAATGTGGGTGGTTTAAACTGTAGATTATTATCTTACTTGGGAGAACATCTCTTTAACCCCTTGCACCTTCAGATCTCCAGATGAAACCCTACCGGACGGACGAGTACGTGCACAAGCTCTTCTACGAGACGGCCCGCTTCTCGGCCTTCAACCAGCAGTGGGTGGTGAAGGCGCGAATCAACAACAGCCAGCGCGATCCGCACCAGTCGAACGAGCGCACCATCACCTACCAGCTGATCCTGAAGACCAAGACCAGCACGCCCATGAGCATACACTTCTTTGCGCTGAAGGGTCCGTTCTCGGACATGAAAGTCTCCACGCAGATCTACAAACACGAGTTTACTGAGACGGTAAGTCGATCATATTGTTTATAGGATTCTGTGCCCGATCGATAACCATTCTTTCCCCACAGAGCACCGAGAGTGAGTATTATGTTTTGCCATTGCCAGATGGCGTCGGCGGCAGTGGATCGAGTGAATGCAACCGCATGCTGGCCAACAAAGGCATAAACTTCCGGTGAGTAACCCTCAATCGCCTGCTGGAAATCACATCTAATGGCAGTCTTTCCTTGCAGGCTGCTCATGTTTCTGCTGAACAAGTAAACACGTTCGACAAGCAGCGGATAAACATTTTCAATTTAGCTTAAGTTTGTTGTTTCAAACTCTTGAATGTGCAAAATCTAGATATAGTTGACTTATATTTTCTATAAATGTAAATGTAACTGAAACCACGAGCCCACTTTCGGTTAGTTAAGCTGTTAGTGCTGGCGGCGCAATGGAAGCGATTGGTGGACAAGACAAGACGGCCGATGTGTTTGACTAACGTTAAAATGATCTCACAGGAAGGAGCCAACCCCGCTAACCCGATAATATCGATAATAACCATTAAATAGCTGTAGATTAACTGTCCGGACGCAAGGACCTCGAGTCCACGGCTCCGTTTTCACTGTAAGAAGAACAACACCAAGTTGAAACTCGAACCCCCGGGCCTAATGCAAAAACAACCAAACTAAAAAAACAAGAACTAGAGTCCTCACATTCAAATCTTGTCTAATCCTCGTTCTGTTGACCCTCTTACGATTTAATGCTTTGAACTTACATTCGTACATGTAATATTTATATGCATCGTTAAATGATAACTATACCTAATGCATATACAATAAAGATACTTCTTAATAAATAAAACTCGGGTGAACTTCTTGGGGATGGAAAAGGCAAAGTAGCCAAAAGGGATATTGGAATTGGTTAAATTCTGTTCTCTGTTTATGCAAATGCAAGACAAAGTTTTTGGTTAAAGGTTTAATTTCGATGATTTTGGTTTGTGGTTTGAGGCATTCAGTGAAGAATTATTGTCATCTATTCACAGTCACATAATGTTAAATACATCTGTATTGCTTTAAGAGTAAGGCTTAAGTGTAAAATTATTAAATAGGGAGTTTAGGCTCTATTCATCGTCGTCTTCTTCCATTGCAAGATATTTGTTGCGCACATGGCTGGCAACTACTTCGCGGGGATTCTTTTTAAAGTTCTTGTCCTTGATGAGTTTTTCGAAAGACTTGACGCGGTTAACTATGTCGTTACGTTTTTTCCGGATCTTTTCGTTGGCACTCAGAGGGACTTCCGGCTCGGTGAGAGCAGCTTGTTCGACAGAATCCTTTTGCTTGGTTTTCACCAGATTGTAGATGTCCTGTAGGGAGGGCAGGGCGTCACGTAGGGGTTTCAAGTCTCCAACGACCTTGGTCTTCTCGCGATTCTTGCGAGCCTGCTCCTCCTTGCGTTCCTTTCGCGATTCGGCAAAGCGTTTGAGAAGCTTCTTGTGTTTCGCCTCGGTCTTTTCCTTTTTGGTGGTCATCTTTTTGGGCGTGAGTGTTTTGTGGAGAAGCTTATCCTGCCGAAGCTTCGCCTGCATATCCTGAGCCCTCTGCTTGGCTGCCCCCACCACACTCTTCGCCTTGGCCCTCACGTTGCGTTTGGTTTTAGCCATTTCAAAAGCGTTTTTCTGCACCAATAAAATCAAAACAAACGTGCAGCGTGCTAAACTCAAAAAACAGTGTCACCCCACCTGTTTTTTCTTCTGGTTATCGATAGCAAGTGAGTTTTCAAAAAAAAAGTAGCTGAACGCGATAGAAAAATAGCCAAAAACATCTAAGTCACAAAGCTTAATTTAAATTTGGAACTAATTTTCAAGACCATATCTTTTATTCCGTGTCCCGTTTTTCACCTGTTAGGTTTCTCTTTTTCAATAGTTGACCGATTTTATAAGCGTACTTTACGATTCCTACTGCTCTTCTAAACATGTTGTGTTAATAAAAACATTTTTTAGGTTATTGTTGACGCACTCTTTTAGATAAATAAAATACTTTAATGGGTCACTTTCAATTTCAAACCTTCAAATTTTCCACAACCTGCTGAGCCATAAAAAAAATAAGAAATTAGTTCTTCAACACTACTCGGCGCTCTTTATCGCTTATTATCGGTTATCGGTGAACAGCTGACTAGCGGCATCAGGATTTATAAACAATTTTGTTAGCCAATTCGCGAATTTTATACAAAATGGATTACGATTTCAAGATGAAAACGCAGATAGAGCGTACAAAAGTGGAGGACCTTTTTAACTACGAGGGTTGCAAGGTAGGACGCGGCACCTACGGCCACGTCTACAAGGCTAAGTGGAAGGAGACAAGGTGAGTTGGTGATCTAGTGCTGAAAATCCGAGATGTTCCTTATTTCCCTATCATCCAGTGACGGAAAGGAATATGCCCTGAAGCAGATCGACGGCACTGGGTTGTCCATGTCTGCTTGCCGAGAAATAGCTTTGCTGCGCGAACTGAAGCACCAGAATGTGATTACTCTCATCCGGGTGTTTCTTTCGCACAACGATCGGAAGGTGTTTCTGCTAATCGACTACGCTGAGCACGATCTTTGGCACATCATCAAGTTCCACCGGGCGGCCAAGGCAACCAAGAAGCAGGTGGTGGTGCCGCGCGGAATGGTAAAAAGTCTGCTGTACCAAATCTTAGATGGCATTCACTACCTGCACAGCAATTGGGTGCTGCATCGCGATCTGAAGCCAGCTAATATCCTGGTGATGGGCGACGGCAATGAGCGCGGTCGCGTCAAGATTGCCGACATGGGCTTCGCCCGTCTGTTCAATGCCCCTCTAAAGCCTCTGGCCGATTTGGACCCCGTGGTGGTCACCTTTTGGTACCGTGCCCCTGAACTGCTGCTTGGTGCCCGTCACTACACTAAAGCCATTGACATCTGGGCCATTGGTTGCATCTTTGCCGAACTCTTAACCTCGGAGCCCATCTTCCACTGCCGGCAAGAGGACATCAAGACCAGCAATCCGTATCACCACGATCAGCTGGACCGAATCTTCAACGTGATGGGCTTTCCGCAGGACAAGGATTGGGAGGACATCAAGAAAATGCCCGAGCACCACACACTTACCAAGGACTTTAAGCGCTCGACGTATTCCACCTGTTCACTGGCCAAGTACATGGAGAGGCACAAGATCAAGCCGGACAGCAAGGCCTTCCACTTGCTACAGAAGCTGCTGCTGATGGACCCCAACAAGCGGATCACCTCCGAGCAAGCCATGCAGGACCAGTACTTCCAGGAGGAGCCGCTTCCCACGCAGGACGTTTTCGCCGGCTGCCCCATTCCATATCCCAAGCGGGAGTTCCTTACCGACGACGACCAGGAGGACAAGTCGGACAACAAGCGTCAACAGCAGCAACAGCAGCAGCAGCAGCAGCAACAACAACAGCAGCAGCAGCAAATGAACGCCGAGCCAAATGCTAAGAGGGTGAGATTGTCCGGAACTGGGAACCAGCAGGACTTCCATCACCAGCAGCAGCAGCAACAGCAGCAGCAACAACAGCAGCAGCAGCAGCAGATGATGTTCAACCCGCAGCAGAACTTCCAGCAGCGCTTTAACTGAGAGACTGACAAACGCAGCATTTTTCTATTCCTACTTCTTCTAGTATTCTAAGTATTTAATGACTTTAGCGCGTAACAAATACAAAACAGTAAAGTGTACAATACAACAGTTTGTACTAGTACCAGTCACTAAAGCGGTCGATTGTTTGCACCCACTTTTCCATCCTGCTTGATATTGAGTCAAACTCCTTGGGCCGCGGTTGAAAGACCCGCTCCACTATTCGGAAACACTTAAGATCCTCTACACTGTTCCAGATGCCGTGGTTAATGCCCGCCATGAACGTGGCGCCCATAATGCTGCTTTCCGTGTTCTGGGCCCGCTCCACATTCAGCCCGCTGAGATCGGCCAGAAATTGGCAGACAAAGTCGTTGCGGGAGACGCCGCCATCAACTCTGGAATAAATTGTTTATATTAATAACGTTTGCAAAATCTCTTCCTATTTAATTCGGTGACAACCTAATAGAAGTCTTTGAGGTCATAAAGCTAGTAACAATTTAGCATTCAGTGAGTAATGTTTTGGGCAATTTAGGATTAATGACTTCTTTTAGTATCAGCTTTTAACGAAAATTGTAATTAAAAACTTCTTAATCTGCTGCGGTTTTTTTTAAGATGTATTACCAGCTTACCTAATCATCTGAAGCTTCTGCGAGGTTTCCTTTTCAGCGGCCTCGATCAGTTGCACCAGACGAAAGACTATACTCTCGAGCAGGGCGCGCACCATGTGTGCCTTGCTGGTGGACGGACTAAGGCCAATGAAGCCGCTTGCTGACCGATAGTCGTTTACCGGGGGCTGTCAAAGATAAGATAGGGATCAGCTCCACTTGCGAACTAGCTTTATCTGATGGGACCACTCACCCCCAGGCCACTGAAGGCGGGCATGAAGAACACACCATTTGTGTCCGTGACGGATTCTGCAATATCCGATGTGTCCGCTGGATTCTCGAAGAGTTCGCAGGATTGCGCCCACGAGACCACGGTGCCGAAGTCATGGGACGCTCCCTCGATACAGTAGATGGCTCCCTGGTTGTTGCCTGGGTTCTTTAGCTGCCAGGCAACCAGTGGGTACATGCCAGAGATCGCTGCACGACATCGATCGCCCGTGATCAGATTTAAGAAGGCTCCAGTGCCCATGGTGACCTTAACGTCATTCTTTTTGAAGCACTGAGAGCCCCACATGGCGGCCGTTTGGTCACTCAGAGAGGCAGCAATGGGGATGTTCGTATTGGCCCAATCCGGACCCAAGGCAGTGGGATGCACGTTCCCGAAACCCTTGTAACCGTTGTCCACCACTCGTGGCAGAATTTTCGACTGGAATGGGTAACAAGACATGAGAAGTTATCGTATCATAGCATGAGGGTATCTGCGACTTACATTGATGCCAAAGAGCCAGCTTATTAGCGGCGACCAACTGAGCGTGAAGGGGTCGTATAATCCCGTCGCTGTACTTGAGGTAACATCGGTTATGTGCTCCACATCTTTGTCCCTGCTGTTCCCTGTTCTCAGTTTGTGCAGGATCCACGAGTCCAGCAGCTCCACACGTGCCTTTTTTTGGACCAAAGCCTGGCGCAGTTTCTTATTGTGCATTACCTCGAAGAGAAGGCGTGGGGTGACCTGGCCATTCATCAGTTTAAGGACACTTCCGGCAAGGAATCGCGACTGGCGTGTGAGCAGAAACAAGGCGTACGAGACCCAGTTCATGGAGCTCTTCGTCCAACTAGTGTTCCATTCGTTCACCAGCTTATCGGCGCGCAGGTCTTTCCAGGTAACAAAGTTGTGGTAGTACTCGCCAGTTCGGTGATTCCAGGTTAGAAAAGTGCAGCGCTGAGTGGAAATGGTCAGGCACGAGATGTCCGAGGGCGAAAGCTGGGCATCTAAAATTGAATAAAAGGCTCAATTAATATAAGTGGCTAATAAAAAAGATAAGTTTATGTGTTCTAAGGCAGTATTTCCCTAAGTGTGGGTCGCGACCCACTGGTGGGTCGCGTTTAGATTTTTGGTGGGTACTAATTGCCATATAAATCTTGAAATTTTTTGTGTAGATGGGTCGCGGTCCCGACAAGTTTGGGAAACACTGTTCTAAGGCATTCCCATTTACCTATGGTTTTATTAACTTATATAAAGTTAAACCTGTTCTTTTATAAGCTTTGAACTCACCCTTTACCGCCAGCGTTATAACGTTCACAATTTTGCGCCACAAGATCTCCGGTTCGATTTCAAAATAGCCGGGCTGAGGGTTCAGTAGCTCTACCTAATTGCACCAAAGGTCGAATAGTTAATTAACTTTGCACCGTGGGTCGCTTGAAGATCGAATCACTTACTGCATCCACCGCCGATCCCCTCACAACACACCGATCATCTAAAACGAAGCTCCTCACGCAGGTGGTGCCTACATCCAGAGCGAGGATGTAAACAGGTAATCCCGATCCTGTGTCCTTCGATGATCCCAAATTTTTGGGCGGCTCTTCCGACTTGGTTGCTTTTTCTGGAGACCCCGACATCTTTCCCAGCGCACACTTCGACGATCACTGTCTTCTGGACGCTGTTACTCCGAACTGGCGGATCGACTTATCCATTTCGCTACTGCCGCTGGAATTGTTATTGTTTCGACGAGGCCTCATAGTGCGCGATTCAGATTTCCTTATCAAGTCAAGTGCCCGACTTTTGTTTTTGTTTCTCGCCCAGATAATGATCAACTAGCTTGAAAGTAGCCGAAACATGGCCTAGGATTTTATTTATTAAAAGTGCGATATTTTGTAATAAATACGATTTACGTGTTACAATCAGGGACGGATTAAGGGCAGGGCCGACGGGGCCGCGGCCCGGGGCTCCGAAATTTTGGGCGCCCCCACAAAAAATGCGAACAAATAGGTTTTTAAATTTTTTAAGAATTTAATTTGGCTAAATTTACGGGAAAGTGAGTTCTTATGATCATTAGAAACAATCATTGTTTGTAAACATTTGTATTATACCAGGGCGAATTAAGAATATTTGTTAATATTTTGTGCATAGCTAAAAAAAGCAAAGTTTCGGCATCTAAAAAAAGTGTTGACAAACGCACAAAAGTGCTTTATGATGTGCCAGCCCTAATCTGCGCAAGTTTTAAATCGACAAAACAATAACAGCCTTCTGATAAGACAATGGATTATGATTTTTATCATTGCCGATACGATAGGCCCGCTAAATATAGAGCTACATCGCCCTGATTGTTCACGTGTGCCGTGAATAATCACCCATATAATCTTAACGACTATTCTTTTACAACTTTATTTGCTGTACACATAGCCACTTGCATATATAATGTGTGTATACATAGGTACGAATTCAGGTATATAGATACTACACATACAAGATAAACCTTTATCTAAAATAGTTAGCATTGTACTAATAGTGTGTGTCCAATAAAATACATTTTACAATCAACTTGTTAAACATCGATTTATAGAGTACTGCACTAGATAAAAGCTCTCAGAAGCCTTCTTGCAAACTTAGGTACTGGTTTCGGTTCTCTTTGGAGATATGTCTACGCCAACTGGAGCTTTAGGCGTAAGGGCACCCTTACATGTCTGTTGGCAGGATGTCCGGAATAAGGTACTGGCACAGTTCCACTTCATCCGCCACAAATTTCACCTTTTTGGCGGTATTGTCGTCCAAAAGCACACGAATGGCCGGCCAGATTGTGGAAAAAATACCAGGCGAATTAATGATCAAACAGACGCCCAGGCGCTCCGGGAAGTGCTTTCCCAGCAACCAAATAAGGTTTTGGACAAGCTGGTAATCCATGCAACCGGTGCTGAACTCCGCCAGGTCGAAGACGATGCAGAGGCGGTCAGTGACCTCCTCAAAGCACTTCTTGCACGCCTCCTCCAGATTATAGACGATGAAGCGGGTCAGCTCATCGATGTCCCGCTCAGAGCTATGGTTCTTGGCCGGAATGTAAATCACCGGACGGCCAATGCAGTCGCGGTGGCGCAGCAGACGGGCCTTCTTCTCCAGCTGGCTGCGGTCCATCTCGCCCAACTTCTCCACTCCGTACGTCTCACGCCACTTGTTTGTCTTCAGAATGGCCTTGGGTTAAAATATTTCGGGTTATTTTAATTTCATTAACGCAAAAACCAAAAGTTTAATATAGTATTGGAATAATTAAGCGTATTTTCGAAAAGATTATGTGCGGATTTTTTAAGTGGATTATTATTAAGTAACTGGATTTTCTGAAGAAGTGAAATAGAATTGAACTCAATAAAATCAAAAGTCTGGATAAAGACATGGTAAACAAAAAGACTAGATAAAGACATTGTAAAACAAAATTAAAAGTGGGCTTTTTAATACTCCACTTAATTTCAGTTTTTATTTGCGAATGTGTCACCTGAAATGCGTCATCTGTGGTTTTAAAGGCACGAAGATATCGTCGCAGTGAGAAGTCGTTATGATATTGCTTCGGATCGGCCTCCACAATCAATTTCATGCGGTCCTTCAGATCCTTGAAGTCCTGTTCGTTAATTGGCGCCAGCTCCTCAGATGACATATTGTAGGACTTAAATCGATTTCAGATGGGGTATAATAAGTGCCTTCGTTCCAGAGAGCCTCGGACTGCGAACGGAATGTGCTGACACTATGCGAAATGCAAGCGGAGCTTAATATTTTTCCTCTGAAATGTTTTTTTTCGCAAATGGAACGGATTTGTTTTTTCTCATTTGGACTAGTGTGACCAGAGGAGAATCGTTGAAAAACACCGTTATGATTACGTTAATTCGAACGACCGTTACATTTAGCTTAAATTCAACTTGTCCCTATTTTTATAATCAAATTTTAAACTGATTCTAAGCTCAATTATTTTATTCACTCGATTTCAATACGCCTCACAAATTTTCAAGGTATTCTTTGCTTTTCTAAATGTTGCTAAATTTCTTAAAAAGTAAATTCATTCAAGATTATATTTATGTCGTTTTAAAGAGAACTGGGAAAGTAGTATATAATTAACTTTTAAGAATTTTTTTTTAATGTTGTAATACTTCCAATTTATGTGAAACTTTGATTCGCAGTTCCCAAATCACACACAATAAACCTTTTGAGTTTCATACTTTTTGACTATTTAAAACAGTTGAGATACAAAAATCGAAAGGTTTACTTTTTCTGGCATATATCTTTTTATACATGGTAATACTTCGTACATAACTGCAGATTTGATAAAAAACGTTAACAATACTTAATTGGTTGGCAGAAGCAAGCCACATAGAAACAGAAAAACCAAAATTCGAAGAATGCATAACGTCATCTCGGCCGTCTGAGGCCCTAAGTATTACAAATGCAGAGATTCCTAAGTTGAGATTTCTATTGCTTAAAGGTCTTCGTCCCACGGGGAGTGGTTCTCCTAGTTGGGCACCATGACACGGGCTATGCCCGGCAGGACCTCTGCTTGAAGAGGCCCGAACTCGACTCGCTCCCCGTCGACAGTGATGATGCCGTGATTGTCGAGTGGCTCCAGGCGAAAGGCTCGCACCGGCAGCACCTTTACCCACTCGGTGCTCACCTCCGGCAGATGGGTGCCGGAGCTCATGTTGTAGAGGAAGCTCAGCAGGTGCGGCCGACTGATGCCGGCGCGGATGAGAATCAGGTAGATGGTTCCGTCGTTCAGTCGAGCCTTGGGCGCAAAGTGGCAGTCGATGCCCAGATGCGTCTGATAAACGGCGTGCATCATGATAAACTCGCCCTCCTCCACCAGCCAGCCCTGGTCCTCGGGCAGCGGTTCGTCCAGGTCGGGAAGTTCGCTCGTGGGCCCATAATTCTGCTGCCTGTTCTCCAGCGAGGCGGCAGCCAGGCCGGTGAACTCGCTCTCGTCCGCCAGACTGTGGTAGATGCTCTCCGATATGGAATAGTAAAAGCTGCGTCGCGAGCCCCCCGACAGCCAGCTGTCGCACCTCGATCGGAACGACTGGTTGACGGACGTCTCCAGGGAAATGACGTCCGCGAACTCCTGAGGCAGGTACTCGGCACTGGAATGGTAGCTGGGCACCGCCCCCGTCAGCAGATCGACGTGCGTGTTGCAGCTTCGACTGCTCTGTATCCTCCGCTGGCCAGCGTAGCCGCTGTGGCTGTGGCTCGAGGAGCCCTGCTCCTCCGTCAGCAGGTAACTGATGCGACCGTTGTAAGTGCGCAGATTGACCAGGCGGTACAGCGTCCAGATGGTGAAGCGCTGGTAGCCCAACAACCGGATGCGCTCGCTCTCGATGTCCACGTCCGAAATCAAGCCCCATCCGATGGATAGGAAGGAGTAGACGGAGCGGCTCTGCAGCTGCACGCGGACTACGTCCATCGGAGAGCTGCGACCACTGATCACGGTCAAAGCAGCACCAAGCACTGGCTTGGTGAAGTACGGTTCACTAGTGGAGAAAGGCACCGGATTAAAAAGTTAATTATTTGTAGTTTTTGAAATTTAAGCTTTTATCAATAAGGCTGTGTGAAACAGGTAAAGGTGTTATAATCAACTTCACTCGTTAAAGGTACGTTTCCAATTACCATTTAACAACATCGAAAGTTGATTACCCTTATGGATTATTTATTTATTCAACAAGATAGGTGTCACGGATTGATTGTTGATGTTACTATTAGAAATGTGATGATTTATTGAAATAATGGAAGGAAACTTACTTGTAACAGTGGGCAATGGACCTGGCCAGTCCGTTGCCGGAACCGCACGGAATAATGCCGAGGGCCAAGTGAGGCAGGACGTGGGCCCAGTCCTGCCGCTGCAGCAGGCCGTTGATTATCTCGTGGAAGAGGCCATCTCCGCCAACGGCCACCACGCAGCACCAGGCATCCAGGCACTTTGTGCTCATGAACTCGATCGCAAAATTGGAATGTTTGGTCACGTACAAGTCGTAGGGCACCTCGGCCTCGTTGAGCACTGGGGTCACGTGCATATTAAAAACCTCGCGGGCGTCGCCTGAGCCGGATTTCGGATTAAGCAGAACCAGGATCCTGCGGCGCCGCTCATCTGTTGCAGGAGCCACAAAGATATCCTCCAGCGTGCGGTGCAGCTGCCAGCGTAGGGACCTGTACCATCGGTCTGCTTCCCGCATGTTGTCCTCGAAGGTGTCGAAGGACCTGAATCGCAGGGTCAGTACCGTTCGCTCGCGGTGCAGCTCCGACCGTAGGCTCCTTTTCTTCAGGACATAAGCGAAGACGTAGAGAAAAGCGCTGACGTCGCCGCCATCGGAGGGAAGGTTCTCCCTGCTGTTTGCGCTACATTTGCTGGGCGTTGTGGCCGATCGATGGTGGTCCCCGGAAGCTGAGATAGCCGGCGAATTGGGGTTGCCGGAGCTGCAGGCACAGGCTCCCGACATCACCAAACGTCGGCTCTTTTTGGGCCGCATGCAGCGAGCTCCCACTATGTCACCGATCCGTACCCGCTGCTCCTTGACGATGCTGCCGCCCGGTGACTCCCGCTGCAAGGTGAATCCCGTGGCGTCCAGGCGAACCCGGAAAACGTGACTGCCCTTTTTGCGCTGGCTCGTGTAAAAGGTGTCGCTGACGTCGTGGCCCTCGTCCCGATCCTCCTCCGCCCCCGGGGGCGTGGCCCGCGAGCCGGCCGAACTCGGGCTGGTGGTCTTATCAAGAGATTCGCTCATTTTGACTGGAGATTCGGCTGCCAAGCAGCATGTTTTGGGGATTTTTTGCTCAGCTTTTTATGGCTCCCTTATCACAATCATGGCCGCAGTGTGTCCGCAGGTGGAAGTCGAAAATATACCAGCTGCCGCGGAGGAACTTAATACCAAAATGTTTAAGTATTTGCTTATTTGTACAACGTAGTTATTTTCAGCGTTCACAACGCGGCAACACTGCGATTATTGTTGTGAACGGTTCCAGAATCAGATCCTTTGAAAGCGTTAATTTTAATTCCGAAAGAATATGATGCAAATGAGCGAATACAAGGTGGTGCCGCAGAACGCGCCGCAGGACGATACCGTTATTCGTCAGCCGCAATCAGTGACACCCGGAAACGCCAATGGAGTTGGTGCGTATTTATAACGCATATGGATTAGTCCCACGGATAAATTCCATCACACAAATGGACTCAGTGAGATGCGCGCGTCTGTGTGTGTGGGCGCGAGCAAAAAAGCTGAATCTTCTTGACATTTGGACAGCAGCGGTCAAGACTTTAGCACTTGTGATATAATTTTCGAAATCTTTTTTGTTACTTTCTTTAAAACCAACTAACCAATAAACAAATAATCCGAAATGTAAAGTTCCTTAAATAATAAATCAACAAAGCTTTACAAAGTGATTCGTAAATATTAACGCCAAACAAGTTAACAGGCCTTTAACATCACTTATGATAAGAATTTAGTTGAAACAGCGATTAAAATACGCTGAAATGTACATAATTTTTTTTTTTTGCAGATATACATAAACAACAGGTTCTTTTTAAGTTAATTTTTTTAGGTATATGTAATATGACGCCCGAGTACTTAGTGCCATCGGCCTGACCGCTGGTGTACCTATGCTTATTTTCATTGCTAATGCATATAGCCTATATCATATAAAAAGCTAATCTGGAACTACGCCCCGTTGCAGACAATTGGATGTCGATACCCGTGGGCATGCCCAACTGCCCCCAGGGCCTCGAATACCTGACCGCCCTGGACCAGCTGCTTGTGGCGCAGAAGGTCGAAGCTTTAGAGGCAATCACCGGCTTCGAGACGAAAAACCGCTTCAAGGTAAAGAACTCGCTGGGACAGAACGTCTACTTCGCCTATGAGGAGAGCGACTGCTGCTCCCGGAACGTGCTCGGCGGCAGTCGTCCCTTCGAGATCAAGATTCTGGACAACTTTCAAAACGAGGTGCTCCACCTGAACCGGCCGTTTAGGTGCAGTCTATTCTGCTGCTTCCCCAGTTGTATGCACACTGTAGAGGTGTCGGCTCCGCCGGGCCAGGTGATCGGAAGCGTGGAGCAGGTCTGCAGCTTCTTGCGACCCCAGTTTAACATCAAGAACACCTTCGGCGACACCGTCCTGCGAATTGAGGGACCCATCTGCCCATGGAAGTGCTTTAGCGATTCCAACTTCAAGGTCAGTGCGCGGCCAACAAGTGGTTATTCGTCTGTCTCGATTTCGATTCGCATATTCAAACAAGTATACACACACAACGGCGGTCAGCTAAATAGCAGCAATATTGAACGAACTCAGCATTAACCAGATAATTAATCTGCTATTCTTAATGAACAATGCCAGGCTCCCACATTCAATTATTTGTAGCAGCAGTACTTTTTGTTCTATTTAATTTTTATAACAGACTTATTGTCTTATTTAACTAACCGCCTCTGTGTTAAGCACCATGTAGAGCGGTTCATATACTGAAGTCCGAGACAGTGACGTCATGGATCGCTATGCTTGACTGTCCCGAACCAGTCAATTAATTCCGATACTGCAAACTCTGTGTGCGAATGCGAATTCCGTTGCGATTAATGCGAAACACAAACATTTCTCATTTTCCCCCCGTTTTGCAGGTATTGAGCGCCAATAACGAGGAGATCGGCAAAATAAGCAAACAATGGTCTGGACTGGGTAGGGAGATGTTCACCGATGCGGACTACTTTAGCATCACCTTCCCCCTGAATCTAGATGTTCGCATGAAAGCACTCGTATTTGCAGCGCTCTTTTTGATTGTGAGTATATAAAAAACAACACGGAAGCATTTTTAAATATATTTACAAATTTATTATAGGACTCACTGTTCTTCGAGCAATAAGCTTGACAAGGGATCGAATGAACAAACACCCAGACATTATTAATGCCGACTGCTTTTTTCAACGAATTGCTTCGTTGTAGCCTTAAGAATTTTTTAACCCTTTATTTGATTAACATTTCCGGGAATCTGAACAATGCAACGCTTTGATCAACTTAGAATCTCTGCAGCAAAGGAATCTGCCCGCACAATTTTGAACTGCAATGGAGTTGCACCTTCGTTTATATGAGCCTGGGTTTTTGGCATTTAAAACGCACAACAACGTAGCACACAACTGAATTCTGACTAATGTGTACACACGGAAAACAGACGAGAACGAGTGCCTTATGACGTCCTAGTTAATATTGTCGTCGCCCCGCCCCGTTTCCACGATTTTTATACCTCGACATAATTAGCTTTGTTTTACCCAAAGATCGGAGCACAGGACTACTTAACTGCAACCATGGCGTACCTTACTAATTTACTATTACCTATTACATTATACATACATATATTTTTGTATGAAACTAATCGCAATCGAATTGTTATCCATTATTGTGGCCACAATCGGCAATTTGATACTGCTGGTCGATTTCTTGTGGCGCCCCATGATTAGCATCACTTATACATGTACTTCATCAATTTATTTATCTCTCAGTTATGCTGTAAAATAAACAAACTATATTTTATACAAGACAAATGCCAACCATTTGCAATCGGTGGCAATGCAGACTTTTGTACAAAGGACTCAAGCGTTGGGCACGTTGTTCGATGTAAATGTGGTTCAGTTTTGGACATTTGGAATGTAACTGGGCTTAACCGCTCAGAGTAAAATCTCGAGCGCATCTATCCTTAGTTATTCTTGGCAAAGTACTTGGTTTTTTCCTCAGGGTTTGGAACGATCTGGAATATAAGTTTGTAGGGTATTTATATAGAATTCAATTGAAAACATTGTTTTTAAGGCCAAATTCTTGAATTTATGTATTTTTAAAACTTACCGTATCGGCACCTGGCCGCCAACCCGCTGGGCAAACCTCTCCGTGGGTATCCGTATACTGGAAGGCCTGTACCAGGCGAATAGTCTCGTCCACAGACCGTCCAACTGGCAGATCGTTCATGGTGATCTGACGCAGCACTCCAGCTTGGTCGATGATGAAGAGCCCACGCAGAGCGTGACCACTGTCCTCCAGATAGACCCCGTAGTCCTTGCTGATCTTGTGTGTCAGATCGGAGAGCAGAGGGATCTTCACGCTGCCAAGGCCGCCCTCTTTTCGCGGAGTGTTTATCCAGGCCAAGTGGGTGAAGTGTGAGTCCACACTAACGCCGATTACCTCCGTCTTGATCTTCTTGAATTCGGCAATGCGGTCCGAGAAGGCTATGATCTCCGTGGGACAGACGAAGGTACTGAAATGCAAAAGGTTGTTTATGTTTTGAAACCAATAGCTTTGATATGGAAATATCTTTTGGGTTTGATGCACTTACAAGTCCAATGGGTAAAATAGAAGCACCACATATTTTCCCAGGTACTGGGATAGCGATAGCTTCACAATCTCCTTATTAACAACAGCGGTTCCCTCGAACTGCGGGGCTGGCTTGGAAACTGCCAAAGAGGAGGTAATAAAAGAGTTAACTATGATAGCGGGCTGTCTATATTAAATGATAGTTTACTACTTACTAACTGCCTTGGTGAACTGCAGCTGATGGTCACCCTTCGGCTGATCGGGATAAACGGATCCGCCAGCGTAGGAATAACACGATTCACTATCGTCTGGCTTAGCAGCTCCAACAATCACTGCGGATAGCAGTAGGATAGATAAGTACTGGTTCATGACTGGGCTGAAACGAGATCCACGTATATATTACACTTATTAGATTCGGTTTATACGGTTTTTATGACACGCAACCAATATTGTTATTGACGCCACTTTAACTTCTATATTTATTAACTAATACTAATACTTTATATTTTATTAAAAAAATGAATATTTCTATTTTATAACTTATTATCTTTTCCAATGGATTAGCAGTCGAGAAACGAAGAGAAGGGTCCCGAGTAGTTATTGAATCTATTTTAGTCTGTCTTCACTGTACTCACATATTCAAAAAAGAAACACGCCCACAACTTGCAGCCACGCAGTCAAAAATTGTATTTCAATTTTCAGAACTTCAATTGATTTTGGTAGAACGAACCGATTTATTGTTGCTGCGCTTCCGTAAAGATAAGCTTATCAGTTTCATTCACTGGTAATATATTTTATAGTTGTCAGCGTGTAACTGCTTAAATAAATACTTGACAAAGGCATAACTAGGATTTCAATGCTTCTGCGATTCACTGGTTATCCATTTACATTTATTTATAGTGGCTTAACAATTAAAAGTTCATTGAACAGACACAAGTTCGCACAGCTGTTACCTTTAAAGCGCTATAATTAACTCCGTTTGTTTAATTTTAACAACAAACTCTTCTGCCGGCATTAGTGTGACAGTCGCAGTCTAAAATACCGCCATGCCTCTTTGGTCACACTGCCCAGGAAGTACGGACGTTGCCAGCACACATAAATTAGCAAACAATTATTCAAATGAAGTTATGAACTTGGCGGCCAAATATGTAATTTAAAGCGTCAAGAATATAGTAAAATTTTGTGACTAATAAATATTAGCATCACACAAAATCGTATCTGAAATGTTCAATAATCAATTTAAAAACCGTCATCAGTTTGTCTCACTTATTCTATAAACTTTATTAAAATATATATCAATATATAAATTGCTCGCGCTTAAAAATTAAGGTTTACGCCTGGAGTTAAAACAACACGTACATATGTATCTATGCATGTTTACTTGCTAATACCAATAAATATAGATATTTCTCTCTTATGGCCTAACTGATATAATATGCATTACATCACTATCATGCATCCTCTAAAAACTACAACAAATTGAGCAAAAATCTGTGTTAATTGCACAAAAAGCGAACATTTAAAGTACATTGCTTAGCATGCATTAGCTTTGATTGAGAAATTTTTTTGTTGTGGGCGTTAATGGTTGGTAGTGATAGTGGTTTTTGTTGATCTTTATGTTGCTGTTGCAGTATTATTGATGGGTTGAGAAAAATGCACCTTGCCTTCTTCCGAGGCCGCGGTCTAGCTCTCCCAGACCTCGTCCCGCTGTTTGGCAGCTAACAGTTTGCGTTCTGTAAATAAAAATTTAATTTACATATAAAATAAAATCGTGCGTAACAGTTGCCTTTATAAAGTAGTTAAAAATGAGCACATTGAAAACTCTTCAAAGAATTTTCCCAACTACTTTTTCAACTCTAACAACAGTGAACTCGACTCTACTCACCTTTGGCTTCGCGTAGTACTCGCCTCTCGTTCTCCCGCTCCTGCGGCGCCGTGGGCAGTTTGACCCCCAATGCGCCGGACACAAGACGCCGGGCCAAAGCCGTGCATGTTTCCGGTCGCTGGCGATACGGCTGTAGCGAAACGGCTCCGGCCTTCTTCGCCTTCAGTCGGGACTCGAGCGTGGCCTCCGCCAGTGGCTTCAACTTCACAAAGGGATGTCCCATTGTCAGCACTTCAGCAGCTGTAGATAACAGCCATACACTTCATTACACATTCAATTTATGATTACAATCTGCGCCACTCACCGATGCGGGAACTGCTAAACACAGCCAGAGCATGGGTGTCGTCCACCCACTTGATGTCGAAGCCGCTGCCCTTGTACTGTGCGAAAAGCATGAGCAGATCGGGTGTTTTGAACTCTACTGGAAAATTGGACACCTCCAGGACGTGGGGAAACTCTTCCTCGTTGAGCAGCTGTTGTTTGATGTGAAACACCTTAAAGATTCAATAACAAATGTGTTTATCCTAGCGAAATATTACTAAAGATAGGCTACTCACGCTGTAGTCCATTTTGGGCAGCTCGATTTTGCATTTGCCCACAGATTCACTCAGTTCTTGGAGAATCTTGGGATCCAGACAGTCGCCGCTCTCGTCAAACATGTTTTCCCAGTCATCTTCGTCCTCCTCGTCATCATCTTCGGTGGTGCTGTCTGCAGGTGGTTTCTCTGTGGCTTCTGCTTGAGGGGATTGGATCGCCTTGGGTGCCGCTGCCTCGATCTTTTCGGGGATCTCCAGCACATCCGAGACGAAGGTTTGTTTCATGATGCGACGATTGCTGCGATTGATTTCCTGCGATGGAAGCGAAAATTAGTTCGCCTCTACGTTTTGACATTGTTATACCATACCTTTGAGGCTCGCTGCAGTTCGCGCACATCGTTATCACATTTGGCCGCCTCTTCACCGTTTGGAGTCCTAGATACCACCACATCCTCGATGCGCAGTGGTGGAGATGCCTGGGATTTGCCGCTGCTGGCTGATTTGTTGCCATTGCTTGGCTTTGTACGCTGGGAGCCACTCATGATCTGTGGATAGACAAACTATGGATTAGGATGGACGGGTCAGTGTGTTAACTAACAACTTTAAGGCAGCGAGGGCGCCCTAATTTTGGTAAGTTTTGATTGCCTTCGAGCACCCACCTCTTTATCACAGTCCGCTGGCTTGGCCGGTCGGTTCTCTTGGTTTGGTTGAGTATCGTTTTCAGTCCCCGCTATAACGAGTACAGTGGCGTTATCTGCTGCTATAGATGCAGATATAGCTGTTGATTTCTTGCCTCGTTCTCTGCGGTGCGATTTCGATTTCTTTGACTTGGACTGCTGCTGATCGTCCGCCTTACTTGAGTTTGTATCTGCAACTGGCGGCGAGTCCGCTGTTGTAACCGTTTCCGTAGCCGCTGGCGGTTGTGCTGCTGTCGCTATCGATGTTGTTGTTGTGGTCGGTGGTGTAGTCTGGCTGCGCCGTGCCCTTGGCACATAAACCGCTCGATCGGGACGGCGTTCGCGACGGGTCGCAGCTGCTGAGCCGTCCGCCTGTTGCTCTCTGCTGCGAAAGAGCGGAGCAAAACACAGGTAGCAATAAGTGGATGGAACAAAGCAAGGCAATCGATTAGCTCACGACAGAATTTCGTCAGTTTCTAAGATACAACGCAGTCGATTAGCCATATGGTATGTATTGTATACCTGTTTGGGGATTCTTTAGAGGTAGGATTTGTAGCTATAGCTATTGCCGTGCCTGCAGCTATAGTTGTTGAGTTAATTGTTGTTATTGCTTCGTTCGCTGCACCTGCTTCCTCACTACTGCTGTTGTTGTTATTGCTATTGTTGTTCCTCAAGGCTGGCGGTCTGTATAAATCCACCGAGTTCGATTTGCTTACTAAAAGATACAGATAAAAAAATTATATACTTCCAAAGATACAATACTGTGGGTTACTCTAAAACAAATTCCATTTATAAATAAAGATCGCGAGTTGAGCAGAATGTTATAAACAAAAGTTGGCAAATGCACAAAGCAACTTAAAAAAATAGAGACTAAGGTGAAGCAACGGATTCGGCATATTATAAATTAAAAAAATTCACTTATGTCGACCCAATTTTACACGGCCTGCTTTGTGCCCGATGTTCGTGAATGTCAACACGAACTTGGCAGGTGGATCCCAAGCGGGAAAGGGGAGGCGGAGTGAGCGTGCGCAGCGGTCTATCAGCTGAGCGTTTACCTGCATGAGGCGAACTGAAGTGGAGCGAAGTGCGGTCGGGCAAGGTGTGATGCAACAGCACCAAAAATCAGCTCGAGAAAGAGGGCGACCTTGAATGAACGGTCGACGCGCTGCCTGCGCCGCTCAGCTGGCATCTGGTTATTTGAGTAATTTTACTTAAATTATATTATTAACTAAATACCCTTATATTGAGAGTAATTATAAAAGTTGATTGGAGGTATATTTTGAAGGTCTCTATAATTATATTGCGTTAATATCGATTTTTAATCAATACTTAACTCATACAAAACTGTTTTAAATGCCTTCTAGTGTCCAAAGCAATAAATTAACTAAATAAAGAATTAGTACAGAACGACGATCTTTTTTTTGTTTTCTAACATGTTGACAGTGTATTCCCGTCTTCGTATTGTTTACCCATTCTCATTAATATTTTGATTTCTTTGTTTCGCATCTTTTGCGTTTTTGCAAACATTTTAATTTATGGCCGCTTGCTTAATTCAAATGCAAAAACGCTTCGCGCCGAAATTTAAAAAACATAGCCTGCCTTTGTTTATTTGCGTAGTCTATTATTATTTACTTTTACTCACATGGTGATTCGCCGATATGCTTCTTAACGCCCATCTTACAGAGCTCCGTTATGTTTTTCCTGCTGGCGCTGCTGCTTCTGCCGTTTGTAACCTGTTGTTGTGAATTGTTGTTGCTCCTCCAGCTCTTCGCTGTCTCCCTCTCTCTATCCCGCTCCCTCCCACGCGTTGGCTGGCGCCGCTCTCTCTCCTTTTCCCTTTGTTGCTGCTGCTTGCGACTGTTAATTGTAGATTTTTTAACACAATTAGTTAATCTTTATAAAAGGTATTTTTTTTTCTTATTTATTTAACAGGATGTACTCATTATATAAAAAACCATTACTTACGCCTCAAAACCGCTTGGATCGAGGAGCTGGTTGCGAAAGCAAAGGACGGTACGGCGCTGCGGCCCTTGGCCCACTGAAAAGGTGAACAGATCGTACTGCTGGCGGTATTTCTCACATGTTTGATGGATGAGATAACGGCGGTAATTGCCCACAGGTGGAAAAAGAAGAACGCTGTGAAAGAGGGACAGAAAAGGTTAAGAAACTCTCGATCAAAACCGATCGGTCGCTTTATCAGAAGTGTGTGTTTGCATTTGTGATGGGCCGTTTATGCGGGAATTCCATTAACGCTAATTGGGCGAATCAAAAACATACCAGACCAAATTATTTGTGTCCAATTCTGGGTATAGAACACAATTGTAAGATAAAAAAACAACTTTAGTGTAGTGTTTATGTTGTTAAAACGTGAAACACATATTATGAACCGGTATACACGAAGTTGAAAAAATCCAATTAGAACCGATCGCTAACAGGTTGTTGGGAATTCTCACATAGAAGAGGAAGCAGAGGAGGCAACCCCAAGAAAATAAAAACAAAGTCGAAACGAAGCACGACTTGTAAGCGATATTACGTAACGGTGTTGTAATATTAAAAACTGAAATTTCTATGCGGCGCTTGCGGTTGTTATTGCGCGGCGATTAATTGTTTATTAAACGCGGGCCGAATGCAAAAGAGCGCAAGAGCACGAAGCCCCAAAAAAATGGTGTTAGTTGGCGCAACTGCAATGCGGAAAATCACATTTGCAGTTGGGAAAACTCAAAGTTGTGCAGAAAAAAACAATGAAAAACTGGTATCTGCACACGAAAGGCCCACAAACTCGTACTACTTCTTTCATTGTTGTTGTTTTTCTCTGTTGCACATTTCCGTATTACGATTGTTGTAACGGGACTTGCAGGTCTCTCCCTCTCTGTCTTGCGCATCGTATTTGTTGTTTTTGGATGTTATGTCCAGAGGGGGCTGGGGGCAATTTACTTCTCTCTCCCTCTCTCATACAATCAGGGACAACACACGCACACACTCGCACTCACACACACCTACGCACTTCGATATTCTCGTGGCAAAACGTTCTAAAGTGTTCTTTTCACAGCCGTTTTCTTACCCACAACTCAGGCGCTTCTTCACAAACAGCTGGATGTCACAACCGACATTATGCACAAATTCCTGGTCAATTAAACTTAGACTATTTGCGAATGCCTCCAGTTTATTTAAAAAATCGCGACGACGAAAAAACCGACGTCGCACACACACAAAAATTTCTGGCTTGTTGTCCAGCCCTCGCACGCGTCTTCTTAAACCCCGAAATCCATGGTTGGTGTCTCCGGTCATTCTGTTTTCCAACCATGTTAACGTTGATGGGGATGTTAGCAAATACATTCATCCAATCCTACCGAGTGCGCCCTCCGATGCAACCACTTAACATAGCGAGTGCACCATATCCCTTACCCTATCCAAAACTCCCTCCAAACCTAGCGAATGCGCCCTTCTAATCTAACGAGTGCATATACTCAGTGACAGGATCATTGATATACCCTTTCTTGGAGTACTACTGTTTGCAATTAGTGAATACTTTTGTGAATATTCCTGAGTGCATAGTACTGATTAGCATTAAAAGACGATATGTCATATGGCTCTCAAATATACACGTTAGCTATCTGTCCTTTTCCTATTCGTTCCTTATTGTTCAAAAAAGGCAGCCAATTTAATTGGAGCTATTAAATGTAAAGTAAGAACGTGGTTTGTTTTGCTTTAAGAAGTCTAGTGCGTGAGTTTATACTCTTAAGTTCACACCAAGCGAAGGGGAACCGTGTTCTAGTTTCCGAACTATGCACAGCTGAATTTCTAGCAGCTAATATTTGAGCAAGTGCTCGAAATTAAATTCTGCATAAACACGAAAGGAAGAGTGGAGCGAACCGTCGCTCACTCCATTTCCGCTTTTCAGGCTGTCAACAGGCTATCGCGCCCTTGACACCTCCAAAACGCTCCCAGCCAACCGAAAGCCACCCACTTGCACCGCCACCCAGCTCCATTTTCTAATGGCTCAATGGAAAACTCGCTGTTTGCGTAGGACAAATGTTTATTTATGAATTTCTTTCACTTCAGCTCCTGCTCTCTGCGGATCGAAGTGTCACGAGACAGCGACTTTAACCGCGACAGATATTTTGGCGGAGGCAACTTTTTATTCCTGTTTAATTTGTTTTGGTTTTTGCATTTTATTGCTCAATTAATTGGGCAGGCAAGCGGGGCAAATAAAGTTGAGCCCTTGCAGATGATAAATCGGTAAAATCGCACACAAATGCTCTCCATTCACCGATTTCAGTGCAGTGGGTTATGAGCTATAAAAGGCAATTCCGAGGACCCACGCAGAAACACTATAAAGAAAAGTTCGACTTGAAGGGTACGAAAAAGATATAAAATTGTTGCAATAGTTGGAGAAAGCAATATATATAAACATTTAAAGAGCCAATATTTGCACGTGAACACCCTTTTGGGAACCACTTTGCTGATCTAGTTAATATTTAAGAAAGAGGTAGACATTTTTCCGAGTGCTTGGTTATCGCTCATATATTTCCATTCATTACAGGACCGAAGGCAGGCCAAAAACTATGCCCATTGCCACGCCCCGCCCGGCAATTTGTAACGCCTTTTGCTGTCGTCTCCTGTCAAAATGGCATTCATAAAACTGACTCTCGGCCCAGTCCCCAATTTTCGGGAAATTGTCCCCGTTTATTTCGCCTGATAATGTCTCAATAAAATCTACCCGGCATCTTTTATGGATAGGTGTTTGGATATATGGTAGGGCTCTCGGTGTAGCTGCAATATATGGAAAGACTCTGTACCTATACAAAACACCCCGTGTTATGCCGAACTATTTCGCAATTACCGAAGCTGTAAAATTTTACGATCTTAAAGCTTTCTGCTGGCAGAGCTGCCCCGATGGAAGGTCGTTTTGAATTGGATTTTTATCTTTCTGCCCAGCAATCTGTTGGGTCGGATGCGTAGAATAGTTTTTCATCGCCTTATGATTGCAACATCATCTGCTTTTAATTACTTTTGAGTTCTGCGCGTTGTATTATACATTGGGGGTAGCAAATATCTTGTATACTAAAAATGGATTCGAAGTTAGGAGTATCTCCATTATTTACCTCCGCTTTCACTCTATAAATCCCTAATTACCAACCTTGTTACTTTTCTTTCACATTTTCCTGTTGACTTTTTCCATCTTCGCTTTGATTGTAATAGCTTTTAATCTTTTCGTTATCCTGTGGTATTCTCATTAATTGAGTTTCTGTCGAAGATGGCGCAGCAGAATGTTTTACGTAAGTATTAAAAACACCAACGGAGGCGGGGAGGAAATAAATCAGTATTTTACCTTCGCTTTGTTTGTGCTCAGCTTCTTTTATCTTGAGGCCCCCTTGTGACTCAGAGCATTTTCCGCTGAGTTTAAAAGCTTCCGCCCAAGGCTTTTAGACAACTGCGAAGTTGTTCGCTGCATTTCTCTTACGGCTTTGCAATAAATAAAGTTTTAATTGCCCATCGCCGGGAATCTTGGCAGAAGAGAGATTATAATTTCAGATATTTCACACATTTCAACAATTTCAATTAATGGTCAAGGAGTTCGGGCAACTAATATTCGTGCAAATCAACAGTGGATTGCCTCCCTCGATTAAAGTGCGAGTTAGAGGACAAGGTCTAGACTCCACTCATAATTTACTGATAAAACTTGAGTAATATCGGCTACGTGATTCAGCTTAATCGAAGCAAGGAATAACACACTCCAGATAATCAATTTATGGCGTAACACGCCTCGTAATTCGCAAACATCGAAGCGGCAGATTTGGATTTCAATTTCCATATGGCTGTGCAGAATTTCTTATTCATAGCTGAATTAAATTTGCCTTGAAGACAAACAAATGGAAAATCCCGCGCACGCCTTTCCCTTCCCCGAGTTTCCCTTTTTGTCCTGGCATGCCTTTCCTTCTAATTTCCTTTTATCGAATTTACGATTTGTTGGTCATGTCATCAACTCTCGACTACGGCGACGACAACGCTGCGGATACGCAATGTTCGGTTGGAATTTGTTTTTCCTCTGCCGCCTGCTCTTCTGCATCAATCTTTGATTTGCAAATTATTTTTGCATTCCACACAATCGATTTGTGTTTTTATAGTTCCGAGGGTTTCCCTTTTTCGGGTCTGCCTGATAAATTGTCACCCATAAAGAGCAACAAGGAATCGATTCGGAGGCCTAGGGTTCAAATTTAAAGGGCAGAGCGGCCAATGTGGGTGCGACAGTAAATGCAGAGTTATGTGTTTGAGGGGAATTCGATGAATCGTGTTACGAGAGGTGTTAAGTCTCAAAGAGGCCTGTAAAGCGGAAAATGGGATATTGGCCTTGATTTGGTTAAGCTTAAAGAGCATCGTTGCATTGTTCGATGAAGTACAGAATCTTGTAGGTTAATGCAAAGTAATCGATTAAGTAAGCCGAAGAAGCCTCCGCATGTAGCTCCGCTTTTTATCAGCTCGTCTGCCGCTCATAATTTATGGGTATTCAAATAGGAGAAATCTTTGGGACGCCGCAGGACCCGTTCGCATGCGTTGCCAAATGTCATGTGGCGCCGCATAACCTTTTTGGCTCGATATCCCGTCCTTTGCCCACGCACAGAAGTCCCTTTGCCTGACATTTACAAAGTGCAGCTGCGAGGACTCCGAAATACAACAAAAATGCAATACAAGGCAACGCAGACGATGACGCTGTCCGCAGCTGTGTGGGTGCACAGAAAAAAACAATTTGGCAATCGAAAAGTTCAAATAGTATAACTACAGTGGGGGAAACAGTTGTGTTATTAAAACATGAGGATGGATGAAGCATGAAAATATTGAAAAGCAAAAATTCCCGTATGATTGATTGAGTTTTTGCCGAGTGTTTGTTGTTCTTGCCCTGAAACATAACAGTGTTCGGATGTTCGGTAGTTCCAAAACAATTTTTTGTTGTCCCCAGCTTGGAATAATACCAACTTAAGCGCTAAGTCACCGACAAGAAAAGCGAAACTACAGAACCCGTAGACATGAAAATGGTCACGTTCTTTGCGTGAAAAGTTCTACTTATCCTTTTGCGTGTGCTGCCAGTTGCGGTAAACACTTCATATACGCAAATAGTTGAAAAGTCGAGAGGAAAATGCGCAGGACGATCAAAATCGTGGAGACTGCACAAAAGTTGGCGAACATAATGCAAACCGGGTTTAGTGGGGCGAAGCGTATTGTTAAGAATCTCTATGTTGAAAAGAATAACTTGATTAGTTTTGCTTAGTATAAAAGCAACTAAAGTAACTTGAATGGGAATAACGTTCTTAAAGCTTACTACTATATTTAGTGAACATAAGTGCACAGTAAATATAATGAATCGAAGGTTCACAGTGGGTTTGGTTTAGTTATCCTAAATAAATAAAAGTTTTTCCGAGGCAACTGCTGGTCATGCGTGGTTTGTAAAAGTGAAAACTTCAATTAAAAACATAGCAACTCATGCGGCATGATTCTTCTGTGTGCTTCTCCCTGTTTTTAGCTGCATAGGCACTTTGTTTAATTGGCTCCGTTGCGAAGTCGGAGAGCCAGAAATGGCGCGGACATCCAAAAGATTGGCAAATATCCCGTCCGTCACGTTTCCATCTCTATGTGACCGCATTCCGGAATCGGATTGGCAAGCGCCGGGCTTTCGGGCCAACTGCCACAGTAGCCGAGCAGTGCGATGCGAAATAAATGTTTATAATTCAACGGAAATGCTCGGCAAGGAAGCCCCACAAAAATCCACAATTCCCTCCCCTTGGCCAACAACTCCAGTCCCTCGATACACAGTACGATATACTGTATATAAATTCCTGTGTGTGGAGGCGATTGTTGCGCTTTTCATGTCGGATGGAAAAACATGGCAAATGCCTTACTGCTGCTGTGCATTTCCCGCCAGACTTAAGCAGAGGAAAACCGACTTTAAGATCTCGAGCTGCTGGCAGTAGACTCCTGCCAAGAATAGCCCTCACTTAACAACCAGAAACCCGGCGATATGAGAGCCTCTCGAGTATGCAAATGGGAAGTGAAATCCATTTTGGACGCCGCCTTAGTCCTTTTTAACTTCCGTGACATAAATCCAGTGCCCGCTGGCCATCTACAGATGCGGTCAAGATAACAGATTTCGCCAGAGGTTAATCGACATTTTAAAGCGGAATATAAGAGATTGTTTCAAGCGAAAAAAATGAGTCACTCTTAAAATTTTTTTAATTGGAATACATGTTCCCATGACAACTTAATCAGGCTCTAATTTGCTGACCGCATCTGCACTTGTTAGCCCAAAAATAAAGTCGGTCAGAACACGACGCCGCCATCCGTCATTTGGATGGGTATCTCGTTGACAGGCCAAAATCGGGCGGAATCAGCTAAGCTGATTTACTCTAAGCAAGGAGCGGCGGGCAGAAGGCTAAGACTGAAATAGAAAGTAAGACAATGGGGGTGTCAATGACTTGGTCCTGAAGTTCTGAGTTCTGAGTCCTGAGCTCCGCCCCTTTTGGCTAATGAAAGTGGACAGGGACTGTTGGCGGCAGAAGCGCTTAAGTCAATTCCAGTTGACTCGGGGAGGCAAACAAAAAATACAGGACGTCCCAGGATGTCCCAGAAATTCTGAGGACATCGCAGGACGGCAAAGTTCAACTGGCCGGGCGCGTGTTTCCGCTTAAAAGTTCTCTGTTTTTCCAGTTGCTGTCGTCAGCAATTGAGGCGCCCCAAATCCTCGACAGACTGTTGTTGCTGCCTTTGCTGTGGTGTTGGCTAATTGCGATTTAATGACGATGACAATTTGATAAGGGGATTTGCTGCATTGTCCATCCGCCGCGTTGTCTCGATGGATCCACCAAATAAATCTACCAATTGAATCAGCCATTTCGATGCTGCACGGAAAGAAACGGTCCTTAAATGACTATTAGCTGGGTTTTCTGATCGTTGAAAGTCCTGAAAATGACTCCAAATTACTCGCAATACAAGTTGGCTTTCTTTATAATATTTACCATTTTCTTTCAGAGAAAACTTGATACGGCACTTGAATTTGGAACAAATGACTTGCGAAAAATTGTTCTTCGTGCACTCCGGAGACAATGCAATCACATGAGCATTTTACGGGCCGGCGAAGCAGAGAAAACTGCGATAAAAGCCAATGTCAGCAGCAGGAGGATGGGCAGCAGGACGAGTCGGAGTCAAAGGCGCCTTGCCACAGACAATGGCTGTAAAATAACTGGAAAAATTGAACATGAATTGAAATAGAAGCGATAGTAATTGAAATTGAAAACCCGAGGATATTCGGTGCACGAAATCATTGTCGTTTCAAAAGCGAAAGAGAACGAGATCTCTGACTGCGTCACCAAAGGAGATTATCTTAAAGTTAACTCGACAAACAGAAGAAACTCGTGTTCTTAAAGGGGAAAATTTAAGTGAGCCCCAGCATTAAATTGCGCAACTTGTTCTGCAAAAGCCGAGACGCACAATCTAAAAGTTAAAGCCACACAAATTGTTTGTTTGGATGGCGAAGCCTCAAGGTGATATTTTACACGTCAATGGTATTCATTTTTGTTTTTATCTGACCAATTTTTAGGTTTTTTATTGCGGTTTGTCCCACATTTCCCTTAGGTTCAAATGCCGTTTCGCTTTGATGTGGGTAGCAGTCGCATATATTTATAATTATTATTGGCATTTTCAAGGGCCGATTCGGACCCTTTTTTGTGGCCTTATGATAACGGTCGAAAGCACCCGGCTTGTCAAATGAGTTCTAATAAAAGCGGAAAGTAAAACCGAAATTTGTCCATGCCGCAAAAACTTTTCGCCCGTCACTTTCGCGCTTTCAATTAATGCGACAAATGTGTGACTATATGGAGCGTTCTCTATACAAAGGAGCTTTGTTCCCCTCTGCAAGTCTGCTTTTTTGGCTGATACGTGACTTGCAGGGAAAGTCAATGACTTCCCCGACCTCCCCCACTTTCCCAAGTGGCTTTGTTATGTCCGCTGTAAAACCCCGCTTTAAAGACCAACTCTCGAATCAATTAATCTGCTCTGGCCATGAAAGTGGCGCCTGGCGATAAGCCAGCTCCGTCCCATGTATAGAATCCTTGTCCCCTTATCTTGGAAGCCGGCGATACAAACTGCCTCAATTTTAATGTCCTCAAACTGTCATAAACTGTAAATGCACAGTAAAAGCCGAAGTATAAGATTGTGGCCTTCTCGATGAGGAAGAGACTAAAGCTGTCAGCACGAGAATTTAACTTCGACAAGCACTTGAAACTATCTTGCACTGAGAACCTCCTTTGCGGGCTTCGAGTAGAAAGGGTAAAATATTAACCATTGTTTTTTGAAAATGTTTTTAAAGCCCTTGTGGCTTCTGTTTAAGCAGAACTCTATGCACCCTTTTTAGGTTCCCTCTGTTTTTTGAGCCAGTTGTCAGTTGTTAAACATTTAAGCCGGAACAGGAGCCAGTTTTTTTGGCAGAGTGCAAAATTGTCCCGCGGGCAGAGAGTGAGCCAGACCAAAAGCCAACATTTGCCACACAGCCGCATGAGAATACGAGTATGTGTGGCCGTGCACATGAGTAACCCGTTGGCACGACATATCATCTCCCGCTCTGCTGGCTAAACCCTCCCGGGTGGGCGGTAGGTGGGCGTGGCAGGTCGCCTGCAGCTTTCATTAGTTCAATGTCAATGTTTTGTTGCGAGATCCTGGAACTGGAAAACGGGCTCCGGATTGCGAACGAGTATGTGGTGCCCGACCATTTGTCTGCTGTGGATTTTTAATTTTAAGCGCCCGTTGTTGGCCTTTTCCCCTTTGTTGCCACCTCGATTTGGCCTTTGCCACCTGTCTGTCTGCTGATTAAATGAGCCCGAGCTGCAGGTGTCCTGCATCAGGACTCCCGCTGTTGCTTAGTCGCAGGGAAGGAATGCAAATTAAAATTGGTATCCCCTCCCTCGGTCCGTGGTTCTCGAGAGTTCTGTGTGAGCTGCAAATCGAGTGAGGTGAGAGGCGATCGATATCCCGTTGGCAGGGAATGCCTTTAAGTTCCTTTAAGTCTGGATATCCAATTTCCTTTTTCTCAGAAGGCGACCGCGACACGTGTTTGTGGTTTCCACACACTCGGAAAATCAGGAAAAATGTTCGGGAACTTACAATACATCTAATTCCAAGTCAACCAATATACTGTTTTCCTAATTTAATAAAAGTGAAGACGGTGCTTGAACATCAACACTGTTCATCTCCATAAATGGTTTTTTTTAATTGGTACAAAAAAGAGGAAATGTATTTTTGCAAGTGCACTCTCGGAATGAGGGGACTACCACATAACAGACACGGAAATTAGGCTAAAAGTACGCCTATTGCCGGCAGCTAATAACGACGGCCACTTACGCAATTCGAAATTTGTTGGCGGCTGTTTTTGGCCAACAGTCGTATGCAAACTTTATTAATTACGCGCCCCAATGACCAGTACGACCCTCGAACAAGGTCCTTCTGCGAGTCCTCCCGAACTTTGCTTGTTTACTATTTTCCCCAAATTGAGTTTCGCCCACGCATTGTCGTGGCATGCAATTTGCACCAGAAGCGAAATCAAACAAAAGTTTCCCAAATTAAAAATTCAACGGATTTCATTCGGAAAATCAACAGCATCAACTGAACGTCACAATAACAAGAATCAAACAAATGAATAAAACAAGGAAAACAGTGTTTGCCTTGCCAAACGGAAATAGCCAACAAAGAGAACAAAAAACAAATAATCCGATTCAGTTTGTGATTATGACCTAATATAAAGAAAAACATTAATTAGTGCCGAAAACCAATTTAGCGCCTTTTATTGATTTTGTTTAGGTAAACTTTGTTTAATTGTGCTCCATTTGGAAATGTTTTTCTTGAGGATTTTACCATTACAAATTATTTGAGAATTTATGTTTAAAATATAGAGGTCATTATAGAATTACAATGCAACACAGACTTAACATGGCAACCCTAAAAAAATCTGCTAAACTCATCTCTATTTTTATGTCAATTGCATAACTACTTTAGTAGATATTTGTGTACACATTTTTAGAGAGTGAAAACTTGGTTTATTTGATAAAGAAAACCTAAGTAGACTGTTGAACAATGTCGAAAAATAAAGAAAAGATTAAGAGTTCGACAAAGCAGTCTGAAGGCTGCGAAGAATACGAGTTTCTGGCAAATGTTGGATTGCTGGCAACAACTACGTGAGAAATCATACTGTTTTGAAATTAAATTAGATTGAACAAGTGCATTCAGTGAAATTTATGGAACCTTAAAACTAACTTGCGTCGTTTGCAGAGTGACGGAGATGCGCAAAAGTCAGCCAAAGAAACCCAAGAAAATTGGGACTGAGTGCGGAGACGATGAGTTATTTGTGAAGCGTCCCGATTTCAGCAATTCGCGGAGGAACAGAAATGAGGCGGTGGACGGGGGAAGGACTCGAAAGGAAGTCCCTGTGGAAAGCGAGGGGGATCTTTCGGAGGAGGAAAGTGAAGGGGAGGAGAGGAAGGATTCCGATCCCGGAAATTACTCGATTACCGGTCAGAGGTTCGTGTAATTAGAATATTAGAAGATGCCAAAGAATTTGAATCGAGTGATTGGTTTTCATCTACAAATATATTTTTGTTTATAAACAATAAGCGGAACTATTATTAAACTTAATAGAAGCAAAATATAAATAGGAAATCATTAAGGTTAAGTCCTAATTCATAATGACTAAGGAAGTCATAGTTATTTGTGGCATACAATTAAATTTGCTTACCCTCTTAGGCTGTACAACTTCCTGACGGCGCTCTCCTCCCACCGCTGGATCTGGTGCGAGTTCGTGGAGTCCTTCGTGGACAAGCCGATCCTGGCCGGCGCCTACACCATGGCCGACTACATGGCCGACTGCTGCTCCCGGTTGGGCACCCGCCACATGCCGCGCCGCGGCTGGCAGCTGCTGCGGCGCCACACGGGCAAGGCGCGCCGCTTCTCGCCGGCCTTCATCGAGCTGGAGCTGCAGGACCTCTACCGCAGCCGGCGGATCGTGCGCGAGCTGCAGCAGTACCGCTACAACGACGAGCGGGACGGGCCCTTCATGGACCAGATGCCCAAGCGGATCCCCCTGCCCCTCGCCGCGGACGCCAAGGTCACCGGGCTGCTGCAGGAGCACGCGGGCCACTCGCTGCGCGGCATCGTCGAGGGCAGCGTCATGGACTACGACCCGCAGAACAGCTCCTACCTGGTGCGCTTCGTCAAGAGCGGCCGCTCGGCGGTGCTGAGCCTCCCGGACTCGCAGCTCCGTCCGGAGCAGGACACCACGGCCCTCCCACTCTCGCTCATGATGCACGGCGCCCAGGCGGACACCAAGGAGGTGAAGGTGGAGGCGGCGGGGAAGCCGGATGGCGGAAGGCGGGAGAAGTTCGGCAACCAGCGGTACGACAAGGAGCTGCTCGAGTCGGTGCTGCAGGTGCGCCGCCTGCTGGCCACCAAGCAGAAGGCCGTCCTCGAGATAGCCGGCATGAACGAGGACTTCGAGGGCGGCAGGGACTGCGGTCGCCGGGAGGCCAAGCAGAGCCCGCAGCGGGAGCAGCTGCAGCGGCGCTACGCGGCCAGCATGATCGCCCTGCACCGGGTGAACACGGAGCTCCTGGAGCCGGTGCACACCCTGCACGAGCACCTGGCCGAGTACCTCAGGCAGGAGGCGGAGCAGGAGGCCAGGGGCGGCCGCCCGGCCAGCGAGGTCTTCCAGAAGTGCCGCCTGCAGGCGGAGCTGGACCTGAAGACGGCCTGCGGCGAGCGGAGCCTGCACATCGAGTCGGACTGCACGCGGGAGCTGATCTGCAACCTGCACACCATCCTGTACCTCAACGGGCGGCTGGGCCGCGAGAACAGCTGCGACATGGAGGCGGTGCTCGCCGACCTGGTCGCCCACATGCTGGACCACATGCCGCCCACTCTGGGTGCAAACTTCAAGGAGGCTCTCGACTCGCTGGATCCGCTGCGCCAGCGCGTGGTCGAGATGTTCAAGGCCGTCGAGAAGCCGGAGCGCTTCCACATCACCCAGCAGTCGCCGATGCAGACGGAGGACGGGGTCTTCAACTTCGTGGTCGAGGCACAGCCGGATGGCCTTCCCTAAGCTCCACTGCCTCCTTCCTTTCCTCCCTTTCTCCTTCTCCTAGAATCCCGAAATAAAGCCTCCCTGTTATTTATGGCTCAATTAGTTGGAGTGTCGTGTGCATTGGGAGTTTATCGGCGAGCGAAGTTTCTCCGCTTCCCAAAGTTGCAACTGAAGTATCTATATCGACTGAAATTCCAAAGGAGGCACGTGGCCCTCCGATTTCTCTCCGAAGCCTTCCTTAAATACACACGAGCTTCCAGGGGCACGTCGCATCGGAAGTCAAGTGTAAAACAGTTGACAGATTGGCAAGCAAATAGGCGGTGCGTGTGTGGAGGAGTCCATTAGGGGGTTCTCCTCGAAAGCATTCTCTGGGTAACCCAAGGGATATACACTTGTTTAGAACACACACATCACCTAAAATCCCACTGAAAATTGATGCCAAGTGACCCCTTTGTGTCCACTTTTGTACTGCATTGCTGCATCCACATAAATCAGCATTTAAGCGCTTTCTGTTTTTTAATTACCAGATGGATGCACTGCGCTCGTAAATTGTGTAGGTAAGCCTGTTCCCCGGAGGAGTTTCCCAACGCCCATGTGTCCACCATAAAGACATTATTAATATGCCCCCAGTTGCACTGCGTCCTTTCCGCTTTTCCCTCGGGCGAGAAAAACGATCGGAAAGCAGCTGATGGAGCGTGTCCTGCGGGAGAGGACTCTGGTCTTTTGGCTCGCCAGCCAAGATGTGGGTGTTCTCCCAGGAATCCTCCCGAGCGACGGCTCGTAAATATTTATAATGCGTTCCAGCTGCAGGGGCGTCGACTACTGCTATAAATTTATAGAGTGCAGAATGCCTCGCAGTCCACAGTCGTGGAAACACGATTGGAAACCTGAAAGGGATAAAAATATTTATTACATATAGAGGTTCAAAAAACAAGTAAATCACACACTAATTTTATCAGAGCAGAAAAGAATATTATATTTGTATTTTTTGCCCAAACAACCACAAATAGCATTATCATCTTAGCCGCTTCTGCCAGCAAACAACTTAATGACATTTTCATTCGGACCTTGACTTGATTAATGAATGGGAAGTATCTATTTTGAGCGGCCAATATCCTGGGAAACTTTAAGTACACACAACAGGAAACTGCTCTGACTTGGCAGCTTGCCATCAAGATCCCCCGCCGGGAAAACAAACGAAACAAATGGCAGCAAATAAATGTTGGCTGGACAACTTTATCCGGTCAAGTACCCGCCGTGTGGGCCAAGTTGGCCGCGTTCTCCGAGTTGGCTGCGCGTGCTAAATGAAATTCAATACGCCGCCTTACATAATGCATTCGAGATGACTGAAGTTTTTGTTCTGTTGACACTTGATCATTAATTATATTTGCGCGTGGCGGGGCACCGTTTGTATGAATCGAATCAATACATAACAGCTTAAGTGGCACACATTATATGTATATACGAAATAGTTGTACTATATGCCACAGCAATCGCACAAGAGCGGCGGCCTAATTGATTAACGACTCTCAAAGGCTGATGCGAAGGCGGATGTATGCGTAGATGTGGGATGGATTAATCCAAGTACCGGGCTAAGGAAACTTTCGCCACAAGCCGCTCAATTTGCTTTATTAAATTGTCATCTAAGGTTGCCTGGGTTCGGTTAAGTCATAGCGGGCCAAGAATTGGGTCAGGCAGCTCCAGTTCTAGCTGATTAGGAGGCCCTCGGGCGAGAGGGGGCGTGGCTCGTGGGCCGGACTTATCCTCATCGGTTCGCTTGTGCTTTTGTTGCCATGGGGCAAGCACTTATCGAAGTAGGTTCTCCCAGACAATTCTGGCATCGAATTCCGCAAAAGTCGACGGGGGGTGTACCTTAATTAACGAAATGAAATGGGCTTTCTCCTATAAAAAAGCGAGGCTTTACAAGAGAACTCAGTTTTTCCACATTTGAGAAGCAATCTTAGCAATGTTCTCTTGAAAACAATTTGAGAGCCGTATAAAATGACCTTGATACTCACGTAAAACCAAGAGGTTCTTAAAGCAACCATAAACCATAAACCAAATTGATTGCTGTTTCTTAAATATTACTCGAAGTGCTGTTAAATGGCCCTCGAAACGAGGCTCATAAATATTCATATTTCATGAACCAAGTGAATGAAATGAATTTAAAACACCCGATCTTTACTTAAAAGTTTAAACATTACGTTTTGTGTAGCATACTTTTCTGGGCGAATTGATTTTAACCGGCTCATTGCCATTGATTCACCATTGGTTTATGGGATATTGATGGGATGCAATGCGTGTCGGTTACATAATTAATATAAAATGGATATTCCCCTTTTGGGAAATGTAAGCGCATGTGTAATGTGTTGGGCTTAAGAGCTGTAAGTGAAGCATTTTGCCCGCTTGTAAATCAATGTGCGGCGGTCAGAAACTCTACTCGAAATACGCCTAGAAAAATTAAGGATATGGGGAGAAGTTATGTGAAAATGTCGATATAGAGAAGCACTTAAAGAAATTAAAAAAGCTTTTTAGTCCTCTACCGATATAGCTAATGTATCGATATAGAATCGTAAAACAAAACCGCAGGGCATGTAGTATTTTTGCGAGTGTTTTTCCCGTGTCCTGTTACAATTGTGTGCGTGTGTGCCAAATGATTTATGAAACGGGCATCAGTTTGTGGCGGCAGCTGGAATACCGAGCTCGGGGTCAGGGGTCGGCGGGTTGGCGGTCAGCGGGACACGAAATGCAAATGTGCAACAAAAACGGAGCAAAAGCGAAAACAAACACACACGCCAAAGTAAGTGTAAACAGTGGAAAAGCGGTGGAAAAATCGCAGAGCAAAAAACAAAACGCAAAAGCCCAGCCGGCGGCATTCATTTCATAAAGCGGAAATAATGGCTTAAGTTTGGTTACGCTTCTGCTTACGTTATAAATTACAATGATTGACGTCGCGTGTTGCGGGCAACGAAACTTTAATTACGCCTGAAATATGCGCCACTATTTATTTTGAGCGCTGAGCCGTGAATCGATAGGCAAAATATTTAGCTTGGCCGGAAGCCTCCACATACATACATACCATAGAAACCCCCATTCACAGGATCCGGCATTCACAGATGCACAAAACCAAGAGCAATTAGGAGGCATCATGGCTGGGCTTCAGGCTCGAGTTGGTCCTTTCGTTTTTGTGGAAAGCCAATGGGTTGTCACACATATGGTTGCCAGTAATTGGAAAAGGCCAAAAGGGAGCTCTTCCAAATTGTCGGACTTTAAGTTTCCAGGGATAAATTCTCCTAAAGTATTCTTAGTGCTTAATTTAGTCTAGATATCATCGAATTGTTTGGATTGGCAAAAACGATGACGTGACCAATTGTAAATTGTGTTTACGATGACGTGGCCAGTTGTTTAATTAATTAGTACTGCTAACATAAAACAGCATCAACTATAATCTGGATTGTTGTATAAGTAGTTTTGTCAGGCTTGTGCAGCCATGCCTTCCGTTTGCACTTCAACAGAGATGTTTTATTTATTAAATCGATGATTTAAATCTTGTTAAATACAGTTTTGCTAACTCTAACCAATTTAAGATGTGGGCAAACATAAAGTCCTGCACACTCGAAGCATGTCCTTCATGGACACGGACCCACAATCTTGCTCAGCTTATTTATTCATCTGCCAAGTGTTTCGGTTCCGGCCTTGGGCTCATTGCTATCTGCAGAACGAGTACATAAAAATAAATACTCGAGCGTTTTCGTGTTTGCCGGCTGTCAAATCTCGGATCTCACAAATGAATTTTCGGGGACACTTTCGACACAAATTATAATGTGTTGTAATTTGGTTTAATGCACGCAAACTGGGACCTAAACCCTCGTCCAACGAAAGTCCTTTTCTGGCGCCCCAAGGCTTTATGTGTGGCATTGCTCATACGCAGCGTGGGCCAGGGCCATGGTCGACAAGCCACTGACGGCCGGCCCTCACTTTAAGCCACCAGCTTGGCATTTACATTTTGCGCAGCTGAATAAGGTGCACTGATTGCCATTTAGTTGGCTTTGTATCTGGGCGGCCAATTGCAGTTAACACAATTAAAACGCATTTAACGTGGTTGAAAATTGGACAGAAACGACACGGCAAAAGTTAACATATTTATTCAATAAATTAATGAATCAAGAATTAATTAATCAAACGAATTAGTGCAATTTCATTCAAATTTCCAATTGCATTTCATTACATTAAGGGAATCTGGCTTCGGTGAATCGAAGCTTATATACTCTTGCACTCATCGCAAAAGGTCAAATATTATTAAAGCTATGACGTATTTTCTATTCATTTTCAATCCGACTTTCACAGACAGACGGACAGACGTACACAATAACATTGATTCAGATGATGCTGATCAAGAAGATTTATTTGTTAGGGGGTCAGAGATGTCTCCTTCTGTGCGTTGCAAACTTCTTACTGAAATTATGATGCCCTCTGCAAGGGTATAGAAAGATAAATATTCCGTAAATAAATTTAATTACGTTGTCTGTTAAGAATTGCTGTATGGTAAATGCACAGAAATAGCACCACTGAAATAAATTTAACTACGAATACGAGAATAGTCCTTCCTTGCACAAATCATTATGTGAGCTTCTAACAGGTTGCTGAGTAGATCGTCCAGCCCTCTTGTCCTTCTTCACGGTTGCAGGACGACGAAGGACTTGCTGAAGTACCCGTATCTGCAGTACTTTTGCCGTGAATCAGACACGTGTTTCCGCTTTCAACACGGCGTTGCAGCATCCTGACATTCATTCTCGCTTTTCAATCTGGTCAGAGCGTCTAACTGGCAGCACGAGCCAATTATTGTCTGCAGCATTTATGGAAGTCTCCATGGCGATGGAATGAGCTCTTATTTCAGATTTTTTCGAGCCAAATCCTTATTTGTGAAACAGAAAACGTTTTAATTCTGCTTAGCATTCCTAAGCTGTTGAAATGCAACAGAGAGTTTAGAGACGATGCTTGATGTTTCGCAAGCCTGTCCATCAGTCACTACTCAAAAGAGATTATACTGGGATCGAATTCGAGGGCATTTGAGGGTATACTGGTTTATACAAGTATGCTAAAGGTAATATACAAATTAGGAGAACTTACTGTGTTTGATAGGTAAAGAAATATTTGGAACACTAATTTATATTTGAAGTGTATTCAAGCTCCCAAACCTATTTACTGCCAAATGATTTCGTCCCCAGGGTGAAGACTCCTCGAGTTCAACTGGCTTACCACCAGAGGCAGTGCAAAGTGGCAACAGTTCCTGGAAAGAGCCATCCATTCTGGACAAATAATTGCGCCCTGCGACCCAGCTGAAGATGCTATCTGTGGATGATTTATTCGCCGATAGCGGACACTTTAAAGTTTCCCCACTTCGCTCTCAGAGGATTTTTGCTGGAATTCGATTTAAGCAACTGTCGATGGCCCAAAGTGTTAGTTGTGCCCGCAGGCCAGGCTTGATTAGCATATAAATCAAGTGGATTTGTTCTTATTCCGTACTTCTGGGCCTCCCGTCTCGAGGTATTAATTAGGGAAAAACAGGCAAAGCCTCAGGGTCCGCGAAATTAACTTGGCCTTGTAAACTTAATAAAAAAGTTTTGGTTTTGGCTTAGGTTTTGGTTTCGGTTCGCTCTCGTTTTGGGTTTCTTTTTCTGGTTTGGAAAAAGTAGGGAAAAGTTTGGCAAACTTTGCTCTTTAAACTTCATTTGTTGCTCTTGCTCTCGATGTCTGGCGATTGGAATTCGCATGTAGCTTCCCTTTTTCGTTCCGTTTGTTTGTCCCTTTGCTCGGAAAATGCATTCCATTTGCGTTGGCCCCCATCTACCAGCTACCATCTACCCATGTACATTTAAGACGGATACTCGAATAAATTGGGATCTAGGCAAATGGGAAAATCCAAGCGCTTTCCACTTGAGCAAATTGAGTAGGCTGCGTGTGCAGCCCACTTACCCTAAACTCTGGTACAGGTAAAACAGCAAGGCATAAACATTTTAGCAAAACCAATTTGCGCACACAGGCGACTGCTGTTTCAAAAAGAGCTTCAGACATTTAGTAATGTAAATTCTTTTTTTTTTAATTATATTATACGTAGGTTACTTGCTGGATCCCCTGATAATTACTCTTTCGAGTGTTGGTGGTCAGAGTCAAAGTCGAAAAGCCTTCGTATTTGCTTTTGCATCCTGGTTAATCCCGCAAAGTTTGTTTGCATACGAGTAAGTGTCTGGTAAACTCGTTCTCATTGCGAACGGAAATTTAAAAATCGCTTTGGCTGTTTGGCTGTTGGCTGGTCGGGTGGAGAGCTGAAAACTCGCTCGTTAGCTTTTGATTTACCCCTCGGGCGGCCCAGCCATAAATTCCGCCACAAATTCAGCTCGTTTGCCAATTTGCGTTGCTTTTTTAAAGTCGAGCGGAGAGGGGAGAACAGAGAGGAGGGTTCCGCACACTTTTGACCAGAGGCCATTCAACACGGAGCGACCAAAGAGCTCGAGAAGCGCGCTAAATGCTCAGAGTCCCGGGGCGAGAATGCCGGAGGGAAGCGAGATTTAATGAATTTATGTCGAGGTGCGCTGGATCCGGGATTCTGGCTCCGGATTAAGCTTTGCCGGACAAGTGTCGGATTTGGGGGCCGCTTGAAAGGCGCTTCTCGGAGGCGACAGCCTTATCTGCGATAAAGCCGAATGCCATTTTAATTGGCGCAGCGGGACAACACAACTGACAGCCGGTGGCGTGCACTCCGAAAATAATTTATAAATATTTATATTGAGCAATAAACTTTAAATCAAAAGAATACTGTAAGATTGCTGTGAGTAAATGCTACAAAAGTTTGGGTGTGAAAGACAACACGTTGTGAAAAAGTGTTTTGGAAAGAAAGTTAAAAATGAATGCTATCCCCTTTGAATAACCAATTATTTTATGTGTCTGCGTGAAAAGGCGTACATTTTCGGCCCCCAGCAGAAGTGGCTCCCCTGGGAGGGCGGACCGAAAAGTGGGTGGGACCAGCCAAACACCCCGGGGAACTCTCCTTGCAGTCGCCGCCTGACTTGGCCTCCACTCATTGCGCACAATTAAAAGTTGGCCGCGGCGTTTGCCACGCCACCAAACCGCAACTTGGTCCTCGACGATCCAATTCCGTTCCCTCCGCTTAAGTAATGTGCAAAGTTTACTGAATTAAATGTGTCGCCGATGACATTTTCCCGGGCAGTGGTTGCCGAAAGCCGAAATGCAGGCGACGAGTTCCCCAGACCAGGTCAAAACTTTGAATAGATTCCGACAGCCGCGCAGTCAAAGCCGTTGAAAACTAATCCAGTTCCGGGCTGGTTAGGATTTCTGTTGTGATTCGGAGGTCAAAAGTTCAAGGTTCCATGGCATAACATTCACTCATGATACTGAATTTATTTTGTATAGAACGCCTTGTTTAAATAATCAATTTGATTCAGAATTTTTTACACACGGAGAGATAGTCCTCAAACACAATGAATCTCTCGCTAAATCGGAGTGTCCAGAGGGGCGGCTGTCAAGTTTTGGGACTGAACAAGTTCGGCATTCAGCAGTGGCTGAAGACCATCGACACGATCATCTTCGACGGCGATGGAGTCCTGTGGAACCACGACAAAGTCCTTGACAAAGCACCAGAGACCTTCAACGCTCTTCGAGCGATGGGAAAGGACGCCTTCATTTGCACCAACAACTCGGCCACTTCGGTGGTGGGAATCTGTCGAAAGGCGCAGGAAATGGGATTTCTGGTGGCCAGGAATGAGGTCCTTTCCTCGGGTCAGGCTTTGGCTCGCTTCATGAAGGAGAAGAAGTTCAAAAGGAAGGCGTACGTAGTGGGAGGCCAGGGGATCATCGATGAACTCAAGTTGGTGGGCATCGAGTCCCTGCCCCTGGATCATCCCTCTCCGAAGGGATTCTCGATGCCAGAACACGTTCAGGGTATTCTTTTGGATGCTGATGTGGGCGCAGTGGTGGTGGGAAACGATAAGGACTTCAACATGATCAAGTTGACCAAGGCCTGTTGCTATCTCAAGGATCCCGCTGTAATGTTTGTGGCCACAGACCGCGATACGGCCTTTCCGGCGGCTCCTGGGAGATTGGTTCCCCGATCCGGGGTCATGGTGTCCGCCATTCAGGCCGCCAGTCAAAGGACTCCCTTCACCTGCGGAAAACCCAATCCGTACATGTGCATTGATCTGATGCGCCAGGGAGTAATTCAGCCGGAGCGCACTTTGGTTATCGGAGATAAGTAAGAGAAGATTGAAAAGTTCAATCAATTTGAATTGAGATAAGTGTTTCCTCGTCAGCCTGTACTCAGATATCCTTTTCGGCTACAACTGCGGCTTCCAAACTCTGTTGGTGGGCACTGGGGTCAGCAGCTACAAGGATGCGCTCGATGCTCAAGAATCCAAGGTTCCTTTGCTGTATCAGCAAGTTCCGGATCTTTTTGTGCCAAGGCTGTCCAATCTTTTGCCCTTCTTGTCCTCTCGAAATAGATAGCCTGTGAGACTGCATGTCATTGTTAATAATAATTTCTATAAACTCTAAGTTGTTTCTTGCCCAAACAACACACAAAAATTATTTAAAATACACATAGAATAAATAGCCTAATGCCCTTTAAAAATAACTTCGTTTCTTGTCTCTATCTCGGTAAGTACTGATGTAAATAAAAAATGTGATACACCTTTGGAAAGGTATTCATTTTTAAAAGTCAGCAAAATATCTTTATTAGATCCTAGCAAGGCTTCCTTTAGTTTTCACTCAGAACCCGGACTGCAAAGCACACGTGCTACTGGCAAGTGATGTTCAAGCAGACCTGCTCCGATTTGACGAAGCTGCCGAAGCAGAAGGTCCGCCAGTGGCTGTCCACCTTCGAGTCCGTGATCTGCGACGCGGATGGCGTCCTGTGGCACTTCTCGAAAGCCCTCGAAGGGTCGGCGGATGTCTTCAACCTTCTGAGTGCTTCCGGCCGAAAGACCTTCGTGGTGTCGAACAACTCGGAGATCTCGCGGACGGATATGGCGAAGAAGGCCAAAGACCTTGGCTTCGAGGTCGAGGAAGCCAGTGTCCTGACTTCGTCCTTCTCGGTGGCCAACTTCCTGAGCGCCAAGAACTTCCAGAAGAAGGCGTTCGTCATGGGCGAGAACGGAATCCAGCAGGAGCTGGAGTGCCTGGGCATTTCCACCGTGATCATGGCGGAGAAGCTGGAGAAGCCCCTCCACGAGTTCGTGGCGGACCTCAAGCTGGATCCCGAGGTGGGGGCGGTGGTGGTGGGCAAGGACGAGGACTTCAACATGGCCAAGCTGGTGCGGGCCGGCACCTATCTGCTGAATCCGGAGACGTTATTCCTGGGCACCTGCCTGGATGCCGCCTACCCCATCGGCAACAACCGCGTGGTCTTGGGCGCCGCAGCCCCGTTGGCGGCCATGAAGGCCCTCACCGGCAGGATGCCGCTGGTGATGGGGAAGCCCAATCCCTGGATGGCGGCTCCCCTCCTGCAGAGTGGCCTCATCAAGCCGGAAACCACGCTGATGGTGGGCGACACGTGAGTGATGTTTCCGTGGGGGAAACCCTTAGAAGCTCTAACCGAATCTCATCCTAATTAGACTGGAGACGGATATCCATTTCTCCGCGAACTGCGGCTTCCAGTCCCTGATGGTCGGAAGCGGGGTGAACAGCCTGAAGGACGTGCAGAAGATCCTCGAGGAGGGCGACCCGAAGCAGATGAACCTGGTGCCGGATACCTACCTCCCCAGCCTCGGCCACTTGCAGGAGTTCCTCTGCTAGGCGCACTCAACTTGTAAATTACCACTGCCAAAGACTCTGCATAAAATCAATACCTCCGAAGCGGCCTGCCTCCCATGTCGTCCGCAAATCTGGGCCCTTTTTCGGGTCTCGGTCCCTTGTCAAAAGTCGAACACTTGCAGTCCCAACAGCAACAAAACAAACACGGCCAACATCCACATTCTCATCCACAGCCACATCCTCGGCGGCGTTCGTCACTTCATCGCCGTCGTCGCCGACAGATGCGGTCTGGGATGCCACTCCTCGTCACCAGGACTATCCTCTTTTCAATACCCACACTGAGAGAAAAGCATCAGAACAATTTCATAAAATAGAAAGACTTCAGATGATTTAGATTTGGTTTTAATATTTCACTAGCTCTTAAAACTTCAATCTAAATTAAAGAAATTGCGTTTGCATTTGTTTTTTTGTAAAAATGTTTTTTTTCTACAATCATCACTAATTTTTTGTACTGTACCTTGTGCAATCTGGCAGTCGGGATGGCTGCCATGGACACGCCTCTGGTGTGTTTTTAAAACGCTTTTCCACGCCAGACATTTTCCGGAGCCGCATATAAAGTATATGGGCCACAAAACGTGTGGTGTACTTAGCGGCGTCGCCAAGTGGGTTTTCGCAGGCTGTTGTCCTTTTTCCTCGGTCCTTTCTGCGGGGTGGCGATAGGTGTCAGTTCAGCATGTTTCCAAGTTATTGAATGTCACAATTTGTAAATATTGTCTATTTATATTCGTCTATTTGTGTGTTTTCAGCTGTTCTTTGTGAGTCAATGGGAAAATAATGTGCGATTCTAGTGGGCATTGTATTTTTTATGGCCTTTATCTCATATTTTTTTCGTTTGGATTTCCACGAATTTAGTACGGGTATTGTGTAATTGGTTTTTCATTTAAAATATTTGGTTCAGATGGTTTGGATATCGAAATCTAAAATTCATAACATAATAGTTTTTAGAGGGAAGTTACTTTGGGATAATTTTTATTCTTTCTTCTTGCGTAAGTGCTTTTTAAATGATAACGACGCGTAGCTTAATTGTACGAGTACGTCATTCTAAAGATGAAGAATACGAATGACTAGCAAATTGAGAAGTACTTTTGTTGTGTTCTGCATTCCTAAGTTATTTGTATTGGCTTCCTGCTAAAATCCGAGTAAGCAATTTTGTCAGTTTTAATTTTAGATAGTGTTCGCTTCTAAAAATATACTGAACCACTAATAAAAGTTAGTTTGTAAGAGCATTGAACAAACCACCGAAACCGCTTTTGTTGTGTGCGTAATTTATATTCGATTGTTATTTTTCGTTGTCGTTTCGTTGTCGTTTATTGTCAATTCGGAATGTGGGCCTTGTTTACAGAGCAGTGTTTGCTTTCTGTTCGTGGCATCTGCCCCTCCAATTGTCAACTATCCAGCGAAGGGATGAGATTGCGCCGCCCTGTAATTGAGAGCCGTTCAAAGCTAATTATGCGAGTGTTTCGGTGTCTATGCTATGGGCATACACATGCACTGCGAGAAATATTCTAGGAATGAGGGGTATAGATAAGCACCACATAAGTGAAGATTTCTTCAGGTGGTTTTAAGTCCCTGCACACTCCAGAGGAGTTTAAAATAAATCTGATAGAAACCCCCATAAATCGCTGGTTCTCCCCACTCATTATTTTTTTTCAGTTTACTTCAAGTGGTTGGTGTAGGAAAAAAAGTTCGAAATGAAGCGAAATTTCCGTGGTTGGGTTCGCTTGACACTAACGTTCAGATCCCGGGTGGGGATAGCTGCCAGGAGGCCTCCATCTCCCCTCGTCGCTGTCGTTCCGCCGGATAAAGTGGGGCCTGGGGAATTTAGTTGTGTATTAAATGGGGAACAAGTGCTCCTCGTTACGCGGCGTCACAAAGCCCGATGTTTGGCATTGTTTGCCATTGTCTTCGGCGACTCCCCGTTTGGTGTGGAAAAGGCAGTGCGAAGTTTGAGCTTTCGGAATTCCGGCGAATCACATGGCCAACATTAATTAAATTTTTGACGCTACACAGCTTCGATGGGTCGGACAAAAGACGGCTAATTAATTAGCAAACAGAGTGACAGGGTCAACACTTTGTCATCAACGCCCGAGTGGCAAAAGTCGGAAAAAGCCAAAAACTGTTTGTCGTTTGTCAAACACTCAATCCAAGGCCCATCGCCACTCGAGGCCGGGCTAAGATAATCCGTGCAGCATCAAAAACGCATCAAACTGTTAGGGCGACACCGACAAAGTCATCAGCAGAAGGCAGGAGTATTTACTCTGCGTCGCCGGGGACTGGGTGTTGACATTATCCGGGCTGATTTATTATCGCCAGCGTGGTGACACTTCAGCGCCGGGGAACAATGGAGTTCCTAGACGCCTTTGTTTCGGCGCCCGCAAGAGATTCGAATCGCTAAGCCCGCGGCATTAAGGTATTCCATGGCGCTTGTCACCTGTAATTGTGTGCCTACCTTTGGCGAAAGGGAAGTGAGAGGGGAAATATTAACCCAGGATCTAATTACTTATCAGCTAATAATAAACACTGCTCGACAGCATTGAAAAACACAAACGGAACTCCAGGAGAACAAAGGACTTTTCTCAATTAGTTCTTGAAATACTGTCCTATTATTTGGGGATATTAAAATCGTATATTAGCAACACACTGAAACGTGTGTAACTGACTCGGGAACACGCAATAATACCCGCTCTGAATGGGCCGTCGGTCCCCTTGTTCCAATTACTTGCCGTTATCCAGATCGGTATATATCCCCGTTATTAGGTTGGGGCTCACGTGCGGCCCGTAATTCACTCCGGCAGTTTGCCACCTGGGCAGGCGACCTTCCTCCCACCCCCTCCTCCCCCATCCACCCGGTGCGTGTGTGTTTGTATCTTATTGTTATGGTTATTATTATTTAAATTCCTTTGTGGGGCTGTGTGGCTGTGGGCTGTGGGGCGTTATTACCGGCTCCTCGACTGTCTTGACTAAAGTCGACATCCTGCCAACGTGCTTAGCATAAGATACGCAAATGCGCCAGGAGCCCCCCTCCCCAGTAATCCCCCAGCTCAGATTTGGCCAGGACCGAGATTTTCCATCGGCCTGACACTCCGCTGGCAATTATCCGACAGGACCGGCCAAATTGAATCGCAAGTGGCCGCCTTAAGTGCTCGTTATCATTTTCCAAACTGCGTCTGGCTAGTAAACTTTGCCTATTTGCCTGGTTGGCCATTATGGCGACTGCGGTAATTGCGGTGCAAAATCTGAAAATCAATGCAAATCAGGCGGCCAAATGTGCTGAATTATTTGCACTTTAAAAGCATTTCTGTTCTCATCATCATTTATTTGCACAATCGTTGAATTCGTTTATTTTAGTTTCGATTACGTATTTGCTATTTCTATACAATATTAAAGCTACGCTAGATCTAAGTAATTAGGGTATATTTTTCCGTAGGGAGAAGAGGATTCTAAATCGGTGTTTTCAAGCAGAGTGATGGGGGATTTATAAATCTTTTCTTTGAGCATTCAATTGGATGTCTAGTAAATTATCAAATTTATCGACAATGAAGCAGGCGCACTCGTGAGAGTGTTGTATTCATTCCTACTCATAAATCACCCATCAAACACTCATAAACTGCCATTTATGACTCCCTCTCCTGGACTTCGGTACTCAGAATAGAAGTCTAAAGTTCAATTTATTGGGTTTCGTTTATGCTTTGCATACTTGCTAACTTGTAAATATTTACAGAACTCTTACATGTAACTTATTTACACCATAGCGGGGATTATTTTTATTTTTTTTTTGAGGGCCAAGGAGCAGGACAAATAATTCCCTTGTGAACACCTGAAAATGTCTTTTCTTTTGTTGTTTATTATTGTTGCAGTTGCTGTTAAATTGAGCTACTCGACTTTTTGGCTGACTAAATTATGCTGGCAAACTTTTGAGCTGACTGAACTTTGAGCGGCGTTTTTAAAACTTTCTGACAAGTTGACAGATTGCCGACCTTCTTATTTTTTGACCCAAAGAACAACAGTTTCCGAGGAAAGTGTGGGGCGAATCGAAAAGTTCGGGAAACCCAAATCAGCCGAGGAAAAGGAAAATCATTCATCAAGTTCGGCCGAGAAATGCGCTGTAAAGGATATTAATTAAATTCGGCCAAAGTTTCCGCTAATAAATAAAACTTGGGCCAAAGGCCAGTGAAAAGCGAGGCGATATTGGGTTCGAAAAAGTTGCGGGGCGTAATGCAGTGTGAAATTGATACAAATTCAATTGATTGAAAGGGCGCAAGTGAGCAAGTGAACTCGGGAAAGCAGTATTCAATTCTCAGTCTAAGAAACTAGTTCTCCTCAGCCCGATCGCCTGTGAAACTAACTTTTTAGGAGCTACGTCAACGAGTAAAGTTCTTTGGAGGAGTAGTGGAGAAGTCGGGGGGAAACACTTAACGCTTATCACAAAGAAACGCAACGCTTGGAGCGCCTAGTTTACGCCTTCTGTACAGTTTAACAGTTTAGTAGTTGGTTGTGACAGCTGCGGTCGAAATAATAGCAGTGTCTTGGGGGTAACCCTTGAAAAAAACTAAGGAGGTAATGCTGGATATAAATATAAATATTTTTGAAATATTTCAGAGGTTCCCCATCCATTATTTAGACCGCAGCTGGCTGGTTACTTGTGCTATTCCTATTTACATGACTAGTGGACTAGACTAACCCTGCACTTCGACCCACTCCCTTCGAGCACCCCTCCTCATGAGCATCAGATTCAGATTCAGATTCGCAATCAGAACCCGGAGGAGACGTGGCCCAGCTTCTTGCTGTCCGGCAGCGTCCAGTCGTAGCCGATGGAGGTGTTGTTGTTGGTGGAGGAGTTCGTGGTGGAGGCAGATCGCTGCATTTCGCGGGCGGGGAAGTAGACCACCGGGCCGGGCGAGGGCGCCCGGTTGCGCTTGATCTTGACCAGGCCCGGCGACCCGGACCCCGACCCCGACACCTGGGTGAGCCGCACGTTGTTCAGGGAGTTATTGCCAGCGCCACCAGCGCACAGACTGCCGGTGGTGGGGCCCCCGGTGGCCACCAGGTAGGTGGTGGTGGTGCTCCGCTGGGTGCCGTGCCGCGAGAAGCGGCCGGAGGAGCGGTGGTTCAGCGTGCCGTCGCCGTTGTTCGAGATGGAGCTCTCGTAGTGGATGAGATCCGGCTGGTCACGACTCAGGCGGCGCTTGAAAAAAATGAGTAAAAAAATGCGCTTGAACTTCTCGCCGAAGATGATGTAGATGAGGAAGTTGACGCTGCTGTTGATCGTGATGAGCAGGTTCGAGATCTTGGTGATCTTGTGGTCGATCGTGCTGTAGAAGGCCTCCGATATGTTCAGCACCAGCGGCAGGAAGTTGAGCATGAAGAACACGACCACCACGCACAGCAGCATGGTGGCCAGCCCGATCTCCCTCTTCTCGGACCGCGACAGCCGCTGGCGCTCCCGGTTGGCCCGCTTCACCTGCCGGTAGATCAGGCAGTTGAGGATGGCCAGCGTGAGGAAGGGGATGATGTAGTTCACGATCAGGTAGCACCAGTGGATGTAGATGTTGATGTACGCCTCCGAGCGCCGCAGCCGCGACGGCCGCACGCAGTGGAGCACCCGCTCCGTGCCGGGCTCCACGTAGGTGATGGTCAGCACCTCCCAGAAGCGCGGCATGTTGTAGGCCAGCGAGAAGCAGACGCACACGATGAAGTAGATCTTGGCGCGGCCGTAGGTGCAGAGGGCGCGCGCCTTCAGCGGGTGGCAGACGGCCACGTACCGCTCGAGGGTCACCGTGAAGGTCATGTAGATGCTGGCCGTCTGGGCGATCAAGCCGATGGGGAAGACCGCCGGCGAGATGAACGGGTACACATAGTTGTAGTAGCCGAACAGGTAGCCCGTGTACGGGTAGATGGAGGGGATGCCGAACAGCAGGATCGAGGTCACCAGCAGCAGGGTGTCGCAGCGGGCCAGCCCCGTGAGCAGGTAGTTGATGCTGGAGCGCATCTGCGGCCGCGACAGGATGATCATCGAGATGATGTTGCCCAGGATGCCGAGCAGGCCCACGATGTTGATCAGCACGCCGCACACCCAGAACTCGACGCGGTTGTTCTCCAGCAGGGGGTTGTACACGTCCTCGCAGATCCGCGTCCAGTTGGGATCGATGTCGGGGTCGAGGTCCTCGTAGTGCGGGTACTGCAGGTCCGTCTGCACCTCCGTGTGGTTGAAGATCCCGTGGATCAGGCTGTGGTTCGCCGGCGGGAACAGGTCGTAGCGCACCGTCGCCGGCCCCTCGGTGGCCACCGCACTGGCCAGGAACTCGTCCTCGCTGATCGGCCCTCCGTAGTCGTAGTCCGTCGGCGGCGGAGGCATCACCCCCGGCGAGGGCAGCTCCAGCCGGAGGAGCAGCCGGGCGACCGCTGCCCCACTCATGGCTGCTGGGGATCTATTGGCCCACCTCCTCGATTACGCGACTGCCCGCAAGCCAACTACTCCTACTCGGGAACCCGTAACATTTAGCTGGCTGCCGGGAAGCTGTCGCAGGAACATCAATTCTGCGGCCACGGGTCGGGCACTTAATATTCGTCCCTGTTTCGGTCACGGGTCAGGGGTCACGAGCACCTGGTCGTCACCACTCCTTTGTCCTGGCTCCCGGCCGGCGTCGTCGACACTTTAAGCTGCAAAATAGGAAATGAAAAATGGAAGGTCGTTTAGTTTGCTGGTCGAACACTGTCCAAAAAATTCCGCATTTGTTGTGACCTTTTTAATTTGAGTCCTATTATACTATAGTATAGAAAACTTTTTACTTTAGCTTTATAACTTTCTAAAACTTTTAGGATATTTACTTTTTACTCTATTAAGGCTTTTCATTAGTTTGATAAAAAGTAATGTCTTGCTTTTCTGTCAAGTGTTTCCGAGAAAGGTAACTTTGGTTACATCGATTAACAACAAGAAGCTTTCCCCGCTCCCTCGAACAAACTTATTTGCCTGGCAGTCGGTGCGGAAATAAGTAAGATATATGTAGGTTGCAGGGCCCAAAACATTTTCTCTGCGCATTATAAATAACGTCGGTGTCAATTGCTGGCCTCCCGTTCCTGTTGTCTAAGGGAAGTCTAATTGATGCCTGCTTTCACAGGTAAATTTGTAACAATTAGTTCTATAATTAGAGCGAGGTTATTACGTTTCAGAATGATTTGCCCATTAGTTACGCTCTTGACTTTAGAAGGTTCATTTTTGGAAATTAACTAACCCAAGATGGCGGGGATGGGCCGTGTTTTCCCCTGGGAAATCTTGTTTAAATTCTAGCTATGTTACTCATTTTCATATTTCACATTTTAGTTTATAAAGAAACTTAATTGTGTTACAAAAGGCTTAGGTTATTTTAGGTTTGGGGAGTGTTACGTAATCAGCTCATGGATACTGACAAAACTGAACGTGTTTATTGTCATTCTATTATCGGGTTTTCGATTATATAAAATTACCTGTCTCGTTAGCGCAATGTTTATAAATACATTATAGATAGCACTTCACCAAAGTAAACCACAACCAGTAATCTCCATTACAAAGGCTAACAAAAACTACCAGCAAATTAGCCGGAAACACTTTCGGGTTTCCAAAAGGATTGTCCTAATTGCCATTGAAATTGGTTTTGCTGAATGGAGTGTGTCGGTTTCTATTGGCCATTGTCCCTTAATGAAGGTCCTGTGTTTGTCACACTCTAATGATTTAATTCACCTTGTTTGTTCTCGCCCCTCATCGAGTTGTCTGGCAACAAGTGTGGGCACTAAATCATTTAGGGTTCCAGCTCGCCCGAATATGTCGTGGCCACGTGTAAATATCACGATTTCCCACACCGCCGCGCCCATCGAACGTCACATTTTTGACACATCAATCAGGCTTAAGTGGCCCAAACCAAAATCGGACCGCACACCCACACCCCGATCCGTTTGACCAGCAAACAAAGACACACAGACAGTCACACATTAACAGGCACAGAAAAATGGGGCCAAAATGCGAGTGGAGACTGATAGCTCATCAAGTGGCGAGCAAATCAGTCAAAGCACACGCCCCTTCAATGTTGTGTCGCTAACCGAACTGATACTTAGGAAAAATATATGGTAGGTCCTATATAATAAGGGATATCCCTCAGAAAATTATATCTTAACTTCCACAGATTGAGATAGGACATTGCAGATTAAATCAGAATGCATTGCCTTGCTAAATTGATTTTTCCTTCAGTGAGTGTTGACTAGACTTCCGTGCGACCTATTCCCTTGATTGCATAATAAAATCAATTTACACTTCCAGGTGAAAGGCGATTGTGATGTAATTTATGGCCAGGCTATTCCACTAGAATAAAATGTGCGGAAGTGGCTGACGTTGATTATACGAGCATGATACATGTAATTGTGGCCGAGGCTGTTTGCAATGTTTGCGGTTTCGCCCAGCCGACCACAAAATGCAAAAACCTGAGTGAATGGAGGTCAAAGGGCGCACGACACACGGACTGGTCACACGTTGCGTATGCGTGATATTTGGTGAATTTGCATCTGTTATCTGTGCAGAGCGGCAGCAGTTGATTAACTGGAAGAGTCCGCTGCAGTCGCAGTTGTTTGCATGTTAAGTGGTCGCCGCTTTGCGGTCGATGGACTGCAGGTGTCGTTAAACAGGAACCCATCCCCCCAGAAACGAAAACCCCATTGTTTTGACCCCGAGGTCCTAATGCGATTATCCCAATTAGGGGCGAGAATTGAAGTGCCTTTGGGTGTATTCCTGCAGCAACTGTCGGAGCAATTATAAGGGCAATTATCTTTAATGCCTGTGACCCTTTCTGCCGCTCTTGACGGCCTGCACGTGTCCAGTTTTAGTTGCCCCGCCCCCCGAGTCCGAGTGACTCACACATACTCGTACTCTTTTTACGGCCCTGACATTGGTAAATCGCCCACACGACCAGTCCCGAAATTGCTTTTGCTCGGCTTGGCCAAGAAAAACACTCTATCCTAGCCAGCAATTTTTCCCACAGCTGGCTTTATTGCGGCAGTTCGGTGCTCGGAATTCCCTGCCACTTCTTTTTGTCACGCGGAACAAAACAAGAAAATAAAAAAAGAGGCTTTTTGGTTCCACTGCTTTCGGTCTTTGTTACTTGGAAAGTCGTTTTTTCGGCTTTTGTTGTTCCACATGTTCCCTGAAAAAACAGCAAACATCAAAGGCCGTTTCGAGGATGATGAGTGCCACTTGAATGTCCTTTCCATATTTTCGGGCAGCCTAAATCATCTTCGCATTTGTTCGTAGTAAGAAGAGTTTTCATTTGATTTGTTATTTAAAAAGTTGCTAAATTTAAATAAATTTGAAAATAATATTAGGATACTCCCAATGCAATGCATAAAATGGAAAAGTCGGGAATTAAAATCAAAGTGAGTCAAAATGTGACTATCACTGAGTAGCTGAGTAAAATGGGAAAATCTCGAAACCATTAGACAATTTTCAGTGGAGGGAAACCGCTTTTTACAGCCTTCTGATGGCGGAATGGAGCATAAATACGGCTCGGATTACGAGGCTTAACCACTAAAAGCTGACTCGAATCTACATGCGAGCCATTTAAAAACTTTAAGCTTTTAACGCTTTCAAAAAACAGAGGGCAAGGGTTGTGCGAACTTTTGCTGAACAGCACCAGTTTTTGCATAAATGTTTAATGAATAAACGGTTGGCAATGCTCTTCTAAGTGCTAATTACACCTACAAGAGTCCGAGCAATAAAATCGATGGTGGGTAATTAAATGGAATTTTATTTATGGCCATTTTCTATGGCCAAATCAATGTCGGATAATTAGAACAGACACGTCGTTTCCTTTCACTTTTCGTGTTGAGTGACAAATAGTTTCAATTTTGTTTAGTCTGTGAGAGACGTTAAGCTTAATTATTTAGAAAGCAATTTGCATGCGGAATGCTTTTCAGCGATCAATTTTCCCGTTCCCCTCTATTTTGCATGGTTTTCCTTTGTTGGATTTTCAAGAGTGCAGTTTGTATTTTGCGGAAAATACGTGTTTAGTTTGGTCGCCGGATTGTCTGGATTGTGTCACTTCTTTTGGCTGGGATTTTGTCATGTGCTTGCAATTTGTTTTTCTTTTTAGGAGGACAGCACCGAGAGTTTTCAAGTTGATTCATGCGGATGTGAAAGTTTTATTGATCGCTTAACAGGTGCTGACTATTATTTAGGGTTCTAATTAATTGGAGGACTAAATGTGCTAATAATAACGTGGGCAAATTATGTAAATACTTATTTTAGATGACACCTCTGCCTATGTCATATTTCACTCCTCGCCTGCCGCTTTTCCGAACTCATTTAATTAAGCAGCTTAAGTATATTAACTTATGGTTGCCGTCCGCTTTTCCATTGTGGTTCCATGTGGCAGCGGAATTTGCGTTGCTTATAGAAATATAGCTTTGGATTTAGTGTTTTTTGAACGCAGAATTTATAGAAAGAAGAGTGCTTCTAGCCGCATGCTCAGCATATAAAGCCAAATAAAAAAGAAAACATATAAAAGTCAAAGATTCTGGTTGGCGGCATGAAATGAAAACACAAAATTATAATTATAATATTTCGTAGAGCAAGAGAGAAAAGCGAGCTCTTCGCGATTTATTTTTAGTTGACAGTTTCAAGGCTTTTGCTCTCGACAATCTGGCAGACGGAACCAGAGAAAAAGCGCTGTGAAATAAAGAAATGCTGGTTGGTCCAAACCAGTTTTGGCTGTGGATGTCCAGCCCGGCTTTCTGTTTGGATTGCCGGCGTCATTTGCATTTTTCTGTTGCAGTTTCGGTTTTAATGAGCATCCTGCCGTGGTCCTACGAATCCAAAAAGGCATTCGGCAGCCCTTAATTGTCGGAACTCGCACAATTTGAGTGCTCAACTAGCAGGTGCTGAGTGCTCAACGGAGGAAAACGATTTATGCCTGCCTCTTCTTAGATATTTTTTACACAAAGAACAAGGGATTCTGCCTTTGATTTACGATTGTTAAATCAATCATTATAATTACTTTTTGTAAACTGTAATTAAATATGATTATAGCAATAAAGAAAGCGCTTAAGAATAATTATTTTTTAGGTAGAATAACTGTGTTATTATTTCTGTGTACCGAATATACACCATATTTATTGGCGAAAAATAAACAAATAGATTGGGTAATCAATAAAGGTTGAACCTTTTCTTGTGTAACCTCCTATTTTTCTACTTAATGGGCCACGCATTTGTTGCCAGAATTGCTGCGTTTAGGGTAAATAATCGCTGCATTGTTTCCTGCGAATCACCACGCGTCGTATACTTAATCATTGCGACGTTAAGTGGCAGCGAAGGGGGAAAGGCCCAAGATCTATTTGCCAGCAGCATTTAACCCAAGGCCAGCTAAATCCATTGCGGCTGCTATCCATTTTCCGCTAAGTCTGAGTTTTCCCGCCATCTACATGTTTCTCCTTGTTTATTTTTTAGCTCGTGTGCAAATGAATTTGCAGCATTTACTTAATTAATATGCAGTTTGTGGACAAGAGAAATGTCTGTGAACACATCTGAATGGCGGCACCTGGGCGAATACGAATATGTACGGCCTAGATGTACAACACAAACATGTGGCATGGAAAATTACTCCCCAAGTACTCTAGTATTTATTTGAGGCCAAGAAATTCCAAGGAAAGTTTTTTATTTACATTCCTTGAGTACTTCTAAGTTGCTATCATCTTTATTAGATTTCTGCTTTTAATTAAAATGTAAAGCCTAAATTGCCTTACCTGCAGAAAAGCGCCTGTAAACAAATTGTATGAACGAAAGGCAAACAACCAGCAAAAAGTAGTTTTCATTTTGTTCAAGTTCAAATATTATTTTGATTTACGTATTTGTTAGCTCCTATTTATTATGTGTACAAAAAATGCCTTTGGCGTCTTCGAATTCTTTGAGATTCAGTGTTATTGTATTGAAAATAACCAATTAGGTATGGGTAAGAATAAAATTTGTTTTGATTTCGGTGGAGTCTTCATAATATTTTGTTTAAGGAAAAATAAATACATATTTTTTTAAGTTCTCGTTGTCAAACAACTTCAATAAATATTGCAGAACAGAAGTAGAAGCCCCCACTCTTCCTGCATTGTTATCATATTTTATTGAATTTGAAAAGTGCCTTTGTAATATTTTGCGCCCTTATACAATAAAGCACTCTTTCCACGATGTTTCCCTTAGGGTTCGCATGTCATAATCAAAGCCAGAGGCAGAGGAAGCCACAGTGAATGCAAGCTTGGCTGGAAATCGAATAGCTTGGGCCGATTGCATCCAAGGATGACCCGTCAGCAGCAGAGAATCCCTCTTCCCCAGCCTTCCGAAGGCAATAAAAATATTCCTTTGTGGAATATTTTCGCCCGACGAGCCACATGAGAGGCTCCCACCGCAATAAATTAATCTTTTTAATATTCAACATGCTGCGGCTTATCGACAAGAAAATCATGAGGATTTTCCACACCCAAGGATGGCAATAAAAAAAGCCACTTGACATTTAGCTTTCTTGGGAAAAACGCATGTTTTACGGCACACGTTTTCCGCCTTGTTTTTTGTGGTTATTTTGTCTGCTCTTTTAATAGGCTTATTAAGACTTATTAGCTTACCTTGGAAATTTAATTTACAACTCGTGTGTGCGCAAGATATTCGCATATTCCCATTTGCATATCTTTGCGGCGAGAGTGTCAACAATCAATGCCAAGGGATTCTCGGAGCGAAGGGCGAAGAGCGATTGAGTTGGAATGATCAACGATTCGATTTTGGGGGCTGAAAGTTCTTCGGCTTCCTGGGTTTTCGGCGGAGATAATTAGCCAATCTGTTTTCACGGTTCGCCTCCGAAAAATTCTTCGGAAGCTTTTTATCGATGCTGTTCACTCACACTCGCCAGAACATATTTATTATATTTATTTATAAATTAATGCGCTGCTGGCAGGCGTTTTCACTTGATATATACGGCAGGGGATATTATTCAAACACTTTCCCCGACTCGAGTTGAACAAACAGAACTTTGTTTTTATTTATTTAGTGGCCTAGTGGTGCCTAGTGAATATCGGTGCACTCTCACTTTCGTTTCGTTTCGGACACTCGCTCTCCCGTGCGTATGAGTGATATTTTGGTGTGATTCGAAATCCGTTTTCCGAACGCTTTTTCTGGCGCGAACGCGATGAAAGCTGCCTGCCAACTGGGCCGCCGAATTTTCCGCTTAGTTTTTCCGGCCTGCCGACTGGCAACAATGTTGCACGTTGCCGCCCCGCAGCAATATTGTTGCCGCCTGACAGTGGGCATGCGCCGCGGAAATGTTGCTGCCTTTCGGGGAAATTCATTCATAAAAGCAACTGGCGCTATCGTTACTGCAGGTTGCATGTTGCTGCAACACTGCAACAACCATTGCACCCAGTCAACGTGCGTCTATTTATACGGCGGGCAAATGTCGTAAGGCGAACAATCAAGTTTTATGCCCTCGGTAATGACCACTACGACCGAGTTGCGTTTGTGCAATTGAGGAACGCCTAGACACCCGCATACTCGTGTCTTGTGTCTCCCATTCCAGCCGGAAGTGCACGGCCACGGCATAACTCAGAAGGTGGGGCAAGAAAATGAACTCTCTGCGAGGCGCGTGGGTGGAAACCGCTCGGGGAAATTAATTTAATGTTTATTGTTTGGGCAGCAGATGACCGAGCATTGTTTGTTGCCAGCGGAAGTGGGCGAAGAAAGCCAAGTGGTTCCGAAGAGTGGTTCTTGCCACGTCCAAATTTAGCTGCGGCTGGGAGTGGGGAGTTTTTTGCAGTCACAGGTCATTAGCGGATTGAAATTTTACAATAATTCATTACATCTTTATAAAATCGTTATTTATTATTCACATTTCCGTTGAATTTGCGCGCATTGTGTGGCGAGCTTTGCCATTTGAGGACCTATTGAACTCCAACCTTTCCCCCAGAGACCATTTGCACTTTGATATTTCATGACTGATGCGATCAAATCCGTTTATCAAACTAAACAATAAATTACCATCCTACACTCGATTCATTTCCATTTCCCGCTTCTATGGCTTCTGCCGCGAAAGGCTTCTCTCTCGTGATAAAGTACTGCATTTAATTTGAGCTCTATATTTTATTGAATATGCTGTTTCTTGTACATTAATTTTTTGGCTCTTTGTGGAATCCCTCAAAGTTGATCCGTTGGTGGCATGTGCCTGAGTTTTCGGCTTTTTCTCCGGCTGAAAAGCCATAGGAAAGGCGGCGAAACTTGCAGAACTCAGTTCAGAGACAACGCGGCGGATTACGGCTGCTGATTTATTTTCTCTTTGGGTTTTCACTCCCCTCCCTTCCTTCCTTCCTCCCCTCCTCCCTGCACCTGTCAGAGCGAGGCTTTTCCTCGGCTCGACAGTCGGAATATATTTTTAATATTTTCATTTCCCAATAAGGCGGCTGCCTGGCTGGCTGACAGATGATGTTTCCTTTCGCCCCCGAAGACAACAATTTCAAAAGTGAAGCAGGAGCACTCCTCGTGGGTTGGCCTGCCAATCAGAGCCATGACGCGCCAAAGAGTTTTCATTTATTTGCCCGCTTTGACACTTTTACCGCCCGGCGATATAAAAGTTTTCTAATAGGGCGCCGCTGACCAGCGGAACGCAACCTTTGGGGGCGCTTTAGATTAATCGCCCCGACATTTCCACTTGGCTTAACCTTTATGACCCGTCCCACTGCGGACCCACTTGACTCGCACAATTACACAACAAGCCCGGCGACCAAGGAGACCCTCTGACCACTGTTCACTGCCCACCAATTTTTTGGCAACTAACCACTGGACGAAAATAAAAGGATACTTCATACGGGGATTCGGGGCAGATTTATGGGTGGGATTTTGGCGCTGTTCAAATATTTAAGACTGCTCTACACAGAGAATAAAATAACTTTCAATGTTTAAAAGAAGTAGGGAAGACTTCTATGATACAGATTTTTAGTTTTTGCTTGTGTGTAAATTCAACTTCCGGCACAGCTTGCACTTCCTCCGCTTGTCTCTGTCCCAGAATAAGAACAGGAAAAGTGACTTTACGCAAAATTCATTTTGGGATTTGGTTTGCGGAGTGGCAGTGCAAGATGCAGCTGGTGAGTGTCGGTACTTGTGCTTATTTGCTTTGTTTTTCGGGCCAAGAAAACTCATGCAAGGCTCCTGGAAGTGTCGACACTTTCCGACAGCCCGTGCCAGATTCAAATTGGTTTATATCCGAACTCCCCATTTGCGATGCGCTTTTGAGGACCGGAGAAAGGAGGCGGAGACAAGAGGTGGCAAGTGCCACAAGCATGTGCCACCAAGACGGATAACTCAAGGAACCTCTACGGCTTCCGCAAGCTGCGGCTCGTGGCAGGTGGCGATTGATTTGAAATTGAGTTTCAGCAATAAGCAGATAAATATTGCAGGAGAAATTGGAAAAATTACGGTGCCGGCAAAAAGCAGCAGAGCAATGAATATAATTATTTGCAGATAAATTATTTAGTGAGCGAAAATTGCATTTGTTGCTCTGGAATGCGGAGCTCATTTGTATATAAAGATGAGCTTTTAATCCACTCTGCATACTCGATTCGATGACCTCCCTTAATGGAGCACCCCTTTCAACTCGGTTATCAACTGACTGCTTTTTTGAAGCATCCTGCCGCAGGATCAGGGCCTTGCCAAGTGCTCCATCACAGTCTGCACTCAAAGGCCCAAGAGTGACTCATCGAGTCCGCAGTGACCTTTCTGCTTGGCCGCTTTTGGCCCGTCAGCTCTATTTGGGAAGCGGGTAATAAATTGAAATCGAAATCAAATACGATAAAAACTTGGCACATCAACAGAACTTGTCTCCGCAAAATAATGGCTGGAAAATGAAAAACCATCTGGCTGGATGCTCGTCCATAATTAAATGTAAATGTCTGCAGATATGTATGTATGGGGCATGCAACAAAGTGCCGACAATCATAAACAATAACACAGCAAATAAATAACGCATTTGCCGCCATAAATCGCCCATGCGAGTCCACGTCCTTTGTGCTGCGCCAAATGGCGGCCATTTGCATAAATGAGGGCTAAGGAGCAGCTACGTCATTGTTTGCAGCGAGTCTGAAAAGTTTTTGCCGCTCCTCGCAGAGCGAAATTCAGAAGGCACCCACTTTAGTTTTATCTCCACGCCGCCATCGCTCCGGCCCCGGACATTAGCACTAATATGCAAAAACATGTCTGAAGGTATGTATAATTTTTATGTTTATTACGTCCCCCGGCGATTTTGAATATACGTATAATAAAGCTGGCGACGAGGTCTGGGCCTTCGAGCTACCCTGTTGACTTTAGCTTTAGCTTGTCTTATGGTTAAGAAGATGTGGTGGCAGGTAAGTGATTTACATCAGACTGCCTAACGTCTGGCTTAATGCTCGTGTGATTCCGCTTCAATTAATTTGATTACTTTCCAGGACTTTGACTGCAGTGAATTTAAGTTGGGTATACAAATCCTTTTTACAAACCAACTTTGCTGACACGCAAATACCCCGCTTTACAGGTAAGCCTGCCACGAGTGCCTTTCGGCCATTCGAACTGCGAAACGGCGCTTGACCCAGAAATAACCCCGGATTGACCTCCCTGCTGATGGCCAGCTGGTGCCCCGTTGCCACACGCGCCGCTCTTATCAACTGGAAAACGACAGTTTTACGATGCGGCTCCTTATCAAGTGCAGCGTTATTGCGACGAGAAGACCTTCGGCGGCTAATCAGGAGGAGCTTACTACCTTGTTGTGGGCGAGTCCTCTGGGAATCCAGAGCAGCAGGCTCCGGCGGAAGCGGATGTGGCTCGGCTTACACAGCGGCAGCGTGTCCTTTGACGACCGACTCGGCCATAAATCAGCTACAAGTTTTGACGGAAATTCAAGACTTCGGGGCCGCGCAGCGGGAAAGCCACGAGCTCAAAAGGATTTCCGCTGGGGGAATGGCTGAAACGAGCTGGGAAACTTAAGCTGCATCCCCGAAGATGGCGGGGAAATTTATACGGAATTGATTTTTATGGAACTGCAATTACCAGAAGTGGCCCACAAAAATTACAACGATTGGTGGCGTTGGTTTAAAGAGGTTCTTCCGCTAGTAAAATTAATTTTAAACATTTTGGAGTGTTGTGAAAAAGCAAATTGTTAAAAGCCCATCAAAAATGCAAAATAAACTTAATAATCTTGCTTGAATTTTACATCAAAGGAGTGATGAATGAATTCAGTTTTATAGCCTCTGCAAAGTGAATTAAAAATTCATAGAATAGTTTTTGATGAGAAACAATTTTATGTAAATTGCACTCAAAACGTTACGTTTAAAACTATGGGCAAACAACTTGACTGCTTTGGGAATTACAGGAATCATTTTTATTTTCCAACCACTTGACGTGTAACCAGTTCATATACACACAAAATCAATAATTCATAAGCCTTTAGTAAGCCCGAAAAATATGCACATAAATACACCAACTTTCCGACCGGGTTCAAACCAAAATTTAACCCTGTGACCACCATATTTTTGTTGCTTTGTTTTGACCTGGTTTTATTTACCTTTGTCTGGGACAATTGGGCGTGTGTGAACTGTGATTTAACCCGCAGGACCAAACTGGCTTGCCAGCCGAGCAATCAGCACCTTCATAGAGCAGCTCTCTGAGTCGCCCAGTGGGATTTTTCCGGCCTTTTCTGGCCCCGAATTCGGCCTTCCGGCACGAGTTGGCAGTCGGAAAAATGGCAAACGGATGTTGTGCGCAACGAGCCGAGTCATGACATTTGCATAACAAATTCCATTTAACCCCCGCTCGGTCTCCCTCCTTGCCGCGCTCAAAAACATGGAAACATGTTTATTTTAGATCATTTCAATCTATTCCGCCCGCATTCAGGCGCTCCATCATAATTATGTGTCATAAATGCCGAAAACCCAGCCATTCGGTCTTCGTTATTCAATCATTCGGTGCCTCTGTGCAAATTTACTGGGCCTAAATCCCGAAACTGGGGGACTCCAGGCCGCGCCTGAGGTAAGGAATCGAAGGGGGAGGTTGGGGTCGTTAAATCAAATCAGCGGTACATTACGCGGCCCCACGCTCCTTCGGAATTCTCGGCCTGGCAGCAGTGGGCGGGGATATCATGTCAGTCGCAAATTAGACAAATTCAGGCGATGGAAGCAGGCAAATACCATCAAGAGGCTTTAAGAACAACCAAAAATTTAAAACTTTGACAGCCTGTACAACAAGAACTTCAATGTTTAGAACGATTTTAAGTAGGAAGTAATATGATTCCTTTTGGGGAAACTTTGAAGGGCAATTATCAGTTTCAAACTAAAGAAGACTGATGAAAAACGAATTTAAAAAAATCCTATACCAAACTGAAGTAGATTTATAAAAAAAGAATGGAGCTTTCTGCACACTGTAGCCTAGCAAGTACACCGCTGGGAATCCAAATGACTTACGGGTTTCCCATCCCCCCAAATAACTCGACATAATTTGTCAGGTAAGCGAGTTCGGAGCTTTGAAGTCGACGAACTGGCGAATGAATTCAACTAAGTCGGCTGTAATTTGTTTACTTCCTGGAGGTGATACAATCGCAGCGGTGTTGTGGGATCGAAAAGCCCCCGCCAGGTGTTCGCGAGCAGGCCCACCTGTCGTATACGTGACGGGATTGGTGGTTTACGGCTTGGTGGCTCGCTGTCGGGCAAAAGCCTTTGGTCAGGCTGCCAGACTTTAATTGAATTAGCTGCGAACCGGCTGAGGTGCACACGTGCCGCCTTTGACACGGGTCAGGAATCGGGTGACAAGTTTTATCGCCGCCCTTAAATTGAAAACATTAGTTGGACCCGCGCAGGACTGCCGACTCCTCGGGCTTTTCGGTGAAAATGCAGCGTAGATCCGCGACCTTGGCCAGGATTTCGGCCTTTAGCTCCTCGAAAGGGCGCACCAGGCGCACGGGAACGGTGTCGTCTCGTCCTTGGAAAAGCGTTTCCCCGCTGAAGTCCACGAAGCCGTGCTTGCGGGCTCCCAACAAGGTGGCCAGCAGCTTGTCGGATATGTCGTTGTACAGTTCGAAAAGGGGTCCAAAAGTCAGTGCTTTCAGACCGTTTTCGGGATCGTCTTGGCCGGAACTCTGAATCATTTCGCAGAGCTCCAGGATCTCCTCCAGAGCGCGGACGCTGGCCTGCAAGGACCTCTGCTCGGAGAGACTTCCCGCCGGAGCCCTGCCGTACTCCTCCTGCGGAAAGCTCCTCTTGGGCATCTCGCTCACGTTGTAGTGCGCGAAGGGGTTGATCATCATCCAGTTCTGGTGCTGCTCCGCCTGCTGGTTGAAGAGCGTGATGCGCGAGGACACCGACGAGTCCTGCGGGGTTCAAATCGGGTTCACGGGCATCCACGGAGGTATTTGGATGACCACTCACCTGGTTGGCAGCCATTTCAATGTTTTGCCAGAATTTTGATTGGTTGTATGCCGAAAGTTATAGTCACATTCAGAGCGACGACAGAGCCTGCTTTTTGGCCAGCCTAAGCTGAAACTGCTTAGCCAACTAGGTTTTACCTTAAATCTGTGAAAAACCCATTCTGGGTCTTAGAATAAAAAATAATGGGGAGTCAGGATTTTAAGTAGCAGGCCAACATAATGCATTAGTAGGTGGCTGTATAGCATCGTTTTTATTTGAGTTTTGTGTCGACATAAGTTCCCCAGTTATATGAATTATGCCTCTAATTAAGGTTCAGTTCAAAGTGCTCTGTTAAGTGGAAGGGCCATTTGCGTATTGCATGTAATCAGGAGACCCCGCGCTGATTGTCGGTGCCACATGCAAACACACGCATCTCATTAGGGAGCGGCTCAATGCCAAGCCGCGTCAAAGGTTCAAAAGGCACGAGTTTGCCCAGGGATAATCAATCAAAGTGTCGCTTAAAATACCTTCTCCCTCGGCATTCATCCTGCCAGTGGTTTTTAGTGCGGCTTAAAGCCGTGGCAGCCATGTGGCAAATGCGGCGGAAACAGCTCGCAAACTAGCTCCATAAATTTAAGCCTCGAATGGCGCGCAAGTCGCCGGAAGTATTTGGAGCTCAGTGCAGCCGGAAATACAAAACAAATTTCGCAGAGACAGAAAGACCGAGTAAAAAGGCGCAAAAAGGAGGGAGAGAGGGCCAGTGGATAAGTTAATGAAACAAAACGAGGAATTGAAAGCCAGAAGATAATGAAAGTCAGTTGGGATAGGACTAGTCGAGTCTTTAATATGCTTTAGATTTCTTAATACATTAAATTTAAGATTGATACTAAATTCAAACAAATAATTCAGTACTTAAGCTTTAGAAATGTTTTGTAGTTACACGTTGAAGTTACCTTTTCTTAAATCAAAGAAAAAGTCCTAAAGACAACACAGCATTAAGAGATACAGCTTAACATTTCCATTAGTTAAAGCCAGCAAGATTGTGGCCCCGAGTCAAACCAATAAAATCTTTAATATCCCGGCCCTCGGGAGACTCAAATTAAATGCTGTCACACAATCTGGCAATCCAATTATTTTCTTTCCGAGGGCATGAACCAATAGTTCGACTGAATGAGCATTAAGTTAAATCACGCTTAAAGCAACGACTTTCCTCGAAGGGTATCAAAACTGTGTTCCGGCGGTTTTTCTGTTTCAGCTTCCTCTTCTCGGAGGAAGTGGAGTGGATCGGGGGCCACGAAACAAAACAGACAAATGGCAAAATGGCGCCACTTCCATATCCGCTGAGCAATAAACATTAATGCGCAATTAATGCTGGTGTCAGACGCTGACTTCGGTTAGTGGTGTTGGTTGGGTGTTGCCCCAACTTCCCACCACTCCCCCCTTGAATTTCTCTCTAATTTGCCTCCTGTTGTCTGTTGTTGATTTCCTCCACTTGCTGTGATTAACGTTTGGCGCCTCGTCTTAGCCTTTAGTTATTTATGGCACGGCATGACAAATGAAATCAAGTGGGCCCAGGCAAACTTAATGCAAAGCAGCTTACTTTGCCAGTCCAGAAAGGCGAGTTCTTTGAAGTCAGTGCCCCCTCACTGTGTTTGCTCACCGCCCCACCTTCGAAGTGATGGAGTGTCCTGGCGATTGTTTGAAGAGCAGCTTACAACCTTAAAGAGTGCGAATTGATCAATATGTTCGAGGGGCGACAGCTTGTCATTGGTGATGGCAGTCTTTACTTCCTTTGGGATATACATTTATTAACGAAACTTGTATTCTCTTGTGCACTTTAAGTACCTTGATTTTAACATAATTTGGACGATTTTATTTTTGCACACAATTTGCCTTGCAAAAGTGAATCCTTTCCCATCTCTAGCTGCCACAAAGCCCCGCCAGCTGTCAAAGTGCCCAGCCAGCCGAGATTTCCGCCAGTTGCCCATATGTTTCCCCTTCCCAAGACCGCTGTCAGGCTGCATTTTCGTCCAAAGGAAGTGTCAGTGGCAGTCCTCACTGGCAACCACACCCCTCTCGAGGGCCACTCAAGATCCGACCACGTCTGCATATGGCCCCTAGGAATTTATGGCTTGTTTGTATTGGCCTCCAGAAAATCCCCGACGCATTATTCAATTTGGCGCTGGCTGTAATGTAAAACAATTTTCCGCAAGTGCACCAAAAAGGGAAAGGAATAAGGAATGAAGGAAAACTGTCTCGCCTCAGTGAGTTTTATGTGTGGCACGTTTGGCAATAAATTCTCGGTGCTGAGTATTGGATTTACAAATTGCTGCTTAATCCGCTGTTTTCATTGTGCGGGAGACAAATTTATATGGTCTGCGGTTAACACCTGTTTTTCGGGTATTCATCGAAAAAAACACTAACTTCTTTAATGTCCTCTGATCGTTGCTTAGCTTTTTCTTTGGGTACCCTTTCTGGAACCCATTTCATGGCTCTCCTAAAAAAGGAGGAGCGGTTTGGCTTTGCCCTCAAAATTTGTGTCATTTATAACTTTGTCCAAAACGACAAAGCGATTTATTTTGTGATTTCCTTCGTCTGGTTCTAGTCAAAGTTTGATAAATGGACGCATTCCGCTCCAGATTTTCCTTTTGCATACGAAAACCCGAATGGGGCATTTGGCAGTTGCATTTTTTCAGCTTCATTTGGCAGATGCCGGGGTCTGGCTGATGGTCCTTTTGGCCTAGTCGGGCTGCCATAATCAGGGCGTTTAATATCGCCAATGTGCACTGAACGGGCGGCGAAAATCAAATCAACGCCTGGCTGGACGACATGATGACCTTGGAAAAAAACAAAAAACCCCAAACAAAATAAACCAAACTTCGATCATAAAAAATTAGTCAAGTCAACATGAAGCGTGGAAAAGGGGAAAGCGTTGCCACAATGTTTTTATGCCCTTTTGTTGTGATAGCTTTTCCTTTTTCCAAAAAAAAGTCGAAATCCGAAAAATATGCAACAGCCGGTACCTTAAATGTGTGTCTACAGGCGCTACACTCAGAGAATCAGCAACAAATATAAATCTGACTTTATAGAATAATCAACCGCAAGTCAACTGACTTTGCAAATAATTTTTTGCTTGTCCAAAAAGTAGTCTTAAATCCCTAGACCTTTAAGAAGTTTTAAAAGGAAAGTGAAAGTGAATATTGATAATTTTTTTTTCGCTGCACGTTTTTGGAAGCATGAAAAATTGCTAGCCTGTCCCATTGATTTGATTGACACTTTTATTGACACAGTGTTGCCCTTGTTGTTGGCAGGGTTTTATGACCTGCCAATGAACGCGAAATCCTTTAAGCCAATCGACGCGTCCAATGAGCTTGTATATGGGTAGTTTGCAGCTGTTGTAACACTTTAACTGTAAGCCCTTCCAGAAATTTGTATATGCGTTTTCAGATTTTTATGGGCCATCAATATTTGATTTGTTAATGCTTTAGATTCATTTCAATTAGGGAAACCCCATAAAAACTTGTACAAAAATATTATTGCCGAGCGAATTCGACTTCTGTCGAGTGGAAAATATGTGATATTCAGTTACTAGCTTTAAGAAGCGTTTCAAAAAGTAATCAATTAAATTTGTTTAAGAAAAACTACTTGGATTAAAAGGGTACTGAAAGTATGAAAAACTAAATTGCTTACAGCTAGTAAACGTTTACGTCGAGGCTTATTAAAATACGCAGCTTATTACGAGCCAGCACTAATATCCCGACCAGCAGCAAGTAAACGTCGGGCTTGCCATGAATTTTCATGGTCGCAACTTGGTTTTTTTATGCGTGCCACCGGAACAATGGCCACCCAAGGCCAGAGAAAGTGGCCGTAAAATATGACATTTGCTAGCCTTTGTTTGCACTGGGCCAATGGATCCTCGTGGCAATCGGCTGGCAATTAATCAGGCTTCATTTGCACTTAATCGCGGCCATGATTTGCACGCAACTGTGGCCGAGTCATGTGGCTATTAGATTCCATTATTCGGACCCCGCTTATTCAATTTAATTTTCATTAGCCCAGTGCCATGCGGTCATCGACGAGCGCCACATTATTTTTGGCCCTCGGTCGGAAAGACCAGAAGGAATGAAAACTCATTTTAATATGCGTAGCCCGGCAACGACCGTTTTTCTTTTGCCGTTTTGAAAGCCCCTTCTCTCGCGGACTTAATTACATATTAAAATTCCAACTGCGCCGCCACTCAATAGTAAAAAAATGGCAGCAAGCCATTACAGCTGGGAAATAATATGGATATTTTGGGTCTCAACTTGCAGCCGTAGTTATGAGATACAATAAACAACATGACGTCAAAACAAACTGAAATGGAGAGTCCCTTTGAGCAGAACGATTTAATACTCTTGGAAAAGTTTCGTTTAAATTAAAGTAGTTGTTAATTTACATTTACGTAAATATTGACTTTCTTTAGAAACGAAAAATTTCATTTCAGTTTCAATTTTGTAAATAATACCCCACATTTAGACTAAGATGAGAGTTACCCCTAGAAAGTGAAACAAAATATGCTCAAGGTCATGTCTACTGTAACTCTTAAGTGGCTATCAGCGGATTTCTTCAAAATCATAAACAAAAGCATATTTTATTGTTGTGTAACTGAGCCACAAATGAATTTTAAGCAGCACTGTAGCATTCTGAAAAAGTATGACATAATATTTTTGGGGGAAATAAACTTGGAACAGTTTTATGTGCAACTCAAGTTTTCAGAACATATACACTAATATGACAATACGGATTATATGGTTTCTATAAAGAGTTATAAAATCTAGCCAAGACAAACAAATGGTTAACATTTTTCTTCGTTCTCATCAAAGTCTTTTTACTACTAGCAATTTGGAACAGTTTTAATTAAAACTAACAAGTTTTTTCATTATTCTTTTAAAAACAAACAGCAACTAGGCAGATGAATTATCAGCAGTCTCTTGACTTTCAAGGCGAACGGTCGTGTTTTTTTTTGTGCGCTCCGAATTTGTAGTTTTTTTTGCTGAAGCCACCGGTGGTTTTAAATCAATTCGTTAAAATTTCGGCTTTTAATCTAATAAACTTTAAAACTCCGAGTGAATCTGTTTTAGATTGTGATTTATT